ACTTTATCAACGGTCCGTCTAGCGCCCCTCCGCAAAGGCACGCAAAGCGGCTGCGAAGTAGCAAGACTGAAAGGGCTTTAGTTGGATCCTTCCTGAGTAGCTCCACGAACAGCATACATAGCTTTTCTGTTCTGCTAAGCAGCGACAGCCGGGAGCAACTGGCCTCCCCCTGAGGGACGCTGAGAGACGCACCACCACGCGCCCGAGCGCCTGCTTTCCTCTTCCTGCAACTCCAATATCACCATGCCAAGCGAGCCTCCCGGTACGGCTTCTTCTGACAGCCGTACGACAGCCATTAACCCACTGCCACCTCATCCTCAGTCCCCGTCTCAACCTAATCAGCTGCCTCCATCCTCGTCCTCATCGCCGCCTTCACAGCAACCGCCCTCAGCCGCCTCCCTGCCGGGTCTCCCGCTCCCCCGCCCTCCGCTCCGTGCCCCCCACGTCAAGACGCACCACCACTGCACCACTCCTGACGGCTGGCGCCTACACCTCGTGCACACGCGGGCAGCCCCGGGCCCCGCCACCTCCTCCTCCTCCTCCTCTCGTCGCTTCCCCGTCGTCCTGATCCCCGGTCTGGGCTCCTCCGGCGCCTACACCTTCGACCTGTCCCCCGTGGTCAGCCTGGCAGATTACCTGGCAGACAGGGGCTGGGACGTGTGGACCGTGGAGCTGAGGGGTAACGGCCAAAGCGACAAGCCGTTGCTGTTCGTACGGAGCCGTTGGTGGACGGTTGACGATTACGTGACCAAGGACCTTCCTGCCGTACTGCGCTACGTACGGCAGGTTTCGGGGCGCCCCCGCGTGCATGTGTTGGGCCACTCGATGGGCGGCATGATCCTGACACGGCTGCTGGCGCTAGGGGGCGAGGCGGCGGAGGCGGTGGCGAGCGCAATTGTGGTGGGCTCGGGGTGCTTCCTGAAAGGTGCGGGTGCGTTTGAGGGAAAGGGAAAACAAACGTTGCCAGTGCCCAACGTGGCTGAGGAAGCAGGGAGCTGGGGCGGCAGCGAGCGGCAGGGCGGCGTGACTGGGGCTGAGTTGGGAGATGTCAGATGCCCTGGTCCGGTAGACGGGAAGGATGCAATGCCCCCATGCATGCACGCCTCCATCCTTTCCCGCCCCTGCCAGGCAGCTGGTGGGGCGCTCTGCAGCCCACCTTCTGGCTGGCGCGCTTCCTCTGGAGCATCCCGGCGGGCGCCACCCTGCGTGCCTACAGCCCGCTGGCGTTGCGGGGCGGATCCGACGTGCTGGGCCGGCGGCGGCGCGGACCCGCGGGTCTGCTGGATCAGCTGTACTTCTGGCCGCCCAACACGGATCCGCTGCTGGCTCGGGCGGTGCTAGCCAGGAACTTCTCCGCCATCTCGTCTGGGGTAGGGCTGGGGCGAGGGCTGGGGCGTGGGTGTGGGTTTGCGCATGCGGGCACGCCACGGCATGTGCATGGGTGCGGCTTGATGGGTGCATGGGGGAGGGGGGGTTGCGAACGCAGCTACCATGCACCCACGCGCTTCTTCCTGCTTCCCAGTTACACGGTTCCCATCGTCCTCCAAGTCGCAACGCTCGTCCTCTTTCCACCAGGTCATCCTGCAGTTGCGTTCCGGCTTCGGACCCACGGGGCTGCGCACGTCGGACGGTGTCGAGGCGTTTGCGGATCCCTCCCGTCTGGCGGCGGTGCGCACGCCCGTCATGTTCGTGTGCGGGGACAGGGACCGCATGTGTCCGCCGCAGGGCGCTGCAGCCACATGCGCCCGCTTCACAGGCTCCCGGTGTGCGCGGTTCGTGCTGTTGGGGCCGCAACCACCACCGCCACCACCATTACCATCAACTGCCGCCGCCGCTCCCGCCTCCGCCAAGGGACGCGGAGGCAGCGGAAGCCGCCGCAGCAGCAGCCGCAGCAATGCCGGTACCGGTAGCAATGCTGGCAGCTCTGCTTTCTCATCCTCGCCAGGTGGATTCGCACAGCAGCCGCAGCAGCCACCTCAACCGCACCCCAGACAACTTCTCGCTCCGGTGCCGCCGCTCACTCAGTCACCGACGACCCCTCCGCAGCAGCAGCACCACCACCTGACCACCCGGCACCACTACGGCCACTTCGACATCCTGATGGGCAGGTCCGCGGAGCAGGAGGTGTTCCCGCTGCTGGAGGGATGGCTGGAGAGGTGGGAGGCAGGGGGGCAGGAGGGGGAGGGGGACAACAGCGACAACATGCCTAAGAAGGACAGGAAGGGCCAAAGCACGGGTGTGGGCGCGGGCGGCAAGGTGGATCAGATAAAGTCGGTGGGTACGACAAGCAGCAGCCGCATGCCGGACGCCGTACGCAGCGTCGCCGCCGCCGCCAGCGCCGCCAGCGCCGCGGCCGTCAGCGGCAGCATGGAAAGCGGCGCTGGTGGGCTAGAGGTGGCGATAGAGGATGAGGAGGATGAGCAGGCGGCGGCGGGCTGGGACTCGGCGGAGGCGATGGGGGCGGCGGGGCACGTTAAGCTTCCGCCGCTGGCGGCGGTGGCGGCGGCGGCGAGGGAGGGCGTGGGTTACGAGGCAAGGACAGAGGCCGCAGCTGCTGCGGCGACGGCGGTTGCAGTGGTACGGCAAACACGATCAACACGAGGGCTTTGTGAAGTACCCGTTAATGGCGCCGCATTCGACAGTCATTGTGACGGAGGCTTATGCCGTAGTACGTCAGCGATGGCGGCGGAGGCGGAGGCGGCGGCACGCCTGGCGGCGCTGCGTGTGGCGGCGGAGGCGGGGGTGTGCGGCTCCACCAGCGGCGATGGCAGGGACAACGGCGGCAGGGAGGGCGGCGGTGTGGAGCTGGTTGCGATTGCGGGGCCGGCCGGGGTACGACAGGAGCCGGTGGTGGCGGCGGCGGCGGCAGTGGCGTCGAGGAGGGGGATGCTGAGATGGGCTGCCCCGGCAGCTGGCATGCCAGGCGGCATGCCGCTTGACGTGGCGGCAGCGGCGGCGGCGGGGGAAATGGATGAGGAGGAGGATGGGCCTGTCTGGATGGTCGGGGAGGGTCTTATGGGGACGCCCAGGTCACGGTTGTGAGGTGCTAAGGGTAGGGGTAAGAAGGAAGGAGAGCGAGAGTGTTGTCGTGTTGGGAATGGCGGCAAGCTAGGTCTTGCCGGGAGTCCCTTTGTACCGTAGGGGTCTCAGCATGGAATCCTGCGCTGGTGTAGAAACCGTTTCATTCATGAGACCACATCATGGGCTGGGTTCGATTCCTGGGACAGCTTCCTGTTATGGTTGAAGTTGGTTGTCACATACGGCACCATAGCCTCCCGTACGCTGGATGGTACGGCAAAGGTTTTAGAGTTACCGTAACTCTTCGGCCTGCTTGATATTGTATTGTTTGGTTTCCCTATCTCATAATAATGCGCGCAGGTGCTACACGCTTAACCAGGCAAATTTGGGAGCCTCATCCTTACGATGTAATCCGGAAGAGCTTATCCTCATAAGCAGCGCCAGGCAAAAGGTCAGATCCCATACTTTATAAATAGTTACACCCCAGTTAGCCATTTGACACAATGCCAAACGAAATGGACGATCAAGATTTGCTATCTCGCGTCCCGACAGCCGTTCTTCGCGAGCACATACTGCCTTGGCTCGGCGCGGATGACTGGCGCAGCTTGCGATTAATCAACAAGCAGTTTGCAGAGCTGTACAGAGCGACTGTGCGCCGGTTGACCATTCGCATTTGTCAAGAGGCTTTGGATGGCTTGTTGGCGATCGCTTCTACATCTGCAGCAGGAGCACCAGGAGTCTCAGATGGCCTCTTGAAGAATATCTACCCATCGCTAGATCATCTGAGCATCGCATGCGATCCCCATCCATTGAGTCCCCTGCATGATGCGGAGTGTATCGCGCAGTTTTTGCGACTGCTCGGCAGGGGGCCACCCACGCAAACATCTCTTTCGCTGCACACTATGCACCTCAATCCTGCCCTTTGCGGTCAACTTCGGCCTCAGTGCCCGCACCCTGCTGGCGCCATCGCGTCTGGGACAAACACGGATGCCGGAGCCTGCGCTCGCTCCCTTGCCGCCCTGCTGCCAAACATGAACACCGTTCGCTTTGTTGGCACTTCCCAACTACGCCCTTCATCTGAACAGCCCAGCAGCCTACATGCATCCAACGGTAGCCGCGGCAGGAGCAGGGGCAGCAGTGACGCTGGAGGCCGCAACTCAGCACCCGGCACGACACCACCCGCTCCTGCTCCACATGCTCCACATGCTGCCGCTATTGTCAGCGGCTGCTGCGGCTACCCACCGCACCTCGCACCTCAACCGCTGCTAGAGGCCCTGTCGCAGCAGCTGCTGCTGCTACAGGTGGTGGCAACGTCATCGTCTGGGAGCGACAACACACGTGAAGGCGGCAGCGGTGCTGGTGCTGCCCGCGTTCGCAGCGGGGACGGTGGGAGTGTTGAAGGAGGGCTTGAGAACGCCGTCGCTAGCTCTTCTTCTTCCTCTTCTCATTCCCAGGTCTCCTCCTCCGCCGCCGCCGCCGGTGCTAACGGTACGACTGATACCACCGGTACGACGGCAGCGGGACTGCAGAAACTCATTGTGGACTACTCCCTCCGCAGTGCCGACCCATTTGAAGCCGAGATCTTGGATCTGTACGACAGCAACGACCATTGCAACAGCCGATCTAACCGCAACAACCGTCAGCATAACCTAAATCACAACAACAGTCATAACCTGGGCCGGCCGTACTTTGAGCTGGACCTCCGTGGCCTTCTCAGAGCTCGAACTAGCACTGTTTCCGGCGTTACGGCCGGCGGCAGTGCCGCCAATAGCAACACCGCCGCCACCGCCGCCTCAGCACCAGCAGCAGCCGTATCGTTACATCCCATCCTACGTTCACCAAGAGCCTCCGCAACTCCCCATCATCCCCTCCTTACAACCACGTCCCCTCGCCCCCAGCAACACCCTCATCCGCAGCCTCAGCAGCCTCCCTCGCATCCGCATCCCCTGCTACGTCTGACTCATCTAGAGCTCCGTTCCGTACACGTGGCACCGCAACTCCTAGCAGATGTACGACATCTGACGCTGCTGACTCAGCTCACGTTATCCGTATCATGTGTACGACCGTACGAGCCCCTTGTCGAATCTCTGCCGTACCTGAGCCGTACTCTGACACATCTGCACCTTTTCCTCCATGTACCATCAACGCCGCCTCCGCTGCCGCCGCCATCACCTCATTCACATTCCGGCGGCAGCGGCGCCGGCGGCGGCAAGTTGTCGTACAATCAAGATCTGTCTCCGGATCTGGCTCCTGTTCACTTGGCGGCGGCGGTGTCGCAGTGCTCTCGGCTGGTGTCTCTGGAGCTCCCCGGGGAGGATCTGGAGGGACGTGTACCCATGGTGCTGCAGGTGGGAGTCGCATGCCTGCATGCGGGGTGAAGGTTGGGAGGGGGGGCAGACATGTATGGAGATGGCTAAACTGGCTATACATACAGGGATACAGCGGTGGAAGGGCTTCCATGTGCTTCGCGGCGCCTGGCCCCCCTGCTTCTCCAACGCCACCCCTTCCATGTTGTGATCGCTCCTCTCGAAATTCGTTCACACGCACCCCTACCGTACCGTAGCTTGCGATTGGCTTTCCCGTCACCGCATCCCCCTCCATCCCGCTTTCCTCCCTCCACCTCCCCCCCCAGGCCCTCCCCGGTCTGACCCGCCTCTCCGCCCGGCAGCTGGGCCCCTGGGAGCTCTCCCAGCCGCACACCGCCCTCGCCTCCCTGCACCTGCCCATGTCCTGGCCCGAGCACCTGGCACCGCTGCTGCCCTCCCTGCCGCGACTCAAAACCCTGGCGGCGGATCTGTACATCCACGCTGACAGTAGCTGCGGCAACCGCCGCAACGCCGACGCTGCTGACGACGGCACAGAGCAACTGTACGAGCAGCTATCCTCGCTGGCGGCGGCGCTAGAGGACGTGACGGAGGTGGAGTTGCAGCTGTCGGTGATGCGGCGGGAGGGCTGGGAGTGGCGGCGGGTGTTACAGGAGGTGGCGGGGGTGGCGGGGTTGCGAGGGCTGACATTGCGGATGCCGTACGAGGAGAGCGGTCCGCAGTTGCGGGGTTGGCATCTGGCGGGGATCGCCAGGAGCATACGGGGGCTGCGGAGGCTGACGTTGTTGCTGGGGCATGGCAGCTGCAGCTGTCTGAATGTTAAGGCGTTGCAGGTGAGATGGGTCGAGAAGGAAGACGAGTGGGGAGGAAGAGAGCGAGGAAGGGGCTGGAAGGGGCGCGGAAGGAAGAAAGCCTAGGCTAGGGCTTCTTGCAAGTTCGAAAACGGTGCACTTCGTGGAACGGGCCGTATACCTCTGTTACTGATTTGGGTTGTCGTCCTAAAGCACGCTGCCATACCTGCCGTACAGGCGTTTCAAGACCTGCCGTACATTCAGTTGGTTCAGTTGCACTTGGGTGGCAGTTGGCAACCAACTGACGGCGATCATGACGCACCAACCAGAGGCGGAGGCGGCGGAGGCGGCCGTCGTAACACAAAGTCGCGTAAGGGCCGTCAGCGGCGGCGGGGTGACGATGACGGCGGCGCCAACGGCGGCGGAGGTGACGGCTCCAGAAGCGGCGCAACTTGTGCAGCAGCCAGCGGCTGCTGCGGCGGCGATGTTACCGGCTTCGACGTCACCTCCGCCAGCTGCGATAAGGCCCCTTGGTGGTCGCCGCCGCCGCCGCCAAGTAGTGTCGCCGCCAGGGCACTGCTGGCGGTGGCACGGAGCATAGGTAACCGACGCCGGGGGCGACAGCGGCGGCGGCAGGTTGACGGCGGCGTGAGATCTGACGAGGACGAAGAAGAGGAAGAGGAGGAGGAGGACACGGAGGAGGAATACAGTTGTTCTGCATCTGGCGGAGTGCCTGACGCCAGCGGTGGTGGAGGCGGAGGTAGCAGGCACGGTGATTGCAACAATGGTGGTCATGACGGCGATGATGAGTTGACGGCAGGTCTTCTTCCCGCTGTTTGCTGTGACAGCGGCGGCAGGCAAAGGGTACCCGGAGCGACGGCGTCGGCCGCTGCAGGGGCGGCGGCGGCGGCAGCGGCAGTGGAGGCTTCAAGGGTTCGGCTGCAGGTTGACTTCCTCAGCGAGGTAGAGGCGGCGGAGGTGAATGCGGTGTTGCGGGCGGAGCGGAGCTGGGTGGCGGTGGAGGCGGGGCTGCGGCCGGGGTGGAGGTGGGCGGAGGCGGCGGGGCTGACGGGTGGGTAAGGGATACGGCGCTTTGGGGGTATCGGTAAGCGATAGCTGTTAGCTGTACGGCCATGATGGTTGCATATGTTGCAGGAAGGCATCTGGAAGGGGGCTTAAAGGATGGAAGATAGCGTGGAAGCGGCTTAAGATAGGTTCTGCAGCTTGCGCGGGGACTGCCGAGGCCTGCTTTTACCTACGGCGATGTAGTACGGCGGTTGTCCCGGCACAACCTGCTAGCTTCTGCGCATGTTTACATAAACATTAATAGGATTGTCAAAGGCCAGGTTGCGACGTTGCTTGCTTTCTTACTAGGTATAGCTGCTGGTATAGACACTGTCTTTGCAAGGCTCTTTGTAGCCACGTTCGCACCTACGGCGACTTTGCCATGGCTGCGTTTTATGCACTGTGGACATCCTAGTTTGTCACAGATCGCAGCTTGGAACATGCAGACAGTGTTAGCTGCGCACAGCATGGCTCAGACTGCTTCTACTAATTTCTCCGTAAAGGCGAGGGACGGCAAGGCACGATGTGGAATTTTGGTTACGAAGAATGGAAGCATTGAAACCCCGGCGGTGCTGTTATATACGCGGCGCGGCGGCCCTTTATCACTAACATCACCCGACATGCTCGCCGCCGTGACGCCGCCAATTCAGGGCGTTCAGGTGTGCGTAAACCAGTTGTAAGTTTGTCTTATTTCTTAGAGAGCGAAGTGCTCGCTTTAGCCGGTCGACCAGTTCCATGAGTGCCTTGGTGCTTGCACGGATGCAGCCTTGAGAACCCCGATGCGAGCATACTCCGGGAGTATGGCAAGGGAGCACATAAGTTCCTTTGCCTGGAGGGCTACTCGATCTTGGCCAGCAACCGCGACCCGACAATGTACGAGTTTGGCGCGCGTCCTTGCACCGACAAGGAGATCCACGTCTCCATCCACAGCGGTGGCCACATGGTGCGAGCTAATCGCGCAAAACTGCACCGCCCCTCTTGTCTTGATCGCTGCCACTTATACACGCCGCGTCTCCTCGCCAGGTGGGCCCCGAGCGCTACATGGAGACGGTGGCAGCTCTGCAGCCGGACATGTACGTGACGCTGTGCGACGAGGTGGGTTTCCCTACCTAGTCTCGGGAAGGCGCTCCCCACTTCAACCCTCTGTGTTTCCGCCCTCCGCGTGCCAGGACTGTTACCGAGCCTCGACCCCGTCCTCGACTCCTCAAACCACCGACCCAAATCACCTCTACTACGTATTTGCTCATCAAACATTACCAAGCACCCGTCTCCGGTCTCCCACTTTCTTTCCCGCTTTCCTTCCCAAGGTTCCCGCTGACTCCAAGCCCAAGCGTGTGTCCACCTCCGTGCGCCGTACCACCGCCTGGCTAGACACCTGCCTGCAGCTGCACGCCCGGTACCAGCAGCCGCAACCGCAGCAGGGGCAAGAGCAGCAGCAGCCGCTGCAGCGGGGACAGCAGCGCGGTCAGCTGAAGGCTGCGCAGCGGCAGAAGCAGCGGCAGCAGCAGCTGGAGCGGGAACGAGAGCGGCAACAGCAGCAGGGGCAGCAGCAGCAGCCACAGCAACCACAAGAGGAGGCGACTGAGGCTGCTGCCACCGCTGCACTGCAGCAGCAGCAGCAGGCTAGCGCGAACGGCGCAGCGGATGGAGTTGCAGAGGACGGTGTTGGCGAGGGTCCCCTGTCGGGCAGTCTGGTGTTTGCAGCGCTGGGGGGCGGGGCGCTACCGGCGGAGCGGCAGCGGGCTGCGGCGGCGGTGGCGGGCAAGGAGGGCGTGGCAGGTGGGCGGGGGCGATTAGGGGGGGGACAGGAGGATGGTGAAGGTGTAAGAGGGTATGGGGGCCTGTATGGAGGTTTCAGGGCGCTCGATCTATAAATACCGTCACCGTTTCACATCTACGCCCTCTCTCCAAACCCATATCAACCCTCTCCCTTCCCACCCCTTGCCAATTACGGTACAGGCTACGCCCTTTGCGGTCTGGGCACGGGCGAGTCCCCATCGGCACGACCCGCCCTCATCGCCGCCTCACTAGCCGGGCTTGAGGCCTCGTCCTCCTCCCCCACAGCCCCAGTAGCCGCTTCCACCTCACCCGCCTCCTCCTCCTCTCTGCAACTCCTGTCCAGCCTGCCAGTGTTCGCGGCGGGTGTGGGCGGGTCTCCTGAGGAGGTGCTGCAGGCGGTGGCAGCGGGGGTGGACCTGCTGGACTGCAGCTTCGTAGCGCAGGTGGGGAGGGGTGGGGGAGGGTGGAGGTGAAACGACGAAGGAACCGTGGCGAGGATACCGGTAGAGGAGGGAGTGTGGAGATGGGGCGATGCGGGACGGGGGGCATTGCCACGGTACACACCACCATTCCTAGCTCTGTTCACTACGGTGTTTCTGCAGGCGCAGACTCAACCTCGCTCTCTCTGGCTCCCTCCCTTTCCCCCACCTCCACCTCCAACAGGTGACCGCCGCCGGCTACGCGCTGACCTTCCCTCTGCGCCCTCCGCCGGTGAGCGAGTGTGCTGCTGCTGCTGCGGTGCGGCCTCCACCACTGCCCGCCCACACACCTGTGGGCCCCTCGCCGCGTCCTTGTTGCCGTTGCTCACACCCAGCGCGCGTGTTGACCTTTCTGCGCATGCCCTTGCTTGGCTTCACGGCTTGTCGTACACCGGTGAATCCCCATCCTGACCTCACGTTCGGATTGGACTTACCTCGTTTGCCTCGCCCTGCTGCTACACCAGGACTGGCAGCCGCAGACCTCTGCTGACGCCTCCGCAGTAGAAGCAGCAGCCGCAGTGGAGAGCTCCTCGGGGCCCTTAACACTGACGTCAGCAGCACAGCCGGCAACCACAGCATCGTCTCCCGATGGCTCGGATGAGACCAAGATCAACCTGTGGTCCACCTCTTACAGGTACGTGTGGGTGCATGCATGCATGCAGGGTTCGTATGTTGGGTGGGGAGTTCGTGTATTGGGTTTATGGAGTTCGTGTATTGGGCGGGGCGAATCAGGGTCGTTGAACGGTGGACGACGCATGCATGGCCAGCGTCCTAGGCTGTCTGGACCCATATCCCAAAGATTCCACGCACCTCACATCCCTGCCCCTCTTCCGTCCTCTTCCTGCCTCCCCCCGCCACTCCCACCCACCCCCCAGGCTGGACACGGCCCCCCTGCTGCCCGGCTGCGGCTGCTCCGCCTGCCGGCAGCACACCCGCGCCTACCTGCACCACCTGCTGCAGGCGCACGAGATGCTGGCGGATGTGCTGCTGGAGGCGCACAACACCTCGCACATGCAGGCATTCGTGCAGGTGGGTGTGAGGGGTAGAAAAGTAATTGTTGAGGGGTGAGGGGGAACCTCGGGGAGAGCGAGGCATGGTGCTGTGTGTATTGCGGTGTTGCTATGATGAGCACTCGGTTTTAGGCAAGCATGACCAACGCGCGCTAGGTGCCATATTACTGATATTAGGTTTGGCGTTGCGTTGCTGGTATCCCACATTTCGCAACCCGTTATGGCCTGCCAATCGCAGCTGCCTACACTCGAACCCGCTCCACCTTTCTCCTCACTCCCCGCTTCTCCCCTCAGGCCATCCGTGAAGCCATTGCGGAGGGGCAGCTGCAGCGCTACCAGCAGTGGTTCGCCAGCCTGCGATCTGGCCCCGTGTTGCCGCCCGCAGGACCGCCCCGCAAGGGCAAGCGGCGGGCCCTGGGGCCGCCGGGCAGCCCTGCGCCATCGGCGGAGGCTGAGGGGGCGGTTGAGGTTGAGGAAGGGGCGGGGGGCGACTCGCATGCGAAGGGCAGCGGAGGAGCGGTGGCATTGGGGGGTGATGCGGTGATGGCGGAGGCGGCTGATGTTGGGGCGGTTGCGGCTGCCAAATGGGTGCGGGTGTGATGTGCGAGTGGTGGTGCAGAAGCACAGGCGGAGGGCGAGGAAAGGAAAGCGAACAGAAGGGTTGAGCAGGAGGGGCAGGAGAGGTGACTATGCGGCGTGGAGCTCCGCGCCGCACCCCACCGCTGCCGTGTGGATACAATGCCAATAATGGATGTGTCGGTTCGAGGCATCGAACAAGGCCGCAGCCTTGCATATACCGGTACACCGTCCACTGTCGACAACCCGCATGGCCTCTATGTCAGCACAGCCTGTTCAGCTGGCACACCACGACATCTCCACCTCCATCCTTGATCAGTGTCTTCAATACTTAAGCCCCCAGCAGCCCTCAACCGCACGCCTTACCCACTTTTACCCCATTCAGCACCCGCTTTCCGCAACATACTAATACAGCGCTGACATCCACACGTAAAAGAGCTGCCCATTTCCGGACGCTATAACAGCGCGCCTTTGTTACCACTACACCACCAACTCAACATCGTCAGCACTGCCACCGCCAGCGCCTTCTACCCAACACCCTGACGGCATCGCTGCCTGCCACGCCTGCCTTCTTCTTGGTCTTCTCAGTCTTGGTCTTCCTTTGCATGTGCCTTCGCGCATCTCCGCCCCCCATGCAAAAGCTCGTACTGCATGCGGCTGTGCTCCTGCGCGCGGCCCTGCATGCGTCCCCGCGCCAGTGCCACGCCAGCAGCTGCCGTAGCGGTATCAGTGCATGTGGTTGCAGGGGGTGTCCCGGATGGTTCCCAGGATGTCGGGCGGGGGAAGGGAGTCCACATCCAGACTGGCGTCAATCTGGGAGAACTGCATGCAGGAGCAGGAGGAGGGAGAGGGGAAGCATTGGTGCGGTATACTGTATCGGTTGGTAAGCAGACAGGGTTAAACTACCGGAGCAGAGTGTCATGACGGCAGCGGCAAACTGGGCGAGACCAGCAACACCGCATATGTACGGCACACCCACCACTACATACGACAAAGTACACAAGTCTCAGTACGACATAACACACGACCACGTACGACACCTACCTCCCGGAAGAACGCCAGCAGGTGTTCGTACGCAATGGCCACGTCATCCGTACCGCACTGCTCCCGAATGCTGTGCATGGAGAGCTGCGCAATGCCCACATCCACTGTACGGCAGCCCAGGTTGGACGCCAGGATGGGCCCGATGGTGGAGCCGCAGGGCATGTCGTTGCGCACGCTGAACTCCTGGCAGGGGATGCCGTGGCGCCGGGCGATCTCCCTGAGGGGAAAAGGAAATGAAAAGGTTGATAGTTGAGGAAAACACCCAGGGGAGGATGGGGGAGTCGGGCATGATTTAGGGGAGGAGAGGGGCGTAAACCGTTACTTCGGCTTCTTCTTATTTACCTCCCGAATCTAACCCGCGAACCCAACCGCTAACCCAGCCGCAGCGCATGCACCCTACCCAGCCACCCACCTGAACAGCGTGGCGCTGATGGAGTTGGTTGCGTAGCGCTGGTTGGTGTTGTGCTTGATGACCAGGCCGCCGTGCATGCGGGGCTGGTGGTCGGGGTCGTGCTGGGGGGGAGGTGGGGGTGGGGGTGAAGAGGCATGGGGGTGACATGGGGCACGGGGTTTAAGTCTTTAAGAAGCATGAAGTGCGGCACGCCACGGCGGCCGATCAAGAGTCGTCGCTCTTGCATGCACACCCCCTTCCCGCTTCTTTCCTGCTCCAACCCAGATCATGATGTCCGTCCTGCGCCTCTCCGCACTTGCCCCCCGCTTACCCTACCCGTCACGAATCCAACCCCATACATGCAAACACACACGACCCCTCACCCCTCCCTCCGCTTTTACCTTGTCCGGGTAGTTGGGGTGCAGCGCGTGCGCCATGTCGGCGCTGACCAGGAAGGAGGAACGCAGCGTGCGCTCCACAGCACCCTGGGGGAGGGGAGGGGAGGGGAGGTGAGGGGAGGCGGAGGGAAGCGAGGGAGGTGAGGTGACAGAGGTATAGGGAGGAAGAGGTGAGGCAGGCGTCATAGGGGGTAGCAAGAAGAGGAAGGCAGCCGGTGGGGCAAGGAACAACACCTACCAACTACCCCCCCACCTCCCGCCCACCTCCTGGCCACCCGCTAGCGCCGCCGCCACTCGGGTGATGGTGTCGCGCATGACGGGGCCGCCCGCACCCTGGGGGGGGGGAGGAGAAGCAGACAGCAGGGGGCAGCGGGCATGTAAGCAGAGGGAGAGAATAATACAGGTAACGTACCAGTGCGTGTTGCGGTATGCGCCCCCGGGCTGTAGGGAAGAAGCCCTTTTACTCCACCACTCCGTTTGAGGGCTCTAGCAGCGCACAACCCTAGACCCTTCCTCAACCCCTCCCGCCGCTCCCCCAAGTTTCAATCAGTTTCCTTGTTTTCACCCCTCCCCCAAGTCGGTCGCCAGTGTTTCCTTCAACACATCGGGCATTCTTCCCTCCCACTCCCACCGCCCCACCCGCCCAGTGTCCCCCCGCACCTGCGCGCTCTCGCTGCCCACCTCCTCGTGGTCGAACAGCGCCACCGCCCGCACGCCACTCTCATCCGCCAGCGAGGCGGCGTCGGGGCAGGAAGCTAGCAGCGCCTGGGGGGGACGGGGGGATAACGTGTGTGTACGACAGGGAGGGAGGGCGGGAGGGATGGAATGGGATGGTGGGGAAGATGGCAGACAATCGCAGAAAGGTGTCTCTTCGGTCTCTTCAGGGGCCTCAGCCTTGTGGGCCGGGTACCGGGTACCCATCGCATGGATGTGTGTGACACGGTATTCTGAGGCGAGGTACCTCACCTTCCCGTCCTTCCCATCCTTCCCTCCATCCCTATCTACCCCACTACCCAACCTTCCCTCCATCATGTACATATGTGTATACCCACCACCACCACCCTCATCACTCGCCCACCTCCAGTGCCACATAGCTCATGGCCAGGTTGTCCAACCGGCCCGCGAACACAAACTCCTCCGCCGCGCCGCCAAGCACCCCCGGCTGCGTGTCGCACACATGCAGCTCGAAGTCCGCGATGGCGGCGGGGGAGCAGCGAAGCTGGGAGGCGAGCAGGGACAGCAGCAGCGGCGGGTGGGGCGACTTGGGGGCGGCAGCGGCGGCGGCGGCGGGAGCGGCATCCGCAGCAGGGTCGGCGGCGGCGGCAGCGGTTTCTGGAGAGGAGGAAGAGGAGGCGGAAGCAGCGGAGGCGGCAGAGGCGAGGAGCTGGGCCTTGACGGAGGTGGCTAGGATGGGCGCGAAGTTGGAGTGGAGGTTGGGTTTGAAGCCCGCGGTGTGGATGTCGCGTTGCAGGTGGATGGCCTGAGAGGAAGATTGGGCGGAGGACAAGGAGAGGGAGGTCGGACGGGCAGGTGGGGCCGGTTACATGGGGGTACATCTAAACTGGGGTTACAGTCCACCAACCGCCCACCCTACCGCACCCCCATCCGAGCCCGTCCTGCCGTACCCCCACACCCACCCAGGGTGGGATGGACCGGCTACCATGTTTGCACCCCATGGTGAAGCCACATGTCATACCGCTCATTAGTTGCATCGTCAGTGTTTCTTTCTTTTCTTTCGTACCCACCCCCACCCACCAGCATGGGAATGCGCAGCAATGGCTTGTCCAGCTTCACCAGCCGCTGCCGTAGCACAGTGCTGCTGTTGCTGCTGCTGCCTGCACCGCCGTTACCAGCGGCCCCTGCCTCCGCCCCCGCAGCCGCCCCTGTCGTCGCCGCCGCCTCCTTCTCCTCCCGCACCAGCACCCGGCCCGCTAGACCCAGATCGCGGTCGAACCAGGTGTACCACAGACCGCCGCCGTAGGTCTCGACATTGAGCTGCGTTGCATTGCGTGGCGTTGCATGTGGGGAGGGACAGGGTGTTAATCGCATCTCGCATGCATGCATGCATGCTTACCGGTAGTTGGAACACAAGGTTAGGGGCTGCATGCCGCGCCCAAACGCAGCTTACAACGCCCTCTCCCCAAAACCCGGACGACCCAAACCCGATGTCCCTTAACCCGGACGCCCCAAATCGGATGCCCCTTCAAACCCGGACGCCCCTTAACCCGCACACCCGCCCCACCATGTTGTATCCGCTCTTGGTGGAGCCGCTGACGGGCTTGAGCTTGAGGCAGGGCGAGTCGGTGTGTGCGCCAACCATGTAGAAGCCGTTGCCTGCGTGTGTTTGCATTTGTGTTAGCGTATGTGTGGATGACAACGGGTGGTGTGCACGACATGTAAAAAAGCGGCAACTATGTCGAGGGTATGGGTGATGTGGGGACGCTAGAGAAGACATGACTAGGGTGCGTTCGTGGCAATAGGGTCCTATTAGAGAGCCCTGGGATGTGCCCAGATCCCGCAACCACCAGGCGGCGGCTCCTCTCTTTCGGCATGTTTGCAGGCATGGCTTGAACAGCACCACATCCCGACATCCAAAGGTTTGACTCCGACCCAAAACATCCGCGCCACCCACCCGGCTGGTACTTGGCTCCAACCGCGAAGGCCACGATGGTGGTCATGTTCCTGGTGAAGAAGTAGCGGCCGCCGGGCTGAACGGACCTGGACCGGGATGTCGGGATGATGAGACGTCATGTTGGTGTTGTGGACATGATGACAGATGGTTAGCTGGCAAAGATTGGTAGTAAGGGTCGCACTTCAAGACCGGGTTAACTAGGGACAAGATCCACCTTGGCCTTCCTCCGCACATGCCAGATAAAATTTGACTTGCAACACCCGCCCCGTTAAGTTACCCCAGCCTATTGCGCAAGGTGTTGCTTAGTGCTCTCTTTGCACAACGGCTAAGCAGCTCGTAAAAAGACGACTGGCTGAAGTGTTAGGTCGAGGTACTAACCAAGGCTCGCGCTCTGAGATGGGCGTGAAGCCTGCTGCGACCAGGCGCCTTGCAGCTTCCTCCACCGCATGGAAGGGAGTCCACGCGTAGTTGATGAACTTGAGCATCTTTTCGGCATGCTCCTTGCCGCGAGAATGGAGGGTCAGAGCAGCCTCGACATTGCCCACACCCTCAGCTGAAGCCGAAGTGCCCGTGGCTGATGTTTTCTGTCGCTTTGACATGGTCAGGAAGCGAGATCCAGCAGCTAAGCGGCGGTTGCAGGTGGACGCAAGCGTGCGGCCTACGCGAGCCGCGAGCATTTACTATCGAACAACAAGCCTTGCACCAAGATGTGGCCTATGTCGATACAAATTCTATACTAGCTACAAGTTGTGCTGTAATCACAACCCGCTCCGTTCACTTGGCGTGATCGTATGCTCTGCGTACTACACGTGCTGTGCGTCGGTTCCTCAGACAGGAATGCGTTCGACTAGCGCTCATGCTGTTGCTTGTACAATATGTAAAGCGCACCAGATCAGCCTACCGCCTTGCCATTTGCGTTGGTACCTCGGGATTCGTCACGCACCCTGCTCCGTAACACCGTTAACTGGCGCACAAGACGCGCCGCATTCCGCGATCTGGACGCCATTCCGGCAACGTTGCCATCATTTGTGACCAGGTCAGCTTGATCTGCGCTAGGTTCGCTTCCACTTGCTGCCATCGTCATCGTGCCATCTAGGCCGATTCGCTCCTCATCCTAAACACCCAAGCCTCATTTCGGTATAATACCTATACAGATTGAACCAACGTAAGTAACGAAAGAGCAAAATGGTTCGCCGGCTGGCCACGCTGGCCACCTGCAACCTCAATCAATGGGCGATGGATTTCGAGGGCAACCTGGGTCGCATCAAGGAGTCCATTCGGAAGGCCAAGGAGGCGGGGGCGACCTATCGGGTGAGAGGTGTTCTACGGTTATGGAGCTGATTAATCCCTCTTAACTTCAGCCTTGTTGGGGTTGGGTCAGCAAGGGATGTTGCATGGCTTACATGGGCGTTGCGTCCTGTTCGACGACACGAAGCGCACATTGATAATCCAAACTGAATCTCACGCACAACCCTGGAAGCCGTGTACCCTTTAATCAGTAACCACACCGATCAGCCGACTGCTGGGGTCTGCGCCGACCCATGGTTCACCCATCCTTCCCTTCCCTCCGTCCCCCCAGGTTGGCCCCGAGTTGGAGGTGCCCGGCTACGGATGCGAGGACCACTTCCTGGAGCTAGACACCGTGAGCCACTCCTGGGAGGTGCTGGCGGTGAGGCGAGGAGGGGGGGGAGGGAAGGAAGGAGGACGGGGGGAGAGGGACGTTAAAAACGGTGCTGGCGATGGCGCAAGGGGGGGAAGGATAAGAAGAAAAGGGGGGAGGTTAAAGAGGAAGGAACTAGGTGAGGAGGGGAGGAGGGGAGTGAGGGTGGACAAACACGCTTGTTACCGCAGGCCTGCCCCCAGTTGTCCGCAACCGGCAACCTCGCATTCAACTTCATCGCTTCATCCCGCCCCCACGCTTCTCCCAACCCGTCGCCATACGGGGGATACGGGGTAAGCTCACTGTCTTCCTCCTGCTGCCCCCGCCTGCTGCCCCCCCCCCCTCGCCCCAGTCGCTGATCGATGACCCCGAGGACCCCACTGCCGGCATCCTTGTAGACGTGGGCATGCCGGTCATACACAGGGGTGTCATGTACAACTGCCGCGTGTTCCTGCTGGACGGGCGCGTGCTGCTCATAAGGCCCAAGCTGCACCTAGCCAATGACGGAAACTACCGGGAAACCAGGTACGCGGCTGCTGCTGCTGGTGCTGCTGCTGCCGGGGTGCTGCTGCTGCGCCCCAACCCCTCGTAAAGCCGCTCTGCTATGTTGCCCTACTTTGGCAATAACGGCCGGGTGTGATTGATCCCGATCCTGATCCAGTGCTCCAGTGCACAGCGTCCCCCATTCCGTAGCGCACCCCGACCTCCCTCACGGCTCGTTAATCGTTTCCTCCTTACCCTCCCCCCCCTCCCTGTCAAAGGTACTTTGCCGCTTGGAAGCACCGGGGTGCGGTGGAGTCGCACCGCCTGCCGGATGTGGTGGTGGCAGCCATGCAGCGCAGGAGCCAGCGGGTGAGGCAGGCGGAGGCGGAGGCGGAGCGGGGGAGCGAGCAGCAGCGGCAGCAGCAGCAGCATGCAGGGGCGGACGCGGGGGCGGGGGCGGGGGCATCGCCGTCCTGCTGTCCCCCCTCAGCGGCGGCGGACGTTCCGTTCGGAGATGCGGTGCTTAAGCTGAGGGATGCCGTACTGGCCGGTGGGTTCGTGCGTGTTACGGAAATGTGTTGGTGTGCGTGTGTTAAAATAACTGGCCGCGAGGCGAAACGTGTGTGTTAAAATAACTGGCCGCGAGGCGAAACGTACTGTGATTGCCGAAAGATGGAGTCGTGTGTGTGTCCGTGTGTGTGCTAAGGTTTGCGCCTTCTTCCTCCTCCGCCGCCCACCCACAAAACACACACACCCCACCCCTTCCCCCCCGCCTCCGCAGCCGAGACCTGCGAGGAGCTGTTCACCCCGCAGGCCCCGCACATCTCCCTGGCGCTAGCGGGGGTTGAGGTGATCAGCAACGGCAGTGGCAGCCACCATCAGCTGCGCAAGTTGGACACGCGGCTGGACCTGATCCGGGGGGCCACTGCCAAGGTGGGGGGCGGGATGGGGTGCTGGAGCGACGTGTGTGTTTAGCGGTTGTTGTCAAGAAACTGGCCGCGAGTAAGGTGTTTTGTGTTAAGAAAACTGGCCGCGAGGCGGAACGTGCTGTGCTTTGCTGTTGTACTGAACCGTGATGTACTGTGATGAGGTGTTTGTACTTACTGCTTACTTATCCCCCTCCCTTCCCCCACCTACACACACACACATTCAGGCGGGCGGGGTATATCTGTACGCCAACCAGCGCGGCTGCGACGGCGGCCGACTCTACTTCGACGGCTGCGCGTGTGTGGCGGTGAACGGGGCGCTGGTGGCGCAGGGGGGGCAGTTCGGTCTGGCGGAGGTGGAGGTGGTGGCGGCCACGGTGGATCTGGATGAGGTGGTGTCGTACAGGTGAGGGGGTTGGGGTTTCGTGAGTCCTTGACCCGTGGGTCTGTGTGTGCCTGTGGCTTTGGACCCCTGCCCCATACTACCGTTCATAGCATGGGTTGTTTTTTCCTCTTCATCATTGTCTCCCTTTCCCCACTCCTCCCCCAACAGTTCGTTAGTTGCCTCGTCAATTTTCACCGTTTTTCCCCCTCCCCCCCCCCCCACCACCAGGTGCTCCATCTCCAGCCTCCGCGAGCAGGCCAGCAGCCTCACCGCCCCCGCCATGGTGGATGTGGACTTCAGGCTGTGCGGCGGCAGGCGACCCGCGGGTCACCCCCAGCAGCAGCACACCTCGCAACCCATCACACCCAGGGTAAGCAAACCTGAAACACGAAAGGAAAGCACAAGCGCATGCGCACATACACACATCCTTCAGGACTTCATCTTTCGGCAATCACAGTACGTTTCGCCTCGCGGCCAGTTATCTTAACACACATCCTTTCGCCTCGCGGCCAGTTATAATAACACACACCCCTCCCTTCTCCTTCCCTCTTTAACAGCTCCTTTTCGAGCAACCCCATACACCCAGGACCTTCCCTCACCCGCCCCTCACCCGCTCCCGGGGTCTCCATCCCCAATGCTTTGCCCTAACCTGTGGTTCTGTTGTATCTCTGCCCCCGCCCCCGCCCCCGCCCCCGGCCCCCCCCCCCTAGGTCCTGCTCCCCGAGGAGGAGATCGGCTCCGGCCCCGCCTGCTGGCTCTGGGACTACCTGCGTCGCAGCGGCGCGGGCGGCTTCCTGCTGCCGCTGTCCGGGGGGGCGGACAGCAGCGCCGTGTGCGCCATAGTGGGGGCCATGTGCCAGGTGGGGGGGGCGGTGGGGGAGGCGGGGGAGGCCGGGGGAGGTAGGGGGGCTGGTGGTGGGGGACGAGAAGAATACTTGATGTGTCACTTGTGATGTGGGGGGAGGAGAGGGGCGATGGAGCTTAGGAATAGCGAGGGGTGCGTCAGGATGCTGTCTTCGGTACTTTCGGGGTAAGCCAAAACAGCCGCGACCATAATCAAGGTTAAGCTGACATTTACCTGAATCTAACCAGCACCACCACCACCCCCACCATGCAACGCACCCAACCATGCAGTTGGTGGTGGCGGCGGTGAAGGCGGGTGACCCACGGGTCATCGCGGACGTGCGCCGAGTGGCGGGCTACCCCGAGGGCTCCCCGCTGCCCTCCGACCCGCGCGAGCTGGCAGGGCGGCTGCTGCACTGCGTCTACATGGGCACTGTGAACAGCTCCAAGGAAACGAGGGAACGGTACGACAGTTGGAAAGGGTGTCGTACGGTACGACAATTGTTGGGGAGAGTACCGTACGACATGGGGGGTTCATGTTGGTGTAGGGGCATGTGGGGGGCACTGTGCGCTGTTAGCACTGAGGCTGATATGCTTTCCTCCGTTTCCTGACGGCCCCCCGTGCGCTATGGCCCCCTCCCTTTGCAATCCTACTACAGACTGAACACGCCTCAGCCCCGTGCATAGTACCGTAATAACCCACATGCCCTTCTTTTCCTCCCTGTGCCCTCCACCTCCTCCGCCCCCCCCTCCCCCCAGCGCCCGGCTGCTTTGCGAGCAGGTGGGTGCCTACCACCTCTCCCTCACCATCGACAGTGTGGTGGAGGCGGTGGTGGGGCTGTTCGCGGCGGCGGTCAGCGGAGGCAGGCGGCCCGCCTTCCGCGCGCACGGCGGCAGCACTGCGGAGAACCTGGCACTGCAGGTGGGTGGCGGGGTGGCGATTGGGGCGAGTGGGTGCGTCCTCTTATCCGTGGTTTTCTCCGCTGTGTGTGTTGTCTTCTCACACCCACATCCCTTCTCCGTCCCCTTGTCCTCCTCCTCCTCCAGAACACGGGTTGCCACTGTGGCTAACAAAGAAAATCAATAACCAAGTCTCCCTGCACTCATTCATGCATGTTCATGTTCATGTTCCCGCCACCCACCCCCCCAACGCCCCACAGAACATCCAGGCCCGCCTGCGCATGGTGCTAGCCTTCCTGCTGGCCCAGCTGCTTCCCTGGGCTCGCGGGCTGGGGCTGACGGGCGGGGGAGGAGCAGGGGCAGGGGGGCAGCAGGGGGGGGGAGGCGGGTGGTTGCTGGTGCTGGGGTCGGCCAATGTGGACGAGTGCCTGAGGGGTGAGTGAGAGTGGGTGCAGGGAGTGGGAGAGTGTGGGCGTGTATACGGCATGCGGATAGGGGTACGGGTACGGGGGGCGTGACACAGGGGGCTTGGCACAGGGTGGGGTCGTGGCACGCAGTCATGTCGGATCCATGTTTGGTGCAACATCAACCTGCAACCTGCAACCTCCCATCCCTGCCTCCTTATCCTCCGTCTCTGTCCGTCTCTACCGCGGCCGAGTCTATCCAATCCCACACTCCGCTCTTCATTCTCCTCTTCCTCACCTCTTCCTCCTCCTCCTCCTCCTCCTCCCCCTCCTCCCCCCTGCCCCCCTGCCCCCCTGCCCCAGGCTACCTGACCAAGTACGACTGCTCCTCGGCCGACATCAACCCCATCGGCTCCATCAGCAAGACGGTGGGAGGGAGGGGGGGACAGGAAGAAGGAGGAGGCATGGGAGGGGGGGAGAACAGGAAGAAGGCGAACCATGGGATGGGAGCGTCGGGCATGAGGGAGAGGGGGACAGGGATAGAGGAGGGGCGGGGAGGCAAGGAGCCTCCACTTCTCCGTCTTTATCACACCGCCTCGAGGTGTATCTATTCCCTCACCTACCGGTACACACACCGCCATAATAAGGTGTTTAACACACCATCACGTCTTCCCCTTCCCGCCCCTTCGTCCGCTCGTCCGCTCCCCCCCCCCACCCCCCCAGGACCTGCGCTCCTTCCTGCAGTGGGCCGCAGTGAACCTGGGCTACCCCGTGCTGGCACAGGTAAGGGGAGTGCCGTGCGGGGGGAAAAGAAGAATCCCAGTGCGGGGGTGGGGGAGCAACCGGGAGAAGTGGCTACAGAAGGGCCGTGCCGCGAGAGGATTGGTGACACTGCCCGCACACATTCGTTGCGGCTGTTTTGTTAAAACATGCTGGTGTTAACACACTTCCCAACCCACCTGGCCACCTGGCCACCCTCACCTCCACCACCACCACCACCACCCTCACCACCCTCACCTCCACCCCACCACCCCCTCAGGTGGAGGCTGCTCCCCCCACTGCCGAGCTGGAGCCGCTGATCGATGGGCAGCAGCCGCAGGTGGGGTCGGTTTGGGGGGGTCGGCATGCGGGGTCAGAGTTGTAACAAAACCACAGGTCAGAGCGAAGTGGGGATGGAGGGCAGCAGCCGCAGGTGGGGCGGGGACGGAGGAGTTGCGTCAGTGACGGGGCTCCTGACGTGAGTCCGCAACCCCCCCTTCCTCCTTCCCTCCCCTCCCCAACTATCACAGTTGCTTCGTCAGTGTCTCAATATATATTTATATTTTATTTACCCCACTATCACACCTCACATTGGAATCTTTCCCCCCTCCCCAGCTGGACGAGATCGACATGGGTATGACGTACGCGGAGCTCTCGCTGTACGGCAGGCTCCGCAAGGTGGCTCGCGCGGGCCCAGTGGCCATGTACAATGCGTGTGCGGCCATGTGGAGGGGCAGGCTGGCGCCGGGAGCCATTGCAAGCAAGGTAATGGGTAGGGGTGAAGGGGGGAAAACCGGGTCAGTGATATCCTTCTCAACGCCCCTTTACGCTTTTGCTCATGTCTTCGACACACACACCGTTCCTACTCGCGGCCAGTTTTCTTAACACACCAAAACCTCACCTACCTCACCACCCCCCACCCGCCACCCGCCACCCCCACCCCCACCCCCACCCCCACCCCCACCCCAGGTCAAGGACTTCTTCCGCTTCTACTCCATCAATCGCCATAAGGCCACTGTGCTCACCCCCGCCTACCACATGGAGTCCTACTCGCCCGACGACAACCGATACGACCACCGACAGTTCCTGTACAATATCAGGTGGGGGGGATGGAAGGGATTTGTACGACACGTGTGTTTTGTACTGCGGGTACGGGTGGCTTGTGAGTTGCTTGTTTTCCACCTGCCATCACCCTACAGCCCCCGCCATGTTTATTCCATGGTGCTGCTCAACCCAAAAGAAGGCAACATGGCATTCGCACCTTCCCGCCGCCTTCCCCCTCCTTCCACATAACGTCTTCATCTTTCCCCCTCCTCTCCCATGCCATGCCATCCCATCTGCTCCTCTTCCACCTTTTCCTCCCTCCTGTCCTGCCCTCCCCCCTTCCGTCCACACGCCCCAGCTGGCCCTGGCAGTTCAAGCGGATTGACGAGCTGGTGGCGCGAGACGAGGCGGCGGCGGCGGCGGCAGCAGCACCCCAGGCCACGACGTCGGCAGCGGCAGCGGTTGTTGCGGACGGTGTTCCCCCGGCGGATATGAAGTGAGGGGGACACGAGGAGCGACGCGAGGAGCGCAAACCGGGCCATCGGGGGGGGGGGGGGGTTCATGAGGCGAGGAAGAGAGAGAAGGGGGAAGAGAGGGGGCTGCAGGGGCAGGGGGGCGGCAGGAGGCCAGATGCCACTACCAGTGCAGCTGTATGTCACTTGGGAGTCCGTCCTGACGGTGTGCTGTACAGGGTGATTACAGGTACCTTTTAGCTTTTCAACAAGCTTGTTGCAGATTGTTGCCTTCATCTTTGCGGCGGGGTGTGCCGTTCTTTGTGTATCGTCGCTCTGTTGTAGCTGTTGCTGCTGCTGCTGTTAGCGCCCATATGATGTGCCGCGTCCGCTGCGTTGTTGCGACACAGGCACAGTAAGGCCAGTACCACATACACGCGCTTGCAGCAGCGGCTGTGCTCAAGTGCATGCGAGCTGGTTGGTGTTGTTCGTTGGTGGCATGGAGGCAGCATTATTAGAACCTGGGGTTACAAAGAGGAAAGTAACAAGCTGTATGACGAGGCTGTGGGGGGACCTAGCTGCTCTGGTCAAGTGACGGCGGGCCCTGGCTTGCAGTCTTAAAGACCTGTGCAGCCGTGTCGTGTCGTGGCGTAGCGCGTGACTGGTGCTTCACGTGCGTGAGAGGAAGTAAGGGCGCGCTTTATTGCGTTTGGGGCTACGGGTGCTGGGAATAGCTCAGATTGTCGTACATATGTTGGCAACATGTCGTACAGTTGGTAAGCTTTTACAACACACACCCGTTAGCCAAGTGGGTTTTTGCCAACCACGACAGCCACACCGGCCACAACATCATTATTACCATGCACACAGCGGCACTGCGATGGCCAGTACCGAAAACGGGAACAAAAATACCAGTTAACCTGATTAAAACCAACTGAACCGCAACAGTATAACCGCACACACATGGATCCTACTTGCCACCCACATGGTTTTGACCCAGCTTACTGCTACAAAGGCTGGACGGGGTGGGGGCATCGTGATGGCACACACACCGACTACAGCTTTGCCTGATGTGCCAAGCTGGACTGACTACTTTGTATTTCCATGTTCGCCCTGCTTGTCACGAGCCTGATTACCAGCCTGATTAGCAGCCGCTGGACTCTGGCTTCCATGCGACATCGTTCCTGCCCTTTCCATTGATGATGATGCATGCACATGCAATCACACGGGTGAGGGCGTTGGCCTCACCAGGGGGCGAACACCGGCCTCAGCAACACATACGCCATCAGGTCAACGTCCCCGGCCAGCCGACAACAGGGTGTGAAAGGGCGGAGAGGAGGGAATCAACCTTTTCCCTCTTCATCCCATCTGCTGTGACTCGTCACCATCCTTTTGACAAAAGTCACTTCAATCCGCATATGTCACTTCAATCCTCCCGAAGCCACACCTTCTCTCCACCCAACGCTCCCCTCCAACCCCCACCAACCCACCTCCGCCGAGCCGCATGTGGCACAGCGCTCCCGCCCCAACTCCTCTCAAGACATCCAACAACGCCAGACCAAGTGACCAACCAAACCAGATACCCGCGCATCATCCACACATGACTGCCAAAACCTGACCACAGGTATCACCGGTACATAATACCGGCACGTAACCTACTGCATATGCGATCCGGTGCCTGAAGCAGCTCAGATCTTAACATCAGAGCTTAAAATGCCCTAGCCCTAGGCACATCCCTAGGCTAGTGTGATGTGATGCCCTGCTAACTCAACTTGACTCTCCCTTTCTCTACACCCTCTCCAAGCGCCTACCTAGCACCCCTCCCCAGAACCCCGCCTGGACCTTTTCCTCAATCAGGCAGCAGCATCAACCGACCTGAAAACGCACCCAGCGTGCTGTGATTCATAGTCAGCGCCAACGCCCTGCCGCCCTCCTCCTCACGCAAATCCTTAAAGTCAACGCGGGCCCCATAGTCCACATCGTCCACTCCGCGCGCATTAGCGGCCGCGGCGCCGCCGCCGCCGCCGCCACTCCTGCCCATGCTACCGCCGCCACCAGTGGTGCTAGGACCCGGACTGGCTTGACAGCCCCGAGCGCTCCGTCCACCTCCGGAGGATGCGGAGACAGGGAGCCCGTCAGCCGCGGCGGCGGCGGAAGCCCGAGCCGCGGCGCCGCCACCGCCGCGGTCACGAGCGGTTGGCGGCGCGGAGGCTGCTTCCAGGCGTTGACGCTTCAGGGCGGCGGCGGCGGCGGCGGAGGCGACCTCCGCGGCGTCGTACGACCGGAAGACGTCGCCATCGGCGAAGCCGCCTCCGCCGCCACCTCGCCTGTCTTGCGAGCTCTGCTGCTGCAATCGGCTACCGCCGCCGCCGCCGCCAGCCCGGCCATTCAGGGGGCCCCATGCGGCTGCTCCGGAGCCGAGAGGTTCTTCGAGTTCATCATCATGGTACGGCAGCATGTCGTTGTACGACGGGGCTCGTTGCTGCGGACCGCCGCCGCCGCCGTTGCGCTGGCTGCCGCTGCCGCCGCCACCACCCGCTCCCAGGGGCAGCGGCCGCTGCAGCTGGCCCCTACCTGCACGGCAATCATATGCACGCATGAATGAACGAGCGCAACATGATCCGGTATAGCTCTTCCTGCACAGCGGTAGTGCCAAACTACCTCTTCAGTTACCCCAGATATCCCTTCCCCTTCTCATCGTGTTGCTCCCTTGCTCCCTTCACCTTCACAAGCCACCTGCACACCCAACACCAGCCGCACCTGCAGGCCCCTCACCCAGTCCCTCCTCCTCCCGCATGCCTCGCCGCGGCTGCTGCTGCTGCTGGCTGTACCGCCGAGCCTCCTCCAGGCCCGCACCTCCACGATGATCCCGAGGACCCGCCATGCCGCCTCGGTAATCCTCCGCCTCGTCCGCAAAATCCGGATCCAAATCCAATCCACGAGCGGACCCGCCGTACCCTCGGTCGTACCCAGCACTTCCGCCACCTCCGCCAGGTCCAACACCGGGATAGTATCCTGCTCCCGCTCCTGCTCCAGGAGAGTCGTCGAGTGAAGGCCTTGAGCGCTTAGCAGGGCCTCCGCTGACGCCTTGCTGTGTGCTGAGTGGCAGCTGCTGCTGTTGCTGCTGCTGCTGTTTGTCGGCTGCAGGGGCGGCTGCGGGCGCGGGGCGCGCGTGCTTGGGCGGTCGGCCACGTCGCTTCGGCGCGGGAGCCTCAACCCCCTCGCCGCCCGCCTGCGCCCCCATGCCCCCCACCAGCTGCTGTTGTTGCTGCTGCTGCTGCTGCAGGTGCGCATGCAGCAGTGGCTGCTGGGGAGCGCCTCCGCCCAGCAACATCCCCCCTTGCAACAGCCCACCGACGGTATCCATACCCCCATCGCTGCCGCCGCCGGTGACGTCAGCACCGCCCAAGCCAACATCTCCTAGCCCGCCGCCGCCGCCCACTGCACCCAACGGCCCCATTAACGCCGCTCCCTTGCCTCCGCGACCTCCGTAGCCCAGTCGTGCCAGCAGCGTCTCCGCCAACGTCGCTTGTTGCGCCTGCAGCGTCTGCTTCTGCTGCTGCAACAGCGCATTAGCGGCAGCAGCAGCGGCGGATGCCTCCTGGTACGATCGGCCGTATGGAGGCACGGACCCCTTACCCCTGCCGCCGCCGCCGCCAGGCGGAGGCGGCAGCACATCTGCATCGGCGGCTGTCGCCGCCGCCGCCACCAAATCGACTGGGTTGGCGGCGGCGTTCCTGCTCCGCCGGCCTCCAAGCAGCTCCGCTACGTCCTGCCAGTCGGCTGCCGCCGCCGCCGCCGGCGGCGGTATGCGCCCTGCCACAGCCGCCAGGCCTACCTTCCGCGCCGCCGCCGCCGCGTTTGCAAGCATGCCGCCCTGCATGTCATGCTCGTGAGCAGCCGCCGCCGCTGCGGAATCCCAGTCTAGGGGTGTCACAACGGTGACTGGCGCCGGCCGCTGCCGCTGCTGGTGTTGCTGCTGCAGCTGAAGAGCCCTCCGAAGCAGGTGCTGGGCCTGCGGGTCTAGCTCTTGTAGGCCAGCCGGTCCCGAGTTCGGGCCGGCCAGTCCCAAGCCAATAGCCGCGCCAGCAGCGGCTCGAGATCCTCGAGAAGACAGAGGCTGAAGGGGGGGTTGCTGCTGCTGCTGCTGCAGCGACAGTGGCGGTACTATAGGCTGCGGTGGCAGCAAGGACTGCTGATCGCGATCCCTCTCACGGAAATCCCTCTCCCTCAGTTGCTGCCGTTGTTGGTGATGGTGTTGCTGTTGTTGATGCAACAACATCTCCCGTTGACCGCGCTCGTAATCCCGTGCCTCACGTTCACGCAGCTTCAGTTCTCGATCCCGCTCCCGTTCTCGTTCCCGCTGTTGCTGCTGTTGCTGCAGCATCAGGTTCTCACGCTCCCTCTCCCGCTGCTGCTGCAGCGCCAGCTCTTGAGCCCTCCGCTGCAGCAACAGCTGCTGCTGCTCCCGCTGCTGCAACCTCTGCTCCTTGGCTCGTTGCTGCTCCATTTGCAACTGCTTCTGCCGCGAAAGCGCGCGAGCCAACTGCTCAACCGAAAGCAACAGAACCGGTACCTGTTGGTTGGGATCTCGAGCCATGAGATGTTCGTACAGCAAAGGCGAGCAGTACACCGAGGTGCGCGGCCGCCGAGGCACGTAACCAAACAACTCCACATCCTCCGCCACCTCCTCCTCCTCCTCCTCCCGCCATTGCTGACCACCTCCGCTGAGCCTTCCGCCTCCGCCGCCACCGTTCTGCCGTACGGGCGGCGACTCGCCACCCCCTCCGTCACCCTCCGCTCCCGCGTCAACCTCCATGCCATCTCCACGCGCCCGCCGCGGTAGCCCCCTCGTGCTACCAGATGCTGCTACCATCGGGTCAGCTCTTCGCCCTGCAGCGCCCGCGGCGCCGCTGCCGCTGATGCTCACGCTGGCCGCGCCGTCGTCAGCAGGCCCACGTCGCGGGGCAGCAGAGGTGCCGTACTTGCTTCCGCCACCGCCGCCGCCGTTGACGTCGTCGGCTTGGTCGTACGACGGGCCTCCGCGAATGATGCGAGGTCCCGTGCCGCCAGCACGCATGCCCCGGCCATTGCCTCGGCCGCCCGCGGACCCGCCTCGGCCACCGCCACCGCCGCCGCCGCCTCGGCCAGAAACTGAGGGGACTCCTAGGCTGCTGCTGCCGCCGCCGCCACCGGCTGTAATAGTGTCAGGAGTGAGCCCGGGTAAGCGGCAGGGCAAAGTGTGTGGGGAAGGAGGAGGGGTAAGGTTCAGGTCGCGCGTGGGATTGACCACTGGGCTACATGGCTGGTTTACCCTAATCGCATGTGTCAGGGAAGAATAGCTTAGCTCACCCGCGCGGCACCAGCCCTTTCCTTTCACTGTTTTCAACCTCGCCCCGCCCCGCCTGATGTTTCGAACCCGCATATCACCCCACGGGCCACGGCCGTAACGCACCTGCTTCTGCTGGCCCCCCTCCTCCTCCTCCTCCTGCTGCTGGGCCTGCAGCCGTTCCGCCCGAGCCCGAAGCCAGCATCTCCAGCGCACCTGCCACCAGCGCCAAGTCATCCTCCAGGGAGGGCCGGTCACGCGGCCTACCAGCACCAGCAGCAGCAGTAGCAGCAGCAGGGGCTGCCGCCCCTTGCTCCCTGCCCTTCACGCCGCTGGGAGGAGAGGTAGCAGCAGCTGGTGGAGGAGGAGCCGCCCCCTTCCGGCCCTGCGCCTGTTGGCCAGCAGGGGCAGGGGCAGCAGCAGGGGCAGCCTGCCGCCGCTGCTGCCGCTGCTGCACATCAGCTTCCGGACTGTCCACAATGATGACGTCATCACTGGGTGAGGCCGCGGATGTGGGACCAGCCGGCTGCTGCTGCTGTAGCTGCTCCTCTTGTTGCTGTCTGAGGAGCTGCTGCTGCTGCTGCGGGGTGGCAGCAGCGGCTGCATGCGATTGCTGTTGTTGCTGGTGTGCAGCAGGAGGTGGCGCAGCAGCAGCAGGACGAGGAGCCAACCCGCCACCACCGCGGCCGCCGGGGCGGGTTGCGTCACCGCCGCCGCCGGCATCCCCGCTGTACCTCCGGCTGCTATCCCGGCTGCGGTCACTGTCGGGAAGCGTGCCGGTGCCTGAGGGGCGCCTGGGCTGCTGCGCGGCCAACTGCCTGGGCTGTTGCTGCTCTGCTGCTGTTGCCGCTGTCGGGCTGGTGCTGCGGAGGTCTTCATCCAGCCCGGGCAGCACACCAGCTGGCTCAACATCCGCTCCGACCCGGTCACCCCGAACAAGCGGGCCCGTTTGTTGCTGCTGGCGGTGGTGGTGGTGTTCGCCACCGTGGCCATCCTCCTTCAAGGATGCAGCCTGGGACCGCTGATGTTGCAGCTGTTGCTGCACTAGGATTTGGTACTGGAGGGCGTCTAAGTCGCGGAGCCCCCCGTGCTGCAACAACCAGCCTAGACCCTGACCTGCGCCGATGTCTCCAGCGGCGTCCAGGGATCGGGCGGCATCAACATCTGCGGCAGGCACCTGGTCTTGGCCACCACGCTGCGGCTGTTGCTTCTGTTGCCGATCTTCCTGCTGATGGGAAAGCATGTCGACTCCGTCAAGCGCGTTCGTTAGCGTGTCCGACAGCGGTTCGTCGGGTTGGAGAGGATGCTTGACCTGGGCATGCAGGCAGGATTGCCGTCCCTTTAGGCTTTGCCTCTGTTCTTCAGCGCTGCTGTCTCCGTTCTGTAAGTTTTGGGGCTGGCTAAGGTCCGGCTCCACTGCAGCCTCAACTGACCGCTGAGATATTTCTGCCGCAGCGATAGCTCGGCGCTTATTTCGCGAAGATGGCGGTGGGCTATACCGCCTGAGAATAATGTCCATGCGCCAGGCTTAGTCAGCGCTCTGCAAAGGACAACGCGGCGTAGAGACTTTGGCGGTCAAGCTCCAGAATGTCGCCAACGCGGTGTCGCTTATCACCTCCAGACTAGCGATTCAATCATGCATTGAAAGTCATATCGTTTCAAGTAGCTATCAGGTGCTGAGAATGCCCTCAACGTAACCCTGTACAGTTCAAGCACAAGAAAGGAGTGGGCGGCGACATACAATTACAATCTGTCTAGTCAGAAACCAACTTCTAAATTTTCACAGGGTGCGGTTTCAGATGTTTGGAGGAGAAAGGTGGCGCGAGGATCCCTGGACAATCTGCACGTCAGTTTGGAGATACCCCGCAGCTCTAACATAGGAGGCCTCAACATTGGCGTACCTTGAGGGGCCCGCGACGTTGTGTGGCAGTTGCCCAGCCGGCAGGGCGCTGAAACTAGGACTGCTCAGGTCAGGCCCAGGCTAGCTTAGCCGCAGAAAGATACACCCCTCACCGGTAGGCTGTATGCTCCTGGTTTAGGTCTGAGATGTCTTGAGCGGCATGTAAAACGACAATATGTGCTTAGGCTTGTGCCAGACCACGCGCAATTGCCCGTTGGTCATAAGCAACCCAAAGCACGTTGATGAAGCTCTTCGAACGGGCCTTCTGTGAAACTAGATATCTAACAGAGGATGGTTGTACTTATTGCGACCGATGGTTGGTTCCCGTCTTGTTAGGTACGGTTCAGAGCTAGCGCCAAAAGGAATGGGCGCGGCCATACCCTACTTTGGTTTACAGTCATGTTACGTGTGCAACAATGTACTGAAATGGAACACTATACAATATGCCAGCATGAGCGTCCTGTAAAGCTTTAGGGTAGCACAATGCATATTGGACCCCCGCCTGTTGCTGTGCTGGACGCGACGATGTGGCTAAGATGGTGTACTTTTACACAAGAAAACAGAGATTATCTGTTCATACAACGTGTTTCCGCCGCGCACCTCGGCGCTTGCCTCCGAGCGCGTCGTGTCGCGACGGCGACTCGTCAAGAAAGTTACAAATCACGGGTGCGCAGTAACAATCGCCTTTTCTGTAGATAATAATATTAGCTGAAATACCGTATAATTTACAGGAATAATCATGGCGATGCCATGAGCATACGCTCGGCTTCGGCTCCTGCTGCCAGCAACGCACTGTAGCGAAAGTCGATGCACACAAGCCTTCTTTGAGTACCAACCCGTAATGTTGTTTTATAAATAAATATCTGATCCGGAGGCATTTGTTGCAACATGCTGCCGCCCTTGTGCTCGCGAAGCCTGGGCAGGATGTAGACGACGGATGCCATCTGGATTATGGTCAACAACAGTCTTCGCTGCATGTATTACACCGATTGCCGGGAAATGACTTCCTTACAGCGAGGTAGACTTAGTATTATACCTATATCTGTGTATGGCAATCTGAACGTTCTGCTAAATGGCTACCGGTAGTGTGGAAAGTCTAGTGGCCCGAACTACACAACACAATTAGGCCAGCAAGCTACCATGCATAACAGTGCGCAGAAACGTCAACCTCAGATTAGTGAGCATGGAGCTTAACCCTCCTTCAAACCATGGCGGATTCCCGTGCTAGACTGCAGTACGGCCACCGGTATGCCGCCGGAACGCAAACCGGTTGCAGCTTTGGTTAGTAATTATAGCCGCTGCAATGGAATGGCATACCCGTAACTGTGTGTCTTTTCATGCCGATATGGCTGTGACGCTGTGGTATGAATGCCATGGCCTTGGCCTCGCCAATTTCCTCACCACCAGGTGCACATTGAAGCCGGGGAAGAGGCTGGGATCGCGGGAGATCACAGGACATCAATCATGCAGTCCATGGTCCCTAAACTGTGCATGATTGGATGTACCATATGTGGTAACTTTCTTGGAAAGCACGTCCTCAGTTGCAGTCCACACTTCACTCCCTGTTCCCTTATGCCTTGACTTCCCTGCAACAGGCAGAATGCCGCGCTTCCAAATGTTACATAGCAGTTCTGTAGGGCACCAGTCAACTACCAAATACAGGGGTAATGGCGCCAGCAGTCAGCCGCTTGGGGAAGGAGGGCAGGCAGCGGCTTTCCGTGGTTTGATCAAGGGCGACTACATGAAATGATGCAGGTGACAGAAAACAGATACGTTGGCGTGCTCCACCTTGAGTCGTTTCAGGTTACCACCCGAACAGGATCAATGGCGATACAGGTAGGACCGTGCTCCGTGCATGCATCCTCATGAGCGGGCAGGGAGAAAGAGTGTTCTCAATCATGGTGGGCACAGACTATCAGAAGAACAGAACCCAAGCATGGGGTGCGAATGTTGCACTAGCCACGTACACGGTATCTCGAAACGGACCACATCCCGAAGTGCGTACCCGATCCCTCCTCAGACCTGGCTTGTAGTTGGGTGCCGGTTGGCCAACAGGCTACCGGAGGCAAGGGGAGGCAGCCCATAAGCATGCTTGCATGGGAGGACGGGAGTGGAGCGGTGGATCGTCCATAAACCCAGTAAGGGCCCAAAGCATCAGTTCACAAAGGGGTTTAGGAAGGATGGCATGTCGGGTCCCTCGGCATTTGGTGTCCATAGGAAAGGGTGGAGCAGTTAAGGGCAAGCGCGCCTCTTTCGCCAGTCTTAATAAGAGAAAACTTGCCAGAGCGCGATTCTGACGATGCAAAGCCTTTAGGAAAGAAAAGCGCATTACTGTTTTACTTACATCGCCAACGTGGCATAAGCGTGACCCAAAACAGCACAAAGGATGCCTGAAACCCAAAACTGAGCCTATGTTTTCAACCTAAAGGCATAATGTTTACTTTTCAGCCAGGAAAGCGTCCCATTTACGCTTACAACTTGGTTCCGGAGCTCGCCGCCGCAGCTTTTGACCCTGGCCCTTCGCAGTATCTCCCTCTCTCCCGACTTGTTGCCGAAAATGCAGCTCCTTAACAACAAGACCAGGGTCCTCAGCGGGTCTCGCCCTGTGGCGGCTGTGAAGGTTGCTCGCGTGGCCCAGCCCAGCCGGCGCTCAACCATGCGTGTCTCAGCTGCAGTGCACTTTGACTTCAACACCAAGGTGTTCAACAAGGAGCTCACCAAGTTTGCTGACTCCGAGGAGTACATCGTGCGCGGTGGCCGCGACAAGTTCCCTCTGCTGAAGGAGGCCTTTAAGGGCATCAGCAAGATTGGCGTCGTCGGCTGGGGCTCCCAGGCGCCCGCTCAGGCCCAAAACCTGCGCGACTCCATTGCTGAGGCTGGCCTTGATATTAAGGTTGCAATTGGCCTGCGCCCGGAGTCTCCCTCTTGGGCTGAGGCTGAGGCCTGCAACTTCAGCAAGGCGGAAGGCACCCTCGGCGAGGTCTTCGACGTGGTTTCATCGTGTGATCTGGTGGTGCTGCTGATTTCCGATGGCGCTCAGGTAATTAACTATGCCAATTGCACCAGAATGTCTCGGGCGAGGCTTGCACTGGAACTCGCTGGCGCTAATCCCTTCCTATTCATCAATATCCTTTAACATATAGGCCAAGCTGTACCCCCGCGTCCTGGCGGCCATGAAGCCCGGCGCTACCCTGGGTCTCAGCCATGGTTTCCTTTTGGGTGTCATGCGCAACGATGGCGTTGACTTCCGCAAGGACATCAACGTCGTGCTGGTTGCCCCCAAGGTAACTTAATACACGTCTTCCTTGTCTTTCCTGCATTAACGGAGGCCTGACAAGCAACTAAAGCAGCTAACGAGCGATGCCGTACTTGCAGGGTATGGGCCCCTCGGTGCGCCGCTTGTACGAGCAGGGCAAGTCGGTCAACGGTGCCGGCATCAACTGCTCGTTCGCCGTGCACCAGGATGCCACCGGCAACGCTGCTGACATTGCCATCGGCTGGGCCATCGCTGTCGGCGCCCCCTTCGCCTTCCGTAAGTCTCTAGTAACACCCTCCCTACCTCCTTCCCCTCTTTCCTGCCCCCAAGACAGACACCATAACCCGGCTTCCCATTCTTATGGGCTGTAGTTTCTGGGATTTCGGATGGTATTGAACTGGGATGAGCCGTTGAATTGGGCAGCATTGAAGCAAGCACTTCCAGTCTGCACTACACATAAAGGCGTATAAACGTGTTTCCCTACCTGGGTCGCATTTAATTGCTAACCGTCCAGCCCCATGGCCCTATGAACCCCCGGCAGCTGTACCATTCCCCGCTGCCGAACCACTCCCTATACCCCACTCCACTGGGAAAAAGAAGCCAAATTCGATACTCAACTCTGCTTCTCCCTCCCTCCCCCGCCCCGCTTCTCCCTCCCTCCCTCCCTCCCCCTCACAGCCACCACCCTGGAGAGCGAGTACAAGTCGGACATCTACGGCGAGCGCTGCGTGCTGCTGGGAGCTGTGCACGGCATTGTGGAGGCGCTGTTCCGCCGCTACACCCGCCAGGGCATGAGGTGGGTTGATGTGCATGGGGGTGGAAGAGGGGTGAGGGTGGCGGGAAGGAGAGCATTCAGGGGAAGGGAATGGTGGTGTGATTTGGGTTGCGCGCGCTCGGGGCTCTGAATGGGGTTTGGGGACTGGATGGAAGCGCAGTCCTGCGAGAAGCAAGAAACAGGGGGGCCATGCAAGTTTAGAGCAGGAAACGAATGAAAGAACGGATCAATGGATGCCACATGCCAGCAAGCTGCTTATTCGCGCATATCCGCATGCGAAGAAGCATCTCGCGCTGCCTTGAAAGGCGGCAGGTGACAGGAGCGGTAACGGCAGCAGCAACAGCGGGAGCACTGGAGAGGGCATGGAGTAGATCCTAGGGTCTTCGTCTTGCGCTAAGACGAAACACGCAAGGATACAGCTGCTCGAGTGGGCCGTTGCGGGGGGCGTTTCAGGAGGACGTTTGTAGCTGCGCATGAGCAGCAAAAGTGGCAGCAGCAGCAGCGGCGGCGACTGAGGAGACGTGCCATCTGAGGATATCTAAGCAGGACTTTTACCCACATACAGGATGGTCAAAAGCTACTCCAACTAATGTCCCATGTGTTCAGTCCTCGTTTCTCCCTCCCCAACCTCCCATCTCCACCTTCACCTCCTACAGCACATCCCCCCTTTTCCTTATCCTCCTGCGCTCCTGCCATCCTGCCTACACACCCGCTCCCTCCCCCCCACAGCGACGAGGAGGCCTTCAAGCACAGCGTGGAGTGCATCACGGGCCAGGTGTCGCGCATCATCAGCGCCAAGGGCATGCTGGCGGTCTACGAGTCCTTCACCGGGGAGGACAAGAAGACCTTCGAGAAGGTGCGGCAGGGAGGACGAGGAGGGGCGGATGGTGGGGGAAGAAGACGTGAGGTTGGGAGGATGCAGGGGCGCGGTTCAGGAATTGGGTAGCAGCATCTTCTGTGGCCAGCAGCAGCTTCGGGGACGAAGAAGGTGGGGAAGGCAGCGGCGGCCGCCGATTGTGCACGCGCCCTTGATAGCGCCAGATGCCTAGCCTTGGGACTCGGCTGGATCCCCACCCACTCTCGTAACCCACACCCACATGCCCGCACGTTATGTTATTCTCCTGCTTCACTTCCCAACCCACCCCACCCCCAACACCCGCATGCACGTGCAGGCCTACAGCCAGACCTTCAAGCCCGCCATGGACATCTGCATGGAGATCTACGAGGACGTGGCCAGCGGCAACGAGATCCGCTCCGTGGTGCAGGCCACCACCCGCTTCGACCGCTTCCCCATGGGCAAGATTGACCAGACCTACATGTGGAAGGTGGGCCAGCGCGTGCGGGCGCAGCGCGACGAGAGCAAGATCCCGCTCAACCCCTTCACTGCGGGTGTCTACGTGGCCATCATGATGGCGACCGTGGAGGTGAGCAGTCGGGGCGGGTCGGGTGGTTGGTGTCGCTTGCGGAGAAAGCTGGGCTGAATTGGTAACGGTTTGGATTTCCGGGTTGGGAACAGTGTTCGGCTCAAATTCCAACCTTACCTGGCGATCCAACCTCACCGCCACCACCACAACCTTACACCACCATACCCCCTGTTTTCAGGTCCTGCGCGAGAAGGGCCACCCCTTCAGCGAGATCTGCAACGAGTCCATCATCGAGGCCGTTGACTCGCTCAACCCCTACATGCACGCCCGCGGTGTGGCCTTCATGGTCGACAACTGCTCCTACACGGCCCGTCTGGGCAGCCGCAAGTGGGCTCCCCGCTTCGACTACATTGTGGAGCAGCAGGCGTTTGTCGCCATCGACGCGGGTGCTGACGTGGACCAGGAGGTGATGGCCGAGTTCCTGGCGCACCCAGTGCACCGGTGAGTGGAGGGAGAGGGAGCGGGAGGGGAGGAGGAGACTTGGAGAGATTGGGGAAGCTCGGGAGATAGGAATGGATAGGGGGTGCGCCTCTGCTGCCCGGTTTCGACCTGGCGCTCTTTATTCCGTGCTCTTCTGACTGCCTCTTGACCCCGTCCTGTTCCCATTGTTCCCTTTCCCCACCGCAGCGCTCTGGCCACCTGCTCCGACATGCGCCCCTCGGTCGACATCTCGGTCGGCGGCGAGAACAGCAGCGTGGGTGTGGGCGCCGGTGCCGCCCGCACTGAGTTCCGCTCTGCCAAGGCCTAAACGCCAAGGCCTCGAAGCGCCTTTATGTGTCTCGGCGGCCAAAACAAGCAAGGGTGTCGTACAATTGTACGGCTTTTTTGAGGGTTTGTGACCACTGAGCGCAGGAAACGACGCCTGCTGGGTGACACGCAGTCGCTTTATTCGTAGACTGGGGTTGCATTAGATCCCGCTCCTGGAGAGAGAAGATGACGTGTGTGGCGCCTGGTTTGGCGTTTGGGCGGGTGGAGGAATGACGCGCGGATTGTGTGACGCTTTTTAACTGTGACATGCAAAGGGTGTGTACTTGCGGCGCAAGTCGGAAAAGCAAGTCGGGAGCTCATTCGTTTGCGACACCTGGAGCCGCCGCCTCAGCTGTTGCTGCTGCTGGGGAACGCAGCGCGATACAAACCGCGCGTTTTTGTGCTCTTCATCGTGCCTGTACATAGGAGCGGCGGGGCGGCAAAACCTCTTTGCTGCCAGAAGCGCGCGTGTGTGCGTGCGCAGCATTTTGTGGGTGTACGGCGCTTGAGCGAGGGCAGCCGTACAGGCAGTCCTCTTGACACAAACAGCAATTGGCTACCCTGTAAAAAACTTGCTGACTGCTTCCTGACAGAGGCCCAATTATTCCTCCAGGCAGCGCAAATGCTCAGCAATTCTTCAGTTGTCGCTGCGAACACGTGGTATCCCGACACATGCGCCGACTCCTGGCAGGCAGGCAGCAGTGCGATAGAGACCTCTGCATGGTCGTCACCCGGGCCGCCTCATAGCCCCTCATCATCATCAGAGCCCTTGTCGCTTCCGCTTAGTCCGCGCCGCCGTCGCCTGCCCGACCTTATCCTCGACCAAGCACCCCGCACTCGCCGCAGCAGCAGGGGCGCTGCGAACGCCGCTACCGACAGCAGCAGAACAAGACCTAGGAAGCACAACGCCAGGCCTGTGGGAACAACAGGAAGATGGTGGGGACCATACCATGACTTCCTCACCCGGAAAGGACAGGTTGAGGACGAGCAGTGTATTAAGTAACCGTAAGCCTGACCGGGCATCAAGCATTAATCACCAGAGTCGAGTACGCAGCCACTCGTCCATAACCCCGAAGCCCAGCCGCCCGGACCCCCAACCGCAGCACCCCTACTTACCCACAGCATGGAACAAGATCTGGTGCTCCATGTTGGGTGCGACCTGCCGTACAGCCTCCTTTTCCAGGATGGATGGGTCCTTGCCGTGCCTGCATCACCACGCCAGCCACACGGCACGGCATGCACACGGATTAACTGATATAGTTCATCTCAAGGATTTAGCTTACGGATTGGACAAACAAGGTGGGTTAGGTAACCCAGGTGAGGAGGCGCAGTGCCCCCAGTGCCCAGCGTGCCCTGCAAGCCCCCCTCGAACTCGCTCTTTTCCAAAAGGGTCCCCGATACCCAATGACCAAGGTTACCGACAGGTTACCGACACCCACCTAACGCTCACAACGGTTGCGTTCCGTGCAGACAGCGGCAAGTACAACCGTCCGTTGATTTTGTATCGACGCTCATCCAGCCGACGCCATTGCCCCGCCTCCCAGCCCCAATCCGGGGAGCACCCCGGCCCCCCGCCTAACGAGGTATCCAGCGAAAACGTCCCCGTGGCTTTATCACGTGCCACCTTGACGCATAGCGCCCACAGGAACTCATGTACGGAGCACGTGGCGTCTTCCTCCTGCCAGGTGCCTTGCTGGTCGTACATGCATCGCGCCTCACCACCTGTGTTTGGGAGGACAAGGAACAAGCAGGACAGGCACAGCAGCAGCAGCGCAGCGGTGGCGGTGCCGGTAGCGTTGATGTAGGAATAGTTTGCATGCCTCGTATCCCGGTATCCGTGATCCACTTTGCATCCGCTATCTATCGCATCCGCTATCCATTCCTCCATTTCTCCTTCACTACGCAGCAGCCCCCCTCACCTTTCTCCCCCACCACGCAGCAGCCCAGCCCCTCCCCCTCACCTGCCGGTATCGTCCGCTCCCGGGTGAACGCCACTCGCCCCAGCTCCAGCCGGCTCTCCACGCCCGTCAGCCCATCCCGCACCCGCAACGTCACCGCCCGCCCCATCCTCAACTCTGGAGTCACCGCCGGTCGCCACAGCCCAGCATGCGCCGCTCGGTGCTGGTCCGCTAGGGGGATCCGGGCGGCGGGGTACAGCGCCCCGATCAGCCCTTGTTGTAGCCGGAATTCGAGCAGGGGGGACTGTGCGATGGCGGGTTGGGTTGGGGAAGAAGAGGAGGAGGAAGAGGCGCGGGAGGAGGGCTTGGTGCGTACTCGTTTCGAGGGCGAGGTGCGGGGTGAGAGCGGCAGTGGGGCGGGGTGTCCCTCCACGAGCAGGTCCCAGGAGCTAGCGGAGAAGGCGGCTAGGTGGTCGCGATCCCAGGATTGGAGGTCTGTGGAGGCGGCAGGTGGGAGGAGGTAGGTAGGCAGGTACGTAAAAGGGTGAGACGGACGTCAGGACCAGAAACAGGTGCGTGTGTAGTACTTGTTTGTAATCATGTCCCTGTCCTGCAACAGTTTGCCGCCCAACCTCCCCTCCTCTCCACCACCCCTATCTCGCTCCCCCTAGGCACACCCGTGCTAACCCACATCCGAAGTAGGCCTCCTCTATTCGCCGGTGCAAATGGCCGTAGTGATGTCCCCGGACTAGGAAGGCCCCAACCGTCAGCATCAGCAGCGCTGCGCCCAGCAGCGTCCATGCACGACCCTCCGTCATCTCGACAGCAGCGGCAGCGTCGCCAGCGCCGCTGCCGCCTCCCGGTCCGGGACCCCGTCCTGAATTGTTCTGCACAGGAAGGGATGGAGATGGGTGTCGCAGCGACGTGTGCAGCAAAGGACGGCGACTCGCTGTGTTGGGCTTTGAATGGATGGCAAAGAGCATGGGCCGTGCCATCCCGCAACGCGCGGCCAGGTAGGCGCGTGCTTTCCATCGAAATGTACCCTCCGCCATGGGTGACCAACTACCGATATTTTGTCCGCTTGCATAACAGGGGCCTACCCGCGCACCTTTTGCGTTCCACCATCGCCGCGATTCACCGGCCTTGGTTGCGTGCCTACGAAGACTGTCGTCTGGTTCACATCTACAGTTCTCTGCCGCATAGTGTTTTAAATGCAGAGTAAGCTGCTGCTTAACCACGTTTATATCCACTACTGAGTTATTTAACAGGCGTCCCTTTTCTTGTTCGGATCGCGCGAGTACAGTGTGCTGTACTAAGACAGATGGTACTTCTGGTCGATTCTGATTGTTCCCCGGCTACAACTACTTGCATATAGTGCAAGCAGATGATAACCTATAAATTACCTGTGATCACCTGGATCAGAGTTCGATACCTGGCTCGATAGCATCGGAGCTGGTTGTCTTATCCGGACAGGGTCGTGGGCAGCATTGTTATTTTAATGAAAGAGCTGTATTGATAACCCCGATAGCCACTGCATCCTAAAATGGCGGAACACGATATAAGCTGACCAACGGAAACGCAAGCATCCCGTCAGCATGGCCCTCGTCAAGTACCAAGGCAGCCATGACCCAGAGGTGCAAACGTGTTTATAAATGCTCACTGTTGCATCCCTCCTGTAAAATACGCGGTTCCGGCACTTGACAACCGTCGAACCTTCCGCACATTTCGCAACTCGAGCCTCCCTTCCGGAGAAGTATCACCGCTTTCCTCGGGCGGATCGCACCCTACGTGCGCCGCTTCGGTTGCTCCCTCTCTTCGCCCTCATATTGCTTGCAGAGGGCCCTGCTTGAGGCCCTCGCTGAGGTTCTCACGGACGTGTTGCGTGGGACAACGGAGGAGGAGCGCGCGGCTCTGTTGGGGGCCCACCTGCCCCAGGTGGGGCTGCTGCTGCGTCGCCACGGCCGGGAAGATGGCGGCGACAAGTGGCCGTCGGGACGAAGGGTGAGAACTCCTGAGCTGTTAACTCATAGACAAGACCGGCAAGCCCTTAAGACAGCACCGTGGTGTCACGGTTGCTTCCTCACGAAGTATGACTCCCACCAGACAACTGAACCCTGAAGCCTACCTATTGCCCCCGCTGCCCCCACGAACCACGTCAACAACACACATTCGACAGTCCCGGCATCCCGCTGGTGGGGCAGCAGCCGGAGCTGCCTCCGCACGAGCAGAAGCGGGGTGGGACCCGGGGGGCATCGGAGGAGCTGCTGTTGCTGCTGCCGAAGGTGGTGGCGGAGGGGGAGGAGGAGGAATGAGGGCAGGAGCAGGAGCACCACCACCACCTCTTGGCTCTGGTGTTGATAGAGGGTACGGCGGCGGCGGCGGCAGCGGCAGCGGAGGCGGAGGCAGCAGCTCGGTTCGAGCGCTGCAAGCCATCCAGGCCGCACTCATGTCTCTCAGCGGTGTGCCCGGACACCTGGCAGGTGGGGCGCTAGCAGCAGCAGGAGGAGGACTGGTCGCAGTCTGTCACACACATCCCGCTGCTGCTGCTGCTGCCCAATGAGCCACTGCTGTTTCTTGTCGCTGGATGCTTTGGCTGCCTAACCAGCACGCCAACACCCTGCCCGCTCAGTTCAACTTTAAACCTGCTTTACCTCGGTCTCTGTGCATGTGGCGGTGCTGTGTGAACCCTCCCGAGCAGGTGCGGCGGAGGCGCAGTGCTCCGCTGCCGCCCTCACACTCACCCTGGCGCTGGCAGCCGCATCAGGAGGAGGAGGAGGAGGAGGAGGCGGCAGGGGGGCAGGCGGAGGGGGCCTGCCACCCGCGCTGCTGCAAATGGTGTCGCCCTTCAGGTGAGAGGAGGAGCCCAAGGACCCGAGGACCCCAGGGGTGTGGGTCACCGCCTTGCCGGTCTGGTCCATCGGTACCCTGGACACATGGCTCACTTACTAGCACATGCATTGCACAACGCATGCTTGTGCAGTACCGGTAATGGACAAGCGCCTTTCTTTCGCTCCGGGCTGCCAAGCTGCTAGCGGCGGGATTTCTATCCCTCATCTCCCTCCTCCTTCCTTTCTCAACGTTGTCTCCGCTTCGTCTCACAGGGCCCGACTAGAGCACCGCGGCCGTCTGGGCAAGGGCGGCTTTGGGAGCGTGGTAGCCGTCCGAAGGTGCGTGTGTTCAGAAAGCTGGCGGCGAGTCGGAACGTACTGTGCTGCGCGTGTTTAGAAAACTGGCCAGGCATGTACTATCCGTCCATGGGAGCTGCGCACAGCCTTGTGTCCACCACCACTGCGGTGCCCCTACCGCCACCGCTCCTCATGCGTCCCATGCGTCCCATGCGCCCCACCCCACACCCCAAACCCGTTACACCCCATATGCTACCCCCCCCCCACACCTCCCCCACAGTCGCCTGGACCAGCGGCTCATGGCCGTCAAGGAGGTGCCCTTCCGCTCCGCGCTGCCCCCCTGGGCCCCGCCGGAGCAGCTGGAGCAGCAGCATGCCAAGATGCTGAGGGAGGTGAGGCAGAGGCGGGCAGGGGGGGAACACACGAGGGAGGTGAGGCAGAGGCGGGCAGGGGGGAACACACGAGGGAGGTGAGGTACCCCGCATTGCCTTCATGCTTTACGAGGGCAATGGTGGGCATGGTGGGCAACACACCGGTAGTGTGCACCTGGGTACACCTGGCTTTACGATTCTGAAAGTTATCTGTCCCCACCTAACGCCATGCAGGTCCAAGCACTCGCCGGGCTGGACGGCAGTCCCCACGTGGTTCGCTACTACAGCGCCTGGATTGAGCCTGCGTGGGAGAAGCTAGGGCAGCAGCTTCGCAGCAGGAGCAGGGCAGCGACAGCGGGGGCGCATGGGACAGCTGCAGCGAAAGCAGGAGCAGCAGGGACAGCATCGGCGGCGGCAGCGGCAGCGCGCGGCGGCGGGAGGCATCGCGCAGAAGGACGTGACCAGAAGGGAAACCGAGGAGTGCGTGTAGGGGCCGCGGCGGCAGCGGGGAGGACAATGCCGGCTCCCGGAGGCGGTGCAGTTGGTGGTGTTGGTGGTGGGGCGATGGGCCATGGTGACGATGATGGCGCACCTCGGATGGGAGCTGCGAGCAATCAGGCACGCGGCGCTCCGGCATGCACCCTGCTACAACCGTTGATCAGCACCGACGGCTGTAGCGCCGGCGACAGCAGCCAGGGCGCAACACCCACGGGTGGCAGCCAGAGCGCTACACCCACCGGTGCATGTGGCGGTATCTCGGGTGCTGCTGTGGGGGTGATGTCGCCTGCATGCGTCATCCAGGAGGTGCTCAGCAGTGAGGAGGAGGAGGAGGAGGACAGCGGCAATAGCAGCAGCAGCAGCAGCAGCAGCGAGTCAAAAGGGCTCGACAGTACCCACAGCCAGCACGGGAGTGAAGGTGGGAGAGCGCTTCACCCGCGCCATCCGAGTCGCCCTGCACTGCAGCCGCCGCCGCGGCCTTTGCCGATTCCGGGTTCTGGCGTTCCTGGCGGGATTGACTGTGCAGCGCAACCTGTCGTGATGCTTGCTACAAGCGGCTCCGAAACCGCGAGTCCGGAACTGAGCTCTGGGTGGCCCATGGGTCACCCGCGCTCGCGTCGGAAAGTGCAGCGGTCGAGTCCGCTGATTACCAGCCTAAGTAACAGCCCGGCTGGTGCGGATTTCAGCGGGCAAATAGGGCATGTATTGACCCGTGGGTCCTCCAAGGGTGGATGCCGCATGGGGTCTGGTAGAGGCGGGCTTGGAGAGGCGCAGAGCAGCGGGAGCGAGGGTAGCACTGGCGACAGCAGCAGCGGAAGCAGCAGCTCGGAGGAATCGGATTCCACGACGGACGAGAGCGAGGAAGAGGAAGAAGAGAAGGAGGAGGATGAGGAAGGGCATCAGCAAGTGGAGGAGGAGGATCAAGAGTGCAGCTGGACCTTCGACCGAGGGGAAGATGCAGCAGCAGCAACTGCTGACGTCGGCGAGTCCTCTCACGCTTCTTCTGTCAGCAGCAGCAGCAGCGATAGCGATAGCGGCGGGCCTCACGGATGCCTTACTCGCAGCAACAACAGCAAGCAGAGGCCCAATGGCGGTTGTACTACACCTGAATGGCAGCAGCGGCGGCGGAGGCGCAGTACGGCAGCGGCGGCGACGGCGAATGTGGACGACACCACCACTGGCAGCGGCGGAGTGTTTGACATGGACTGTACGGGAAGCGCCTCCAGGGGTTCGTACGGCGGCGGTGGTGGCGGCCGCCGCCGTCGCCGCCGTCACCCGCATGATGATGGCAGTGAGAGCGGTGAGAGCACCGAAGGCAGCGGGAGCAGTGGGAGCAACAAGGGCTCCGATGGTAACCCTGGTAGCAGCAAGAACAGCGGCAGCAGCTACAGCAGCAGTAGCCATGAGAGCGGTGGAAGCAAGAGTGGAAGCGGAGGGAGCAGTAGCCAGGGCAGCAGCAGTGGCAACGACGACGATGACGACGATCATGACACCGGCAGCAGCCAAAGCGGTTCTCACGACCACCCCACCTCCGGGTCACCCCACCAACATGGTCACCGCTACCGCTACCGTAGCCCTACCGGGCGCCTGTTGATGGTGGGGCCCACGCAGGGACAGGGACAGCCCCTGGTAGCACCCACGCGGCAGCACCGCTCGCAAACGCACCCCCAGCTGCAGAGGTGGGGCTCCTCGCAGCCCCTGGTCTGGAGCCCCCCTGAGGAGGAGCACGCGGTTCACCACCATCCGCAGCATCACGGAAAGCAACAGCAGCAGCGGCACCAACAGCGGCACCATCGGCATGCAGCGCGGCGCGAGGAGGCAGCAGGCATGGGGGGCGGCGGTGGCGGTTTGGATCTTGCCGTACTGTCCAGCATCCGCATGTGGCCGTACATGCTGTACATCAGCATGGAGCTGGTGGTGGGCCCTACGCTGACCAGGTGGTTGCAGCAACGGGCGGTGCGGTTGGGTGGTGTGGCGCACCCGCCAGAGGTAACGGTTGAGCGAAGCATCTTTCGACAGGTGAGGTTGAGGGGAATGGCGGGAATGTACGCCTACCCAGGGCTTGGTCAATGATACCTAGAGACAGGTATGCGTCGTGCTGTGTCATGACTGCCCTGCGCTGTGAGGCATGACTTACCTGTGCTGTGTCATGACTGCCCTGCGCTGTTTCAAGAATGTGCTCTGTCATAACCTCCTGTGTTATGTTCCATGGCCCTCCTGAATCCCATGCAGATCGTCACCGGCCTGGTCCACGTGCACGCTGCGGGTATCATCCACCGCGACCTCAAACCAGCAAACATCTTCTTGGTGCCAATCATGACGTCGGCTTCGGCCCTGAACCAACACCGACAGCAGCAGCAGCCAGCAGTTGGCGCGCTGGCAGCAGCGGCAGTGACCCATGGGTCAGGACTCCCAACGGCACAACCTGCAGGTAAAGGTTGGGTGCGCTAGCCGGCAAGAACCTCTGGCAGGCAGTTCGACTGTATCGTATTAGTAATGCAGTTAATGCCATGGCCACAGAGGTCTTCGTCTGTAACAGGAAGGAGGACATGTTGCTCTTGGCAGCTCTTGACAATACCCTGTATTCGACCAACAGTTGCGAATCCACACATGCCGGTCGCCCCACTGCGCAGCCCCCGAGGCCTACCTTGTCAAGATCGGTGACTTTGGGCTTGCGGTGGATCATTCGGTAGGTACTGCGGCGGTGTTGTTGTTCGCCTTGGCAATCTTATTTTCCCTTAGCCGCTTTTCCAGCACGCGAAATTTTTCTATCTTTCATTCGTCGCTTCCAATCGCGCCACTATTTGCAGGATGCCACCATCATTCTAGGTGCTGCCAGCAGCTCTCTCTCGGCCGCCTCCTCTTCCTCGTCCACTTCCCGTTCCTCCGCGGATCAGCTCCCTCCCGTCTCCGCCCCCATAAATTCCTTCTCGAGCGGCCATGGTCCCCTCCGCCGCCCTCCGTCGCTCCCCATGCTGCGTGCAAGCGGCGATGGCGAAGATCTGGCAACGCCCACATCCGGTGCCGTACCCAGCACTCGTACTGCCCCCTCTGCTCGTACGTCTGGCGTTGGTACGGCATCCTACGCTGCTCCTGAGCAGCTCGGCCAACAGCAACAGCCGTTGTACGGCAGTAGTGACGGAGGGGTGTCGTACTACGGGCCTGAGGTGGATATCTACCCGCTGGGCCTTATTCTCATGGAGCTCTTCTGCGTGTACGGCACTGGTATGGAACGCGCCATGGCCATGCGCGACGCCCGCGCCGGCCGCCTGCCTGACTCCTTCTGTCGTACGTACCCGGAGGAAGCCACCCTTGCCGCTGCCTGCCTGGAGCGTGACCCCATGCGGCGACCCACCGCGGCACAGCTCCTGGTTATCCTGGACATGTTGTGGGGACCAGCTGGCACCGCCGCCGCCGCGGCTGCCGTACCAGGCAACGGCATTGCGGCCGCCGCCGCGGCAGCGGCAGAAGCGCCGGTGGTCGGGGCATCGATGGCCGATGGAAGCGGCGTCGCAGGAATGGCAAGCCCAGCACTGTTGCGTCCGCATAGCTCGGGGCCGTTACCGTTGCCGTGGCGTTGTAAGGCAAAGCCGTTGCTGCTGCTGCCGGCGCCGCCTCCCTCGTATGGGCGCTGCTCAGGCGTTATTACCGAGGAGCTTGATCCAGCAGGGTCCGCCTCAACTTCCCCATCGTACGGCAATGCCGCGACAGGCGCACAGGAATTGGCATGTGGCAATGGCGACGGTGGCAGCGGTAGCGGCGGGACCAGTGACACCTGCGGAAGTAGCGGGAACGGTGCAGATGTTCGTACGGTTCGTACGGGTACCGTTCTGGAAGTGGGCAGTCAAACGGAGCTGACTTGGGTCCAGGGGAGCCAGCCGGTGCCGCTTGGCGAGCCAGCTGGATTCGGTCAACTGGATTCGAACGTGTCGCAGGAGGGGCAGGCAGTACCGGTAATGGCGACAGCGCAGGCCATGACAACCGGATCAGACAGCGGGGTTGCGGCAGAAGGACCTGGAGCTGAGGCTTTAGTGGTGGTGCCAGGGGCGCCGAAAGCGGGGGACACAGCGGTGGTTATGGAAGGAGGACCCATGGAAGGACCCATGGGTCATGAGGAGGACACGGCTGCTTTGCTGGTAGAACTGCGACAGGCTGAGAGCAGAGCTCAGCGGCTGCGGGAGTTGCTGGCGCGGCGAGGCGTTGTTCCTTCGGATGCCTTGTAGGGGGTGTCACTCATAGTCTAGGCAAGCGTCTTCAGCAGGAGTAGAACATCACAGAGTGTGATTCGTGAAGTTGGTTGTAGAGTGCTTAGTGCAATAGTACTATGCAGGAGTCATGGGTATTAATCATATGATCCAGGGGTTAGGGGTAAAAGCGAGCTAGAGAACAGCTAATACAAGAACTGTTAGCGCCTATAGAGGCACCTAGGATGCATTTAGACGTACTCATGCGGGTTGTCCCGAGCGAGCTGGGCTGGACCGGCCTCGTGCGTTCCCGCCATGCGACTGGTGCACTGAAACGTACCACTAATTCACTATGTATTCAATATGGCCCGGTGAAGGTTACATTGCAGGGAGTATTGCACGGAGTATTCTTGGTAGGCTACCCTTGTAGAGCACTTGAGAATGCTAGGGATCTAGTCTGGACTTGCTATGTTGCGGATACAGGCTTCCCGCGACAAACGGGCTGGGGAGCACCGGGACTGTTTGATCAGTTGGCGCTAAGCTGGTGAGATGTCGGGAACATAAGAAATTCGTGGTACGACCCACGCTACAACCCGGTCTTAGCAGCCACGCGTGTGGCTGGCTGATGCTGCATTATCAGCCGTCCTTCAGAACGTTGCGGAACCGGGTTCATGGGGGTACAGGCTAGCTTCAGACGGCTTAACACGCGTCAGGAAAAGTGCGCTTCAAGGAGTGCCTCCCAGCATGCGCGTACAAAACTGTGTCGGTTGGGGTTGGTTGTGTCTCTTGGTAACCCCACCTGTATGCCGTGTATGCCATACACTTCGTCCCTCTTCCATCGTCACCCAAATTGTGTGCAGAAGACGGTACTTCCTAGCGAAAGACGCCCGCTAACTAGCCGGGATATTCTGCCGTACATTCTAGGGTCCAACCGCCCAAAGGGCGCAAAGCTAAGTATCCGTTAATTAGAGCCAGGTTTATGAACACAATCATGTTGAGTTTGCTTATGTAGTTGGCTCGGCTATGAAGAATTTTTACACGCTATCCTTTTGACGAGCGATACGGTAAAGCAATGGAGGTACCGCGGCGCAGGGGTGGAGCTTATGAACATCGCTCAGTAGTAGGCAACATCTTAGCTCCGACCTCTGGGATCCAGGGCTCTGGTAAGACGGGCGGGGACTGTTAACGTTCTAACATGCGACAGCTGCGGTTATCACCTTGCTGAAATTGCTGCGCGAAGAGTTTTGAAACCGTTTCCCTACTTGCTCTTAACTCACAGCAGACTTGCGGACAACACCTTCGTCACGCGGTGCACCTCCCGCGGCTACATCGCGGCCACCATGGGCGACGGAGTTGGACACCGCAGGACCCAGCGATACGCCACCAGCAGGATGCCGCCGGCCATCCTCTGCCTCACACCAGCGGGGTGGCCAAATCTCCCAGGGTAACCATGAGTTCAGCTTCCAAACGCCATCCGTGCCATCCCAGCCTGGAAGTGCACGGGCGGGCCAAGCAGCCCAGCTAAGCTCCAGGTCGCACCAACACCTCGAAGACTATGCAGGCTCCTCATATGACACGTCCTGGGAACCCCGGTCCCGTCAGGCTGCGGCCACAGCGGCGCGGCCAATGTCATCGGGGCGAGCTGCCGACCCTTTCCATCCTCACAACAACAGCTCTAGCACAGCGCCAACGGACCAGCTGGACCTCTGGGCCCAAGAGCAACATCACAGTCCCAACCGTGCTAATTTTCACCAGCACCAAGCGCCCGAAGCACAACCATGGCATGACAGCCATGCCGATGGCATCTACGTACACGTTGACTCTCACAACGCTACAACCTCCCAAAGCAATACACCTCCATCCCGTCGCGCTTCAGCTGCAGCAACCTCAACAGCAGCGCCGCCTCGCACCGTTAGCGCTAACAGCAACCCAACTGCCAGATCAGGCAGCCGAGATGCCGGGCGTCTGCAGCCTGGAGACCTGAGCAGCGCAGATGTTGGGGATTTGGGCGCTCGAAGACCCGCTGCGAGACGTGGAGCCCCACCACCGCCACAGCAACAGCAGCCGCAGGGAAGGACTGCAGCAGCATCCCGTGTTACCGCCTCTCCCGCCCGCAGCCCGTCCCACCAACCGCAACCCTCTGCTGCAGCCGCCGCAACGAGCCATCACAGCAGCCATGCGGCTGCCGTTCCTGGTCGTTCGGCTTCTACACCCAAGCCTCGTCCTGTCGTACAACCCAAACGCTCAACTTCCATAACAGACAATGTACGGCGGGATTGGGTGGATATTGGGTCGGCGTCGGACCGAGCAACGGCAAGACCCGGTAGTAACGGTCGCAATCGTGGCGGTGGGTTTGGTGGTGGCGGAGGAGGGGGAGCAGGAGCAGGAGGAAGTCGATGGGACGCGGATACGGACGATGGCGACCGGGGTTCGTGGCTGTTCGTAGCTGCTGACAGTCAGGACCAGCAGCAGCAGCCGGGGCAGCTCGAGGAGCCGCGGGGACAGCCACTTGGGGATCATCAGCAGCAGCCGCAACATGTGCCTGTTGCGGAGCCCCTCCGAAGGGAACACACGGACGGGGAGGGGACCAACAGCAGCAGCAGCAGGAGTCGCTCGTCGGCTCCGCTGCGGGGAGCTGTTGTGAATGGCAGCAATCGTACGAAGGGCAGTACGGCTGACGACGGCCTCCTTAGCGGCGGTGGCGGCGGCGGCGGCGGTGGTGGTAGACATGGTGGCAGCAGTGGGGCTCACGCGACACCCGCCACAACACTGGAAGCTACGTTCACACAGGCGGCGGCAGCAGCGCCGCATGTGGCGTCCAAAGCCGTGACGAACGGTGGAGGCGGTGGTGGTGGTGGTAGCGGAGAGGTGTCCATGGGTCATGGGGCGTTGTTAGCTGGCGGCGAGCTGGGGGTTGGCTGCATTGGAAGCGGCGGAGGAGGGGGAGCTGTGGCGGCACGTCGGAAAGGTGCCGGGTCCCTTTCCTCGGGCGCTTCGCAAGCGGAGGCTTCACGCCAGATTCAGGTGAGGACGATTGGACGGTTGGACTGCCCATGCAGTCACCATGTCACCACGTGAAAGCATTCGGGTGTGAATCGGACCGCTTGTATGCTTCGAAACCAGCTGTGTTGCACCTTTTGACGCTGATCTTCTTGCACACATCAAGCGTCACGCGTCATGCATCACACGAATCGTCATCATGTCACACAACACAGGCGCTGCAAGATGAGAACGCCCGGCTTCGGGACCAGATAGCGCACCTGCACCGGCTGCTAGCGGTGTCCCCCGCAAGTACGGCATCGCCAACGTCAGCAGCAGCAGGAGCAGCTGCCCTGCCGTACACTGCGGCGGAGGGCGGCAGCAGGCAGCAGCGCCCGTCCAGCGCTGCCTCGGCCTGTGGTGCAGGTGGTGGTGAGGCGGGACCGAGCATGGCAGCGGCGGCCACAGCGGGGGTAGCACTGCAGCAGTACAAGTCACAGGTGGGTCTCAGATGTGGGAAGGCGTTTCGTAGTATGTGGATCGTGAGCGTATGCGCGTTTTGTGGGGATTGAAGAGCAAGTGTGAGTTGCGTGTGCATGCATGGCAGAGTGGCATACGGCCCCCTTGCTGGTCACCTGCACTGCTGTTTTGCTACGCGATATCTCTCCGCCTCAACGTCCGCCCTGCTTTCGCTATGCTGCTACACCACCAGGTGATTCAGCTTCAGCGGCAAGTGGCACTGATGTCCCGTGAAATGGAGGTAAGGATAGGATTAGGAAAAGGGAGGTAGGGGTACACATAAACGTTTGCTGTCATTGGCTGGGGGGCAGGAGTAGGTTTGCGACCGCGACTCAGTCGCCTGCTATGCCTGCTGGAGGGATTCACGACCCTCGGTTGAACAACCGGTAGCGCTTAGGCCAGCCACATATGACGTTGCTCTTTCCCAACCTGTGTGACTCCTCTTCCATGTGTTGTCCCTCATAATAGGCCAAATCCCGGCTAGCTATGGAAGCGGAGGGCGTGCTGCTTGAAGCTGCTTCACGGCTCACGGTGGGTGAGGGCTGAACGCAATAGCGGGGGCATAGGGAATGATACCTTCGCCTCTGCTGTTACCTTGCTGGCACCTCCTATCACTGTACATACCCTGGCCCTGAACACGCCCATAACCTTCGCCGCATCTTGCCCTTCTTGGCCTCACACACACTTTCGTAAGCAGGAACTCGCAAGCTGCGCCGCCGCCGATGCGGGCGGTGCCACGGCTGCCTCCGCCTCCGGTGACGGTTGGGGTGGCGGTGTTGGGGACGCTGAGCAGCCGCCGCTGAGTCGGGAGCGGCTGCTGGCGGTGGCCAAGTGGAGCCGGCAGATGCTGGGGCGGCTGCGCAGGTGGGGAGGGATGAAGGGTCTGGGCTGGGTTGGGTTGGGCCCGGTGCGCGGGTCCTCGCCAAAGCGTTAGGACGCCAATGCGTCTTGTCAACCCCAGCTCTCCCTTCCACTCCTCTTCTTCCCTTCCTTGTGCGTCCCTTCAACTGCCACCCATGCTGATTTTCTGCCGTCGCGATCTCCTCCCCTCACCTCTCCTTCACCCCAGCGAAAAGTCCCAGTCCTCCAAGCTCTTCACCCAGCAAGACCGAGACAACCCCGGCGGCTTCGCCCCCTCCTTCGCCCCCTCCTGGTCCGACTCCAACACCAACAGCCACGCCCACAACGGCAACATCAACAACCCAGCAGCAGCCCACGGCCCCTCCTGGCACGTGCCCTTCATCCCTGCCGGCGGCAACCGCTTCCTCCTCCTCGACCCCTCGCCTCAAAACAGCGGCGGCGGCCGCGACGACAGCACCAGCAGTGACCCCAGCACCGGCACCCGCCCCAGCATGCTGCCCTCCGTTGCCGCGCTCTGTAACGGCGGCGGGGTGTTTCTTGCTGACCCCGTGCTTGCTCACCGATTGGAGGTGGCGGTGGCGGCGCTGGCTCCCCGGCTAGCGGCGCTAGCGGTGGCGGTGCGGGTGCTGCTGCTGCCCGCCATGCCCTGGCTGGGGCTGGAGGCGGCGGATAGGATGCAGGTGGGGCCTGGGGGGAGTGGCAAGGGTGGTGGTGGTGGTGGGGTGCATGGCTTGCATGATCCCATACTTCCGTGTACCTGGTACCGGTATCCATACACGTTGTGCTGGGCTAACGACTCGTTATGGGCTTACGGCCACCCCTGTTATGCGGCCCATGCAACACCCTCACACCGCTCCCGTCACTTCCTACACGTCGCTCTCCACTTTCCCCTCACACCATCCAGGCCGAGGTGGGTGAGGTGGCGGCCAGTGCGGCTCAGGTGTCGGAGGCGCTCAGCCAGCTGGCCGCGCTGCTGCCGGCGGGTGCGGTGGCGTTCGGGGACACACCCGTGAGTGGCGAACCCAGGAGACGTGCTGCGGAGGTGGAGGCGGGTGAGCTACGGTGGCTGAGGGGGTGGGAAGCGGGGAGCCCTACGGTATGCACGTATGCTGGGTTGCGGGCGTAGTGTGGGCGTGCAGGTGGGGGGCCAGCATTAGCATACCGGTATCGCATGCTAATGCCCGCGCGCGAAGGTACATGCGAAGGTTCATGTCAATAGATGCTTGTGCTGGCATGGATACGCGCCGTGCCCGCTTCACGTATTCAAGCGAGTCCATGCGACATGCGATCTGCCTCAGGTCGAGACAGTTGGTTGTACGGCAGCCCGGAGTCGTTGGAAGCCGAAGAGGTGCAGCCGGCGGTGGCCAATGAGGACGGCACCATCAACGTAGCCCGACTGCAGGTGGGTAGGCTGATGGCACCGCAGCCCTCGACATGTATGCCATGTGTGCCCCCATGCCTTAGGATGCCTGAGCCTGTAGGCCGCTGTACTCACCGACTTATACTTCGTTTCCTTCCTTCCCCTCGCTTAAAACCCGTCTACCCGCCTTGCTGCCCCCTTCCTGCTCTCCTTTCTGCTCCCGCCAGGCCGCTATCGCACCGCTGCTACGCGACCGCAAGGCGGGTCCCAAGGCCCTAGCTGACATCCTGGAGCCCATGAGGGCGCGAGCGCAGGTGCGGGGCATACCTCACTGCATGCCTAGCAGCGCCCTCGCACGAGGGTCACGACCCGCCCCCTGCTTTCATCCCTCCCTTGCTACCGGTATCGTAGGCTTCCCCCTCTTCTTACTTGAGCGGCAAGCCTCACCTCTTCCTTCCTCTTCTCCACTCCCCTAACCACCCCTTACCCCCCTCCCAACGGTAATTCTTTAACACTACCGTTACAAACTCCATCCTCACCTGCCCGGCAGGCGGTTGCCGCCAAGCGCGCCGTGCTGGAGTCCGAGCTGCGTTTCGCCAGCCGAGCCTCCGCGCTGCATGCCGAGCACGTGAGCCACCTGATGCTGAGTGTGGGCATGGCGGTACGGGAGGTCGCCGCTGCGGAGGGAGGTGGTGGTGGCGCAGCAGGCGGTGGCGGCGGCAGCAGCAAGCAGCAAGGCATCCGGACGGCGTTTGCGGCGGCTGCGGCAGTACGGCAGGTGCTGGGGGCGGTGGATGCGTTGGAGGTGCACCCCTGCGAGGCGTGTCTCAAGGTGGGTGGGGGGGCAACAAGAGGTGTGGGTGGTGTGGGGTTGAGGGAGGTGTTTGCGTTGCAGCTGGCTTGGCCGTTTGACGAAAAACCCAAAACTCTTTGGCCTCGTACGATACTGGTACGTCATCGCCTTGCCGTACATTTTGTACGACGTGCCGCCTCCGTCAGCCTCCCCACCGCCCTCCATGTAGGCGCTGGTGGACGTCATCCGCTGTCAGCGGGAGCACCTGGACCGGGTGCCCGAGCTGCTTGTGGAGTCCCCCGCTGCGGATTTGGAGGTGGGTCTCTGTGGTGGGGCGTGTGTCGTTGTTTGGCATGGGCCTGTGGCTTGGCGTGTGCATGTGGTTCGGGCTCCTCCGTGCCCTGCCATGTTGGGGTTCATGCACTGTGCAGCCTCGTCTGAATACGGAGTATGTACGGGGGATTCCGCTTACGTAACCTGGATGACGTCATCGTTTTTCTGTCGTACAGGGCCGCCTGCTGGACAAGGTGGAGGAGCTTCACCAGGGCTTCAAGTAGGTGTAGGTGTTGGTGTTGGCTGTCCCCAGCGGCTGCCAGCGGTGGAAGATTTTGACTTGTCACTTGTGACGTTGTCTACCTGCCTTGCGGCCCTCCTCCTGCTCTGGGCTTAACGTCACAGCCACAACATGCTTGACGCGTTTGCCTAGCTTTTCAGGTGTGAGCCGAGGGACGCGCGTCTAGCCGCTGCAACACCCTTAGCAGCCATCCTGGGGAGTGACCCATGGGCCAGTCTGTTCACGCACATGTTGTCCTCGTACCCATGCGCAGTCGGTTATTACTTGCCCCCCTTCCGTTCTGCCTCGCAGGAAGGCTCTCAGCAGGCTGGAGGCGCACAAGCGGCGGCAGATGGATGCGGGCGGATTGGTGCCATGCAGCCCAGGGGAGGGTGATGGGGCGGGATATGAGGACGAGGGTGAGGAGGAAGAGGGCTGGAGAGGGGAGGCTGCTGCCACCAACACCGGCGGTACGGCCAGCGGAGAGTCAACGCTGCCGCATCAACAACAGCAGCGACAGCAGGGACAAGTCCGGCGAGGTATGGGATCCGGTGGCTCCAGCAACGCTGGGTCGAGCCAATCGGGACGGCCACCGCTACCGCCGTCACAGCAGCAGCAGCAACTGCAGCAGAGGGCGGGTGCAGGGAGCGGGAAACCGCCCAAGCCGAAGCCTGAGTGGCAGGAGTGAGCGGCCGTAGGAGGCATGGAGGGCACTGCGTACGGGGTTGACCAGAACTGCGAGCTTGTGGGGGAACTGCAGATGGGGGTCGTTTGGACGAGAAAAGGTTCACGTCATCGAGCGTTTACCGTATTACCTGGTATTACCGGTAGTGAAAGCAGGATGGCTTAGTTGTGCATGGGGTGAAGACCCTGATTCAGGCTGGATACCCCCTGATTCGAAGCATGGTGCTAACGGTATCTATGATTCATGGAAGTGGCCCGTTTCCAGCGGCATTGCTTTTGCAGCTGTGAGCGACAGAGATGGTTAGAACTTATTGGGTTAATTCGCAAGCTGCGATCAACAGGACCTGCCTCCTTGTAGCCGATCGTGACTCCCACCGTACCGGAGTATAAAGCATTGCAGCATGCTTGCTGTGACGAGTAATGCCTCCTCTCGCTAGCGTAAAGGATTCTGGGGAAGAAGAATGTTCTGGAAGAACAAGGATTGGCGGAGCCTCGTTCCTTAAACGTTTAAAGTGAACCAGGAGGGACATACCAGTATACACCCATGCACGTTGTCCTCCACACTAATAGACATAATCTCTTAGCCTATTCCCCTGCTCCTGTTGCGGATACCGTACCTAGCTGGCTTTCCAGTGCCATGCATGCACACCTCCACAGCAGGGCAACGGCCAACCCTTCTACCTGCTAAAAGCTCTTGCTACAGCTGCTGCAGCCGTCGTCGCAGGGCAGCTCTCGCATGCAGCTCTCAAAATTGCACCCTCCAAGCGGCATATAGCACAGGGGATAGGTAAGTAAGGCGGCCCTGTAACTCAACTACGCAAGTACCGACTAGACACGCAGCATACACACGCATCACTCGAAAGCAGTTCCCGAAGTCCCTGAAACCCAAACCCCGACCTCGCATGCTTCCCACTCAACACGCGCCGCGTCCCGCGCGACGTGACTCAACCCAATCCTGCCACCCCCTTCTGCATTCGGTTCCAGAAGCGCCCCTAAACGATACCCCCTCCACAACTGCAGCAGTCCTCCGCTGCTTTTAAACGTGCAGGGCTCTGCTTTCGTCTGCCATCATAGTCCGTACGCTCAACCAAAAAGGCTGTACAGCACATATGGCACACAGGGCAATGCGCCCTGTGAGCACCAGCGCCACCAGCAAAGGTCCTCCACCCTTTCGTCCTCAACCAACCCTATGCCTGTGCAAGTACCCGGTATACCACCGCAGCCCGCCGTGGGGAACCCTGACTGCCTAGGGCAAGAGCACTCGCGTATGCCGGGTGCACCGACTGCCGTCCACCCTAGTGAACCCTGAAAGCACGGTTAGGCACCGAAAGAGGCTCAAGCAGACCCCGCAGCTCTAGCACGGGCAGTCGGGCACTGGGGCAGATTCCGGCAGCAAGCGTGATTTATAGGCGTGATTAAAAGTCTAAAAAACCAACCAACCGCCAGCAACAGCAGCAAAGAACACAACACCCAAACCAAGCACATCATGGGACCGCCGATGATCAGCTTGTTAGCCCCAACGAACCGCTGTTCCACCTAAGCAGGCGCAGGCACCAAGCAGCCCCCGGCTTCCACGGTGCACACCCCGCACCGACAGCCCCCCAGCGAGCAATAACAGCAACCTCCCAAGCCTTTCCAGCGCAGCAGCAGCAACCGCACCCACACCTGCTCCATCGCCACATTGTCAGGCTGCTTTCCGCCACTGCCTGTCGCAACCTAAATACTCGCCAAGTGCCTGTCCAGTGCGGGCAGCCAAACTGACGCATTGCGCCGGGCTTGCCCCATGGAAGGGCCCCGTAGCCTGGGCGGTACCTGCCACCGCCGCCGCCGCTGCCACTGCTGCTGCCCGGGCTCCAAACCCGCCGCAACTCGCTACCCAAGCTGCCCCCAGCTCACTCCTGCGCTGTCAGCGGCTCAGCAGGGGCACCCGCGACTGCCGGCCCCTCCCCAGCCCTCCCTCGACCACAGGCCCGGCTAGGCAGGTGACCCCGACTAGAGATCGCCGGCGGTTGCTGCTGGTAGCCCCCGTCTCGCCGTGATTGCTGCTGCTGCTGACACCACCACCACCGCCGCAGCTGCTGCTGCTGCCGCCTGCCCCATGTGCAGCCCATCCCGCCTCTGCAGCCTCAGCCCAGCCGCTCCTAGTCCCTGCTGCGCTCCTCACCGGTATTTCCCCTCCCTTGACGCCTGCCGTGACGCCGCCTCACTCACCCCCACAAATCCTGCATGCGCAGCACGATGCTGCTGCTGCCCGCCCAAGTTGTCCGCAGCCCGCAGCCAAACGCAGCAGACCTAAAGGTCTGCGCGTGGCACGTAACAGACGCTTCGAACCGGTCCGCTGCTGCTGCTTCCTCCGCCCCCTGCTTAGCCCGCAGCTAGCGGAGTCGGCTGCGAGGTTGGTGGCGGCGCGCACAGCTCCATCTACCGCATGAGCTCCACCTGCAGGGACTGCGCCTCGGGGTCGCGCTGGTCCTTGCGCTGCTCGCGAATGCGGTTGAGGCTGGGCTTCAGCGAGAAGGTTCGCTTGATCCACGTGGCCAGGCGCACTGCAAAGGGAAGCCGGTGGCGAGCATGGTTAGATTGGGCCATGGAGGGGTTAGTTGGAAGGCATATTTCCGTCCAGTGGCGTAGGTAACAATTCAATTTTGCGTTACTCTGCGGCATAGAACGTATTGAGGGAAAAGGGGAAGCTTTGCCAAAGCGCTTATGGTAGAGGTGCAACCATCCCAAGGAAATTGTAGGTCCAGCCTCCGCGTTACTCACCCTCCGGGGTGCGAACCATGGCCAACAGAAGCTTGATGTTTTTGGCAGGTAGCCAGTCGTAAAGGCCGTGGCCCCACATTAGCGTGTTCTCGTCCACAACGCCCGACACCCATGCTTCTTTCAGCACGTGCAGAGGGCACGGACCGCGGGGCACGTTCAAGCGATCCCTGTAGTACCAGATGTTCTTGCGTAGAAGCATGCGCTGATAGTTAATCATCTCGTACTGATAAGGGCTCAGCACAATTTTGCGTGGAACAGGCCGCAGCGCCCCCGTCCAAGGCGTCAGCGGAGGGGCATTGTCCAGTTGATGCGGCATTGACATGTCGAAAAGGGTCGCGAGCTCCAACGCCTCCGCCTGGGCAATTTCATGCTTTGCGCTACGCAGCCGCCGAAGCTCCAAAGCGCGCGACTCCTCCGGCAAGCTGAGTCCGGCACTGGGTCCTGGAATAGGGAGATCAGCTATCGCCGGCAGAATCTCTGCAATTCGGCGGTCCATGTGCTGGTTGTACTCCTCCTGCGACCTGCCGGTGCCGGACTCATCCAACGGCCGCATCACCTTATGTAATCTAATCCTACGTGCCACCTGCTTCTCGCCATCTGTTGTTCCTACACCTGCTTCCGACATTGAAGTCACGCAAGCCACAAATGTAATCTGGTTTACTTAGCAGAATGCAGTGGAAGGGAACTACACGCATATATTGGGCGACGAAAAATCACAACCTAAGCGTCCTCCTGAAAGGCATTGGTGTACCTCTCTGGATTCGGAGCGCTGCTGGACATCTTGGAAACTCTCCCCGCAGCGCCTACTTATGACAACGAGCTTTATTTCTTAATCACTGTGATGCTTACCTTCCTTAGGATACCCGATTAATGTTTAAGGAGCAGGGCCATCTTACAGCCTCGTATACGCGCGCGTGAGGCATAGTACGCACTGACCTTCTTATATCTGGTATACTCTTTGGGCACTTGCACAGTCGGTGTTTTACTTTCCTGGATGGTTGAAGAGTAGACCTTGGGGAGAGCACGTCTGGCGGGAGTGGAGGGGTCGCTCTATCTACAACATCAGCAGCCACTGTAATGGGAATAGGAGGCCTGCTGACATGCTGCTTGGTGGGGCCCAAAGATGGGGGTGATGCTCGGCCAGAGGACGAGAAGGTAAGGCGTAGGGAGCGCACATGCGCCTTCGTATGTAGCAATGTCTGACAAGTCCCAGCTTCTCTGCGACCTACCCTAAGGATAATGTTTGGCGAGCACATATGCTGCATGCTGTGGATGACTCGTAAACAATTCTAGGTACTAGCGTTTCAACCTGGTTGACATGCTCGTATACTGTCCCTCCAAGTCCTTACACAGGTTTACCGCCCACATGCATCCCTTTCATTCCCCTTCGTTAAAAGCTTTCAAATTCTACCTGCTTCCGCCCTCAGCGGAATGCTAGCTCCAAGTTCGATGCGGCAATGCCTGGAACAGCGGTTGAGGCTAGTAGCATAAGCAGCCGCATCAGGGACTCCGCGATGTGCACACGCGGCCAGTTTTCCAAAAAGAGCAAAGTATGGGCCACATCTGACTGCATGTGCTGTGGCGCTGAACAGACCGACATGGCATCAGCTTGCGGTACCGTGAGAGACCCTAGGTGAGTTGGCAGGGTCTAGTGATGAGAGCGACACGTCTCCAATCGCGTTCCCATTCTGATGTCAAAGAAACAACCACGAGGGACGAGGGACTGTTGATTACATACGGCTGCCTTTAAGCACTCACCATCCATGGCATCCGTGCATCACCCCGACCCTTACCGCATTCTGACATTATAGCTACGCCCGTTTTTTCGGTCCCGACACTTAAAGTTTTTGCCTACTGCCGGTTTTCCCCCCTTGTGCCTTACCACAGCTCGGCATCAGCCCACAATCCTCTGGCCGCGAACGGATCCCCTCTCGCCGGCGACCTCGCCCTTCCACCCAGCCTTCGTGCAAAGGCCGCCGCCGCAGCGGCCAACACCACTACTTCTTCCTCCTCATCCTCGTCCTCCTCGTCCTCAAAAGCACCCGTCCCCGTTTGCTGTGGTCCTTCAACTCCCCGCGCCACAAACGGCGGCTTTCCGGACGACTCCGCACCCTCTCATGAACCGCTGGACGCTTCTGCCCTCTGCAACCTCCTAGCCGTCCACTCGGCACGTTCCTGGTCGCACACAAGTGTCAAAACAATTGCTAGGCCGAGCGTCGCTAATCCTGTGGTAGCCGTTAGCGACCCCAAGACGCCATACCAGCTCCAAAGTCCGCGGCAAGCCAGCGATGCAGGCGCGTGCGCTGACCTTCAACCGGTGTCTTCCCCTTCACCCGCAGCAGCCGCCGCTGCTGCTGATGCTGGTATGGCTGAACCAGCTCTTCACACCAGCTCACCCTCTTCACCCTCTTCACCATCACCACCATCTTCTTCCTCATCATCGTCGTCATCCACGTCAGCACTGGCAACGGGATTGGATCCAAGCTCGCTGATGCGGCCGTCGATGCAGCCGCCACTTGCAACATCATCGCAGGAGCAAGATCCTGCTCCTGCGGACCAGAGCAGGACCACCTTGCATGAGCAGGAGCAAAGCCCTGTTACTTTGCATGAGCAGGAGGCAGCTCAGGGGGTGGGCGTGGAGGCGGTTTCTGGGGAAGCGAACGCATCAGGGGCAAAGCCCAAGGCGGAGAACGACGACGATGCACATGGACGGTCACATGGGGCTGCTGGGGCTGACGATGTGGATGCGGATGCGGAGCATGGGAGCGCCACGCCTCGTGGTGCGGCTACTGCAGCTGCGACCTTTGAGCCATGCACCCCTCCGCCGCATGTTGTGTCTAGGGACTCGGGCGGCTGCTCGCCGCATGTCGCCGAGGACGGCCGTTGCGAGGCGGCTGTGGCAACAGTCGCCCCAGCCGCTGGTGTTGTGACGGCTGCACCGGCATGTGAGGGCTGCGGGATTGTTGCGGGAGCGGTGGAGATGGAGGTGGAGGAGGAGCCTCAGGCGCTACGGCAGGAGAGGGAGGACGAGGAGAAGCAAGAGCACGAGCAGCAGCATCAGGAACATGAACAAGAAGAAGAGGAGCCGGTGTTGGATGTTGAGTTGTTGAGCCTTGTTATCATTGAGGAAGGCGCTGCGGCTGAGGAGGAGGAGGCTGCTGTGGGGGCAATAACTTGCACTGCCGGCAGTTGCGTTGCAGCAGCAGCAACCCAGGGAGTGCTGGTTGCAGCAGCGTCTCGTCCGGGGGTTGCACATGAAGGAGGAGAGGCCAAGACCTCGCCGGCTTCTTCTCCGGAGGAGGAGCCCCTGACAACACCCAACTCTGAGTCAACTGCGGTGGCGGCAGCGGACGTGGAGGAGTCAATGAGGCCGCCTGTTGTACAAGCGTCACAACAAACGCGATCAGCTGCTTCGGATACCGGCTCTTCAAGTGCCGTCTCCACGCCGCGCATGCGTCCCCAGCAGGCCATGTTGTTGAGTGACATGACGGACGGCGCCAGCTACATCTTCCTGCCGGTGCCTGGGGCGCAGCGAAGTGGGAGCGAGCAGCAACCGGAGGAGGGGGAACAGCTGGCGTTGCAGACGCATGAGGAAGAGGAGGAGCAGGAAAGTGAGGAGGAGGAGGTGCAGCAGGGGCAGGAGGAGCAGGTTAGGCAGGAGCTTGAGGGGCAAGAGTCTGCAGGTCTGCGGGATTCCGGGCTGCACGGCTCCTCCTCCTCCTGCTCCTGCAAGCAACAGGAGCAGGAAAAGGAGAAGGAGAAGGAGAAGGACGAGGAGCCCCCTGCTTCCCACAGCCCGGCGGCCGCATGTGATGCTGCCGTGCTTCCTGGTCCCCCCCCACACGGGCGCCACACGCGCGCATGTTCATGCGGAGGCTGTGAAGGCACCGCCACTACCGCTGCTGCGGCAGCAGCAGCAGCCGTCTGCAAAGTCTGCAACGTCTGCCTCCCTGGGGTCCCAGCGGAGGGCAACACCCCTGTCGACAACAACAGCAACGGGAATAACAGCAACAGCGACGAGGACGACAACTGCTGTTCCATTCCGGGGCTGTGTGCGACGCGTGCTCTCATTCGGCAGCTAGGACTGGTTCCGTGCCCCGGAGCGGTAGCCGGTACGGCAACAGCTGATGCTGGTACGGCAACAGCTGATGTTGGTACGGCAACAGCTGATGCTGGTACGACAGATGTGGTAGCTACAGCTGTCGTATCGACGGATGGAGCGGCATCTGCCGTCACCACCGCTGCAGCTGCCGAGACGGACAACGTGGGGCCCTTGCCGGCTGACCCCGCGGTGCCGGGGTCACAACCACCACCAGACCAGCTGAAGAGCTGCCAAGTCCGTAACAGCGATCCTGATGAAGCGGCGGCAGCAGCAACGGCAACGGAAGCTAGGGCAACGGCAACGGAAGCAGATCTCGCGTCACTGCTCACGACATCTCAGTCGCCGTTTGCATCTGCGGTGGGTGCTGCTCGCGAAGCCTTGCAGGGTGCGACGTGGCGGTTGTTGGAGGCGGCAGCGATGGCGGCTATGGGGCGACAAGAGCACAAAACGCAGCCGCCGCCGCCGCCGAAGCAGCAGCAGCAGCCGGCGGCGGGGATTAATGGTGCGGTGACTGCTGTTACGGCGGGCACTTCGCCAACTGAGCAAGCAACAGGGGCAGCAGCAACAGCAGCAGCAACAGCAGTAACAGGGGCTTCATGCACCGCCGCTACTGCTGCTCCTTCCAGCACAACGGCAGCAGCAGCAGAGGGGACGCCGCAGGGCTCTTCCGGGATCATGCGGGAGGCGAATGCCCTAGCAGCGGAGCTAGCGGGCTCTGCTACCTCCCCTTGCAGCGCCTCAGCAGCAGCAGCTGCTGCAGAGGCTTCCAAGGCTGCTTGTGGTGCTGGTGTTACCGCTGCTGGTGCCACTGCTGCTGATGCCACTCCTGCTGCTGCTACTGCTGAGAACTGCGGGCAGAAGCAACCCGCAGCAGCATCCGCCGTTGCCAGCTGCGTCAGCTCACTTGACGCGCAACAACACGTCCAGAAGCCGCTGAAGTGCGGCAACAGCAACCCAAGCGGCTACTATTGCGGCAACAGCTTGAGCGGCGGTAGCGGCAGCAGCAGCAGCTATCGGTGGCAGGGACCAACCGATTCCTGCAGCGCTGCTAGCACTGCTGGTGCTGTAGGTGGTGCAGGAGCAACAACAGCAGCAGCAGCCTCGAGAAGTGGTGGTGCTACTGCTACAGCTACTGCTCAGTCTAGTGAGGAAATTGGTCGGGGAGGCGTCCGGGGCTGGGCGGGTGAGGGAGAGGGTGAAGGCGGGAGCCAGGACTTGCGGTTTCAGGAGGAGTCCTGGGACATCGTGATTGCTTCGTCCTGGTGGTCAAGTGAGGACGAGGGAGAGGGGGAGGAGCAGCGGCCGCCGCGGAAGCGTGGGGAAGAGGGGGAGGCGGGATTGGACCCGGAAGGAAGGGACGCAGCAGCGGCGCAGGAGGGTAAGGCAGCAGGCTGCCGGGAGCTTCTGCGCATGTCTTCGAGCGTCTCCTCTTGGAAGGCGAGCGAGCCGATGACATGGCGCCCGTTGAGAGAGCGGTTTGGTAGCAAAAGCAAAAACGACAACAACAAGGAGTATAGCAGCAACGACCAACCGCCAACGGAGGCGGTGGTTGCTATTGTACAGCCGGTAGCAGCAGTTGCAGGAGTCGAGGCGGATACGGTTGCCTTGATGGCCCCGGCGCCGGTCAAGAAGGCAGTAGGGGCGGCGTCTGCGGCCTTGGTCGAGGCGGGTAAGGTCGAGCCGAAGAAGGCCGTGGGAGCTCGGTGTCCTGCGAAACGAGTGGAGCGGGTGACGAAGGCACCGATGACGGCAATGGAGGCTGCGGCTACGCGTGCGTTTGTACGTGGGCCGGATAAGGCGAGCGGGTCAGCATCAGGCGTGCGATCAGCGAATCGTGGCGGGGCGGTAGTACCGGCAGTAGGCGTTAAGAAGCAGCAGCAACAACAGCAGAAGCAGAAGCAGCAGGCCTCAAAGCCACGTTGGAAGTAAGCAAGTAACTAGTAATGGGTATTTATTGGGTTGAGTTGATTCTGTTATAGCAGTCGGGATGATGTGATGCCGTTGGTAAAAATTGCTTAAAGAGAGTTGTGCCGTATGCGAGGTTAGTTGAGGTAAGGGTGTTGCCTTACCTACGTTTTTAAGGCCGCCGGAGATCGCTGACAAGGTGCGTTCCTAGGAAACCGCTAAGGTTGATGGCAGTATGTACAGAAGCCTTGGGCTAAAGGCGCTGAGACGTGCCTTGGCTAAATGGCTAGGCACCTTAGGGAATGGTAAGCGCCGTGCTTTGCGCGCATTCATTTACTAGCTAGGCAGCAGCAAGACGTCCGGAAGTAGGGCAGTTGCAATAGGTTTCGTTGTTCCTCGCTACCGTGTGCTGGTGCATGCTGCACGGTGGTTTCTGCTGGTGGAATCTAGATGATTGGATGCCGTTAAATGGCAGTAGCAAAGATGATTAGGGGCTATCGTTATGTGGCAAGGGACATGCCTAGTCCGACGGTCGTGGTATGTGATCGGTGGTTTGCAGTTAGGAACGGTACTAGTCTTACAAGTACGTGTTGCTTACGGGTTACGGCTATCCAATCCTGTGTATGGTAGCTACGTGTGCTATGGCGCCCATCTGTTTAGTTGTATACACGTGATCGTTTGATTTCCCCCAAAACCCGTCTGTGTCGTCGAGAGTTCCTTAGGTTGCAAGCACAGGTTGCAATCGGGCCAATCTTGATGACTAAAGCCGGATTAAGTATATATGCGTTAGGCTTTTCTGCTTACCTACAGTGGTGTGCAATAAGGTGTCGGTCAGTTTTCTACAGAAGGTTCACTTTCGGTGCTGTGCGAATCGCGCCTGGTGTTAAGCGGTTGCCCGTACTGCTCGTATTCACTACCTAGGGTACCGACGCTGCAACATCATTATGTGTCACTCATTATGTCAGCTACATTATCTACAATCACTCATCTTGGCCGATATTGTAAGTGTATGCGCTTCGCCTTTGCCATTTTTCACGGCCGCAGTCCGAACCGGGGCTAAGGCAATTGCCGAAACAAAATAAGGCAAGCAGGATTATGTTTGCAACAATGGGGATTATTGGGATATGTTCCGCAGATAAGAAGTGCGCGGCACAAAAAGGGTCATGTTACGAACCTCGGGCCTCGTGACGCAGAAAACAACTGTTTTCACTAAGGATATTGCAACTTATCAGTCACGACATCTTATCGCGTATGCGCAGGAACGTCTCCCGTGCAAGCTTGGACCTACCTTTCGAGGTAGGGTGTCAGGTGCTCTAGATCACTTTCTAGCTCTAGGTAAAGGCTCAAAATGTATTGCTGACTGTAATTAGGCTTGCGCTGCCTCGGAAGGACGGCTTGCGACGTTAGGTGACGTCCATGCTTAGTTGCAGAACTCACGCTGGCGTCAATCGCGCGCATGCGCGAAGTAATACCAGCAATACTACCCTTTTTTAAGGCGTATACTGATGGCCGGGACCCTAACGCTTTGCGCTTGCGGTTGCCATGCCCAACAGGAGCAACTCGGGCGTCTGCTGGTATCCTGCGAACTACCGCTTGGTGTCCCGGCTAAGGGCGCATGGTAGCAGTAGTCTCCCGTACTGGTAGCTGGGATTTTAGGATTCCAAAGCCTTCCGCCCCCGCTATCGATGAAAAGCCCTGCCCTAAAGGCCCAGACATCCTCGCCCCGCAAGCGCCGCTCACTCCCACCCAGCAGCATAGCCACTGGGCAGCTACACCCGCCGTCCACAATGCAACCACCGCTAGCAGCACCTTAAGCAATGGCGGCGGTAGCAGCACACGCGGCCGTTCCTATGTTGGCAAGGGGGCCTTCAGGAGGTATTTTGGCAGCGTGGGCGGCGGTGGTGAGATGTCTGGAATCGAGTTTGTGACGTTCAAAAGGGCATGTCGTACATCCTCTGCCGTATCCTCAACACCAGTTGCGGCGAAGAGTGCCGTATCCGGTGGTGTCGTACTGAAGGCGACAACGACGTCAGCTCTGCAGCGCTCCAGTGGCTGTACGGCTGCCGACCATGATCTGCCGTGCAGCACCGACGCATGGTTTCGTAGCGCCCAGTACGGCACCTTCAAAACGGCATTGCCGTACATTGGCTCCGGCCCAAGGAAAAGCCATGACAAACAGCCACAAGCGGCATTACAGCACTCAGCAGCCTCCGCCGCTGCTGCGACGCTGCCGCCTAGAGAACTCCCTCTCCATCCCCACCACCACCAAACCCAGCTGCCTTCCTCCATGCAGTCGCCGTACAACCACCATCACCACCACCTGCCGTACAGGCCCCTCAGCAAGCTGATCTCCATCCCGCTGGCATGGGCCCTGGCGCAGGAGCCGCCGTCGCGCCTCAAAACGGCCACCGGGAGGCCGCCGTCGGTCCCCGCAGCTCCTGCAGCGGCTCCAAACTGCCCTGCAACGGCTTCCATAGTTGCGGTCTCGGCCTCCTTAGCCTCAACGCGGCCCCTTGTGGTTGACGACGCTTCTCCTGCGGACCCCGTAGCCGTCGCAACCTCACCCTCATCACCCTCCCAACCCACGGCTTCGCTGTCCCCAGCTAGCGACGGCTACTCGCCCTCGGCTTCTTCGACTGTGCCAGCAGCCTCTGCTGGCAGCTCTGCGATGATCGACTCGGCTTCGGTGTCAGCTCCTGCCTCGTCCTCGGCCCCGGATGATGGGGCCTCAGCAGGAAGCGTCAGTAGTAGCTCATTCGCTGCGCCGCCGCTTGCCCGCCCTCCGATCGCTCCTTCCGCTACAGGAGCCGCATCCCTAGCCGCTGCTGCATTAGCCTCAGGCCCAGGCTCGGCCTCAGCCTCACCACCTTCACCTGCTGCTGAGGTCTCCTGCTCCTCAGCCTCATCCGCCTCCTCCATATCCACAGCTCCAGAAGCAGCCACATCACATCCAGGCTCGCCCCCAGCAGACCCACCCTCACCACCCTCATCACTTCCGGCCTTAACTGCTCCTCTGCCCTCAACATCCATGCCCAAGACGCCTAGCCCACCTTCCTCTGCAGCTGCAGCCCCCTCCTCGCCCACATCCGCATCACCCGCGCCAGTCTCGCCCCCAACCTCAGCCTCATCCTCAGCCGACCCTGCGCCCTCAGCAACCCCCCGAATAGCCGCAGCAGCCTCACAGCAGCACGTTGAGCCCAAGACGCCAACCACAACAACAACCGCAACCGCAACCGCAACGACCAAACCGCCAACCCAGCAGCCAAGCCCATCCTCCTCACCTATCACGCCTACAAAGCCCAAGCCAGCCGCCGCCAGTAGACCCTTCCCAACTGCGACAGCAGCAGCAGCAGCAGCGGCGGCACCTGCATCACCCCACCGCCCCCACCAGCAGCAGCAGCATCCTTTAACCCCGCCATGCAGCTGCTGGACTGCGGGACTCTGCCGTACAACTCCATGCGGTATTCCCAACCTGTGTCGTACTCGGATGCTGGTACGGCAGGTCGGGCTGTTTAGTGACGGCGATGACGCCACTGCGGCCATGTTCAGTGGCTTGCTGGGCTCCCTAGCTACGTCTCCCCCTGGTCCGTCCTGTGGGTGGAGCTCCAGAGGTGTTAGTGCTGGGGGGGTTGCGGCCGCCGCTGCGGCGACGGCGGCGGCGGGTACCCGTGTCGGTGGGCCGAGACTGGTGCAGGAGGCATCCGCAGCGGGGGTGGAGGCGAAGGGCGGCGCGGTTACCTCCACCGCTGCCGTCGCTGCCAGTGATGACAAGCCCGGCATGCGGCCGTTTAAGGAGGAGGAGACGGCCAAGACCGAGGCAAAGAAGGCTGCAGCCGCAGCGCCTGCGGACACCGCCGCTGCCGCCACTGCAGCAGCAACAACAACGTCAAGTACAACAACAGCAGCCGTGCCAGATGCTTCCATGCTAAGGGCCGAGAGTGTTGGGATTGTTGACGCTGTGGCGGAGGCGGTGGCGGAAGCAAAGCTGCTGCCGGTCTCTCCTGCCACCGCTCCTGCCACCGCCGTTGGAGCTGCACCACCAGCAGCAGTGTTGCCAGCAGCGGCAGCAGCGGCGGCAGCAGATCCTGCTGCAGCCGTTGTTGTGACGGCAGTAGCAGTTATCGATATGGCAGAAGCATCAGCAGCAGTAGAGGCAGAGGCTGGGGCAGGAGATGATGAGACGGCGGCAACAGATGAGGTGGAGGCGGTGGTGGCGGTAACACCCATGGAGCCCGTGTGTGCGGCTGCTGCTGTGGTGGCAGCGGCGGCGGCGGCAGATGCAGACTTCGCAGCTGACTTTACAGCTGTCAAGGAAGCAAGGAAAACCGGCGGAGTTAATACCAGCACCAACACCAGCAGCAGCAGCAGACCAGAAGAACATGAAGGACCCGCAGTGCCTGCTGCTGCTATTGTTCCAGGGGCTAAGTGCACTGTTGTTGAACCAGTGGCGGCGGTTGTTACGGCAGCTGCAGCGGCAGCAGCGGACTCTGCCCCTGAACCCGCGTCCGCCCCCGCAGCGCCCCCGTTGATGGTGGTCATCGAAGCTGCATCCGCAGTGTCATCAGCGGCCTCCCCGCCATCAGCTGTGGAGCCTTCAGAAGCCGCCTCGCCACCTCCCTCCCCACTGTTGCCGAACTCATCATCATCATCAGCGTCACCACCCTCAGTGTCGCCTGCTGCTGCCGGCCTGGAGATCACCGCTGAATGCCGTACTGCAAGTACGGCAGTGGAAGCCACTGCTGAGGTTGTGGGAAACGGCGGAGTTGCTGCTGAGAGTGCCGTACCCGTGGCGGGGATAACTGCAGCGACAGCAGCAGCAGCGGTGGCAGCGGAAGTGCCTTCCCCGGTGTCGCCGTCAGCAGCAGCGGCAGAAGCGGCCCCCACACTAACCGCAGCACAAGTGTCTTCTGTTGCAGCATCGTCATCAGCGGCACAAAGTGCGGTAGAAGTGCCTCCCCCGGCGTCGTCAGCAGCAGTAGCAGCAGTGGCCGAGCTGTCCCCCACACCATCAACTCCAACGCCGTCAGCGGCAGCGACGCCAGCAGCAGGCTCTTGGTGCCGGGTTAGGGCGGCCCAAGCTGCAGCAGCTGCTACTGCTGCTGCTGCTATACAACCAACGCCCACTCGCTTCTCTGCTTCTTCTTCGTCGTCAAGCCCTACTACGACAACAGCCGTACCACGACAACGAACCATGTCGCCGAGGGTCAGCGAGCTTGCCGCGCACTTCACCGCCGTCATACAAGCCAGCAGCTCGAGAAGGGAGACTAGGTGGAGTCTGCCGCTGAGGGACGAGACGAAGGAGCCGGGAGGGGTTGCTGTCAAGCAATTTCCTGCTGCCGCAGCAAAGCAGGCAATGCAAGCGGTGGCACCGAGGGACGCCGCAACGGCGGCTGCGACGGCGGCAGCGGCAGCAGCGGTGGTGGGGATAACGACAGCAGGGGCACGGGCGGATGGTGGTGTGTTCTCATCCCGTTCAGCAGCAGGCGTGTCGGCAGCGGCAGCAGAGGCGGCGCCAGTAGGCATGCCAGCAACAGCAGGATCAGCAACGGCTTCAGCGCCCCTGCAACCTGAGGTTAAGGCGGAAATAACGGAGTTGCTAGGACCTTTCGCTACAGCCGCTGCTGCCGCTGCTGCAGCTGCAGGGCTGCTGCAAGGCTGGGACATGTCGCTGATGTCCGAGACGCTCCCGGCAGCCTTCCAGGCATCACCAAGGGCGTTGCTGGCCTCTCCCTCGGCCTTCACGGCTCGACCCTCCTCGGCTTTCTCTCCACTTCCTGCGGCCTTCGCAGCCTCACCCAAGGCACTTTCAGCGGCCCCAAGCGCCCTCACAGCGGCTCCCAAGGCACTGTCCGTGAAGCCGAGGGCGCTGGAGGCGGCCCCGGCAGCGTTGCTGTCTTCACCGGCGGCTTTGAGGGCAACGCCCAGGGCATGCACGACAACACCGCGAGCCCTGGCGGTTACGCCAAGGGCCTGTACGGCAACGCCAAGGGCCTGTACGGCAACGCCAAGGGCCTGTACGGCAACGCCAAGGGCATGTACGGCAACGCCAAGGGCGCTTTCAGTGCTGCCGGAGGCGCTGACGGCGGTCCCGGCTGCATTGGAGGCGGTGCCTAGCAGCAGCGGCAGCAGCAACGGCAGCAGCAATGGCGCAGCTACCAATCGGGACAACATGCAGCAGGTGCCATGTACGGCGGCGGCTCCGATAGCGGCGGCCGTTGTGAGGGGGACGTCGGCCGCCTCACCACGCGTGCTTATTAGCCCCTTTGCCGCGCTCAGCAATGCGGCTACTGCTGCAGCTGCGGAGGCTTTGGGCGGGGATGCTAGCTCCGTTCCGACCTTAACGAACAGTGCTGTTGTCAACGCAACCAGTGTTCGTGCAGCGGCGGCAGCAGCAGCAGCGGGCGCTGCCGCCGCCGAAGCGGCATCCTCGCCGTCCTCTGGCGGCCATGAGCCCATTACGCTGGACGTTGGTGGCATCAGGGAGCGAGGGTGGACCAGCTCCGGCGATGGAGCTGCTTCCGGTGCCGTTGCTGTTGGTTCAAAGGCTGCGCCTTTCAAAGAGCGGATCACGTCGCTGCTTCCGCTGCCGCCGAGACCTAGCCAGCCGCTTCCGTCTCCTCCCTCACGGCCGATTGCGCTAAAACGCAGCAACACCACTACCGGGGCTGTCAGGACCTCCACCTTCACATTGACCTCCTCCTCCAGCAACGGCCAACACCGACAACAACAACAACAACACCTACAACACCTACAACACCTACAACAACATCAACAACACCGACAAGACAAACAACAAGAACAGCGCCAACAGCAGCAACATCAGGAGGCTAATACGGCACGCTCGGTCGCTGCTGTGGGTGATGTGGCATGGTCGGTGTTCCGAAACCCCCTGGGAAGCGTGGAGCCGGCGCCGCGGGGGGAGGCGGACGGCGCCTGCAGCTGCTATCAGAACCCGCTTGCTAGGTGGCATACGGGTGGTGAGGGCAGCGGGGAGCAAGGAGATGACGATGACGATGGCTCGATGGGGGAGATGGGAGGGCTGCAGGGCCGTGAGTTTTGCGGTGGTGGTGGTGGTGGTGGTTTCGGGGGTTTCGGCATTGCAGTGATGGTCGGCAGCGTTGTGGGCAGGAGCGGCGGTGTCGGCGCCGGCGGTGGCGCGGTCGCTGGTGGCTGCTTGGTCGGGCAGCTTGAGTATCCGCGAAGTGGGGATGCGGATCCAATGCTGCCGGTAATGCCTTGGGTTCCGGAGGATGGCGTGCTTGCTGACGGTGATGGTGGTGGGGTTGTGGCGGTCGATGCGCCTGCTGCGTCTCATTGGATGAGGTCGCGGTCACTTGGGCGTGTTGGGCTTTGAGGTTTGTTGAGGACAGCAGCTGAGCCGCGCGGCTGTACTAACCATAGCTGATGTGGTGCATGGCGTTTGTGCAAGGCGGGGCCGCGGATGGGGGGTACCGGTCTTCTGTTTAGGATGCATGAATTCAGAGGTGCTGTTTTGCCGCAGTTGGCTGCTAGGAGTCTTTGCAGGTTCTATATGCACGAGTTCGCTACAAGGCATGGCTGTACGGATGACGGGTAAATTGGGGAATTCGGGATTGAGAAGTTAACCGTCCTCCTAGCTGACGTGCATAATGCTGGGAGGACTACGTCGTTGAATGTGTTGACCGCGATAGTTGCCATGTTTGTGCCAGGAGTTGCCTTGTGCCTCGTTACTGTGTGCAAGGAAAGGCAGCAAGAATGCTTTTGCCTTCGCTCCATGTCTAGCATTGCCTAAGCCTTGCCTAAGCAGATAGTGTTTACGCCTTGCGTGTAGGATGGTTTGCATCCGCAGTGGGGATGTCGGCTTCGCTGGGACGTTGGGGCTTTCTGATGTGTAGGGGGGCCTGCATGGAAGGGCCACAAGGGGTGTGTAGCGATCAGGAGGCGCAGCTGTTGGGAACTTTTGATGTGTACGGAGGATGTATGTAGGGGCATCAGAGTGCTGCGTCGTCCATGTCAAGGCGCATGTACCATGTCGGCATCGTTCGCGGTTGTTGTCGTTGGACAAAACCACCAGGTTGCAAACTTTGTAACGGGGAGCATGCGGCTTTCCTGTGGATGCATGACGTTTGCTGGTAGGGCGGGCTTAGGCATGGAAGAATTGGAACTCGAGAAGGAAGGGAATGTTTCCTGACCATGCATTGCGGGTTGTCACGGGCAAAACCCAATGTCATTGTGGATGTCGGCACGCGGCTTTAGGGGTCCTGGTGCTGTGCTACTAGAAAGCAGTTGCAATTGTGAACTTAGCTGCTGTGTGACGATCAGGGGAGGTTTTGTAGTGTTGCGGGGAAAGAAAAAGCAAGGAGATGTGTAGTCCCGTTTATTCCGTTAGTAGGTTATCCAGCTGTAGCTCTTGTGCTTGAAGGAAGCCGTATGTATGCAACGGCAAAAAGACCTCTGCCGAAGGGTGTGTGGACTAATAATCTGTTCAGTTGGTCCAACGCGATAAGTAGAGTCTGCCTAGCAGGTACATCCCTAATCAGGCTTGCAGGTTTTGCACCTGGATAAGGTGCAGGCCGTGGTTTTACTTAACCGTTCGTACGTTGTTAGCACGGCAGGCGAAGCCCATGTTGATTGGACGACGTGTGGGAGATGTGTGCGCTGCGAGCATGTTTTGGAATACATGCTGGGTATTGTAGTGATTGTGAGGAATTGCACAGGAATGCTTGCTGAGGGGAACTGTTGCGACGTTTAGCACACAACACGGCATTTTGTACTGCTTCGCTAACCGCAAGTTGCTGTTGCACACTAGTATGCCTTGATTCTGTGCGCGTGTGTGCGATAGAGAGATACGAATAAGGACAAGGATACGGCCATGGAAGGGTACAATCCTACGTACGATGATCCTGCTTTCAGGGGTTGCCATCTTGCCAAGCAACGGCTCAGTACGCCTTTTGTGTTGCCCTTTTGTACGAGATGGCACTGAAACCCTCTACGTAATGACCGTACGAATTGTGTCCTCATCCGCGTCTTGTTAAACAGCTGCCCGGTGCATGCGGTGCCCTACACACGGCTGTAGACATGGACGGCTGTGGAAGCCCCCCTGCAAGAGGCAGTTGTACATACCGGCACGTATGTAGTCTACCAATCCGCGTCCAGAGCCTTGCGCAGAGGCGCAGCGCAGCCAGGACCAGGACCCATACATGAAGCTAACTCGCTCTTCCCCTGTTGGCAGCTGGCGCAGGCAGCTCCACAGCTCATCACCATCATCACAATCAGCATCATCAACATCATCAACATCTGCAGAAGCAGCAAACCGCTCTAGAAAGGCCGTCTTGAGCATGTTGTCGACATCGTCCCCACGCCAAAGGAACAGTACCTCGTAATCGCAGTGTTGCCTGTCCGGCAGACAGTAGCGCACATCTAGTCGACGGCATTCAGCCTATGCATGCATGCCCCCGAAACCCAATGACCGGGATGCACGAATCAATTGGAAGTACACACCGCTCTACACACCGGATAGCTCAAAATGGCTACACTCCCCACGTACGGCAAACCAAGCAAAAAACGCAGTTCACTCAGCCCTCCCCCACACACACGCACGCACCCCCAAGCAAGCCTATCCAAACACCTCCCTCTCATTACCGCTGCTCCACCACCTCCCATCTACCCGTCAACCCGGATTGACATGCGGCGTCGCATCCACGTCTCATGCTGATGCCCGCCGCCGCTGTGGCCGCCGTGATGATGCCCATGGTGGTGACCTCCCCCATGGTGCCTGCCGCCGCTGCTGGCACGAACCCAGGCAGCGGGAGCCCCCGGAGGCCGCACCGCTGCCGTACCCGCACCAACTGTCGTACCCGCAGTCGTATCGCCGCCGCCTGCTGACATCATGCCCATGCGCAGCCCGAAACCCATGCCGATGGAGGTACTGGCGAGGTCAAGGGAGGGCCGTCGTACCGCAGCGGTGGTTGCAGCGGCGGCGGCGGCGGCGGCAGCCATGGAGGCGAGCGGCATGGGGGGCCCCACGACGGCGGTGCCTTGGTCGAGAGCCATCGACGCTGCCAGCGTGCGAGTACGGCACACCGGGCAGGTGCATTTGCCACAGGTTGGGCAGAGGGCGGGGGCGTTGCATGCCGGCGGCAGAGACGGGGATCGCGCAACGTCGGCGGCGGCAGCAAACGCCGAGGGATGCGGTGGTAGGGGCGGCAGGGGACGTAGCTGTGAAGGGCTGCCGGCGGCGCCGCCGCCGCTGCCGGGAAACACTGCTGACGGCTGCTGTCGGTATGTCCCCGAGGGAACATTGCTGTGCCCTCCTCCTGCTGCTGCTCCTCCTCCTCGTATCGATGGAGAGTACGGCGGACGAGGCAGCTGGCGAGGATCTTGTACGGCAACGCCATCTGCTTCGCGTGTTTCGTAGGCAGACAACGACGACGCTTCTGTAATCTCGGTGGCTTCCGCCACCGCCCTAGCTGATCCTGCTGCCGGATGCTGCGTTGATGAGGCTCCCTCCCCATCGCCCGCCACTGCAAAGTAGTCAAAGTTTTCCATGACGGCGCTGATTACCGCGTTGCTTAGGACGGTGCCGCCAGCGGCGGTGCTACCGGCGGCGCCGTCACTGGGTCCGTCGTCTACCTCCGCGGCCGACACCGAGTGGACCGTTGGGAGCACCGGCTGGTGGTGATTGGGCCGGCGTACGAGCGGCGATCCCCCGGCGTCGACGAAGCGAAAGGCTGACGTCGTGTGTGCGATCTGGGTCAGGCTGTCGCAGCGAAGGGAGGCTACCTCGGTCTCGGAGTGAGATCCATGCAAGCCGCCGACGCTGCCATTACCTACAGCATTCCTCCTCTCTGAGAAGGGGCCCAGGACCCCAAACGGCTGTTGCTGTTGGTGGTGGTACTGCTGCTGCTGCTGCAAGTTGTAATGCGGGAAATGTGGCAACTGAGAGTGCGAGGCGCCAGAGGGGTTGACGGCGGGATCCGGAAGGTGAGTCGCATCTGTGGCAACGGAGAGACGCGACGGCGCCGGCGGCGGCCGATTTGCCGTACCCAGACCCAACGGCGGCGGCTGCATCGTCCCGCCTGCCACCCCAGGTGCCGCGGCAGCGGCGGAAGCGGTCGCAGACCATGAGGGCCTCTCCCCTGTGCCACCGCCACCGCCGCCGCCGCTCCCCATGCTTGCCAGGCCTCCGCCGCCGCCAGAGCTCACGCCCAGCGTCGCCGCCTCCGCTGCTCCCGACGTCAGCGCTCCGCCACACATGCCGCCGCCGCTCCCGCCGCCGCCATGGGAGGCCTCCTGACCTGGAATCAGCTGCGACGAGCGCTGCCGTTCCAGCCCGGCGACGCTGCCGTCACCTCCGCCTCCGCCGCTAGGTGCATGCCCCAGCATCGCCGCTACATCTGCCATCGACACGCCCAAGCCGGGTATTCCGCCGCCGCCGCCACCGCGGCCGTACTGGAACGACAGGGCAGGTGACGGCGCCGCAAGGCAGGCCCCGCCAAAGGGCACGAAGGAGGAGGCGCCCAGCGCGTCCTTGGATTGCCTTGCCAACATGAGCGACTGTAGGAGGACGGGAGGGGACGGGAGGAGGAGGGTTGACCAGATGCCCATGTGGGCGTGTTGCCAGCCAGGTTCCGGGAGTACCGTATCGGTACACAGGAGGATCCACAGGAGACGGCGCATGCAGGCGTGTTTCACACATGCGGAGGTCAACTCAGATAGCACCCCAAGGGAAGGAAACCCACCTTCCTCCTGCTGCTCCACCCAAGATGTTTATAAAAACTGGTCGGCGAGTCGGAACGTACCCAAGGTGTGTATGCAGAGAACTAACCCCACCCCAGGCTTGTGCCGCGCACCCCCCCACCCACCATGGTAACCAGCCCCCTCCTGCGCCCCGTGGCTCCCCCGCCCAGCTCCAGGGTGGTGTTGATGCCCGCTTCCAGCCAGGAGGAGAAGAGGAGGGCCATGGAGGGGTTGTCGTGGGCCTGTGGGTGCGTGGAGGGGTGAGGGAGGACGGGCAAAGGGGAGGGAAGAGGGAAGGGAAGGCGTGCGAGGGGTTACGGAGGTGGGGAATGTGCAGTTGGTGCCGGTATGCGGAGAAGAAGCGGGGAAGCAAGGCGGCGACTTAAACGCACCCACCCGTGCCACGCCAAGAAGGGGGCAGCACAGCCAAACACACTCACCCCAACCAAGGCCTCTAGGTTCTTATCCGCCGAGTCGAGAAGGGAGGGCTGCTTGAGGATACGAGCCAGCACCGCCGCCATCTCATTCCAGTACGTGTCGCGGCGGGGGATGCGCTCCAGCTCCCGGATCAGTCGATCGCGGATGTCCTGTTGTGTGGACCACACGTGGGCGTGCGGCGTGACCCATGGGTCGTATGGAGCGCCAATGGAGAGCATAGCAGAGCGTCGAAAACCGGCCAACCAACGATGGTCACAGCGACCCATGCTGAAGAGATGACCCATGGGTCATCACAGGGTGACTCACACGCCACGTCGAATGACGCCTTTCCGGACAAGTACCGGTACCCAACACGCAGACGCACTCACCCACAACGCGTGGTTGATCAGGCGGGGGTACACCCGCAGCAGCGGCTCCAGCTCCTCCCACCGCAGCTCCCACAACCTGCAGCCATGCACCCATCCACACCGGGTGGAGTACGCGTCACCCTCCCAATCACAGGAATCACACCACACGGCCCTCGGCCTCCTGCCCTCTCGGCAACGGCCAGCTTTCCCCAACCAACCCGCATGCGCCCTTGCTCCAAGCACATCCGTGTTGCCCTGCCCAAACACGAACTACCACGCCCCACACACCAGCCGCCCCCCACCTGCATGCGCTCCGTGTCCTCAGCGTCCAGGGCCGAGTGGATGCCACATCCATCATGCCCCGCAGCAGCACCCCCTCCCCCAGCAGCGCCACATTGCCGTTGGTGGGGTTGGTGTTGGCCTCCTTGTGCCGCAGCGCCACCACGTCACCCGACTCCAGCAGCCACAGCCGGTCAGCCAGGGTGCCCTGAATGCACAGGTCGTGGCCTGCAGCAGCAGCAGCGGGGGGGGGGGGGGGTCAAAGACCATACCGAACCAGCAGCGGGGGGGGGGTACCAGAACAACAGGTTAAGGGAGGAGGGAGAGGTTAGGTTGGAGGAGAAACGCAACCTGTGAGTGAGGACACGTCATGGGCGGCCTATCGTGGCAAGCCACCGCACCCGACCCAACCCCTAAAGACTTACTACCGTAGTAATCGTTGAAAACCCCTGCACCGTGGACCACCATGTACCTTATCACCATGCTCCCTCTTTCCCTGCTCCCCCCCAGTCCTCCTCCTCCCTCACCAGGCGGCACCTCCACGGGTGTGAACAGCTCCGACAGCAGGTCCCGCAGCTCGGGCTCGGCGGTGGAGAAGATGTGCACCTGGGTAGCGGAGGCGGGGGGGCATGTGGGGTACCCAAACCACAGGGGCAGTGGGGATATAGGGGCAGCAGGATGTCACCAGTTGGCACCAGTTGTGGGGTGTGGGGGGCCATGTGAGGAGGAGAGGCAAGGGGGTTCCCCCTCCCGCCAGTCCACTACCACCACCTGTGTCGTACCTTGTCCACCAACGGCCGTACGATGTGCCGTACCACCTGCTTCCGGAGAGTGGAGGGCAGTCCGTCGATCACTCCCTGCTCAAAGTTGAAGTCGCGCCGCGAGAGCTCAGTGTCAGCAAAGTACACCTGCAGGGGGGGATGACATGGGGGGGCATGAGGGGGCATGAATGGATAACCGCTAATAGTAATTGCTAACTGTATACTGCAACGGTTAGGAGGTACCGTACAAGGCACTGGCTGAAAGACCACATACATGCGGCACCACCACATGCGCCGTGCTCCCAAGCTTCCATGCAACCCCATGCATCCCGCCTTCACATGCCTCCCTCCGCGGCATTTACGCGGCTCAGTTTATCTAATCCATCCGCCTCCCCTGCTTTCCCCTGCTCCCCCCCGCCCCCACCTGCAGCTCCTTCATGACGCTGGCGGGCAGGTGACGCAGGCGGGCCCAGTACGACACCCGCCCCACCTCCTTGCGGGAGCAGTACAGCGCGGTGGCGTGGTTGGAGGCCTGGGGTGGGGGGGGGGGCAAAGGAGAATTCCCAATGCGTTGAATGAACATGCAAACCAGACGACAAGCAGGAGGAGAAGGAGAAGAGGGAGCAGAAGGCGAGAAGCGCATGTGCCATGATGGTTAATAGGCGCTCACAGCTTGATACACACCTATAAATATGTTTGGAGCGTATCAGCTCATTTTGCAAACGGCAGTCTGTGAGTACACAGAAGGGTGTTGTGTGGGCCGGTAATGTGTTGGTGCACCACCCCACCCCACCCACCTGAATGAGCGCTCGTCCAACCACTCCAACCACCAGACCGTTGAACACCATGCCGTACACCGAACAGAAGTTGGAAACGATCTGCTCGCCCAACCGCCGGGGCGCCTGACCCTGACCTGCGGTGGTGAGCTGGACGGGAGGCGGAGGGAGAGGAAGGGAGAGTTAACCCTGTCCCTGCACTAGCATCACGAGGAGGTGTCGAATGACGGGGGCTACTGGTAACCCATGGGAAGAAGGCAAGGCGACGAGTGAGGAACACCCCACTACCCCCCCCCAGGATATGGCCACCACCACCACCACCCCTCACCACGGTAGTCACCCAGTAGCAAGCCGACAAAAGAGGAACACCCCTTCTCCTCCCTCCCTCCCTCCCTCCCTCCCATTCCCACCCCCCCACCCCCACTCCTCACCACGGTAGTCACCCAGTAGCTGGCATGCATCCACAGCACCGCCGGCGACATCGCCTCACCACCATCTCCACCACCACCTCCGCCTCTAAAGTCGACCCACTTCATGCTGTCATACCAGGTGGTTTCGTAGCCGTAGTAGGCTGCCAGCAGGATCATGAGGGAGGCGGTGAGGTTGATGATGACCAGGAACTAGTGGGGGGGGAAAGGGGGGGCGGGGAGGAGGAGGAGGCATGGTGGGTTTAACCGGGGAGAGGGGGCAAGTAAGGGATGGGCGATCCGCACATGGGGAAGAGGATGAGGAGGACCTACCCCTGCTCCCTACCTCCTTCTTTGTCCCCTCTTCTCTCCCCCCTTCTCGCAGCCAGGGTCAGTCCTTCTCGCGGCTCAGCTTACCTAACATCCTCCCCCTTCCCTTCCCCGCACCTCCACCTGTCACACAGCTCGCTAGCTGCCTCGCCAGTTTCCTTCACTCCTGCCCCCCCCCCTTCCCTCGCTCCCCTCCCCTCCCCTCTCCTTCTCCCCCGCCCCCGCCCCCCGCCCCCCCCCCCACCTGGTACAGCAGTATGATGAGGTACATGTGCGACACACTGACACGCTGGGTCACCCAGGACATGCGGTAGTGCCCGGACAGCGAGTCCTGGTACACTACCTGGGGGGGGAGGGGGGAGGGGTGGAGGAGGGCGGGGAGGAGGAAAAGAAGAATCCCAAGGTGTTGATCCAGAGGGGGGGGTGCGGGGGGGGGGAGAGCGGGCATGCAGAGGTATGAAGGATGCTGATGACTTGTGATCGTGGTGTTGATCACAGCCGCAGTTGCCCTCCTCCCTCCCCTCCTCCCTCCCCTCCTCCCTCCCCTCCTGTCCCCCCCCCTGCCCCCCCCTGCTGGCCCACCTCCTGCCCCCCCCATGTTGCCCCACCTTGACCGTGTTGCCCAGCCGCATGAGCCGCACCAGCCGCAGCAGCGACAGCAGCCCCAGCAGCCGCCCGGCGTTGCTGAGGTGGGGGGAGGAGATGGCGTAGAACTGTGCAAGGGGAGGGGGCAGGGCATGGGAGGCAAGTGTGAGGGGGGCGGAGACAGAGGTGGGAAGACAGAGACAAGGGCGGTGTGGGTTTGTGCCGCCGGCTCTACCGAGCAATGTGACTCGCGGGCGGTGTTTAGAACACAACACTCGATATGGCCAGATGCATCCTGGCCCGTCCCACCTACCAGAACGAACAAGGGGATGGAGGCCAGAAAGTCCATCACAAACTTGCCGTACATGATGTACATGCGAGACACCTCGGGGCCGTCCATCAGTACGGCACGTTTGGTTCCGGAGGACAGTACGACACCCATTTGAAAGCCCAGCAGCAAGTTGACCACGTACACGATGCCTGTGTGTGTTTCGGTTATCATTCGCGTGTGTCAGGAAGGGGGGGGGCACGGGGCAGGGAGGTAAACCGAGCCGTTAGGGATGGGTGCACCAGGGTTTCGACTTGCAGCCGGTTTTTCCCCTACAAGAGCGCAAAGCCCCCTTCCTATTTTACCCGCTCCCCCTTCTTCATCTTTCCCCTCCTCACATATACCGATGCACCCCTTCCGCCCTGCCTGCCCCTCTCCCCTCCCACCTCACCTCCCGCCAGATCCGTTCTCGTACAGGTCTGGCTCCAGTCGCCGTACGTGGTGTAGCAGAACCCCACGTTCAGCGGTACCCAAAAGGCGGTGAAGGTGAGGTCGAACAGCAGCATGGCCAGCCGCCAGTAGACCGCCAGAGGGGAGTAGGGGTGCAGCATGGACGTGCCGAACAGCGAGTTACTGCGGAGGAGGAGGAGGAGGAGGAGGGAAGCGGGGGAAAACAGCGGGGGGTTCGGTTATTGTGGGCGGGGAGGTGAGGAAGTGGGAGGGAAGGAAGGACCAACACAAACGCCAACAACACAGCGGCGCCACCCCCACATGGTCGCGGTCGTCTCCACCTACCACCCACACCCTCCCTGCCACCCACCACCCAGTTCCCCTAGGCTCCATGCCCCCCCACCCGCCCTCTAGATTGTCAGTTTCCTTTTTTTATTCCCCCCTCCTACCGGTGCAGCTTGGACACCAGCGGCGCCAGTCGCTCCCAGATGGAGAGCGGCACGTCGATGTGGCGAGCCATCAGGCCGTAGATACCCATCACTGGGGGGTGGGTGATGTTGGGAGTGGGTTATGGGTGGGGTAAATGGTTGCAAGGTTGCCAGACTGTGGGTGGCAGGAGAAGTGTAAGCACGGCGATGGAAGTACGTTGCTTGTACCGAACCCATCCTGCACGCCTTTGCCAGGCAGGCCCCTCAACTGCAAACACCGAGGCACCCACGCACAGTCTGTCTTTCTAGGTACTCACTGTTCTCTCTTTTGATGTCATAGGTATTGTTGAGCACTTCCAAATTGTACTGGCTGTAAGTCCTTTTCAAGGACGCTTGGCGCCGTGACCTGGATAAGGTTCTCTCCATTTGTTTGCGAGGAACGTTGGCGGTCATCTCCTCGAACTTGTATGAAAATTTGCCGAGAGTGCCCGTCGCATCCATTTCTGGCATTCCTTGAGCAGGAACGTGGCCGTCGTCGCTTTGCTCCATTGTAGGTGTTCTACCTAAGCCCTTTTCAGCCCCTCTAAAGTGGGCACGCGTCGAAGCGCTTTTAGGCGGGGCCATTCTTCTCGGAGCAAGCCAATGCAGGTCGCAGGCGTGGAAGTAGCCGAAGTACTTTATCGTGGATGGCGATGCATATAGTTTGTTTAACCAATCACCGTGTGTGCATGCACCTCAGACGCCATTGACTGCTTCGGCAAGTATGCAAGAGCTTTCCAGGTGTGGCCCGGCCGAGAAAAGTACTCTACCAGGGCCATACAGACAAACCATACTCTTGATAAGGTCTAGGTGCGGCTCAAGAGATGCGTTTGTCAGGTTAACTGGTTAGTTGGTTGGCCATGGAGTACGACTGCAGTCGCAGCAATCAATCAAGATGAAATTCAAGTGCTGTTGCATTCTACCAGAGGCCAACGCACACAACAATTTGAAGCTGTTGGAAGTCTGGCGTCCGAGCTGGTAATTGCCATTTCATGCAAGGCGACAACCTTCATGTGCCCAGGACAAGCTGCGTCGCCAGCTGGACCGGCCATCTTTTTACCTGCTACTGGTTCCCAATGCCCGAACATAACCCTCTGATGCTGCGGGGTGGCAGCGGTGCAGCGGTTGGTCCCCAGGTAGTTACGCGGGCCTGGGCAGCACCTGGTGCTGACGGTCCCGTACGACGACGACGTAGTCTCATGTTGTACGGTAGTAGTCCCATGGCGCTCCCCGGCAGGAAACATGCTACAACCATGGCGAGCTTGCACCAGGCGTTCTAGCAGGCATGGTGGGTGGCATTAATACGATGTCAGCAACCACACCCAGACCCGTCTATGATGAATGAATGACCGTTACAATAGCTTCCCAAAAGGGAGCATGGGTGTTGAACCCAACTCTACACTGCAAGAGAGGAAGGTCTCAGCATTCGACCGGGTGTTGCGCACATGGCGCAATAGCTAGATCCACACACCCTTCATCTTTCGGCAATCACAGTACGTTTCGCCTCGCGGCCAGTTATTTTAACACCCTTAATAATGGGTTGGGTGTCGATACGGCGTGTATCGCTCGAGGCGGGTGTACTGCTGTACTCCATTGTACTGCTGTTATATGAGTACGACGTACAGCAGATCTTAAGCTGACCCAGTTGGCAAGGAACGAGTCAGTCACTGCGAACAGCTGCTGGCTAATGCCAGTAAAATAGGTGACGAGATGTGCCTTACCACAACCCAATTGTCAATCGGCGATCGGCATGCAATGATACATATTGGTGTAGTATGTGGCGACCCATGGGTCGTCTCGCGTCTCCCACGGCTTCAAATGACCTCCCTACTTTGTGCCAAAAGCGAAACCCAGGTGCATGCAACCATGCTGCTAGATTTCCACATACCACAAGTTATGATACAAAAGGCTGCAAAAGGCCTGCAAAAAGAGTAAGTTGTGCGCACACGCCGTTTCACTGCATTGGACGCCGCGCACGCACCATACCTACCCTACCATACACGCAAGCTTCAACAAGGCCCATTACCGGAATCACAAAATCTTCACCTGCCGATGCAGTTGGTCTGTCCTTCCCACGCCTCCATCCACCCGCATATATAATCATCAATGTACCCAAGTGACTAAGCACCCTAAGCTCCCAAGTGGTTCCAGCGCCACCATGCCCCAGTTAGTTACTTGCCAACAACGGCGCCAGCAAAGCCGTGTTGCTGTTGCTGCTGCATCAGCGCCGCCTTATCCGCAGCCGTCATGTTCAGCATCGGCTTGTCCTTCGCATCCCGTTCCGCCCGGTCCCTCTCAAGCGCCGATCCGTTGTTCCCGCCAGCCGCCATATGTTGCTGCTGCATCAGCTGTTGTTGCTGCTGCTGAGCCAGTGTGCGGGCCTGTTGTGCCAGGGACAGCCCACCCATGCCGCCGGCTGCTACTGCTGCCGCGCCGGTGGCGGAGGCGGTGACCTTGCGGCCCGCGCTGCCGACCACGGGGTTGGGTGAGGAACCCAACATGGCCTGTGGGGGAACGTGGAATGAAGTGAGGCATACCGGTACGTACGAACATGGGTCTGGATGGGGTAAAGAGAAGGCCAGCATTAGCAGCAATGCGGCGTATGGATAGCATGTTTGCGTCACTCGTGACGTCACTCATCCCTACACTTGCTACCTCCCCACACTACTCACCATCTTCACACCCTGTTCCGGTGTCCGGGCTGCTCCCACCGCCGCCAGCCGCCCGCCTAGCGCCGCCTGCTGGTAAACGAGCAGCGACGGCAGCCCAGACCGGGGTTTCAGGTCTACCCAAGGTGATTGTCAAGGTTGCACCCGTGTTCCCTTTTTAAGCGCCCTTTACGAGCATAGCGGGAAATAAGCCCCTTCCCCGAATCCATAAACCGACGTGGGCCGCACATGGCACCCACGCCTCACAACATGGCTTCCTGCCCACGTTTCAAGCTTTTAACCACACAACCAAGCAACATCAACCAACCGACAGCAACCCACCTGCTGTTGCAGCCCCTGCAGCCCCCCCTGCTGCTGCACCGGTGTCTGCATGGGTGAGGCCACGACGGATGCAAACACCGAGGAGGCATCCAGGTCCATGATGGCCCGGCTGGTGGGTCCCGAAGCCAGGGAGGGGCCGTGCACCAGTGTGGAGTGAACGGAGTGGAACTTCCGCTGCAGCCGCTCCACGCGCCTGAGCTCCTCTTGGAGCTCCGCGGCGCGACCCTCTAGGGCGCTGCGTACGGCAGCGGCGTCAAAGACGTCATCTAGGCCCTGTGGGTGGATGTGTGGGTGGAGGGAGGAGGGAGAGTATGAGTGGAGGGAGGAGGGAGGAAAAGCGAGAATCAGAAGTGAAGAGAGAGGAAGGGAAATGATGCAAGCTGGGTTTGCTGTGGGTGTTAAGTTGGGTAATCAGAGAGCAGGACTGTCAACAATCGATAGGAGATGCTGAGAACAGCTGGAGGCCGGTGTCCATCATATGTGATGGGTCATGGCGGTCCCTCTTGCGCCCTCATGGGTCATGGCCAACCTGGGGCACCGTTTATATATCTACAGACCCAGACGCTCCCTCGCTCCCCTACCTCTTCGTACGCGCATTCGATTTCTTTGCGCAGTCGTGAAGGGAAGGAGTCGACGAGCGGCATCAGGAAGAAGCAATTGAACTTGAGCTCTGCGGCCTGTTGCCGTGGCGTTTGGCGAGCAGGGAGGGCGACAGGGTCCGGGTAAGCATGGCCAGTGGGGACATGGGTGAAGGAGGTCAGCAGCCGAGCTGGACTCGCGGATGCAGGCTGTCCTTAATACACACAACCATCATTGCAATCATCAGCGAGACAACACCGGCACTTACACAACTGTCTCCGACACAGCTGCACCAGTCAGTGTCCTCAAGTGGCCCCCCTACTTGTCCGTCCTTTCCCGTAACCCGCTCCGCCTCCCCGCCTCTTCCCCGTCACTTCCCCGCCTTTCCCCCCTCCCCACCTGCACAAGCTCGTCAGTTCACCCTCCCCCCCCACCTGCACCAGGTAGTCCCGGACGCCCTCAAACATCTGCAGCACCAGCGCCCTCACGATGTCCTCGCTCACACAGGTGAGGTTCCTGGTAGGCAGGGGGGTGGGAAAGAAGGGTTACCGCTGTGGTAAAAAACCTTTCCGCGATTTCCGTTGTGATGAACGATAATGGCAAACATGGTGACAAGCCCCTGAAGTTGTTCCTAGTGGGGGCATCAAGGGGGTTGGTGCGACATCATGGGGCCGCAAACGCTGTGAGCACAGCAGCGTGTCTCCTTGAGGGGGGGCTTTAGGGTTAGGATGAAGAGAGGCGTCCAGGGTCCAGCGCAGCTTGCGTTGGGCAACGGATACGGATAACAGGATTAGAAGCCAGCACCCTCGTCGTCATGAAGACACGGACGCACGTGCTTCATGTGCTTCAACTGCACAGTGCCCCAGCCTTCCAACCATGCCTTCAAGCCTCAGCAACCTGTTTCAGCGGCTGCACAAGCTGTCTCCGTACCCAACCAATCACCCAGCCACCTGCTGAGCTTCCTCCTTACCCAGAGACTCACTTGTTCCAACCTCATTCAACACATTGGGTATTCTTCTTTTACCCACCTGTTCCATAGCGTCGCCTCCAGCATGTCCGGTAGGATCATGGGGCCGCTGCAGGAGCCGCCCCCGCCGGCGTTACCCATGGAGGGTTCGCGACTGAGTACGGCAGCTAGACCCGCGGACCCGCCCTGCTTGCCGCCGTTGGGTGCTGGGTTGCTGGTGGTTGCAGGGCCGTTGTTTCCGTTGGAGTTGTTGGGGCCGACCGTTGCGCTGCCTCCGCCGTCGGATGAGGTCAGACGGAGCTGTGCCCGGGTGAGGGATTGAGCCAGGGTGAGGAAAAAGTCAATGATTTGCCAACATGACCCATGGGTCGTCAACATGCCTGTATACGCGTTTAGGAACTTAGGATAGGGGCTCGAAACACTACAAAGCCCCTGCGTTCTCAATCTCAGTGTCGCCGCCAGCTCGCATGCCCGTACCTTGCCCAGGAACTGCCTGAGCCCCTTGCCGTTGCGCGTGTGCAGGCTCCAGCTGACGTAGCGAGTGGTGGAAGCCAGGTCCTCCAGACACCTGGCAGGATGGGTTACGGGGCAGGTGCGAAGGGTGTTACGTGGTAAAAGCCTTTGGTACCATCGGTACATTCGGTACCATGCGTTCTTATCCTAATCGGATCTAGCAAGCATCTTCCTTGCTCATACAAACCACGCTCATACCCCAACTCGTAGACCGCCAGTAGACCGCGAGGTGACCACGAGCTACCAGCCTGCCTTACCCCGCACCCCCTCAACCAAAACCCAGGATCTGCGGAAGCACGGACCCACCCACCCACCTCTCTTTGCAACTCTCCTCCACCTGGCTCAGAAACGAGTGAAACGTGCTGGACACGCGCCTTACAAACTGATCCGTCAGTGCAACCGCAGGCGGCGCCGCCAGTCCGCCGCCGGGTGTACTGCAGCCGATGCCGGCTCCGTAGGCACCAGCGGCGGCGCCGCCTCCGTAGGATGCCGAGCAGCAGCCGTCCAGAGGCTGCTGCTGCTGCATGAGCGCGAGGCTGATGTGCAGCAGTCGGCGGAGCACATGGGCTAGGCGGGAGCCCAGCTGTGTGAGGAGGGAGTTGGGTGTGAAGGATGAAGGGGTGGAGGAGAAAGGAAGGAGGAGTGGAAATGTTGTAGTTCGGACAAAGATGGAGGGGCAAAATGAAGACACCACCCATCCACCCACCCACCTACCAGCCCAGACGCAACCTCCATTCCAGTTATGCTTAGCCCTAAACTATGTTTCCTGGGTACCCCCACCTGATGGATGAAGGGCTCCAGCAGCTCCCGCGCCTTGCCCACCGCAATCACGCAGGCCGCCCGCACGTAGTTGGCGCCGTCATGGCCGCCCTCCATGTCGAGGCCGCACGCGTTGACGATCTCCTCGGGGCTGACCTCGGGGCAGGGCAGCGCGCCAACCACCAGCCTGGGAGGGAGGTAAAGAGGGAACGAACGAACGCTGACCATGCAGACATTCATCCATTCCATCCATCAATCTGGTTCGACATCCCACCCAAATGCGGAATATGTATCCCTGTTAAACCCCACCCCACCCACCTGAACTCCGTCATGGCCCGGTGGAACTGCGCCCCCCCGTACAGCCGCATGCCCGCATTGGGCACCGGCTCCGACAGGGGGGGCTGCTGCAGCCGGGAGCTGGCGTGGGCGGCAACAAAGGAGCCTGGCACGGGAGGGTGGTTTGAATGGCCGTCACAGTGGCTACGGGAGAAGGGAACACGGGTAACAAACCCAACCCCACCCTACCCTACACTGAGAGTAATGCGGGAAGCGCACCAAAGTCCGCAGCACTCAGTTGGATCGACACACACCTTTTCAACCGCGCATGCGTGTGCTCCATGCCTGCGCATGGGGCAGTCGCAGTGCACCGCATACCTGCATACGCTACCTGCCCTTACCTACCTACGCATCAATTCCCGTGGTCATTCATTCAATTCCCGTGGCTGGCTGGGCTTCACACCCAGCCCGCAACCCGCCCCACCTACCTCCGCGTGAGTGCTCGTCCGCCAGCGTCTCGCCCCACTTGTCCGCGGGTGCTGTGATGGTGCCCCGCAGCAGCTGCTGCAGCCGGTTGAGAAAGGCGTCTACGAAGGCTCGGCCCTTGTCCTGTAGGGCGCAGGTGGGTAGGTGGCGGGAGCGGGGTGGTCCTGGTTAAGCAGCCGCTACTTAACCCCCACATGCCTGTCCCTCTCTCGCAGTGCAAACCAGCACAGCTCCACACAAATAGTGCATGCATGAATGGAGCACTCTTACAACGGTCCCTTTGGAAAAACGTAGGGAAGGAACGTAAGCAACGTAAGTACCTTGAGCTGCTCGGGGTTCAGGTTGGCCAGATCGCGCCGCACCGCCTCCATGCGCTGCAGGGTGGCTCGCTGCTCAGCCTCCAGCAGCGGAACGATGGAGGGAACCGCGTCCAGGTAGCGTCGCTGGGGCAGCAGCAGCAGGAGTGGGGGGGAGGGAAAAGAAGAATACCCAGGTGTGTTGAATGAGGCAGCAGGGGGAGGAGGTGGGCGTGGAAGACATGTGGGGAGGAGGGGACGGAAAGGATCCGGACGTGTGGAGGAGAACAAAGGTACTGGTGAGCGTCAAGGTGATGCAGAATGGCAGTAGGATGCCTACATGGGCTCACCGCCGGGCCGTACCATCAATCCCCCACCACCCCCCTGGTCCTCCCGCATCCCCTGCAGCAGCTGCCCCACACGCAGAGCAGCTGCTGATCCTGGAGTGCTCACTTCTTCTGTTCTCTCGCCCCCACCCCAACCCCGCGTCCTCCCTCCCCATTGTTTTGCCCACATTCTTGGGCTCCTGTGGTTTGGTTTGGACCTGACTCTTCCTGACCCTCCCTCCCCCTCACCTGCAGCAGCTGCTCCAGGTAGCGCCGCAGCGCCCCCACGCCGATATGGTCCCGCTCAGCGCGACTCAGCCTGCCAGGAAGGGGTAAAAACGGGTTACAGAAGACCAAGCTGTTCGAGAGCCAGGGATCCATCCCACCAGCCACCACCCCCACTCACTTGCGTCCCAGCTTTGCCTCCAGCTCGCCCACATCCGTCACCTCCCGCTCCGCAAGCCTCTCCCGAAAGGCATCATGGCTTGGGAACACGCAGTCGGCTCCGCAACCCACACGGCCCGAGGGAACCGAGGTGAAGAAGGGCGCATCGCCCAGCATGCCGCATCCCTCTAGAAGCGCGGGCTTGAGAAACATCTCGCAGTCGGCGGCACGCGCGAATTGCGGGATGCGCGTGTCGAGCTTGGTGCTGACCAGGACGGTGCGGTTGAGGCTGGGGTCGACCTGGAGGGTTGGGGGAAGGGGCGGGGGGAGGGAGACCAGTAGTTCGCAGCATTCAATAAGTTAAGAGATAGTTAGAGGTAACGGGCTAGGAGTGCGATTAGGTAGAGAACCTGGTGGAACAAGGGTGCCGAGTGCGGTGGGGTTGAGGCTGGGGTCGACCTGGAGGGTGGGCGAGGCAAGGGGTGCATGCGGGCGTGAAGGGTGGGCGGAGGTGAAGGGTGGTAAGAGGGGAGCTGGGGGTGGGATGGGCTTCTGGAGCCTGAAGTAGCACCGTGTTTGCTAATGGCCTGGCCCCTCTGCCCAAACATGTTGAAGGAGTGCCCGTTACCCTGGTTCTAATGCTGATAGACCTCCATTGAACTGTTACGGGACTGCATCTCCTCTCCCATTCACCTCCCTGGAGCTTTATCACATGGTTAATTTCTTTTTCTTTTCATCCCTCCTTTCTTTACCTTCAAACCACCTACCTGCATGACCAGGCGGCGGGTGGTGGCATTGCTCCAATCGCTGCAGTCCTCGAGGCACAGAATCACGTACTCGGGGGTCTGGGAGGAGGGGCCGCCAGGTGCAGCGGCGGCGCAAGGGGGAGCATCAGCAGCAGCGGGTAGGGGCGACACAGCGGCTTGCTGGCATATGGCAGGGAGGAGAAAACGAGTTGCCTGCATGCCAGCGTCCCATGCCCTCATAACGTACACACGGTGCCGGGGCCATTGGACCTGTTACAGTGCTCGTTAAAGGGTGCTCGTTGAACATGTTGAAGTGCCCGGAAGAGGCGGCCCGATGCCGCCTCACCCCTCCCGCACCTGAGCCTTGGCGCGCACAATCTCCTCCACCTGCGCTGCACAGGCTTGGAGCGGGCAGTTTTTCTTGCCAGGTGCCGGGGAGATGAGGCCTGCAGGCAAGCAAGCAGCGACCCAACATGGCACCGCGGCCCATCATGTGAGATGCGTATTCACGCAGGACTTCGGGACAACAAATGGCCTAACTAGGACCAAGACCCTCACACGCCCTGTGGTCACATTAGAGCAGGCGTGTGGCGTGTCCTAAACAGGCAGGGGCCTCACCTGGGGTGTCGATAATGGTGAGGTTGGGGCAGTGCTTGTATTCCATGCGAACCACAATCTCCCGAGCGGCGAAGCGCTGCTCCTTCTCAAGCATTGCGTTGTCAGCGTCGATATAGGCCTGTTGGGGATGGGGTTGTGGGGGCGAGAAGGAACAGAGGCGTGTCACGAGTCAGGCATGCGATAACAACCCACTTTCAAAGGCGACCCAATCACCACCACGCACTTCGTGCACCCATGCACGCCTGCCCCCCACCTCCCACTACGCGGTTTCGGTAGGGGCCACTAACCCTCCGTCTGTCTTGTGAATCCCTGCCGCCTCATACCTCAATTAGCTTGCCCATTTGCGGTTTCGTATGGTTTGGACCCCCACTACGTTACCTGCAGCTCCGCTAGGCTGAGTTCCTGCTCCGAGCCTCCGTCCTCCGACTTGAGGTAGCAGGCGGGGGCAGCGCAGGAGCCGTTGTACTGCAGGGGGGGAGGGAGGGAGGTTGAGGGTGCAGAGATGGTGGATAGGGGAGGGGGCCCGAGAACGCGTGAAAAGAGGGCTCGGAAGGGGTGGGTTTTGAGCAGGAAGTGACAGGGTCGGGTGCTCTTGGATGCACTCGAAGACGACGGGCTGAAGCAATGAACACTGGCAACTAACCAACGAACGAACCGACCGAGCAGCTCGGCGTACAAACGGACCTTCATATGGATTGCGATGGGGCGGCGCGTCTTGGTGCCGCCTCCCACGCTGTTGAACTGGATTCGATGGCAGGTTGAGGGGAAATGGGAAGGGATACCAAGGGGAATGAGGGAAAGGGGAAGCGCATGCCACTGAGGACAGGACTGAGGAGCGAGGGCATTGCTAACCGCCGGTCATGTAAGGATGCAAAGATGGCTTGTGGGAGTGGTGGAGGGAACCCCAGAAGCAGTGCAGTGCAGAGCAGGACGGCACTGCCCTACAGGATTGTAGACGAGTCTCACTTAGTGTAGCTACGAATCGCGAATGGCGCTGCTGACAGTGCCTGGTGACGGTGGAATACACACCTGGAAACCCATCAAGGCCTCAATGAGGGCTGTCGTCGGGTTGTTGTACGGCACGAGGTGTACGACAGAGGGATTGGCAACAGCAGAGGGAGGATTGCAGATGAGTGGTCGGGCGAAATGATTAGGCAACCGGAGGGAATAGTCCGTCAACGAGCACAGAAAGGGCATGGGACGTTGACTACACAGGCAAGGACACAAGGTGGTTGTTGCCGGTACTCGCCCGGTACGGTTCCGAACGGATGCCTCGACTATAAATAATAGGGTTTAAAGTGCAAAGGCAGCAGGGAACGATAGAACTGCCGGGAGTGCAAGTTCGCGGCGTACCTGACTTTCCATCCGTCTGATGGCCAACCACCAGAATCGCAGGAGCGTCAAACGGCTTATTGAACGTCTGAGCCAGCATATGCAGCTCATTATAAGCATCTGGAGGCATAGTGATTGTTTCCAACTCAGCATAGTTTTGAAACGCGCGGATGTACATTCGGACCGCAGCTGCCCCGAAAGCGCGCAAGAAGCCATCTGGGAAAGCTATTGGGCGCGTTCGATATACCGTATAGCCGCTCGTGTCCTCGAAGCAGGCTCTTGCTGTTGCGACCGTTCAGTTGGTCTTGAACATCAAGCGCATTGTCGTCGGACGTCGCCATCCCAATGGTTTTTCCTTAACAAATGTCTACCAGGTATCTAACACGTCGCTTGTGTTAGCGACGACGCCGAGTGTAGGTGCGCTAGCAAGCTTCTTTCTTGTTCTGGCAGTATGCCGTGGTTTGCAGATCGCTGAAGTGAGCAGAGTGTGTCTTAGTGTTTTCGCTTAATTGTCTCGCATCCAGCTTTCATTTGCCAATGCGTGCCAACGTGGCTGAGAGTGCCATACAGCGACAGCTATGGATCCCACCGTACACTTCTCTTGCCATGGCAGCGTTTCCAGGTGCTCTGTGTTTTTAGCGCAGTAAGGCAGGCATACGAGAAAAATATGCTGCTTGGTTACTTGTAGATGATCGCTGCCAGCTAGCCTATCTCAGCCACTTGCGCCCAGACTTCGTGTCTTCCTTCAAAATCATAACACATTATGCGCCATTAGAAGCAACGTGATATCTGTATTCATCAGCATTTTGCAATTACAGACGCAAGGATAGATAAGAGGTAAGGCACCCCGACCAGGCGACCCAAATCGCGATCGCTGGCCATTCCCACTCGTGCCGTATCGCACTTTACATGGTTTGAGTTACTGTAAACATAATTCGTATGCAAGCGCTGGTGTGATTCTTTGTTTCACCCGCACAGGATAGCAACATGAACCTGCTGGGCGCTCCAGTTCGGGGCTTTGCACCTTTTAAGCAGCACAAGCAAGGCGTCAGCGCTCGCGTGCTACTGCCGCGCTGCCAAACAGCAGCCTGGCGTCCTAGCTCCCGATGGGCTCCGGTCGCTGCTCGCGGCATTATCCTTGCGCGCAACACAGCTTCAGCTACCTTAGCGCAAACGCTGGATGCTGCAGCTGTTGCGCCGACAAACGAAAATGGCTCGGCAGCAGCGGCTCAGCGCAGCAGCGGTCTCGTCAAGGATGCCCCCACATTCCAGGAAGCAATTGCAAAGCTGCAGGAGTACTGGGCGTCCGTGGGTTGCGCTATCTGGCTGCCGCACAACACAGAGGCAAGTTTCCCATGTTCAATTCACCAATCAGTAATTCCAACACTTTTAAGGACACATCCATGTTTGGAAAGCAAAGCAACCTTCCCCACCCTCCCGTCTGCCTCCCGTCTCCTTCTCCTCCTCCTCCTTCTTCATCCTCGCTTCCCACGCCTCGCCAGGTGGGCGCTGGCACCATGAACCCCGCCACCTTCCTCCGCGTGCTGGGTCCCGAGCCCTGGAACGTGGCCTACCCCGAGCCCTCCATCCGCCCGGATGACTCGCGCTACGGCGACAACCCCAACCGCTTGCAGCGACACACGCAGTTCCAGGTGTCTTGTGGGGTGGTGTGGTGGGGGTGTGTTGTTATGGGGGTGGCAGGGGTGGGGTGGTTCGCAGCGGTGGGGTGGAAAGGGGTTGTCGAGTGGATGGGGCAGGGGTGCTGCTTCGACCTCCGCGCCCTGCTGCCCTCCGCATCACCTCCCACCACCTTCCGCTTTCCTCTCCACTCTCAACCCCATGCAACCCATGCAATCCATGCAACCCCCCTCCACCCCCCCCCAGGTTATTCTGAAGCCCGACCCGGGCAACGCGCAGGAGCTGTACCTGGGCAGCTTGGAGGCGCTGGGGATCGATACCAGGGTGTGGGCTGGGGGGGAGGGGGTGCTGGTGGGGAATGGGCTGGCGGGGAGCCAAGGAGCTAAAGGGCTGAAGACACGAACCGTGTGGCATGTAGGCTCCACCACGAGTTACATACTAAGGGCCGGAGGGAAGGGGAGGGGTATAGAAGATGAGGAAGCTCCGTTGCCAACCCCTATACCCCCCCAACTCGCTCAGACCCCCCCCCAACCCGCTCTCACCCCCCGTCAGGTCCACGACGTGCGGTTTGTGGAGGACAACTGGGAGAGCCCGGTGCTGGGCGCATGGGGGCTGGGGTGGGAGGTGTGGCTGGACGGCATGGAGGTCACGCAGTTCACCTACTTTCAACAGGTGGGGCCCGCGGCCCGCGGCCTGCTGTCCTTACATGGATGGGGAGTACCGGTAGTAGGGATGCATGTTCCGCATTTGTCCTTCCATCAATTCTTGCTCTTCGCACCCGCTTCCTCTCTGTCCCTCTCCCCCTCATCTGCACCTCCTTCTGCCCCTCGAACCCCCTTCTCCTGCCTCCGTTCACCAGGAACTTGTTGTCTTGTTTGCTATCCTAATTCAACATATTGGGTTTCCCTCTGTTTTCCCTTCCCACCAGGCCGGCGGTCGGCCGCTTGACGCCCCGGCGGTTGAGATCACGTACGGGTTGGAGCGCATCTTGATGTCGCTGCAGGGGGTGCGCAACTTCAAGGATATCCGGTGAGGGGGGAGAGCAGGAGTTGGGAGGAGGAGGGGGACAGGAAGCGGCGGGAGAAGTCTGCATGGCAGGACGGGCGGGTGAGGGAATGCACCGATTGAGGGCCAAGGTCAGCAGTTCACGTCGGCTGTCAGCTGCTGTCCAAAGGCCGCTTGCACCCAACCCATTACACTGCTGTCCTGATCCCCCGCCCCCACACAAGTCCTAAAGCTCACCCTTCCCCAATTCCCATGCACCGCTCAGCTACGCCCCCGGATGTGACGTACCGCACCCCCTCTGTACTTCTTCCCCCTCTTCCCCCCTCCCACCCGCATCCGTACGGCAGCTACTCCCCAGGTGTCACGTACGGCGAGATGTTTTACCAGAACGAGTACGAGATGTCTTGCTACAACCTGGATGAGGCTGACGTGGCGGATCAGCGAGCGAGATTCGAACTGTACGACAAGTGAGTGCGGCTAGTGGATCTCACATGGGGCACATGTGACATGTCTGGAAGTACACGGGTGTGCGGGGGGGGGTGCGATGCACGTGTGGGTTTGGCAGGTTTTCACTTCCCCTCCCCTTCCTCCTTTGTTGCTGCACTTATCTATTATTTCCCCCCACCTCCCCCGCCCCCAGGGAGGCCCGGCGGCTGCTATCCAAGCGGTTGCCGCTGCCCGCGTACGACCACCTGCTCAAGCTCTCCCACACCTTCAACATCCTGGATGCGCGGGGGGCGGTGGGGGTGACGGAGCGGGCGGACTGCTTTGCGACACTGCGGGGGCTGGCGCGAGAGATCACGGGTGGGGGTGCTGGGCTGAGTCGGGTTGGGGGAGGAGGGGGGGGAAGGGGGGGAAGGGTTTTGGGGAGCCGTGCTAAGGCACGGTGTTGGCCTGTAATGCTGTGATGTTGTAGATATGGCTTGCTGGTCTGTTGGGGGGGGGGTTACTGCCTGCGCCCCACCCCGGTAGCACTCTTGGCTTGCTAGCCGGGTTAGGTAGTTACTTACCTCCTGCCTCCTACCTCCTACCCCACCCCTGCTCCCCCACCACCGCCTGCCCCCCCCTGCCTGTCCCCCCCCTTCAGGCCTCTGGGTTGCCCGTCGTGAGGAGCTGGGGCACCCGCTGGGTGTCATACCCCCGCCGCCCAGCCCCACACCCGCTCGCCCGCACCTGCTGCCGACCGCACCCGGCGGGGAGGGCTCCGAAACCGCTGCTGCTGCTGCAGCTGCTCGTACCTTTGTGCTTGAGATTGGCTGCGAGGAGCTACCCCCGGATGATGTGGTGTCGGCTCTGGCGCAGCTGAGGTGAGGGGCAAACATGGTAGCCGGCCCGCCCCGCCCTGCCCGAACTAGGCAGGGGAGGACGGGGGTTGGCACGGTTATCAGAGCGGCATGCAGGCCTCCTTCGCACCTCCTTCGCGCCTCCTTCGCACCTCCTTCGCGCCTCCTTCGCACCTCTGCAGTACATCCTGCAGTAGCTCCTGCTAGTCCTGATGTTCCCGTGCTAGGGCTGCTAGCAATACAGACGCCATGAGGGCTCAGCACCCGGCTGCCGTCCCACCTTCTGTCACGCCCGCTTCACTGGACCCGCTCTTTTTGTTATATAACCCTTTCTTCTCCGTTGCCACTCATCGCTCTTTTCTCAACTGTATATCCTGTCAGGGAGCGAGTGCCAGCGCTGCTGTCCAAGCTGCGACTGACCCACGGGTCGCTCCACGTGGAGGGCACCCCCCGGCGTCTGGCGGTGGTGGTGGAGGGGCTGGCGGCGCAGCAGGCGGCGGAGGAGGCCAAGGTGGGGAGGTGGTGGGGGTGGGGGTGTTGCATGCAGTTGTATTCTTGCATCCTGCCTTTACTAGTCTTTATTGTGTCTACTGTCTATACTACTACTGTTCTGTGCTGTGTTGTGTTGTGTTGCATTGCTGCGAAATGAGCAACGTAGTTACATATCAGAGCGCTCCTCACTCGCGTACAGCAATAAAAGCTGGCTATCCCCCCAGTTCCTCGTCCTCTCTTCCTCCATGTCCTCCTCCATCTTGTCCTCATCCTCATCCTCATCCTCATCCTGTACACGCATATAGACTGTAACTGTACACCCCCCCCCTCCATGCAGGTCCGCGGCCCCCCCGCCAAGCAGGCCTATGGACCCGACGGCGCCCCCTCTCGCGCACTGGAGGGTTTCTGCCGTAAGAATGGAGTGGCGGTGGGCGACGTAACGCTCGAGGCGGACGCCAAGGGGGTGCAGTACGTGTTTGCGGTTGTGCGGGACGCAGGCCGGCCGGCAGCGGAGGTAAGGGAGGGGGCATGGATGGGTTTCGAATTGGAGTTGAAAAAGACCAAACTGTAGGAAACCACGACTCGTGGGGGAGAAGGACGGAGGCAGGAATGCAGGAGCTGTATGACCTTTGGTCCAAGGATTTCCGGCCGCCTCGTTAACTCCGTGATCCTTTGTACTTCTCCCACCTCCCAACCCTCCATGTGGTTTGCTGCTGCTGTTCCCTACCCGCCCCTTTCAAACCCCCCTCTCCCCATGTCACACAACACATTGGATAATCTTCCTCCCCCACCCCCCATGTGCTTAGGTCCTGACCGACGAGCTGCCCTCCCTGGTCGGCAGCCTCTCCTTCCGCAAGTCCATGCGCTGGAACGGCCACGGGGCTTCCTTCAGTCGCCCGCTGAGGTGGCTGCTGGCGCTGCACGGGGGCGTGGTGCTGCCCTTCGTGTATGGGGGGCTGCAGGTGGGTTGGGTGGGGAGGGAGGTGGTGGGGAGGTGGGGAGCGGGTGGCTAGGGGGGAAGCTGGAGGAGACAGGGTACACGCCCCAAGCCTGTGTGATAGGAAACACACAGCCCATGCGCTTCCATGTTGCCCGTGAAAGCGCTCTTCCTCGTTCCTCTTCAAACTCCCGCGTACCCCCTCCTACCTTACTACCCCCCACCCCCACCCCCTCCTCCAACCCCGCAGGCCGGCAACACCACCCGTGTCCTCCGCAACGCGCCCGCCCCCTGCCTCGCCGTGCCCTCCGCCGAGTCCTACTGCGGCCTGCTAGAGGAAGCGGGCATTCGGCTGGGAGCCGGGGAGCGAGCGGAGCAGATCTGGAGGGAGGTGCGGCAGGCGGCAGCACAGGTGGGCGGGCGGGTGGGTGGGTGCTATACCTGTAGTGTTAATTCCAACTACTGCGTGTGGTGGAAAGGAGGCGGGTGAAGGAAGGAAGGAAACGGGAGGGTGGGCACCATGCCGCCGCCTCATCCCATGCCATTAACCTCCTCATGCCCCTCCTGGGATATGGGATTGGGACTCCAGATGCTTCACTGTTATCATTTATCCCCCCCCCATGCCCCTCCTCTCCCCCTCCATGTGCCCCCAGGTTGGCGGCAGCGTGCCCCCCTCCTGCCGCTCCGATCTGTTGCCCGAGGTCACACACCTGGTGGAGAGCCCCACCCTGGTCACCGGCGCATTCGACCCCGCCTTCCTGTCGCTACCTCCCGAGGTACTCGTCATGGTAATGCGCAAACACCAGCGCTACTTCCCCGTCTTTGCGGCTCCCGCTGCTCCTGCTGCTGCTGCGGCTGAGTCCTCCGCCTCGAGCGGGTCCCAACAGCTGCTGCCGTTCTTCATAACGGTCGCTAACGGTCCCGTGGATCCGGCCGTTGTGGCGGCGGGCAACGAGGCAGTGCTGCGGGCGAGGTTCGAGGACGCGACGTTCTTTTACCGGGAGGACCTCAAACAGCCGTTGGAAGCGTTCAGGTGTGTGTTTAAGAAGACTGGCCGCAAGTTGGAACATATTGTGTGCTAAAGAAACTGGCCGCGAGTCGGAACGAACTGTGTGGAGGGGGATGCATGATACGATGGTAGTAATGGAAGGAAAGGGAGAGATCCGTAAAAGGAGTAGGCGGCCCTCTCCCTTGACCCGTGGGTCACCTGCATGGATGAGTCCAACCTCTTTCCCACCCCCCCTAACCTCCCGCACATCCACCCGATGGTGCAGGCCCAAGCTGGCCGGCACCACCTTCCAGCGCGACCTGGGGTCCCTGCTTGACAAGACGCAGCGACTGGAGCGCCTAGTGGCGCCTCTGGCTGCGGCCATGGGGGCAGCGGCGGCAGCGGCTGGGGCCGCAGCAGCAGGAGCGCCCAAGGATGGCGAGCAGCAGCAGCAGCAGCAGGGAGAGGAGAAGAAGAAGGAGGGGGTGGATTGGGCCTCCCAGGAGGTGTTGGGGGTGGCGGCGGTGGCTGCGGCGCTGTGCAAGGCGGATCTGGCGACCAGCGTGGTGACGGAGATGACTGCGCTGGCGGGAACCATGGGTCGTCACTACGCGTACAAGCAGGTAAGGCAGAACGCAAGAGTGGGGCTACTCATGGTGAAAGCAAGGGGAGATATCGGATATGCCATATCGACTCATGAACGTGGCTCTCAGTGGCTCATGCCGAAAGTTCAAGCGGGAGGAAGCTCAGCTGCTGTGTGACTTGTGTTTCGAGTGTTCAAGGAGCCGCCCTTGCGTGTCGTGTAAGCATTGTGGTACGATCCAGACCTCCTGAACAAGAGATACACCCAATCCATTTGCCATGTTGGGTGTTGGGTTGCCATGTCGCAATTCCTGCCGTACTGAACCATGCCCTGCCGTACACCCTCCCACGACCTACCCAAGGGTCTGTCCGCCGCCGTGGCTGAGGCTATCTTCGAGGCGGCGCTGCCACGTCAGGCGGGCGACGCCCTGCCGTACAGCCCGGCCGGCATTCTGGTGGCGGTTGCGGATCGGTTGGATTCGTTGGTTGGGCTCTTCGCGGCGGGATGCGCGCCCTCGGCGGCGACGGATCCGTACGGACTCAGGCGAGCTGCGTACGGCATGCTGCAGGTACGTACGGCACTCGTACGGGGAGACGTACGGCAGCTGTCCACTTCCGAGGATGCGTTTAAAACCTGCCTCATAAAGAAAACATGATAACACTTGGGTGGGGTAGATGGGGTGGGTAAGTAACACAACAGGTTAAATGGCCTACTTCTTGTCCCTCACCATTCCTTGTCCTCCACACCCCTCGCCTCACCTCCCCCTCACAGACCCTGGTCTCCAATGACGTCGCCCTCAGCCTCCGCGACGCCATCTCCGCCGCCGCTGAGCTGCAACCCATCCCGGTGGCCCCTGCCGTACAATCCGACGTGTTGTCGTACTTGTACGGCAGATTGGAGCAGTTGCTGGGCGAGTGGTACGGCGGGGGCGCCCCGGCGGAGGTGGTGCGGGCGGTGCTTGCGGAGCGGGGGGACAACCCGGCCCTGGCTGCCCGATCCGTACAAGAGCTCAAGGTGCAGTGCCGTGCAGCCGCACGTGTGTGTATATGTGTATGTGCCTTTATCAGGGAGAGGCGCATCCCATGTACGGCATCTAACCGCAGCCTGTATTGAGCCCTAGCCGCACCCTTGTGACTAGCCCTTTACCCTTCCCGGTCCATTCACACTCCATGCCACCACCGCCATCACCCCATCTCCCCCCACCACCCATGCAACACCGCACCCGGGGACCCGAACCTCAGGCCGAGTGGGAGGCGGGTGAGGCGGGTCGCCTGCGTCGCGTGCTGGCCGCCTTCAGTCGCCCCACTCGCATCGTGAGGGGCAAGGAGGTACCGGACGCGGCGGAGGTGGCGGTGCAGCCGGGCCTGTTTGAGGGGGAGGAGGAGCGGCAGCTGTTTGCGGCGTACTGTGAGGCACGGGGCAAGGTAAGTGGAGCTGGGGGGTGCTTAGGGAAGCTGGTGAGCTGTGGGGTGGATAAGATGTCACCGGGTTAGGTAGCAATGCGTGTAATACTTCGACAATGGTAATGGCAAATGTACAGGGCAGAAGCTATAGCTGTTGTGCACATTATGCAATCAGCATCAGCCTCCCTTTTGGTAGTTCTCCTGCCCGACGCAATTTACTACCAAATACTTGGTCGGCATGTCCCGCAGGTGACCCATGGGTCGTCTGTGACCCAGTGGCTCGACGCCGTGGAGCCCCTCCTGCCCGCCATCGACCGTTTCTTCGAGAAGGTGTTTGTCATGTGCGAGGACGCTGCCGTACGTTCCAACCGCTTGGCGCTGCTCCGAGACCTGGCAGCCCTGCCGCGGGGTGTGATGGACCTCTCACAGCTGCCCGGGTTTTAAGGAGTGTACGACAACCCGATGTTTTGCCGTGCAAGTACCGAGGTTCATGTACAATGCAAGTCTGGGGTTGGCGTTTGTACAACTGGGCGGCTTCAGGCTGCTGCACAACTGTGTCAGCGCAGCGTTGCAAAGCGGACGAATGTGAGTCGCCTATGTTGGTTGAGGTGGAGCTTTCGGTTGCATGGATGGAGGTTAGCGGGTAGTTTACCGGTATTTCGAACGCGTTTGCTTGGGCAGATGATGGACCGAACGCGCTAGCCCCAGTTGCGCGCAAACATATATACGATAAAGGCAGGTGTGGTGGAAGGCGAGGAAGCAGGGAGGGGTGAAGGGAGTAGGAAAGGAGAGCGGCAAGAGCTGCAGGTGTGGAGCTGGTGGTTGTGACGCAGCGAGTGTGTGTGTTGTTGTGCCCTGCTGTTTTCCGCTGAATGGTCCCCTCGGAGGAGGTGGGTGCGGACTCGGTGCCGATAGTCCGCTTGTCAGTGGACGAGAGTGGAAGCATGGGATGTGACCACTGTAAGATCTCATCACAACAACAACACATCAAACAGAACACTAAGATCTTGCCAAGGTTGGACGACCTTCCAATTCCTCTTAAGGTACCCGGCCGGAGCAACGCGGCTGGCGGGTCGCCAGGGCACACGCAATGAGGCTGTCAAGAGATGCGGGATCTCACTGTCAAACAGTTGTCTCAAGTGGTTTCTGCCATTCCGCCTTGACTGCCATTCCGCCCTGACACTGCCACCTTCCCCAGGGCTGCAGCCCCGCACATTCCGGACAACAACAAACCCACACCCCTGACATCCAGGCAGCTTACGTATTGCACGCACCCTGCTGCAGGTGCCACGTGTGCGCCTGGTTACGTGCTATGTTGTGTTGTGTTACCCTCCTACAAGTGCTGTACACCGATTTCACGTGCCAATGCCCAGAGTTGCACGTGCATTCACGTCCAGCACCACCCCGCTCGCCATGCCTCCCGTACAATCACCCGGCTGCACATCCCACATCCGTTGGCGCTGCCCACAGGACCCTCAGTGAACATGTGCACAATGTGCCCACGCCTTGAACACGTCCCGCGTCTCCCCATCCCCCCTTGCCGCTGGACGTGCCGTCCTCACGTGACCTGCACCCTGCACGCGCGCCGCGCACCCCGCACGCATGTGCAGCGCGTGAGCGTTAGATGCCGATATAAGTTGCATCATTAGCAGGCGTGACGTAGCTCATATAGCTCAGTAGGTTAGAGCGGTGGTCTTATGAGCCGCAGGTCCTGGGTTCGAGCCCCAGTATGAGCATTTTGACACGTCCGCGCAGCGCATGGCGAATGCCCGGGTGTTTGTACGTCTCGGCGCATACCGGCGACTTGGAGATGAAGCGCCAAAAGGATGCAAAGGGATTTATCAGTACTGACTCGTGCGGGGAATGCGAACCCACAAACCAAAACTTCATCCCAGCTCATGATCTTTTTGTCGCTCACTTTCCACGCAACTGAAAGGGATAAACAAAGATACATTGCGTGCGTTTAGTTTTGGGAAATGTCCAGATACGGGCAACGCGTCATGCCCGTGTCTACTTATTACCTGGCTGTCCTCGTCCTGCTGAACCGTGGGCCACAGACCAAGCGCTCAAGGGAGCTCTGCACGAATTCTTCGCAGGATGACAAGGAAACGAAGGTTTAACAAGCTAGGAAATTGAAGGTTGAAACGCCTTTGGTATGAAGACGCTCCCAAGGTTCTCGACTAACGTCATACGAGCTTCACGAAAGCGTCGTTTTACGTCTGTTAAGAAAAGCTTTTCCAGACAGCTTTGCACAGTAAGATTGCACTCTACTGTAACTGAGGTGGCCCGTGTACTTATAAACGCGCATGACGTGCCTGTTGTACGACCTCTCGACCTTACGCAACAATTGCAGCCGTGCAAAGACGTGTTCGTATTCACGAAGTCATTCATTCCGCATTGGAAGGCGTACTGAGTAGTAACTGTCTTTTTTGAAAACAACCGACCGCCACACAAAAATGTCGCACGACGGCTGCCATGAGGTGGCCTGGAAGGGCAAAGCCTTCTCGTACCTGATGCACCACCATGGATTTCACTCGACTGAGAATTACGGCTCTGTGCGTAAAGAGGGTGCGTCGTGCGGTGCGGAGCTTTTGCGTTCGTCATCGTCGTCGTCGTCATCGACGCAATGGCCCGTCTAACAGGAGGCTTCCATTGCGCTTGCAGGGCAGGCTTCTGGCCATGGTCATGGTAACCAACCTCCCGCTTCGGAGCAGCCTGCAAGCGACGTACATACTCGGGTTAGGGGGTGCTTGCGGAAGTTGATAGCTACCTGGGCTTTCTACAAGCCTCCTATCCACCCAATCCCCACCGGCCATGCCCGTACTTCTTACGACCCCTTACGACCCCTAACTAGACCAAAACAAAAACACCTGCCTGTTGGATCCACTGTCAACATGTCCTCCTGCTCCTCCTCTAGTTCCGATCCCTTCTCTTTTGCTCCACTGCAGGCGGGCACTGGCACCTGGAACGGCCCTGCCCCCCGCGGCATGCGAGGAGCCGCAGGACAGGTGCGAGGGGCGGTGGGGCCTGGTGAGGGGGGGCTGCAGCTGCGGAGGCCGGCTGTTGGTTTGTTGCGCGTCACTGTTCCTTCCTTAGTCCCCAAAACCTGTCCCAAACCCGTCTTCTTCATGCCTTAACTAGCCCGAGCCCTTTGCCTTGCCCTCCTTCTCGCCTTCCCTCCTTGCCATGAACCTGGTGCACCCACCCACCCAAGGCCCCTCGCCACGGCCCCACCCCTGGCTAGTTACGGTTATGGGGCACCGGCAGCTCCTCTTTCCCCAACCCACCCGCCTGCCATGTCATTGCTTCCCCCCTCCCCCTCACCTCTTTACCCCACCCCTCCAGGCCGCCGCTCCCGCCACCGCGCCGGCTCGTGAGCCCGACAGTGTACGGCTGAGCAACGGCGCCCGGCTGCCTATGATCGGTCTGGGTACGGCAGCCATCCAGGATCCGGAGATCATCAAGTAAGTGAGAGAGGCGGGCGGGGAAAGAGAGGGAAAGGACAGCCGGCATGGATATACATGGTGTTGGTTTAAAAGGTTGGTCGGAAGGTTGGTTTGAAGCACAACGTTCTTCCCCCCGCACCTGCTGCCACTGCTCACAGCCTCCTCCCGTGTCCTCCTCCGCCCCCCCTGCAGGCAGGCTCTCGAGCTGGGGTATCGTCACATCGACTGCGCCTGGTTCTACGGCAACGAACAGGTGCTTGCTGGGGGCCCCGGGTGCAGCTAGGGCTGTAGTTGCTGGTGGTACTGCTCTTTCGGTGCTGCTGCTGCTGCTAGTGGTGCTGCTGGTTCGCTGCTGCTGTACGAGCTGTTCTCCACCTTGCCCCTCTTCCTCCTTCTTGCCCTCCTCCTCGTTACCTTCCCCTGCCTCCCCGCCCTCTTCTCCCCTCCCCCAGGTTGTAGGCGACGGCCTGGCTGACTTCATCGCCGCGGGCCGGCGTGAGGAGCTCTTCGTGGTCAGCAAGGTGTGGAACACGCACCACAGGCCGGAGGACGTCAGGTGGGTGACATGGGGTTGGCGCGGGGGAGGTTGGATAAGCTGAGCCTCAGGAGAAGGAGAAGGGGAGGAGGTGGTGGCGGTGGGGCAGTCGGTGGTTGCTCTGTAAAAGGGATGTGAAATGGTGTGGTCCCGACGGGCGCATGTTGAATGCATACCGCCTCCCCCCCATGCCCTACCGTTACCGCCCCACCCCCATGCGCCCAGGCGGAGTGTGGAGGAGTCGCTGGGTCGGCTGCGCTGCGGGCACCTGGACCTGCTGCTCATGCACTGGCCCGAGGCCTGGACCCCGGGCTCATCCTGGGAGAAGCCCACGCCGGATACCGAGGTGGCGGGGGGGCTAGGATTGTTGGGGTTTAGTTGGGGTTTTGGGGGTAAAGAGGAAGGACATGGCGAAGGCAGTGCGACAAGACTGCATCATGGATTGCACCAGGGGTGAGGGGAAGTGGGTGTGGTGCGCGGGTGGAGTGGGTTTTGCATTGTACGACACAAACATCCCTTACTTTCCTCCTCAAGACCGCTCTTCCCCCCACCAGGTCACCATCTCCCAGACCTGGGCCGCCATGGAGGCGCTGGTGGATGAGGGCAAGGTGCGCAGCCTTGGCGTCTCCAACTTCAGCCTCAAGCAGGTAAGATTGGTGGGGGCGGGGTGCTGGGGGGTTTGGGAGGTGGCGGATGGGGGCTGTGGGAACGGCTGGGGGCGTACCTCGCTGGTCCCAATACCAGGATGCCTACCCGCATGTCTCTATCTCACCTCACCCCCTTCTGACTCTCCTCGTGCTGGCTCACATGTTGCAAACCAAGATGACGACGCCTTCTCACACGGCCAGCAGCCAGTTGTTCCCTCTTTACCCTTCTGACTCAACCTCGTCCACGCCCCTTCCCGGCCCCCCCCAAACCCAGGTTGAGGAGCTGCTGTCCGGCTGCCGCATCCCGCCGCTGGTAAACCAGGTGGAGCTGCACCCGCTGTGCTCGCAACGCAAGCTGGTGGGGGTGCTGCGCAGGAAGGGCGTGCAGTGCGTGGCGTACTCGCCGCTGGGAGGGCAGGTGCGGGCTGAGCAGCTGGGTAGGGCACTCTTACAGCTGAGGGTTCAGGCAACCTTTCTTCCTCACCTCCCAGCCCTCCACCCCTGGTGCGCTTCCTCCTGTCTTTGCACTGTCCGTCCCTCAGCCTCCGTCTCTGCGGCTATAACCCCAGCACATTAACCCCTCCAAGCACCCCCTCCCACGCAGATACGCACACATCGCAGTACAGTTATTTTAACATCGCAGTACATTCCGATTCGTGACCAGTTTCCTTAACAACACAGGCACGCCCCCATACGCATCCCTCAGGGCATGGTGAAGCCCAACGAGCTGAAGGACCACCCCGTAGTCCCGCGCGTGGCGGAGCAGGCGGGCAAGAGCAACGCACAGGTGGGAGCATGATTAGGGTGGGGGTTTGGGTGTTGGGGGGTGAACAGACGAGTGCTAACATTCTTCAGGATGTCATAGCATGGCAACCTAAACTTAGGAAAGGTGCCCCCAGGCGCTACTGATCGCTTATCATTGCTTTGTTTTGTCCGGACAACTTCACCGTTATATACAATATACTTGATTGCTGTATACCGTGTACTTAAACCGACACGACCGGTGTCGGTGGTGTGGTGTACCGACCACGGTACCTTTCACCGTGTACTTAAAGCTACCGTGTACTTAACTGCTGTTCTATCTTCCACATTCGTCTTCTGCACGTGTGTTTGTTCCCCACCTCAACCACCTTAGGTTCTCATCAAGTGGAACATCCAGCGCGGCGTCCCCGTCATCGCCAAGACCGCCAACCCTGCCCGTCTGGCGGAGAACCTGGCCGGCATGTACGACTGGAAGCTGAGCTACGAGCAGAAGGAGGCGCTGGATGCGATGGATGCGGGGCGGCGCTTCATTGACTTTGACTGGAAGGTGTGGGCAGACCCGGAGGAGGGGGGCGTGAGCAAGCCTAGCGTGGTAATGGGACTGTGAGGCGGGGGGGGTCAAAGACCATATCGAGCCATAGGAAACCACAGCGGATAGGAGGCTGTGAAGGGGAGGGGGGAGCTGGGGGAGGGGGGTGACGTGCTGAGGGAAAGGAAGGGGTGGGGGAGGCGGAGGCGACATGGAAGGGGGAAGAGGTGACATGAGGAGGTGTAGTCTCTTCGTTAAGGCAGTAGGAGTTGCATGGAAGTGGTGGATTGAGAGGTATTTTTTCCTGCCATTGTGTTGCCGTTATGGTTGCTGTACTGTTGTGCCGTTGCCTAACTAATGAACCCAAGCTTAACGGGTGGTTGGTGCGGCCGGAGGCACGGTGGGGCCGCAGCACCCGAAGCAACACATGCATGTATTGTTGAGATATACATGCTGTTCAATTGCCGTAACCGCCGTGGAATGTAACAACCACAAATCGCAACATTGAGACCGGCCGGTCGCGTATGACCCATGGGTCCTCTGCTGCCCCTTGACACGTGGATTGCACCCTTCCATTCCAAGCGCGGGACAGGACCTCTTGCGAGAAAAAAGCTTTGGTAGTAAGGAATGTGCAGTTCGGCAAGTATGAACACCGGGCAGTGCATGTACGACTCATGCCGTTGCAGTTGTACGAACACACATGAGACCTCATGTGTACTCAGCCTACTCCTCCTCCTCCCACCCAATCGCAGCATCATCCCCCTCCCCCCAACCCCCCTCCCACCCACCGCCGCTGCCCCCCGCTGCCGTTGCAGCCGCCCTGGGGTCCAACAACCGCATCAACCCACCTGCCCCTTCTCCTCCCTCCACCCCCCCTTCCCGCCCTCCTTCCCCTCCCCGTACTCCCTCCTCCTCCTCCTCCCACATCCCCTCCCCCTCTCCCTCCATCTCCAACAACCCCTCCCCTAGCTCCTCCTCCCCTTCCCATCCGCCCTCCTCCCCTTGCCCAGTACCGCTGCCACCTCCACCACCTCCCTCTGGCGGCCCCTCCCCCTCCGAGCTTCCACGCTCTCCCCCGCCTGCTCCCCAACCCTCCGCTCCCTCCCCCGCCACCTCCGCCTCCACGCCCTTAGCCTCCCGCTTAGCCGACCCAAGCGCTCGGGCCCGCTCCCGTGCTGCTTCTAGCTTGCTGCGAATCACCCGATGACGCTGAACGGTCGTGGAGGGTTGTGGCAAAGAGGCGAGGAGGATGAAAGGAGTATCAATGGCGAAACGGGTCGAGGGGACAGGGTTAGGGTCTGGGGAATGACGAGGACACGTGACAGCGGGCTGTGGGAAAGGGGGATGCATGTAGGACATGCTGCATGCCTCATTGGTCAAACGAAAGACACAGGAAGACAAAAGAACGACTCACGTAGGCATCAATGGCGGCAGCGGGGTCCAGGCTCTTGGGTAGGTGTACGAATCGTACGTTGCGGCCCTGGCAGGGGTACGACAAGAGTTGGTGGTGTGGAGGAGGTAAGGACAGAACCGAGTGGAAAGGCGCGATGCGTGCGTTGGTGAGGGTGACGGTTAAGGGTATGGCGTGTTGGGAAGAAAGCGGAAGGGAGAAGGAGGAGGACAGGAGGAGAAGTACGGCCCCCAACTCCCAACCACCAACCACCACACCTTGACGTACATACTCGCGTACTCCTTCTTGTAGCCCTGCGGTACGGGTGGTAATAGGTTTGTACCCGGCGGCGGCTGGATGCTTCTTGTCCTCGTTATAATTATACAACAACAGCAGCCATCTAGAGATGGAATATCAGCCACCGCCCTCCTCCACCCACCTCCACCGTCTGGAACGTCACCTCAGACAGCGACATGCTGCAGGGGGTGGTGGGCGGGGTTCAGCATGGGGCGGGTTAAGGGGCGAGGGGGAGTTGCAAAGGTGGGGTGGGGCGCATGAGGGTGCTGTGACATGGGGGCAAGGCATGTTGGCCCATGGCTGAGGGTCAAGGGATGCCGGCCGAGACTGCGAGGATTGCGGGACGGTTGAGTTGAAGCAACCAAGTGGAGGACGTAGATGAATGAAGAATACGTTCAACAAAAAGAATGCTCTCATATGACAGGGGCGGAAGCCGGCGTCATTCGTTGGCGCCCAGTGCGTGAGCTACCCAATGGTCCCGTTACCATCTAATTGCCATGTTCATGCCACACCCACTTCATGAAATCATCCACGTCGTCCAAGAGGCCGCGCAACAGGGTATCGTTTCTGAGCTCCACAACAACACGTCGCCCGATCAGGCTCTTGATGAGGCAAACTAACGTTGTCTCCTCGCGCGGTGGCATCCGCATGCGTCGCTTCCGTTTGCGAGCGGGCGGGCCCATTGCTGGTACATAACCGGATTGCATCGTTCGGTTTTAGCTAGAAGGACGGCAAAGCAGCGTTCTTGCTTTGCCTACTGCTATGGTCTGGACATGTATGGTCTGGACGCAGGCGACGAGTGCTGATCAGTAGGAGTCCAAGTGCAGATGGCTTATGCTCAGAATGGTAAAGTTGTCACGAGAGGTGTTCCAAGAGCGCGCGCATTGCAACGCTTTACCGGTGTACGAGCGTCACGCTGTGCCTGCGATGCGTGATCTGCATTGTACGGTGCACCGCTGGCCCCGAACCCCTTAGCAGCCCAGTTAGCGGAAAGGCGACGTTGCAGTCCCTTAGGAATATGGCTGCTTAGATCTGCGGCTGTAGGAACATTTATACAACAATAGGACCGGCGGCGGTCTGCTTGCGTCGCCGAGATACCAACAATTGCACTTCCAATTATAGCATGCCAATTATCTGCGTCGTAAGTACAGAGGTGCTGCCCGCTATTAGCCCAAGCTTATTACCTTAGCCTCCCATGTCCTGAAGGTTCCGCCCGGTTCCTATTTTCTCGTTCGACCAGAGCAATAGAAATCCTTAGCTGCCCTACTTACTTGCCGTTTCGATGAGTGGCAACGACACAAAGCGCTCGCAACGAGCTGCGGCCGGGGTTGCCAAAGCTATTCGCAATGACAACGTTCGGCCCGACACCCTAATCGTTGGCCCCGATGGCAAGATGCTTGTCCTGTAAGTTCCTGCGACATATACGCTGCTTTGTATACTTGCTAAGTCGCCTGCACGCGACATGCATCTAGTACGTCCCAATTGCAACAACCTACCTCATGGCATCTGCACGATTGTCACAGACCCAAATGGCTAACCCAATACGCCCTCCACTCCCTATCTCTTCCCTTCTCTTTCCCTGCACTTCTCTTCATTCCTAGCGGCCGGCGTGCTCAAGCCAATCAAAAGCCCTTCGCCCCCACCTTCCAAAAGTCCAACCCAGCCCGCCGCAATGCCAAACGCCTCACCTCCAAACCCAGCAACAACCCCTTCGCGCCTTCCTCTGCCGCTACGGCATCTGCAGCAGCCAAGTCCCGCGGCTCTGCTGCCGCCGGCCTCTTCCGCGGGGGCAGCGGTCCCCTAGCAGCGATCCTCCGTCGCGTGCCTCCGCTGCCCAACCTCGTCATCACGGCGCTGCTCGTGCACCGGGTGTGGAGCTTCCTGTCGCATAGGCTGTGGGGAGGAGGAGCAGCAGGCGCAGCAGGGGCGGGAGGCAGGGAGAGACAGCTGGCGAGGAGGGCCGGAGAGGAGGAGGAGTATGATGATGATGATGATGAGGAGGAGGAGGACCTGGGCGAGGATGCTGAGCGGGTGCTTGCAAGCGTGCAGCAGGCGGTGAGTGCTGTGTTGGGGCGGGGGGAGGGAAGAAGCGGTGGCGTGGTGGCGAGGCACTGAGGTAGCAAGCCTTCTCGGGGCTCCAAACCGCCAAACACGGTCAACGCAACCCAGCTACTCCAAGCACATCTTTCATTTCCTTTTTCCCTCCTACGTCCTCGCAGCCTGCCCCCAGTGCAAAATACCCACCGCCTCTAACCCCCACCTGCTGCCCTTTACCGCACCCCCGGCTGCTGCCCTGCCCCCGGCCCCCCCTATCTGCCTCGTGACATACTGCTTCCCTCTATCCCCATTGCTTCGCTCTAACTGTTGGTTTTGGTATACCTCTGACCCCCCCCCCTATGCAGAGCATGCTGCCCACCATGCTGCGCGCCTCCCTGCCCCGCCCCCCGCGCACCAACCTCGCCAAACGCGCGGCAGCTCAGTACCACTCACGACCCCGGGGGCACCGAACCGCCCACCAGATGCTGCATGGGGGGCCCGCCACCTCAGCGCCAGCATCAGCAACCCCGCCAGCAGCTGGGGGTGCGGGTGCGGGTGCAGCGGGTGGTCGGCGGCAGGCGCAGCGTCGGCCGATGGGGAAGTTGGAGAAGATGGATCTTATCGTACGGCAACAGGTGGGGTTAATATACCATGGGGTTATGCCATGTTAGGAGGGGGTCAAAGAGGAGGTACCGGTAACACCGGGCAGTTCAACTCGTCCATGTCCTGTGGCTGGTGTGACCGCTGCTGCCGCAGCAACTGCCCACTCGGATAACACACGGCTGCCGGGGGGTCCTTACCGTACATCCTCTCACGTCCCACTTCCCACCCGTCCCGCCCTTTTATACCACTGCCGCAGATTCGTGCTGCCATGCTCGAGCAGCAGCGACTAGAGGGGCCTCGGCAACTGCCACCACCGCCGCTACCGCTGCTGCCAGCCAGCGGACAGCGGCAAGCATCCCTGCCAGCACCTCCCCCATCATCCGCAGCCGGGAACCAATTGGCGCTGCCGGCGCCGTCCACCGCAGGAGCAGCGCCGTCCATGTCGCGTCAGGCATTGCCTCCGCCGATGGCCATCCCGCCACCGCCGTTTAGGCCGCTTCCACCGGACCTCCAGGCGCGGATACAAGGAGCACCGCGGCCAACGCCCAAGTTGACTGCCACGGCGGCTACTGCTGCAGTTAGCGGTTCGGGTGCATCTTTGCCATCAGCCGGACAGGGTGGCTCGAGCAGTGGTCCTGCAGGACGCGGTGAAGGCAGCTCCGGTGCTGTTGGAGGAAGTGGAAGAGAAAATGGCGCCGCGGGTTCCGGAACTGGTGATGCCGGTGTGCCAGGGACGCAGGGCGATGCAATCCCGAGTCCAGCTGTGCCCAGGGTGACTAGAGGTGTACGTGGCAACTTGCGGTAGCAGGCAATAGCGTTGACCACGCTAACGATGCTTGCATGTCCAGTTCTGAAGGGGCTTTAGTTCGGCATAGCATTAGCTGGTATCGACCACGCCAGAACTCAACGCCTTTTGAGTTAAAGGTTTCAATGTAAGACAAATACAAACGATTGAGCAGGCTCTGCATACAGGTAGCAATTTGCGCTAGCAGGGAAAAACAGGCAGGGGGTGTTGTAAACCTGTGTACGGGTATTGACGAGACCGTGACAGAGCCGCAACTTCTGTGCCGGCCCAAATCTATTGATGACGTTCTGCCTTTTAAAGAAAAGGCATCGTAACCTTGGCAAGCGCTACTCCAAGCGTTTGCACTGCGCATGCCTAGCTATGTTGTAACGTTTAAGCGTCGCTTACTATACTTTTCCCTGGTACTACCTATACGAGTACAAGATGTATTCAGGCACGTCTTTTATCTGCTGATTAGGTGGCTTTGCGCTCGTTTTACACGAAGTTCTTGAGGACAAAGCATTACTGCGGACGCGCTAGACGATTTGGGCTAATCCTGAATATGTTTCTAACTATCCGCTATAGGATCGAGCTTCTACGCGAATCGGCAGCAGGGCGGAGAGTCGGGTACACGGTGAGAAACTGCAATGCTTCCATCGCAGACGCAAACGCTTTCCAACATCGCAACCTTGAAGCTTATCTGCCATATGCTCTCGGACGCAGCCAACTACACTCGCGGACATGGGTCACAGAACCGCCACCGTTCGGTGCTGCCTGTGACCGCTTCTCCCCACCTACGGTACGCTTGCCCTACCTGCCCTCGCCTCACCACCGACGCGCTCCATCCCCACATTCCACCACTCCCCTCCTACCATACCGGTACCTACTTCTATCTGCATCTTACTGCCTGGATTACGCTACACTACCTGCTAGGCACAATCTAGGCTGAGCCTTCCCACCCGAACCTGCAGCTAGGGATGCCATTTCAATCAGCGTCTTACGTCAAACCTTTGCCTCATAATGCCTCGTTTCCCTCCCTTCCCTGTCCTCCCTTCCCGGCCCTTCCCCACATCCTCGTCTGCATCCCCCCCCCAGGGCCCCCCTCGCACCTGCAGCCCCGACCACTACCATGTGGCCTACCGGGACATCGTCAACCCACCCAAATGGACGGCCAAGGTGCGCACGCGGCAGCGATACAACGAACAACGCCCGCAGCAGCAAACACGTTGACTTCGGCACCGACACAGTGACAGGGACATCTCTAGGAGGACATCTCTAACATCCTTCCCCACTTGCCCCAACACCACGCACCCTCCTCATTCCCATCCCCCCACTGACCCCATACCCCCACCCTTCCCTCACCCATCACCCTCCCCAACAGGGCTGGGTGGGTGTGGACGACTTCATCAAACCGCGTCGCGGCACCGCGCCCTCCCTGTACGGCAGCTCCGGTCTCATGCAGCCCACCGCGCCCCCGCAGCATGCAGCGGGACTGGCCCCGCTGGCGCCCCCCTGCGCGAATGAGGTGAGTGAAGCAGTGAAGCAGGATGATGATGATGATGAGGAGGAGGAGGAGAAGGGAATCAAACGAATGGGCGAAGGAGGAGTAGGCACCACTTGAACCAGTGGCGTCATGGCCAAGTGTTATCGCCGTCATCGTGCTGCCGTCCCCTTTCCGCAGGTTCGACTGCAGGAGTTACTCAACCTACAACGGCGGAAAGTAAACACGGATCCAGGGCCGGGATTCTATGAGGTGAGGCCGTTGGGAGTTGAGGGCTGGACTGGTGGTTGGGGCGTGGGGCTGGCTTGGTGGTGCCTGAAGTTGCAGGTGCTGTAGGCGGTGAAGGGGTCCGGGGCATTAGGGAAGATTAGGCGTTGGCGGGACGTGCGAAGGAGGAAGGGAGGTATCACACGGCCGCTGTCAGGCACTTCTAACTCCCTGACAATCCCACCCCTCCTCGCCCTGGCTTGTAATTCTCATCACCACCCCTCACAGCCCCGCGACGTGACGGTACGGCGGCGCTTCCGTCGGCAGCACGACCCCGACCTAGACGGCCCCTTCTTTCCGGAAACCGTGCCGGACGGCGCCACCACCCGCAGCCGGGAGATAGCGGCGCTGATCCGCACGCCGGGGGACTCGGGGCTGGGGCCTGGGGACTATGACGGGCTGCTGACCAAGGATGTGGTGATGAAAAGTGCACCGACGTTCAAGGTACGGTACGGTAAACGGTGTATGGAGGGGGTAGAGGGAGTTGTGGGGAGTTGGGTGGGTTGTGGTCGCAGCGTGTTCTGGTTGTGGTTGCAGTCATGCAGGGAAGGTGTGGGTTCTGGAAGTGTGCATACCGCACACATTAAGCACGGTAGTAAGGCGGAGAGGGAGAAAGCGCGCTACGGGGTCGCGGCGCTGGTGGTGGTGGTGGTTGCCGCGGCCGGGTCCCTAATAACCACCCACCCATGCAACCATCGCGCACTGCAAACTAACAACTCCCTTTCGTGCCCTCCCGTCTGGCCCCTTCCCGCTAGGTTGGTGTGGTCGACCGGCAAGGCCACGCACCCCACGTCAAGTCGCTCAGCATCAGTCGCAGCATCCAACATGGCATCGACTGGCACGTGCCCATCATCGTGCAACCGCTACCCGTCGCCGCGTCAGCCGCGGAATCCTCCACCGGTGGCGGCACCGCAGCCTCAACCTCCTCTTCCGACGGCGCCGCCGCCGCCGCTGGTACGACGGCAGCGGGTGCGACGTCACCGCGACCTGCCTCCGCCGGCATGTCACGCGCAGCACGGCCGCCGACGATCGAACGACCAATGTACGGCAGTAGCGGCGGCAGCAGCTCCGGCGATCTGTCGCCGAGTGGGCGAGGGTCGACGGCGACTGCGGACGTGGCGATAGGGTTGCCGCCGGCGCCGCCGTCCCAGGTGTCCCGCGCGGTACGGCGGCAGCAGCAGCGACGGCCCGGGGACTGGGATTGGAACCGCCTTGGGGAGAACTACAGGACGACGTGGACCACATTGCATGGAGGGGCATACTCAAATGGTGGGTTGCTATGCAGCATGACGGCATGGATGGGTTGATGTTGCTGTGGGGGAGTGCTTGGGAAGGGAGAATGCATGGCTTTGGAGGCTTTTCGGACAACCATGATGGATGAGAGCACGATCCTTAACCCCACCTTGCCTCGTTACCTGCAGGCGACCACACGGCACCCCGAGCGACCCCTGGGTCACCTCTGAGCTCTTCGGGCCCCTCCCTAGCGCATCCCCCGCTTGATCAGGGCATTTACCCCATCCTGGAGGAAAGCAGTGGGGCGCTCCGAAACGACCCTTCTGCACCGCAAGGAATGACGTTGTTGATGATGCAAAACGCGCAGTTCGGGGCACAGCAACAACAGCAGCAGCAACAGCAGGCGTATGCACCCTTGTATTCCGCTTCAGCCGCACAACAACAACAGCAGCAGCAACAGCCGTACTTTGTGGCCAGCTACAGTGTGGGGCCCGCGACGGCAGGGGCTGGTGGGCTGGGAGGCGCGTCCGCGTCCAACATGAAGACGTTGCTTTCGGACGAGGACTTGCGGAGAAGGCAGCAGGCGGCGCAGCTAGCTGCCAAGGCACAGCAAGCTAGCAGTCGAGTGTCAGACTGGCAGTCAAAGTTCGCAGGGTGACAAGAGAAATGAGATCGGTAGTATGTACGTGCCGTGCAATGTCGTACCGTGATGTACAGTTTAGCGGCTAACACTGGTGCTAAAGTGACTAAAGCAGACTTGACGTGAAGCAGGCTGGTAGCTGATTGCGGGCCCATGTGACATGGCTCGTGGCAGGTGATGTAATAATTGTTAGAATTCTTTTCATTCAGAAAACTCTGTAGCTTAGGAAAACAATTTGGACCGTGCACGTAAGCTGCTGCCATCTTGAAGAAAGGTTGACACCTCTGACCATGCTGGCTTGCTATCCTTCGTTCTATTGCGATTCAACATGCACAGCATTCATGTCCAATTACGGCTGCTGCTGCCGGTCCAAAGAACCACACATTCTGTTTTCACTTTACAGCTCTCTCCCCAAGGCCAACCCGCACAACCACCCGCGCCTCGCACAACCACCGCTATGCGCCACCGCAAGGGGCAACGCACAGCCGCGGCCCTTCACAAGCCTCCTCCTCCGCAGCTCGCAAGCGGCAGTGGGCGCTTAGAAGGCGCTGCCGAAGGCCTCGGGGGCCACGAAGCCGGCCACCGGGGGCGGGGCAGCGGCCTCGAAGCCAGCTGCGGGGCAGAGGAAAAGGGGGATGATGAGAAAGGAGGATGGTCAGCAAGTAGGTTGGCGAAGAGCGTTCGGGCTGGCTCTATTCACAAGGATGAGCGGAATACCAGTGGATGTGCAATCTCCTCTAGCTTGGGGGCATTGTTGGAGCAACGCGGGTATTGGTATGTGCTTTCCCGACCAATATCAATCACCACCGAGCATTTGGCACGCTTCCCCCCGGATTATAATGCGCCTCCCTCTTCCTCTCCCATGCTCTACACGGCCATCGGCGACCGCATAGGAAAGCCCTAGACATGCACACCGGAGGTCCACAATGTAACCCAAGGCTGAGGCGGTTTGGCTTAGGACGCTGCTGTTGAATAAATGCGGTTGCTTATTTGGGCCGCGCCGATATCGAATCGTTTAATTCGCTTCGGGCAATTCTCGAGCCTAGGCCGACACGCCATGATCCTTCTCCCCAGGATTTCCAGTATTTCTTCTCCAGCTCTGTATCCATTCGTTATGCATCCAACCCCCCACTCCACGCACCCACATTGCACTCCAACCCACCATGTTCGCAACGCATGCCGCACCATCTCCCCCAACAAAACATGCCCCCTTTTGTCTTCACACACTACTTACCGGCGGCCTCGAAGCCAGCGGCCTCCGGCGTGTAGCCAGCAGCGGCGGGGGCGGCCTCGGGAGCGGCGGCCTCACCCCAGGTGTCGGTGGCGCCGACGGGGGCGGGCAGGGCGTAGCCCTCACCCTCGAAGGCCTCCTCCTCGCCAGCCTCCTTGGTCTCCTCGGGCTCCCTGAAGCGTGGAAACAGGGCGCGTGGGGGGGAGAAAGTGAGGTGAGATGGTTGCGCAAGAACGGGGCGAGGATCAAGCCAATATTAGATGCGGCAGGAAGGTATGCGTTTTCGTCGGCTTATACAGGGGAGCAACTAGGGGGAAGACCGCATTTACTGATGGCTGCTACTGCAACAGCTGTTCTGGAAAGACCGCTTGAGCCCTGTAGCCAAAGGCCAACGAGGACTGCAACACGCACAACCCGAAACCCCGCTGTTCGCTGTTGTGGCACTGCCGCCGCGCCAGGAAAAGCAGCTCGCCTGAAACCCCGCGTGGCCTGCGATGGAATATCAGCAGGCTGTCCATGCGCCGGTTAGCTGCTGCGGATGTCCCCCTAGTCCGCTCTGTTGCACTTCCAGCTGCTGCAACTGTTGCTTGCAAAGCTTGCTGTCCGCCGTACAACCGCTGCAAGACATGATGAGCTGCCCTGCAAAACTTCCCCCTTTTCCCCTTTGCCTCCACCCCAAATGCTGCCCAACTGGCCCCTTCTGCTGATGTCAAGAGAGCGCTGCCATAGCTGTCCTAAAGCCGCTGAGTTTGCTGGTCTTCGCACCTGTAGAAGAACAGGTCCACCATGACGTTCCAGGGGTTGGCGGGAGTGATCTGCTCACGCATCTCCAGCACCATGCGCGCCAGCAGCCAGTAAAGCACACCGATGGAGTGCTTGCCCTTGTTGTTGGCCGGGATGGCCACATCCACGTAGGTGAGCGGGCTGTCCGTGTCGCAGAAAGCAATGATGGGGATGTTCATGTAGGACGACTCCTTAACCGGCTGGTGGTCGGTGCGGGGGTCGGTCAGAATCAGCAGGCGCGGCTCCTCGAACGCCTTCTGAATCTGGTTAGTGAAGGTACCGGGCGTGTGGCGACCGGCCATCGACTTGCAGCCCAGGTACTGCGCAAACTTGAACACAGCGCGCTGGCCATAGGGGCGAGCGGACAGCACGCAAATGTCCTGCGGGTTCTCAATGGCCACAATGACGCGCGCAGCCATCTGCAGCTTCTCGTAAGTCTTCTCCAGGTTGATGATGTAGATGCCATCCTGGCGACGGCGGTACATGTACCGCTCCATCTGGTAGTGGCAGTTCTTGGTGCCCAGGTGGCACTGGGCCGCCAGCATCATCTGAATATCCTGCTCCTTCTGCAGGAGTGAAAATTCCAAAAGCTCTATTTAGTTTCTGTAGCATATCATGATAGCTAAACATTTCTACTGAGCTGCCGGTGCGCCTACCGCAGCACCATGAGAGAAAGACTGTAAAAAGACCTCACCTGCGAGAGCGCCATTTTTGCCGACTGTGAGGTGCACAAGGGACACGCCCACAGAACAACTGGAAAGAGAGAGACCGTGGGGCGGGGCGGGGGCGCTATGCTCGCGCTCAGACTGGCGGCGTGTCGTACAGGGCCTTGCGGCGACTCTATTGCCCGATTGCTGCAGCGATGGCTGCAAAAGTGGACAAGCCATTCACGTTGAAAATAGTGAATAAGAACAGTTAAGAATTATGCCCGCAACGAACGTGCCAACGTTACCGCTTATCGCACAAGAGCGCTTAGTACGCAGTCCTTGATCCTAAAAACCACATGATGTTTGTGCCTTGGAACGTGTGCCAGTGGAATGTTTTCCGTGCTTGCTGCTTTTCTGGAGACACTAAGTCTTTGCATTGAGCAATTCAGCGACCGAAGCGCTTGCAGAGCCCTGATGTTCGCGACATAAGAGAGTGTGGGGCATGCGAGGAACCTGCGGCACGCGGGAAGGGCTGGGCGTGGCATTTCATTTTGAGGAAGGCTTAGGAAGTGGGTTGAGGGGGCTGAGCGTCGGGGGATAGGTCAGCTCCCAGCTGTTGCTGGTGTTAACTATCTTGCCCGGCCGGTCGTAGTCCTGTGCATGTGCTCTTCTCGTAAAGCATTGATCGGCAGGGTTGGAAGTATGCGGTGCTGCCACTAGAGGTTGTGTGTGTTGCGGCTTCGTGTCTGCCTTAAACCGTTCGGGTTTCTCGGTTATCACTGTCAAGAGTTACATTGTCAAGCATGCCGGAAGAGCTCCCCTCGCCGGATGCTGCGCTCTAAACCTTGCCTTGGGACTGAAAGGCCGCCTTTCATCAGGGATGGTTCAGGGCATGCTCAAACTCCGAGGCACGATGCAGTTACTGATGTCTCCTCCTTGCAAAGACGTGATGTGCATGCGGAACCGGTACATGATGTCTTGCCCTAGCTATCCTGGGGCGTGCAGTGCAAGTACGGTATGAGCTCGCTTCCTAAGTACATCTTCCAGGTCATACATGTTGCTTTCCTTCCCAAGCAGTTACCCCAACGTATACAAAGGCCGTTGCACGCACTTGCTTGGCACCATAGGCTGAAGTGCCGATACGGTAGCATGTTGCAAGAGATATGACGAACTCCCAACACTTAGGAGTTCCTTTCAGACGTTCTAAGATGTTTCTTCTGGAATCTAGCCGCTTCCGTTCGTAGCCTTTTCCTCCGCTTTTGCAAACGCAAGCATGGAAGTCGAGAAGCCTTCCTCGCGCATCTGGCCCCGGTTGCCGCCGGAGTTGGCAGAACACGTCGTCAAGTTCCTACCCTCACACGAGATTGCCTGCACAGTGCGCTTAGTAAACAAGGCTGCAGCAGCGCAGTTTCGCGGCACCCAACATGTCATCGTGCGCCTATCAAAGCCAGTGCCCTTCCATGCCCTTGCATGGTACTTGAACAGGCCCGGCGCTATGCATCGCCTAACCTTCAGTGAAAAAAGGCGGCTCCTGTGCCTGATAGCGTGCAGCGGCGACCCACGTAACTTGGCGTTGGCGGCATCTTACACACAATGCGTTGTCGGAGCTGAGGTCCTGGAATCCGCCGCTGCCGCAGGTCAGCTGGCCGTCTGCCACTCGTTGCGGTCAGCTGGGTGCCCCTGGGGCTCGGCCCTAGCGTCCGCAGCAGAAGCAGGACAGCTAGAAGCGTGCAGATGGCTCCTTGCCAACGGCTGCCCCTGGAGCAAGGCCGCGGTGCACGCAGCGGCTCGTAAGGGACACAGGGCCATAGCGGCGTGGCTGCAGCAGCAGCGCCCGGAGGGATCGAGACCAACGACACTGGAGGCCACGGTAGCAGCCATGCTGCATGGCTGCAGCCTTCAAGTATTCTTAGAGGAACGGGCAGTGCGTGAAGGGCGTGTGGCTGCTGCTCTATCAGATGCGTCGGTCGCACGTCTGGTTTTGGGGGCCGCTGCCGGCAGCCCCACTGCCGACTGGCGTGCCAAGATTGCATGGTTGGAGGGGCTGGGCGTTCCCAAGTCCTCCGACGCCTGCCGTGAAGCAGCCGCCTGCCCGGATGCATTGGACCGGCTGCACTGGCTGCGGCAGCGGAGGTATGCCGCGGCTGCTGACGCGGCCGCAGTTGCCGCCAAGCTCGGACGCACGGACGTCCTGGAGTACCTGCTCGGAGAGGGTGTCGTTCCGGACGTGTGGGCTGCTCGCTGGGCGGCGGAAGGCGGCCACGTGGCCGTACTGACGCTGCTCCAAAGCTGCGGCTGTCCTGTACGAGACAGCATGGTGCTGTACGCTGCGGCCCGGACGGGTCAGATGGCGGCCCTGCAGTGGTTGCTGCCTGGCGACGAGAGCGGGAGTGCGTACCTGTTCTACTGCGCCGCGCAGTCGGGTAGCGTTGAGCTGCTGGCGTGGCTGCGGGACCGCGGTTGCCCACGGGATGCAACTGCGTTCCAGGGGGCTGCGCAGGCGGGATGCGAGGAGGCGCTGGAGTGGCTTGTGGAGCAGGGCTGTCCCATGCAGGTGTGTGGAGAGTGCGAGATGGGCGCTGTGGGGCACGGTAATTGGTCAAGGAGGATTAGAGGCCGGTTGCCTGGTAGTTGGGTTGATGGCCATGCACGCCCTTTGCTTATCGGGGACCTCCGTTGCCCCGCCTTCCTTCCTGATTTGCCTGTAACGGGCTCGCAACTGAGGGAACTGTGGGGAGTGACGCGAAGTCTTTCCATCGAAATGCGGAGCGTCTCACTCCGCCCTTCCTCGCACCCTCTCCCAGGTTGATGGCACCGCCTACCTCGCAGCCGCGCGCAACGTCGACATGGCCACGCTGCGCTATCTGCGGCGGCTGGGCTGCCCCTGGGGCCCGCCCGGGTGGCTCTTCACGTCCTGCGTGCAGGAGCGCTGCTGCCTTCATGTGCTGTTTTGGCTGCTGTTGGAGGGATGTCCGGTGGACTGGGAGGCGGCGGTGGCGGCGGCGAGGCGGTTGGTGCAGGCGGGTGGCGGGGAGGTGCATGCATGGCTGGTGGAGCAGCAGCGGCAGCAGCGGCTGCGGCGGCAGCAGCAAAGGAGGCGGGTGGTAGGGCAGGTGGGGTTGCTGGCGGTAGGGGCGGTGTACGCGGGTTTGGCGGTGTGTACGATGTGGAAGGCGAGGCAGGGGTGCGAGGGGTTGAGGGTTTGAGGGGCTGCTTTTTGCGAATGGCTGCAGCGGAAAACTCTTACGCGTAGCAAGCGTGGTGGTACTTGTGTTGCTGGTAGCGTCCTCGGTGTTGTAAGAGTGTGTAGTTGAGCGGAAACAAGAGCAAGCAGTTGTTGTTGTAAGGGTGTGTTGGGTACACAAGAGGCCATGTTGTGGCTTGAAGGCGGCCTTTGAAGCAGTGTTGTAATGGCACGACAGAGAGCCATGATGCCCTGGAGCGGTGAACAGCCGTGGAAGCCTCCTCGAGTCGTAGTTCCCATGTGTTACATCCAGGTTACACCTGGTGGAGAAATACCAGTGCATCTCTTGTCTCATGCCTCAGTTCTATAATGGTGGTTGCAGGGGGTCCGTATTCTGTATAAGCTCCTAAGCAAGCCCATGGAAAGCCGAGTGCAGCAGCAACGTCCCCTTTCCCTCATCCCCTCATCCCCTGCCGTACACTTGCTACCAAACATGCCACGCATGAAACCTAAACCGCTATCCTGTGAAATGAGCTCAGTTCGTTAAAGATATAAGCAGTACACCGCGGATGACATGAACAGCGAATCGCTCCTACTACCGGCTCCAAAACCTGGTTTTCCAACCACACGCACACATGTGGGTTTTCCTCCGGCGAAGGCACACACGGGCCAATAATAAGAGACCACCAGTAAGCAAAAAAACCACGAGCAAGGCTTACGCAGCAGCACAAGCAGCAGCACACACAGCGAGGATCACGAGCGGCGAAAGGATGCGGTCAGCGATACCACCCATGCCGGCCATGCGAGCATTTGCGGTGTCCAAAGCGAATGTGTGGGAACCAAGTGCAGATTTGTTGACAGCTGTTCGTTTACCCCCGATAATGTTGCATGAGGCGTCCTGGATAATTACGGTATCCGCCTGACAGCTAGCGCCTTGGGACTGCCTGCCCCCCGTAATCCCACGGGACCATCCAGGTACCCGTCCAAAGCCTCTCTCCACTCAACCAAATTTCCTACTATCCAAGTGCTAAGGATTTCTGTAACCGCCGTTCACCAACTACCCCACGGGGACCATCAAGCTACCAGTATGGAGCTAAGGACGGCTAAGAGCAGTGCCTTCTGTATGCTTTGACCTAACCGCCAACGCATGCCCATGTATGGCGTCTGGTCAAACATGCTGTTCAAACCTCAGCTGCATCTAAACCATGTCGCACATGCATCGCTAGTGGCATGCTAGTGGCATGATTAATAACAGAGCCTCTGCAGAGCCATTACCCATTAGTCTACCAGACTGCGCCATGCTCAACAGTGCAGCAGCCCCCTACCAGCCTTCAACCTGCAATACCGCTGCACAAGTAAACCCCCCGGACCCCAGCTGCTGCTCTGGGTCCGCCCAGCACGCCAGCAGCAGCCTCCATCCGGCTGTACATGCACTCTAGCAGCAGCAGAGAAATCACACCACAAATCGGTGCAAGAGAATGAATCCTGTGCGGAATGAAACCTGCATGTGCGCTGTCTGGTTACCTGGACACGCAGGCATACCGTTGGTAGTCATTACCCTGCACTCGTTCATCCATTATGTTCGTCCATCTATCCATTCCACTCCGTGCATGCCTCCTTCCATTGCCAAACGCACAGGTGGCTTCATGCTGCTTTCACAGCGGCGGCCTAGGCAAGGAAGCCGGCCGCGGCAGCTTAAACCCCTCAGAACCGCCCATGCTACCCTCACCGCTGCCACCACCACCACCACCACCGCCGATACCACTACCACGCGCTTCCTGCAGCATCAGTTGCTGCTGCTGCTGAACGAAAGCGGGTTTCGGAGCCCTCTTCAACGGCGCCAGGTACGAGCTCGCCGATGGTAAACCCGAGCTGCCGCCTGCCGTACCTCTGCCGTACATCTTATAAGCAGTGCCGTACTTGGTGGCGTACGGCGAACTGGCCTCGTCCAAAGAGCCGTCATGGGAGTCCGAGCGACAGCTCATGTTGCCGCCCATCGAACTCCTCCGAACGCCCGCTGGCCCCGATATCGCTGTTGCTGGTGCTCCTGCTGCTGCTGCCGGTGTTGTCGCCGCCAGCCAACCCTCTGCACCCTGGCCGCTAAAGCTGCTGCCACTTCGCAAGACAACCGCACCACCACCACCGCCGCCACCACCACCAACAACACCAACACCACCACTATTAATACCATGCTGACCCAAATCAACACCCCCCGGGCCCCGACGCCTGTAAATGCCCTGCATGTCTGCAGCCGCCTCAGCCTCCCGAGATAACTCAGGTATGGGCTCAGCACCCCATGCATGAAAACCCCGAGCTCGAATCACCCATGGGTCGCGTGTGGAACCCTGATCAGCTGCTGCCGCTGCTGCTACCGGTGCGCTACCGGCAAAGCGGTCTGCGGCTACATCACTCGGCCGGCGCTGCTGAGACGATTGGTGCGGTTGCTGTTGTTGTCGCTGCTGCTGCTGCTGCTGCTGCTGCTGTGAATCGTTGCCACGATGAAAGCCACTCCCGCTACCGGTGGAACCTCCGTTGGGTGAATGCTGCAGCTCACCCCGCGTTGCTGGCAGCGAGATCCTAGGATGCATGTAGCGCATCCGCGAATCCAAGGCAGCGGCAGCGGCAGCAGCGGTCATACGGCGCATGCCTTGCCTAGCCCCGGTGTTGCTTCCGAAAGCCGCGGCCGCAGCCACAATAGCAGCATCGTCATGATGAGCCGCTGCGAAGCCTTCGTAACCTGTTGGTTGGATCAGGCCCTCATCAATGCTTTGAAGCTGACCTCTGCTGCTGCCGTACCTCCTCTTGACACTGCTGCAGGCGCTGCTGCCGCTACCATAACTGTCATGCTGCCCTATCGCTGCTTGCAGCCGTTCACTAACGTACAACTGCCCCCCAACCAACGCAACCTCAGGACCGTTAGTAGGCGCCTGCCGTACAGGATAACGACTGGCAAGGTCGTTAAGCAACGGCATGCCCGGCAACTGACCCACGGGTCGTTTCCGCATCGGCAAGCCGTTCGAATGCCGTGCGCCGCCGCTGCTGCAGGCGAATGAGCTCAATGAGCGTTGACCCGGCACCGAAACCGTGCTAATCGTTCGTTCACTGGTCATTGCCGACAGACGTGTCGTTCCGCCCGTTCCGTTTGTGCCGGCGTTGGTTCCAGGCTGCACGGCGCCCGCGTAAGTTCCATGGTGCTCCGTACTTCCCAGCCGCATGTCCGCATGCGCGGAGTGTCGCATGGATGCGCGCGGCAAAGAAGGGCTGCAGTGGGTGGTACTGCTGCTTTCGAGCATTTCCAATGGAAAAGCGAGTGGCTCAAAGGAGGCAGCGTTGGCGATACTGTCGGCGGCAGCCGCGGGGCGACGAGTGAGCTCCGGCGCTGAAGCCACGGGTCGCGTGGGCGGTGGTGGTGCGTCCTCTAACTGCGCATGAGTCATCGTCTCTGGCGGCGGCCATATCCTAGGCGAATGTGGCTGCGAGTGTGGCCGTGACTGGGGCTGCGGAATGGGATGCGGATGTGGATGCTGAGGCGCGAGTTGGGTCACCCGCGGGAGGGTGTGTTGCGTGCTGTGAATGCTGTGGGTGCTGCTGCTGCTGCTACTGCCGGCTACTGCCACAGGCGGCTTCGATGACTTGGAACACTTGAGGGGTCCTGCCGGCGTCGCAACAACCGCCGCCGCCGCCGCTGCTGCTGCTGCGCTCGCCGCTTGCTGCTGCTGCCGCTGCTGCTGCTGCTGTGGCGGCAGGCTCGGTGGTGGCGCAGCAGGATGTATTCGGGGCTCCGCGGGCTGCGGCAGCAGCAGCTGCAGCAGCTGCTGCTGCTGCTGCTGTCTCCCCGGTTGCTGCCGTTCCTGCGACCCAGATGGTGCTTTCCGACCGGACGACGACGACGTCGCATGCAGCAAGGACCGCGACGCGTCACGCGGTCCCGCCGCCGGCGCTGAAGGCGACGACGCGGGTGCTTCTGCAGCGACAGTAGCAACAACAGTAGCCGGGGCAGCATGGCTACCGCCGCCACCACTCCTCGTCTCAACCGATGCCGCCGTCGAAGGGGCATGCCGGGAGCTTGGGCCCGCATGCGTCGACACGGGCTTGCTGTTTCCTGACTTGGCCGCAGCCCGGGTCCCAACCGGCCGCGCCGCCGGCGGCGACGGCGCTGCAGTAGCATGCGTGCCAACGCTGCGAGCGACAGCTCGGCTGCGGCTGCTACCATTACTGTTGCAACTATGCTCTGACTGCATGGCAGTAAGGCAGCTGCCGCCGCCTGACGTCGTCGAGGCCGCTCTTGCCGTACATTCCCCAACCTGCTGCAGCTGCTGCTGTTGTCGCTGTTTTAACAACGGCGGCGACGGCTGTACGGCAGGGGAGGAACTCGCCGTCGCCGTCGCCGCCGCCGTCGGCTGCGCTGCTGAAGTCGACGTCGTTGATCCTGCACTGGATTGAGCGCTAGAAGGTCGCCGTCGCATTGCCTTGACGGCGGCACGACCCGTGCCCGCCACCAGCAGCGGCTGCTGCTGCTCCTGTTGGGAAGGCTGCTGCTGCTGCTCCTGATGCTGCTGCTGCTGGGGGAAGAACATCTGCTGTAAAGGGTGCTGTTCCGCATCCGAGGTGCCCCGTGCGTCTTCAGCGGCAGATGAGGAAAGACGTCCTCCACCTCCTTCCACAGGCGGAAGCACCTCCGGAGGCACAGCAGGCAACAGCTCTGCGTCTACTTCCGCTGCTGTTGCTGCCGATTCGGTTACGTCTGCTGCTGCCGCCGCCGCCTCCTGCCGTACCTGGACCCCCGAAACGTCCGCCGTAGCGGCCACATCCGTGCCTCCGCCTGCATCCGCCACCGGCACCGCCACCTCCAGCGCTGCTTCTGTTGCGGCCGTGGTAGCTGCAGAAGGTGTTGCGGCCGTGGTCGCTGCAGAAGTAACGGTAGCAGACCCCAGTACCGCCTCCACGGGCACTCCTCCCGCTTGCAGCGCTTCGTTGTCCTGGAGGACCCTGCCTTCCGCTGCTGCTGCTGCTGCCGCTACTGCTGCTGTCTGTTCAACTTGTTCTGCTCCACCCCCAACGTCCTCCGAGCGGCTAGCTGCCGCGCATGCAGCGGCGACTGCCGTAACCGCATCAACCCCACATGCCTTCTCAATTCCTGCACCCGCCCCCACATCCGGCCCCGCACCCTTATCCACATCCGTTGCAGCTGCCACCTTTGAACCGGCAGCAGCAGCAGCAGCAGCAGCGCCACCGCTCCCGTCCCCATCAGCACCGCTTGCCACCGCGACGTCCTCCCAGTCCGCCGTCGCATCGCCCAACACGTCCGACACGTCACGACTTGCGGCATCACCCAACACGTCCGACACGTCACGGCTCGCTGCTCCCTGCACCCTGTCTTCCAGCGCTGCCCCCGCAGCACCCTCCTGCTTTGCAGCAACCGCAGCGTCTGCTCCGTGACCTCCTGCGGCTCCGCTCGCCGCGTTGTCAACCGCTTCCATCTGCTGCAGTTCATGCAGCTCTCCAGAAGACGCTGCCTCCCCCACCGTGCCGGCGACGACAGCTGCAAGCTGCTCCCCGGCAGTCTTCTGGGCGCCGGCTCCCCCTGCGTCCGCGTCCGCTCCAGCAGCCCCGCATGTCAATGCATGCATGTTAGCCGCTGCCTCTGACGCCATGCTCGCCGGTACCTCAGCTACAACCCCCTTCATCTCGGCCGCAGCCGCAGGCTTCTCCTCCAACGCCTCCGCTGAATCTACAACCACAACCTCGTTGACCGCTGCCGCTGCCGTTTCCGCCTCCCAACTGCAAGCTTCACCGGACGTGCTGCTGCTTCCCGCTTCCTGCCCAACCCCCTCCACCCCGGCGTCCTCACCCGCTATCAGTGCTGCTGCTACTGCTGGCGCGTCACTTGCTTCAGCTCCAGCAGCGGTGCTATCTACGTCTGCTGCGCCGGCTGCCGCTGCTGCTGCTGCTGCCGGAGTAGCTGCAGCCTCATCAACACTCACAGCAGGGCCCGCTACGGAAACGTCAACTGCCGTCGTCCTGCCATCTGCTTCCTGCCGAACTCCTCCAACACCCAAAGCCGAGCCCTCAACGGCGTCCGTCGGCTGCTGGTAAGCGATGTGCTCATCCGTTTCTAGGCGCTGCTCCATTCCGGACGGCTGGAACTCCGCCGTACGCTCCGCTTCTGCCAGCTGCGGCGCTGGCGGTACGGCGTCCGCACACCCCACGTCCGCCCCCGCAGGAACCCGGCCCTCTGCCTCCACCAGCACTGCTTGCTGCTGCTCGGTATCCGCCTCCTCCTCCAAAGCGGCATTTGAGGCCGCACCGGGTTGCGCTGCACCTGGTGCTGCGGACGTTACCTGTAACTCTGAAACAGGAGGAGCTGTCGCAGTGTCCGCCGGCCCTGAACCGTCCTCTGCTGCTGCCGCCTCCGCTTCCGCAGCAGCAGCAGCAGCAGCAGCAGCGGAGCTCTCAGCCGTAGCCGGCACTGTTGTTGGCTCTTCTTGCAGCTCCACTTCATCCCGCGTGGGTACCCTAGCCGCTGGCAGCGGTGGTGGGTGTGTTAGCGGTGCCTCTGATAGGACCAACAACACCTCCTCAGCTGGCGGGGGCTCCTCCAGGGGCGGTTGCAGCTCCGAGGGCACCGGTGAGGCTTGCGCTGGCGGAAGCGACGCCTCCGCTGGCACTGGCGACGGCGGCGCCCCGTCCGACGGTGATGCCGCCTCCGCTGACGGTGGTGATGCCACGTCCACTGTCAAAGACGCCTCAGATTGCGGCGCCGGCAACAGACACGGCACCGGCTCGGCCGGCGGCAATGCTGCTTCCGTTGCCGTCGACGAGGCTTCCGCCGGCGGCAATGCCTCCGCCGCCGACGCCAACGCCTCCGCTACCACTTCCTGTTGTGACGGCGGCGGCGCCTCAGCCGGCTGTGCTGCAGACGCCTCCTCCGCTGGCGGCTCCGCCACCACTCCTCGCAGGGCCACTGGATCTGCCGGTTGGGCATCCAGGCAGGCCGCTGCTGCCGCCGCCACATCGACGGTATCCGCCTCGGCCTTGACAGCAAGCCCCGTCACCTCCGCGATCGCCGCCGCCGCTGGCACCGCCATCAGTTCCGTACCCTCCCGTGCCACCGTGTTCTCCAGCGGCTGCGGCTGCGGCGGCGGCGAGGTCTCTTCCTTTGCCGCCGCCTCCTCCGGCTGTACGCCGCCAACCACCCCGGACGCTGGCCGCGCTGTATCGGCTCCCGTGATGACAACAGCCGCAGCAGCAGGCATAGCGTGTCCAAGCTCCTCGCCCCCCTGCAGCGCTGCCTCCTGCACCCCGTCCGCTGCCTCCTGCACCCCGTCGGCTGCCTCCTCTGACGTCGCAGCAGCAGCTTCCGCCGCAACCCCCACCGCCGCAACGGCGCCAGCTGACGCAGCTTCCTCCGCCAAGGTTACCAGCGCAACCACCTCCCCTGCAGGCGCGTCCTGGGCAACCCCGGGAAGCGCTTCCGATCCCGCCGGAGGCGGCAGCGACTCAGCTGACAGCGTCGGCTCCGCTAGCTCTTCGGCTGACGGCGCCGGCGCTGGCGGCAGCGGCAGCGTTGGCGCATGGGCCTCCGCCAGCTCGGCGGGTTCTGCCTCCAATGCAGACGACTCGGGCTGTGCACGCGTCCCACCTGCCGTGGATGCTGCCTCTGCTGCCACCTCCGACGGCGCCGGCCCCGTCCCGGCCGGCGCCGCCAAGACCCTTTCCTCAGGATGAACATCCCCACCACCAGCAGCCGCCTCCTCCGTTGCCGCAGCCCCGTGCGCATCTGCATGCAGCAGCTGTGCTGCCGCTCCTTCCAAGGCCGGCGGCACCTCCAGCGCTGCTTCTTCCAGCGTTTCACCTTGCGGCACAGTTGCAGGCGAATCCGACTCCTGATGCGCATCCACTGGCATCGTCACGTCCGCCGCCACGCCTGCCGGCGCTGCATCTGCCGCCGGCGGCTGCGGCTGTGCGGTCAGGTTGTCCTCGTCAGCAGGCAGCTGCTCCGCCAACGGCGGCCCCGCGGCGTTGGACCCCACAGCCATGCTCACAACTCCCGCCGGCAGCGGCGCCTCCTCAGCTCCTGACGACGTCGACGGCGACGCTCCAGGGTCAGGCGATGACACCGCCTCCGCCGGGACTTGTAGTGGCGGCGCCATCGACGCTTCAGCCGACGCCGGCAAGTCTGTGATGGCCGGCGGCGGCGGCGGCGGTGGCACTGGAGCCGCCGCCGCCGCTAGCGTCGGCTGCTCAGCTTCCGCTGCCTGCTCCTGTATTGGCGAGGGCTGTTGGCTGTCCGGGACGACAGACGGGACTGAAGCCTGTTGGGGCAATGCAGCGGGGATCGTTAGTGGCGCATGAACGTCAGCCGGCGGTTATAACAGATCCCAACGGTGACGCTTCAACATCGGGATCCGCCGAGACGGCGGCATTGCCCATCAACGAAAGACCCACCTGTGATGGCAACGCGTCAGCCGCCGGGATTGGTGCAGCAAGCTCCGCTAGCGGAGCAAGCGCCTCATCATGCGCAGCGTCAGCTTCCAACGCCACGAGTCCAGCCTCCGCCTGCGGCGAGATTGCCTCCGTCGGCAGCGCATCCGCCTCCGCCGCTACCGGCGCCGCCTCCAACACCGGCTGTGCCGCCTCCGCCTCATCCGCCTCCGCTGGTGCTGCCCCCGCTGCCGTCTGCACCGCGTCGGCCTCCGCCTGCGCCTTGTCCACATCCGCATTCAGGGCAGCATCCGCCTCCGCTGGAGCAGCATCCGCCTCCGCTGGAGCAGCATTCGCCTCCGCCGGGGCCGCCTCCGCCACAGCATCCGCCTCTGCTGGCGCTGCTTTGGCCGAATCCACATCGGGCACCGTCGCTGGCGCATCCCCAACCTCCGCTGGCGCCGCATCCGACTCCGCAGGCGCCACGTTGGCTTCGTCCTGTGCGGCTTCCGCCCTTGTCGCAGCCACGTCCGCCCCAACCGGCAGCGAGCCGGCCTCAGCGGGCGCCGCTGCAGCCTCCGCCGGCAGCACGCTTCCCCCCGCCGGCGCTGCATCCGCCTCCGCCGGCGCAGCGTCTACCTGCACCGGAGGCACCGGAGGCAGCCCCATCGGCGGCACGTTCGCCTCCGCCGACGGCGAACCAGCCTTCGCAAGCTCGGGGTCTGCCACCAAGGGCACGGCATCCGCCGGCCCAGACGACGACGCTTTCGCCTCTACAGGCGCCGCCGCCGACTGCGCCACGGCCAGCGCCGTTGCATTGGCTGCCTCCGCCTCCGCCGGCGGGACAACCGCCTCCGTGGGTGTCACCCCAGCTGCTTGCTGTATGGGTGCAGCTCCCACCGCCGGTAACCCGCCAGCCTCCGTCGGCGGCGGATCTGTCTCCTCCGCCGGTGCCGGACCAGCCTCCGCAGCCAGCGGGGTTGCCTCCGCCTCCGCCTCCGCCGGCGGCACATCCGCACCCGCCAGCAACGTGTTTGGCGCCGCCTCCGCTCCAGTCCTTACCTCCGCTGCAACTACCTCGGGCGCCACCTCCACTTCCGCCGCATCCACCTCCGCCGCCGCCGGTGGCGTCTGCGCATTCGCCTCCTGCGCATTGACAACCCCTGGCGTCGCCGCTGCCCCTGCAAGCGGCGCCTCCACCTCCGCCGTCCTCACCGCCACCACCACCGGCTGCAGCACCGCCTCCATCCCTGCGGCTGCTGCTGCTGCTGCTGGCGCCTCCGCTGCATCCAGGGCGGTGAGCGCTGCCTCCGTCGCACCCGCAGTGCTGAGGGGCTCAACGAGAGCCGTCGGCGCCTGTGATGGTGGCGATGGTGGAGCTGCTGCTGCTGGCGGTGCCGTTGGCGGCGTCAGCGGCGGCGTCAGCGGCTCGGCCGCCGGCATGGGGGCCGGTTCCACCAAGGTCCGAGGTTGGACGATCAGCTTGTAGTGTTCAAAGGGATCCGATCCCAGGGAAGAACTGGATGCATTGCGAGGCAAGCCTGTGGGGTGTGTGGGAGCATAGGAGAGGCCAACCGGCATGAAACAGGCGCTATTTAGGCGGGCGGGTAAAGCGGGCAGGCAAAGCGGGCACGCGGCTATGTGTGCCGGCTTCGCTCCATGTGTACGACCCAGGTGAAGGGGCGGTGCTAGTAACCAGCACCCACATGCATCTGGCATGCCATCAGCACTGCCTTTGCATCCCCTGTTGGTTGTAACGTGTGGCACGGTATCGTCGCAAGCTTCTTGTCCCATTCACTTGGACCTACCCTCGACAAAGCCATACACTGCAACCGGCTCCGCCTCCTGCTCATCCTGCACAGCGCTGGAAGGTTGCTGAAGTAGGCTCGCGTCCGCAAAGGGGTCTGCTTCGTCAAAAGCCTTCTCGTCTGGTGCGAGCGCTAGCAGCTCTGGGTAGGATGGAGCATCGTGGATACGACGTTGCGTCTTCCATGGCTTGGATGGTGTCGGCTGCTGGACAGGCGCTGCCGCGTCCTCCACGCCACCGTCACCCGCTGGCACATCAGGTGGGGCCCAGGGCAAGATGTCTGCACTGTTGAAGGAATTGCCGCTGCTTGCACCGCTGAGTTCCTCAATGAGGCCCATTGGCTCCTCTGACCCCGAGCTCGAAACGGGAATCCGTAGATTGCCGTTCAAAAAGGTCAGTGGGCCTTCGCTGAAGGCTGGTGCCAGTGTATACTGAGCAAACGGGTCATGGTCGATGTAACTGTTCCCGACGGGATTGAGCGTCCCCTCCTCGGCCTTAGCACCGTTGGCATATGGGTCCACTTGGCCCCATCCTTTGTATTGATCAGTACCTAGTACTGGCTCATCCTTCTCGCTCATCGCGCCGGCAGTGCCTCGCGGCTCTCCTGGACATGAGCGTCTAAACCAGGTGCCTCCGGTTTTCAGAAATAACTCGTTATTGTGTGTAGATTATTTACTACTTAGTGACCATGGCATTTCTTAGAACCGTCGCGTCCAGTAACCGGCACTCGAAGTCGTCGCTAAGACGTTGTAGGCTGTGCCCTATTGATCAACGCAGAAAGTTATTTACTTCTGGTCTTAATTTTACTATACTAACAAGTTCAAGCCCTGCCCATATGGCTTACGGTAGGTCACTCGTTCCTATGTTGGTTGGGGTTGAGGGGAACGTCCCCTGACTACTAACGATACATGGAGTCAAGAAAGTCGCTTGCGATACGTTACACGTTGGTCAGGTGTTGCGAAAAAACCGCTGGTACCAGTGGCATGACATCACGTGCCACCTGGCATATCCCATTCCATGTTCATTGCCGCGCCCCTGCATTAGATACACATTTGCAATTTATTTAGTAGTAAATAGTGGTGAAGTGGTTATGCAGCCTCATGTTACGTGTGGAAGCGTAGTACTGTAGGCTGGTAGCCACAAAGCGTTTGCTCAGGTCAGGCCCAGCATCTCACAACCTGCTAGCCACCCCAACTGAATTGAGGTCCTGGTTGGTGTGCTGGCAGATCCCGAGCGGATACTACGCACTGAGGAAGGAGCGGACGTGACATGGCACCTAGGATGCAGTCGGTGTTGCAAACACAGGTATGCGCAGCGATCATGCTTGATGTATGATCCCTGCGCATACAAGAGGGCAGGGGCCTGACGAAGGAAAGGCTGCCAAACGATAACGTGGATGGCGTGGGGCAAGGAGAAGCAATCCTGGTGTTGGGCTACCGGTAGCTAGGCTCACACTGCAAATCGCATGGGAATGTGCGTATGCTCTGCTGTGGATCAACCCTCGCATACGGGCGCTAACTTGCAAAGGAGATTCCAAGAGGATGGGTCCATCTCCTTCCCAAGTGAAACACAGGGAGGACACGGTGGAGCACAGCAGACGTCGCATACAACTGTGCAATATACACGTGTTTCATGATTTGCCTAATACCAGCTATCCTCGCCTACCGGTATTGCACAGAGCAAACAGGCCATGTACGGTACCAGCATGTACTACAGGGTACAGCCGGATGGCAGGCGGCGACTGCCTGTTTGCTTGGCGTCCATATAGTTGAACCTCAAGGCACTCTAAGGCTCTGTGCTGACGCGGCGAAATAGTAAGCTTGCTGCGACAGACAGCATGTTCTGACATTATCCCACAATGCCTGCAATTGCGGCCATTAGGAACAAGCTGGAATCATTACTGTCATTACTGGTATTTTAGTTCTGGATGCCTTCCTGCTCCCTCAGGGCAATGCGTTTGTCAATATGTTGCGCCCCTGATTAAGCTAAATTTAGGCCTCAGCCTATGCGAACAATATGTTTGAAGGATGGGCTGCAGATCTGCTGGCCACATCGTTGGGCCGGTTTGTGGACGTGCAGAAGGACAAGCTACGCATTAGTTTATGGAGCGGTAAGGGAGGCGACGTGCCAATTTACATTTCCTATCGGCATACACATTGCAGCACGCACTGTGTGCCAGCAAAACAGTATGATAACGTGCGGCAGTCCTGGAAAGCACCATCCATCGCCTTGCATCGGTTAGCCAATCCCCTTCCTCTTCGTGTCATGTCGTTCACAGGGTATCCGTGCCCGTGTCTCGGTATGGTCGTCCACACTTAAGCGCCCTTCACCTTCACCTTGATCCATTCTGCCCATATTTCCTACAGGCTCGGGTGTGCTGGAGAATGTCCGGCTACGAGCGGAGGCGTTCGACTACCTCAAGCTGCCGTTCGCAATCCACGAAGGGGTCGTAGGGCGGCTTCGTATCAAGGTACGGGTAAAGACGGCATGCAATCCATGGCAACCGCCAACAGCAGGGCTAGCAACCTTTGGGTTGGACATCAGTACACGAGCAGGGTTCGGGACAGATGAGCTATGAGATAAGCATTGACCGGCGCATAACCTCCCGGGTGCGTGTGTGTTTTGTCGCCCCCGCTTCCGCCCCTGCCCTCTTACTGCAGATCCCCTGGGGCAACTGGCTGACGGGTGCGCTGGTGGTGGAGCTCAGCGATGTGCTGCTGTGCGCCACGGAGCGAGAGGACAGCGAGGTGGGGGCTGCATGGAGGGGTTTGGGGACTCTAGAGGGGCTGCATGGGGGGTGGTGATGGGCTCTAGAGGGAGCCTGGGGGCCAGGAGGGCTGGGGGATCTAGTGGGACTGGGGGCCTGGGTTTAAAGGATGAAAGCACGGCCCACTGGGGTGATACTGCAGCTGAGCAGCGGGTTGGTATGGTAAAAGAATCTAACGCACACCTGGAACGTCCCTAGCACATCTAACGCAGCACGCTGCCTGGTTCTTACCCGCATACGCAGTGGGAGGAGTCTGCGGCGCTGCGCCGCGAGTATGCCGCCAAGCAGGCGGATCTGGCGGCCGCGGAGCTGGCGAAGCTCTCACGCAGGATGGTCGTACAGCAAAACCGGCAAGGACACGGCCACCACCCTCATCCCCACCACAACAGCAGCAGTAGCACCACCGGTGCCAGCCAGCAGCAGCAACAGCAACAGCATGTCCTGCAGACGGCAGTCTCCGTATCCGGTTCGGCGCCTAGTGGCACGGTAGCTGCGGGGGCCACCGCTGGTTCCGGAGCAGCTGCTGGTGGTGCTGGCGCTGGTGCTGGTGCTAGTCCTGCCGTGGTGGATAATAGCATGGCTGGGGCAGGGGCGGTAGCGGTAGCCGGTGGTTTGGCTGCGGAGGGAGGGCATGGAGAAGCGCATGGCAGCGTTGCTGCAGCGGGCGCTGCTGGCAGCAGCAGCGGCGGCGGTGGTGGTGGTGGTGCGAGTGGTTTGTGTGGTGATGGCGGCGGCGGCAGCAGCAATGCGGGAGGTGGAGGTGGCGGCGGCGGCTTTGGCGGCGGCCTCTGGTCAACGGCGGTGCAATACCTGTCGCAGTTCCTGCTGAATCGGCTGCAGTTCAGCGTTCGCAATGTGCACATCGTTTTCAGGGTGCGTGAGGCGTGCTGACAGGGGCCGTTGGTAGGAGTACCTGGGCTTACGCAACGTTGGGTTCGCGTACCGGTCGGTCGGTTGTTTTACTCTGGACCGTGCTCACCGCTCTCAGCGCGTACCGCCGTATCTACGGTGCAGACGTTTCGGGTTTGTGCGGTCCGGCACCTGACCCATGAACTCCTGCCTCACCTTTGCTCTTGTACCCATGACGCTCCTACCGGTACCCTCCTTGCTCACCCCAGGGTCGTCAGGGTGGCATGGACTTCGCTGCTGGCGTGGCGCTGGACAGCCTGAGCACGGTTCCGGAGCCCAAACCGCCCAAATCGGTGCTAGCACGATTGTACGGCGCAACGCTGGGACGACAAGCGGTACGTCGGGGTGCAGAATGACCCGCGGGGTAAAATGCAATGACTCGGGACCGTGACCTCGCTGAAACTGTTACTAGTGTTTCTTACATGAACTCATGCGCTCGTGCAACGCACTGCAGCATCTTGTAACTGAACGCAACCATTACCCCTCCCTGCCCTGAATACGATGTTGCTTGCACGCAGCATGCAAAGCTTGCGGCACACATCTCGGTACGGGGCCTCAGTGTCTACTGGCGCGCGCCTCGATCCGGCACTTCACGCCAAGCCTCGCAACCCCACCCCCATCAAGTGTCCGTCTCACTAGCTCAACTGCAACCGGAGGACTACCTGGTCCGCCCTCTAGACACGCTCCTTCGCATCAGTGTGGTCGCTGGTGGCGTGGCGGTAGCACACGCAGGGGCCCTGCAGCAGCAGCATCAGCAGCATGGGGCGCCATCTGGTGCCTTACCTGCTAGCGGCGGAGACGCTGGCGGCAGCGGCGGTGGCCACCACCGCCTCCGCCCGTCCCACCACCACCGTCATCATCACAACCAGCAGCAACAGCAGCAGCCTGTAAGCGGCGTCGGAGCCACTGGTGCAGCAGCAGCCGCCGCGGCGGCGGCGGTGTCCTCGGCAGGCACGCATGTGGAAGTCATTGCGGGTACGGAAGCCGTGCAGATCCAGATCCGACCGGAGCAGCTGCAAAGCATGGTTCAGTTGGCAGATGATCTAGCGGTTTGGACCAAACGCAACCGCTACGGCAGGTTCCGGCCGCCAGGGTGGTGTACGATAGCGCAGCGGCTGCAACGAGCGCGTGAGCATTCCGTCGCCGCCTCCGTCGCCTCGACGACGGCGGCGGCCACGGGATCGGTCACAGTGGGCGGTAGCGCTGTCCATGGCATGGGGCCAAATGGGATGCCCGCGCTTCACCGCTCGTCTTCCGATCCCGGCCGGCTCCATAAGGGTGCAAGTGGGCTGGGGGCATCGCAGCAAGGAGCGCATGAGGAGAACGCGGGGAGGCGGGGGCATCGGCATGCCTCAACGCTGTTCACTGGGTCTCCGGAGGAGTGTTACGGGCAGCTCGTGGACCCCTCATCATCTTCGCTAGATAACCAGAGTGGCGGGACAGCAGCTCCTGCCGACGAGGAGGCGGGTGGTACCGCACGGCGATCGAGCAGCAGCGGCGGCAACAGCGATAGCGACGGGCAACGGCGAGTCTACGACAGTACTCTTGCCACTACCACCGCTGCTGCAGCAGCGAGCGACGCTACCGCTACCGCTACCAGATCAGCGCCCGGTAAATGGACCCTCGTCTGGCGTTACGCCGTACGAGCCGTACTGCACGACATTCGCGAACGCCGTGGCACGCATTCCCTACGAGACTATCTACGCTACAAGCGCCAATACACGCGCCTGCACCGTCGAAAGCTGGAACACCTGCGACAGTCGGAATCCGCAAGCGGCGCTCGCGGCGCTTCTATCTGTCCCGTTACCGCCGCCGCCACAGCCGCCGCTGGCGCCATTTCCTCCGCCCCGCCGCTGAGTGATGCCGAACAGGTGGAACTTCAACGTCTGGAAGCCGATCTGGCCGTTTCCGACATCCTCACATTCCGGCAGTTGACGGAGCGGGCGTTAGAGGAGGAGCACGAGCGGGAACGGGAGCGCGGGCGTGCGGCGCAGGGCGACAGCAGCGCGCCGACGGAGCACCGCAGCTGGCTGGCGTGGGGACTGTCGGGCGTGTCAGGGTTCTTTTTGTACGGCGGCGGAGCCAAGGCGGCGGCGCCGCAGGTGCCGCCTGCACTGCTAACGGAGGCGGAGCTAGCGGAGCTGTATCAGTTGCTGCAGGGCACGTCGTTGCAAGCGGTGGTGGCGGCGGGAGCACCGCAGGAGATGTCGCTTGCAGGAGGGCACCATCCGCATCACCATCACCATCATCACCAGCACCACCAGCAGCAGCAGTTGCTGCAACACCGCGGCAGTGTATCGGGCGCCGCCGGGTCTGCTTCCGCTGCGCCCGCTACAACAGGCATGCCGCTACTGGTGCAACTGCGCTTTCTGCATGTGACTTTGGACGTCAAGGGGCCAAGCGGCAGCGGGATGCCCAACAGCAAGGTCGGAGGCAGTTGGGGAGGTGCTGCTACTGCTGGCGCGGCGCCAGCACCGCCGGCGCCAGCAGCCGCACCAACGCTGTTATCCTTGGGTCTGGGCTCGGTTGCCGTGGCTGTGGAGTCAGACGGCACGCACGCTGCCGTACAGTCGTCCATCGGCACGATCCATATGTACGACATGTGCACCGACCCAGGGGTCGCGGAGTGCATTCTCATGCAGGCGGAGCTAGATCCCGATTACAGCGGTGCACATGCAGCCGGCGTGGGTTCTGCGGCGAATGGCGGTGCTGCAGCAGCAGCAGCTAGCGGTGTGGCGGGTGGCAGCAGCTCGCCTGGCGCTGACGCGTCGATTCGGCATCGCCGGCGAACGACCCATGGGTCATGGGCTTCCCTGAGCCAGCTGCTCGCGGTCACGTCCCGGTCCTCAGGTCTGCACGCCTCCATGAGCACAGACAGCCTGGATGCGGATGTTGGGCACTGGGCCATGGGAGCTTCACAAACACATGCCGTACAGTCGATGGCGGCAGGGGAAGCATGGCACTGCGGGTCACCCGTGGTGGTTCTGAGCAAGGCGGCTGCAGGATGTGATGCTGACGGTGAAAGCGGCCTGTTGGACGTGCACGTTAGGCCGCTACGGCTGTTATACCGCCCGCAGTGTTTCGCTGCGGTTGCCGCCGCGATGGCTGTGGATTCGACAGCATCCCTGGAGCATCACACGATGCATGCGGTCGCGGCGTTTGCATGCCGTGATGCACGGTTGCTGGCGCGGCTACAGCACTTGGGTTGTACGGCGCCTTCTCAGCGCTTGCGGATTCAGGTACGACACCGTACCTTGCTACCTGTACGCATGTTGGTGTTGTGGTTGAGTCTGGATATTCGCGCAATGCTGGATTACGGAAAGCCGCGGCAAATAATTGCTTCGTGCCGTGTCCCGTTGCCCTCCGGTACCACCTTGCAGGTTGAGGGGTTGGAGGTGGTCATGCCGGCCGAAGGCGGCCAGGAGCAACCCACAGGGACGGCGGCAGCGGCGGCGTCTAGCAGCCGCATGGGGAGCGCAGGAAGCGCCAGCAACACCAGGCCAGCAGTTACACCCGGCCATTTGACAATTGCCTTGTACGACGTTCAACTGTCATCCCTCGCGGAGCCGTCGCCTAGCACGACGCCGGCATCATTGTCGCCGCCACTGTCGCCGCCGCTTGCTGTACGGCATAGTGAGGTTCCTCCGCCAGCGGCGGCGGCAGCGGCTTCAGCGGCGGCAGCAGCAGACGTTTTGGCAGCTCCCTCAATCTCAATCGGCATCCTACGCCGCCTGGAGCATCTGCTACAGCGGCGATTACATCCCAGTAGTACGGCAGCGGATCTGGCGGCTGTAGCGGCGGAGGCCTCGACGGCAAGCGCCGCCGCCGCTGCCGCCGCCGCAGTAGCCGAGGGCGCACCGGGCTCTCCTGCCACCGCCATCACCACCATTACCACCACCACTACCATGTCCTCCTCCTCTACACTCTCCCTCGGCATGCCTTGCTCAGTTGATGGCATTGAGCGGTTGGTGCTGTACGATCACATGCGGTTTGCGGTTGGTGCCGTGCACGTGTCGTACCAGTTGCCTGCCGTACAGTCTACCGCGTCTCAGCATACGGCTGCTGCCGCTGCTACTGCCGCGGCGACGGCGCCAGGCTACACTTCCTATGGCGCCCCAGGTAGCCAGGGCCGGCAGCCGACGACTTACCAGCGGGCAGCAGCAGCACCCGTGTCCGAGCGGGGTTGGCACTCGCAGTCGGGATGCAGCCAGGACCAGCCAAAGGGGGGCTGCAAGCTGCTGCTACCACCCTCCTTGCGCCTGCATGGCGTGCTCAGTCGCAGTCGGCTGCCGCAGGATGCCGACGTGCCGGCCACGGCGATTAGGTTGGGGCTCAGCGGCTTGTCGTGCCGGCTGCACTCGTCCCAGGTAAGGCGCTTTGGGTCGTGGTGCTGTCTGTCGTGCCCTGGCAACCATCTAGTTCCTTCTCCCTCATCCTCCATGTGCACACGGCAATGGCTGAATCCTAACCAGGTGACGCCCTTTACTCATTTAATCATCTTACCAAACTCCGCCGCCGCCGCTTCCGTACATCTCTCACAGGTTGCTGACATCCAACAGCTCATCAGCGCGCTGTCACCATCATCCGCACCGGCCGCCCAAGCTCCTCTAAGCAACGGCTCCCCAGTCGGCGCCGCCGCGACCGCCTCGCCTGCCACCACGCCCTCCATGCCGCCTCCCATGCCGTTCCGTATCTCTATGGATTCCCCATCCAACGGCATCTCCCCGGCAGGGGCCCATGCAGGTCCCGGCACACATCAGCGCAGCGCTGCAGCCTCGGCGCCGCCGACGCCGTCGAATGCGACGGCGGCGGCAGCGGCAGCCGGGGCGGCGGCGCCTCCGGCAAGCGCCAGCACTGGCTTGCGTCGTGGCTTCAGCCTAAGCCTTAGCCGGGCGGCTCGACGAGCCAGCTGTGGAGGTGGAGGTGCGGCAACAGGCGGCGAGGGCAGCGGCGCAGCTGGTGTCTCTGCTGCTCCCGTTGAAAGGACGCGGTCCGGGACGTTGATGGCAGCAGCCGGCTTATCGAATGAGGCCGCCGCCGGCAACGCTGATGACGACGGAGTCCAATCGGCGGCTCCGGTGCTATCCGCGCCGCCGCCGCCGCCGCCGCGCTCCCGCTTCTTCTTGTTGAGCCAGACCTCAGCGCCGGCAGGAGGAAGCAGCGCCTTTGCCCGAGTGCAGGAACGTGATGAAGACGCTGGCGAGCGCGACAATGCACAGCCGCAGCAGCAGGAGCAACAGCAGGATGAGCAACGCAACGTGGCAGGGGCACCACCGGCTGCCGCTGAGGCTTCAAGCCTGCTGCGACTGCCGCTGCTCCCGCAGACCACAGGCGTGCAGCTTTTCGTGGAGCCGTTTGAGATTACCTACGTCCTCGATCACACGGAAGACGGTGGTGCGCTGGCTACCGACGGCTGCGGCGGTGCCGCCGAAGCCTGCATGGGCGAGACAGCTGCCACCAACAGCGAACGGAGTGGCCGCGGCGGTGGTGGTTGTCGTACCATTTGCATCCGTACTGCGCACCGGGCTGACCTAACCCTATCCACCTGCTCTGACGGCTCTGCAACCCAACGCATGCAGCTGTCGGTGAGCCTCCGGGGCTTGAGTGTGCAGACCGGTGACGCCTGCGACGGTAGCACAGGTGGCGGCAGCGGAGGAGGAGCCAGCTTCCTGCTTGCCTTACCGCACATCGTCTCAGCCACGTCGATTACGGCTAGCCTTGCGAAGACGCACACGGGCAGTGTCAGCGTTTGCGGCGCTGTGTCCGGCTTGCGGCTGCTGGGACCCGTCAGTCATCCAGGCCACTTTGTGCTGTCGAATGGAGCGGACCGGGATGAGGCGGGCGTTGCGGTTCGGTACTGGTCTGCAGGCGCTGAACCGCCGCCGGATCCTGCGACGGCGGCGGCGGAAGCGGCGGCGTATGTGGCGGCAGGCTGGTGGCAGCGTGCCGCGCACCCGCAGAGTCGTCAGGGCTACCAGCGCCGCGGCGGTGACGGCGGTGCAGACGTGACGGCGGCGGCTGCAGGTGACCGAGTAGCTGCAGCAGGAGAAGCTGCGGCAGCAGCATTTAAGGCCGCAGGTGGAAGCAGCGGTAGCGGTAGCGGTGGCTTGGAGCTGCGCGTCTCTGATGTCGCCTTGGGGATGGGGCTGCTGGTTTCCCTGGCAGGAGGAGGCGGCTCGGGTGGCGCAGACGAGCGAGCCGAAAAGCAGCCCCGGCCACGGTCACAGTCACAGTCACAAAGCCAGCGGCCCAGGGAAAGCGATCCGGCTGCTCCTGACGGTGCTAGGCAGACTGGACTGCCTTCACCCGCCAGTGCTAGCAGCTCAGGAAGCGGAGGAGGAGCCGAAGCAGCGCATTCAGAACCAGCAGCAGCAGCAACAGCTGCCGATACGCCAGCGACGCCGCCGCCGCTGCAGCTTTCCGTAGCGCTACACAACTGCGCCATACTGGCTGTGGCTCCCAGCCGCACACCCTTCGCCACGGCGTCGGGTGCGGGACACCTAGCCTGCCATGCATTGCTTAGCCTGGAGCACCTCAGCCTTAACTCTGAACAGCAAGGCGCGCATGATGACGGAAAGCGCCAACAGCAGCCGCAGCACATGCAGCGAACATCGCCACGAGGGGTCAACAGGAGCAGCATCCATGCTAATGGTGCTGATGGTGCTGCTGCTCCTACTGCTGCCGAGGGTGATGCGGCTGCTGAGGAGGAGGAGGTCGCTGAAGTGCTCCGCAGCGTCGTTCCTGCTGCGCCTGGCTACGCTGGAGTCCTGCGGGGCTTGTTGCTCTACATGGCGGATAACCCCGACTCCGCCTACCTCTCACCTGTGCTGCTGCTGCCTGAGCTTCGCGCACGATACAGTCCAGCGGCTGCTGCAGGCGCGGGCCGAGGCACAGCGCGGACGTCAGTGGTTGGGAGCGAGAAGGATGCGGGCGTTGGGCTGGGATTGGGCGGTGCAGAGGAGGCGTCGGTAGACGACGTGGACGGTGCGGCAGGTACGGCTGAGCCGCAGCAACAGCGGCAGCGGCAGCAGGCCATGTCATTATCGGTGGAGCTGGCGCGTTTGGAGGCGTGCCTGCAGCCCCAGCAAGCAGGGGTGATCTGCGCGCTTCTGTCAGACCTGTCTCCGGACCAGTCACGGGAAGCAACGCCACCGCTGCAGCAGCCACTGCAGCAACAGCCTAGGGGCGGATACGCATCGCCGCTTCCGTCGCCAGTTCACATGTCAGGTGTCGCGGGGCCTTCGAACGGCGCTGCCATGCATGGTGTCCCGGTCGACGGCCGTGAAGACGACGACGAGGGCGTTCGCAGCACCAGCGACGACGAGGAGGCCGGGATCTTCGGTCTGCCACGCCTATCGGTCTCCGTCGACTTGGGTTTGCTAACGGCTTTGCTAGGGAGCGACACGTTGAGCGAAGAGGCGACGGCGCTGTACTGGCGTGACGTAAGCCTGTCGTACGATTACGCCCGCCGCGACGTCACATGTGGTTTATCATGGCAGGAGTTGACGCTGGCAAGCGTGGGCGCAAGGCTGGATCCAGGCCAGCTTGCTGGGCAGGTCAAAAACGGCCGTCAGCCGCCAGCGGAAGGGCTGGCTACTGCGACTGCAACTTCCGGCGGCGCAGCTGACGGCGGGTTTGTGACGGCAGCCGGATCCAAGATCCATGCGGGATCTCTTGCGATCATGTGCGACCTGTCGTACGCACAGCAGTACGGCGCCTCAGCAGCAGCCGGCGTTGCGGGCGTCGCAGGAGGCGCGTCTACTTGCGGCGGCGCGTCAACGGCTGCCCCGGACTCGCGAAGAAGCTCTGGTCGCCCGCCGTCGCCTTGGCTTTCGGACACGGGCATGGTTGCTTCTGTTGGCTGTTGGCAAGGCTGTGAGGATGCCACAATGGTGGCGGCCCGTAGGGACGCGTTGGGCCCTGTTGCTTCTCCTTCGCGCTGCGGCTACGTTGATAGTCAAGCACGGCAGCAGATGCCCCGGGGCGATAGCCAGCAGCAGCTTGATGACGCTGAGTTCTTCTCGGTGGAAGGCGGCAGTAGCGCCTTGGATCCAGATTTGGATTCCGACATTGCAGATCTGGAACAACAGCTGTCCCAGCAACAACAGCCGCCGCCGCAGGTTGACGGTGACGGTGGTGACGGGCTTCTCCTTGGCAAGACAGCAGCTCCCCCGGGAGCCGGCGGCGGCGGTATCCGTGGCAGCAGCAGGCGGCGTGGCATGGTCCTTCCGTCACACGTACCCGACGCCACCAGCATCACACGAATCTGGACGTTGCCTGCGGTGACGCTGCCATGCGCTGAGAACATGTCGGCGAGCTTCCCCGGGGGGCCCGTTGGTGGCAGTCTCCCTGCTATTGTACTGCTGTCTGCGGGAGGACCTTGTCGACCGGCGGCAGGGCTGGTGGGACCTGCTGCTGCGGTGGCGGCGTTTAACACAGCAACCCAAGCAGCTGCACCAACCCTGGCCAGCGTCCTCGTCCGTGTGAGGCCACCCGCATGCGCCTTCCCCTGCAGCAACCCTGCCCCCGACAGCAACAGTAGCTCACGGCCCAGCGGTGCCGGTGTTGCTGCTGCTGCTGCTGCTACTGCTGCCACACACGTCAGCAGCGGTGCCAGCAACGACGATGCGGAAGCAGCAGCTCCATCCGCCAGCAGCCCTACCTGCGCTGCCGCAGCTGCTGCTGCCGCCTCATTGGAACGTCCGCATGTTGACTTTGACCTGAACGGTCTTCACCTGTTGGTATCTACCACGCAATGGCAGGGCGTGCTGGACAGCCTGACCGCTTGCGGGCTGCATTGGAGCACCGCGGTTGCAGGCAACGCGCGGGCTCGGCAGCAGCGGCTACGTGCGGTGGAGAGCAGCTCCCATGCACCGGCACGCCGGCTGCCTCAGGCAGCAGCATACCCCCATCCATTCCAACAACAGCAGCACCAGCCGCAGCAGCCGTACTTCCAACCTCATGGCGAGAAGTCGTACATGCAACAGCAGCAGCAGCAGCAGCTACGAACCTCGGGCGTCGCGGCCAGGGCGTCGCAGCCGGGCATCAGCGGTAGCGCCCACCGCGGCTCCACTGCGTGGCAGCCGTCGCAGGACCTTCCCCGCAGGCACATGTCTCTGGATGGGGCGCGGCTGGACGGGACAGCACAACGGCCCAGCCACGTCAGTGGCGCCATGGCAGCGGGGCCAGCGGGGACTGCTGCAGCCCCGGGAGCTGCGGGTCTTCATGCCAGCAAGGATTTACCTGGCCGTGCTTTCGGTGGTGGGGCTGAAGCCGCTGGTTCGTGGCTGCCTGCAGACGTTGAGGCAGACTTTGAGTACGCTGGGGGGCTTGGCGAGGGAGTTACGTTTCCGGCCCCGGCAGCAGCAGCAGCAACCGGCCCAGAGGAGGAGGACGGATTGCTGCGGCTGCTGCTGGCGCCGCCGATAACCGCCAGTGCGTCAGTGCAGGACGTGTCATTCGTCGCGTATGCGGCGCCAGAGGCGGTCTCCAGCGGCAAGGCCAAGGGCGGACTGTCGGCATGTCCACGTCATGGCCTAGGAGGTGCTGGCGGAGCCGGCTTGTCTTACCCGCAGGCCACTACTCCTACTCCTCGTTGCTTGCGTGTGGCACTGATGGCGGGAGCTAGCATGGAGGCGGATTCGGAGGGGCACCTGGAGCAGCTAACCCTTGTAGCCCCCGAGGTGTCGTTGTCGGTGGGCGGGCTGTTGCTGCAGCATGACCCACGGGTCGGCACCTGGCATGCGCTGAGCGATCCATGGCGTGTGGCGCTGTTCGAGGGGCTGTCATGTGCCGCGGTGCCACAACTGCGCTGGGGCCCGACTGGCAGCGGCAGCGGCAGCGCTGTCGCAGCAGGAGGCGGTGTCGCAGCAGTAGCGGCAGCAGCAGCAGCTGGCTCTGTAGCGCCGTCGATATCAGAGCAAGCGAGCATGCGTGAGCGGCTGGCGTCCATTGCTGAGGCTGGCGGCGGGACAGCGGTGCGGTACAGCTTGGAATCCACGCGGGCTCAGCAGGGCGACAGAAGTCACCGGGATTCCTTTGCGGTAGAGGCTGGCGTGGACTTGATGGGGACGGGATCACAGCCAGGGTCGCCAGCACGCCAAGCGGCTTCACCCGTCTTCAGCAGGGCAGCTGTGGCGGCTGCTGCCGCCGCCTCCGCCCCGTTGCGGAACACCGCGGAACCAGTCGCTGGGTCGTTTGCCGTGACCCGTGGGTCAGGACTCTCCCTTGATGGCCAATCACCACGGCTTGGTCCCTCGAGAACGTCCTCGCTGCGTCGTAGCCGGCTGCCCGACACCGTTGGCGGCCATGATGGTAACATCGCTAATCTGTTTGACAACGTTGTCGTACACGCCTTGCTGGATGTGTCCCTGCAGCACGTTTCCGTCTACGCCGCGCGTCGAGCGATTCTAGAGTTGTTGGAGCTAACGCGCGAGACGGAAGAGCACTGGAGCCATGTCACACGCGTCGTCAGCTTTCGCCAGCACGCCTCGGATAGCTCGGGATCCGAATCAGACGACGACGCGGATGGAATCGGCGCAGCAGCAGCGGCAGATGATCTGGACGGTTTCGGGGCGGCGTTTTTGGACCCGCAGGTGTTGCGGCTCATGGGGCCGAATGGAATGGCGGCGGCGGTTGCGGCAACCTCCACAGGAATGACGGGACTGCCGAGGACTGCATCTGCCGGTGTGGGTGATTTGGCGGGCGGTCGAGCGGCCGCGGCGGGCCGTTCTTCGGTGGAATGGCGCCCCGTTGGCGGCGACGGCGGTGTCCCGAAACCCGCCGACGAAGCTCGAGGTGGCGGCAGGTGCCCAGCGATGTTGTATCACTACCATCAGTATCACTACTACCACCACAACCACCACAACCATCAGCAGCATTATCACCAGCACCACCACCACCATCGGGCGACTGCTGCCGGCGGGAGGGCTCGACGTGAGGGCACCACGGCGACGGCCGGCACGGGCCTGGCAGATGACGTGGGCAAAGCACTGCCGGCGTGGCTGCCGCTGTGCTGTCTAACGCTGCGGGTTGCGAAGGCGGCGGCTGTGCTTTACACCGACGTGCAGGTGCGTACTGTACTGTGCTAGCTAGGATTGCCGACCGGAAACGTTGGAAAAGGGGTTAATCATTTGCTAGCACAATAACGAGAAGGCGCGTGTAGCTCGCTTAGTACTAGCATACCGCAGTCGATGAACGCAACCCTAAACTATGTGTCTCCGTCCACAACCTCACCCACCCACAATCTCACCCAATCCCAGGGCTATGACTTGCCGCTCTTCGAAGCCGCAATCTCACCTCTCGAAGTACAACTCAAGCTCAACGCGCTCGGAGATGCAGCCGGTGCTGCTGACGACGCAACAGGCGACAGCACCGCTGCTGGATCTGATGCTGCAGAGGCTGCTTCGGGCCCGACGACCCGCAGGGAGCGAGGCCACAGTCCGGCCTCGGCGCCATCCGTTGCCGCCGCCGCGGCGGCGGCAGGCGCTGCCGCGGCGCCACCTGCCTACGCGCGGCACCTCTTCCCGCCCGACAAAGGCCCAGCCGGTCCCGCATCCGCCCCAGCAGGCGCATGCGACAACGTCCCGACAGCAACAGCTGATCCGGGAATGATGACAACACCGTTTGCGCGGCTGTCCGCCGCCACGACGCTCAGCATGCCCAACCGGCAACATCGTGTGGTGGGTGCTGTCGCCGCGGCGGGAGCTGCGACGGCGACGGCGGCACAGGCACGTGCGCTGGCGGCTGGCGGCGGCGGCGGCGGCAACGGAAGCACCGCGGCGACGCCGTTGCCGGTGTGTTCCATGCAGGTCGTGTTGGATGCGACGGTGATGTTGGACGTTTACAACCTGGAGAAGCTGGGTTGGGAGCCCGTGGTAGAGCCTTGGGCGGTGCAGGTGCGCAGTTGCTGGTTGGCAGGTGCTTATTGCTAGTTTGGGGCTCGACTTGTTGCTTAGGTACCCTGACAAGACGTCCGCCTTGACAAGACGTTTGCCTCCATGCTCCCTTGCCCTCTGCTTATATCACATTTTGTCAGTTGTCAGCACACCACCTTCATGTCCTCCCTTACAGGCGCTGTACATTGGCCGCCAGCTAGCTGCGGCGTCCTCCACCATGCTCCCCGCCGCCGCTTCCTCGCCGCCAGGCGCCCTCACCTCAACACCCTTGGCGCCTAACCCGCCGCGACACTCCCTCAGTCTCACCACCAACACCCTGCTGGAAGCCACCCTGTCGCCTGGCCTCATCCCTGCTGCGCGAGCGGCCATGCAGCTTGCAGACGAGCTTGAGCACGTGTTTGCCGTACGGCAGCAGCGACAGCAACAGCCCGCTGACGGCGGCGTCGCCGCCGCCGCTGCTGCTGCTGTGCCGCCGCCGCCAGTACCGAGTCATGTGAGCAACGGTCAGTGGCCATGGTTTGTCGTCGCACCGACGACGACGACGATGTCTCCCATGCCTATGCCGACGCCAAGCACTGTCGCAGCGGCCGCCGCCGCCACCGCCATGGCACCGGGCGGCCCATCGCCTCCGTCCATGCCTGATCCTACCTGGCATCCGCCTCCGCCTCCGCCTCAACAACCTCAACCAACACGCTCGGGGGCGTTACCACGCGTTTGGCTCCAGAACCGCCTTGGTCAGCCTGCGAGCTTCATGACCCTCGGACTGTTGCCGCGCTCGCATGCGGCCCAGCTGTTCATGACGGCCAAAGCTGCTAACGGTGTTGCGGTGGAGGGCAGCGGCGTGGTGGCTAACGGTGCGCTGGTGGTTGTGGATTCGGTTCAGTTGGCGCAACGGCAGTTTGTTGGGCGGCATGTCTCCAATCACCAACCGCCAACCGCTCTCGCTGATGGCAACGAACCGTATTACGGCTCGTTGTACGACGACACGTCGGCATCGTCACCATTCAGCAGCTCTGGCTTGACGTCACGCGGCATCGGCTTGGGTTCTTACGACGGCGGCAGTCGCAGCGGCGGCGGGTTGTACTTCCGATTCAACGACCACAACGGCATTGTGTTAGGACCCGTGCCGTACAACGCCTCCGCCGGGTCTCGTTTCTACTTCCCGCTGCCGCTGGCCACCCCGCGACATGTTGTCATGCACCGCGGCACCCCATGGGCCCCCGCGGCGGCGGCGGCTCCGGCGGAACTTCGAGTGGTGTGCGAAGTACGACCGCATCATCTTTGCAGTCGCCGTCTGGATATTCGTACGAATGTACGACTGAGGAACGACAGCGGCTTGTGGCTTGCTGTTGGCGATTGGGCGCTCCGGGATGCGTCTGCTCCGAATGCGGGCGGCAACGCTGCATGGAGCGATGTTGAGACTCAAGGTGCCCGTAACTCGGTTATGCTGCATACACTTGCTCCCGGCGGTGCTGTCTGGATGTCAAGCGGGCTGCTTCAAAACATGCCGGCGGTCCTAACCGTACGAACGGCGGTAGCACGTGGTGGCGACGGCGGTACGGCAGTTAGGTCGTACAGCGTGGGGTACGGCGGCGGCGGCGTTGGCGGCGACATGACGGATATGGCTACCGGCAAGGTGGTTGACGAAGGCAACGGTAGCGGTAACGGCTACAGCGGTGGCGGCGGCGGTGGCGGTTGCGAGCATGCCGCCATGTCCTTTAGTGCGTTCTACGAACAGCATCAGCAACAACAACAGCCGTACTCGCAGCCTCATTCGCCGCAGCTTTGGAGTGAATGGAGCATTCCGCTGGACCTGACGTCGATGCTTTCCGACGCCGTCGCCCTGCAACAACATGCCGCGGCCGACGGCTCGGCCGACGGCGGCAGCGCTGCCTCTGCCGCTTCCCTCGGCGTCGTACGGCGGTTATACTGCGTGTTGCCTCAGCCATCTGAAGGCAGCGCTGGCGGCGGCGTCGGCGGTGACGTCCCTGGCGCCTGTCACCTGATCGCCCACCTAGCACCGGTGGGCTACAACAGCAGCGCCGCTGCCGACGGCGGGACATGGGAAAGGCCGGAGTGGGAACTCACGCTAATGGCGCCTGTGGTGGTCCGCAACGATCTGCCGGTTCCCGCACGCTTCTCCCTGCAGGCTTACAGCGGCTTGGGTGGCGCCGCTGCCGCCGCCGTCGCCGTCAGCGCGAGCTCCGCCCCGGAGTTGCGCGAGTCCTTGAACGCGCTGTCTTCCGTACATCTGCACGCCTTCCCAGCCCACCGCCTGGTTGGTGTCTCATGCAGACCCGTGGGTTACGCTTGGAGTTCGGCCCTGATGGTGTACGGCATGCAGTACGCCGGCGGCGGCGGCGGCAGCGACGGCGACGATCCCGAGTTTGAGCCGTTACATCCAGGGCTTGAGCAAGCGTCGACGGGTGGAGCATGGGCAAGCAGCGGCAGCGTGCACGGCAGCAGCAGCGGCGGCCGAGGTGTGCTAGTGCCGTACTGCGAGGCGGCGGTAGCGGTGCGTGCCACGCAGCCAGGGCTGCAAGACCTGCTGCTGATGCTGCGTACATGGCGGCACCGACCCACGGGTCAGGTACGCTTGGAGTTGAGCTGCCCAGTCTGGATCTACAACTGTCTGGGCCTGCCGGTGCAGCTACGACCTACTGCTCGTCTGCGCGCCGCCGACATGGATAATGGTGGCGGCAACGGCGGCGGCGCTGAAGACCTCGGTGGCGGCGCCGACAGCGGAGGAAGGCTCCTCGGCGACAGCACCTCCGCCACCTCCTGGGTGCCTCCCTGTCTGTCCCTGAGCGGCGCACCGACGCATGCAGCGGCCGCTGGCCCTTGTACGTCACAGCTAGCGGCGCTGCAGGCCGCCGCTGGGTTGCTGTCCGCCGCCGCGGCACGTGCCCTCGATCCGCATGCGGCGCTGCTTGACGCTGCCAGCAGCAGCGGTGGCGGCGGCGGCGCCGCCGTCTCCGCTACGATCCGTTCTAGCAGCAGCGTACGTTCGTATCGTTCCCTGGGCGGCCATACCGTGGCATCGTCAGCACGCAGCGGTGGCTCAGGCCTTGGAGGCGGCGCCGCCGCCGCCGGCGGCGCGCTGGACGCGGGCGGACCCAGCGGCGGAGGTGGCGGCGCGTATGGCGTTCACCTGGCGGGACTAGCGGAGCTGACGCCGCGGCTGAGTCCGCTGACGTCATCGCCGCCGCCGCGGCAGCAGCAGCAGCAGCAATACCCACAGCAGCATTCGTCGCAGCGCCCCAGGGGGATGTCCTACCAGCACCAACAGCCGCAGCAGCAGCATCCGCCACAGGGGGTGCTGTCACGCCATGCTAGCTTGGACTACTCCTCCAGTGCGGATCCTTCCCTTAGGGCAGCTACCGGTGGTGGCGGCGGCGTCGCTACCTCGGGCGGTCCTTCGCAACGGCGCCGTTTGGGCAGCTTGAGCAGCCGAGCTGCTCCTGCCACACCTGCCCGATCCGTCGCGACTGATTTCCGCCCGGGCGGACAACGGCATTGCCATCAGCAGCAACAGCAACAGCCGTCCGTACCATATCACGTTGAGGCTGCTGCTGCCGCCGCTGGCGACGCCGCGTTTCACCACGCTGACGCCAGCGGTGGCGGCTGCCCCTCCACATCCGCTGCCTCCGCGTCTGGCTTCGCCTTCGCCTCCGCCGCCTCGCATCATCCTCCCGCTCGCTCCGTATCGCCCTTCAGCTCCGCCGGCGGTGGCTTTGCCGCCGCCACCGCCAGCGTCGGCGGCGGCGACATCCCGGGCGGTCCCCCTTGCGGTCTGCAGCCTTGCATGTACGGCAATATGCCGGTCGGATTGGGTCAAATGGAGCTGTCCGTGTGGCCTGGGAGCACCGGTGCATGGTCGGGTCCCGTGTGGCCTGATGTGGACGGTTCGCCGGTGCATATCGTGCTGCCATGCCCGTTGCCGGACAACGACGGAGGGATCTACAGCGGCGCCGGCGGCGGTGGTGGCGGCGGCGGCAACGCAGCGCCGTCGCCGTCGGGTGCGGCCGTTAGGGGCATGCATGGCAAGGGAGGCGGCGCCGGCGGCCGTCCTGCTTTCCATGTGGTGGTTCGGTTGGCGCGTGTGGCGGTGGGGGCGGGTACGGCGGCTGACGTCAGCGTCGTACGATCGGTCGCGCTGCACATGCTGCCGCGCTATGTGGTGCACAACGGCTTGTCGGCGGCTGTGCAGATTCGCCAGCAGGGTAAGTCGCCTCGGTTGGGTTGGTGGGAGGGTCTAGCTCGTGGTTAAACTAGGAGCAGTACAGGTACATCGTGCAAACTCTTTAACCCGCCACACTCTTAATGAGCGCAGGCACCTCCCACCCAGCCTCCCTGGCGCCCGGCGAGCGGCGGCCCGTGCACTGGGCGGACATCGGGTTGCCCCTGCGGCTGCAGATCCGGATCCAGGATCCAGGCTGGTCCTGGGCGGGTGGAGTGGCGCTGGATTCGGTGGCTCCGGGAGACTTGTTCGTCAAGGTGCGGCTGGTATAGCAAATGAGGGATAGCAGCAGCAGCCGGGGTTGGGTTGGGCCTGCTGGCGAGGTGCTGCAGTGGGAGATGAACGGATGTATGCTTGATGTATGCGTCAATACCGTCCAACCTGTTGTACACCTCCCCGCGCTAACAGATACGGCACCGCAACCGCGCCGAGACTCAGCTGGTGCGACTGGACGTGAGCCTGAGCGAGGCGGGCACCAAGCTGGTCAGCCTTAGCCACCACCACACCGACTTTGCGCCATACAGGTGAGAAGAGGGGAGGGAGGGAGAACCCCCACATGCCTTGTGTGCGGAGTTGTGGACAGAGGTGGCGCAGTTCAAGCTACTGAAGATTTTTAAGTTTAAAAAACTCTCTTGTATATAATATACATTGTTAAAAAAAACAAGATCTATTTATGTTAGACAATAAATAAAAGATATCTCTTTTTCTTTTATTTATAACAAAGTACTTGTTATGAAATAATCTAAAAAGGTATAACAATTAAAATTTTTATACTAATAACTTGGCTAATATTTAGTATTATCCCAGGAGGGGTGTAAAAAAATACTTGTAGACCTCATGCCACATTTCCTGTCGGACCCCCAGGGGACCCCCCCCCCCCCCCACCCACCCCGAAACCCTGTACGGCAAAAGTTTTTTGAGTACGACATTGCGGTTTCATTACTTTTAAACCATAACATGTCCATTGGGCTTGGCCGAAGCACCTTATCCATGCAAAATTTGCCGGCAATGGCAGTAAGGGCCGCCCAAGCCCCGTAAACTCACAGCTGACGAAGTGTCTTATATCGTCTAAAAGGCTCTTATAGCAGGTTATAGCTGGTTATAGGTTGAAGAAGTGGCCAATAAACTAACCATACCAGTCCGTTCATACAGGGGCCATTTGCCTGCTAAATCCCAAAGAACCCCAGAGAACCCCTCCATTATCTGCTCATGCGAAGTTCATTCATGGCCTGGGCAGCCGTGAGCAAGTCCTTATGCCAATATAAACATGCCGTGCACTCTTGCCATCCTGCCGCGGAATACCGCTACGCCTTTCACAGCGGCGGCCTCAGCTTCTTCCGCTTCTGTGCCATGAATTCCTTCTCAATGGGGCCCACACGGTAGGCAGCCGGCAGTGGCTCCCCATTGCTGGAGTGCTTCGCCTTCCAGTGCCGTACCATGTTGTACTTCCACCCCTGGTGCACACAGCCCTCAACGATGCATGACACAGGGATATTAGTGCACTTCTTGCCGTCCACCTTGTACGGCATGTACGAGAAGGGCACGTGGTACCCGGCAATGCAAGTAACCTCCGCTTTATCAGACCCAGGCCGGGACCCCGTGCCCACACTTGCTGTGCAGCCCGAACCTCCGCAGCAGCCACACGGGTCATCCACCCCGTCCAGGTGGCCCTGGAGGATATGCGCACCAACGTGCACGCGCATCTGCGAAAGCTTAACCGCCACTCCGCACACTTTGCATGGCCGCTTGCCCGCAACTGCGTCTGCTGTCCGTTCTTCACAAAACACCGGGTCGTCGTCCTGGTCGCGGTAAGGAAACGCGCCGCTCCCGGGACAAATGCTCAGCTTAACCTCCGGCAGCTCCTTCGCTTCCAGCGTCTGCCACAGAGCATTGAGCGCATCAGACGTGAAGGACCACTGGTAGCGTGGGAGGCTGCTGCTGCTGGCCATGGCCTCCAGGCGGGCAGCCAAGTCCTCGTTGCCAGTGCCGTTGCTCGGCGGGGTGGGAGCTGGTGGTCTCACCTCCATTAGCTCAGGGTCAAGCAGCTGCATGGCGCTGCCGTTGAGCGAAATGTTGCCGACGGTGTGACCATCGTGCACCCAGACGCCGGGGCTAGCCGCTGGAGTGAGGTGCAGTACAGTAGCGCCAACACTGGTGCCCTCCGCTGTAGCCTCCTCCTCTGTGAGCCGGCTGCAGGCTGTGCCGCCTGCTGACATGTGCGAGATCTCGCAAACGGCAAGAGCCTTGCTGCTGCCAGACACCACAATGGTCGCAATGGGATCTCCCACGCACACCATGCTGCCTCCAATCTCCGTCGCTGGGGTGTTGATGGTACTGCCGCCGCCAAACTTCGAAATGCCCGCTACACGCTTGTTGCGGTCGTTGGAGCTAGCAGAGCGTGTGAAGATCTCCCGCAGCAGCGTTGCCTTATGCAGCCTATTGCCGCTGTCATCGATCAGCCAGCACAGGGCATGGCTGCTGCGGCGCGCGTCCTGCTCCACCTGCTGCTGCTCCCTAAAGTCCGCTAGCGCCTCGATGTCTGCTGCTGCTACAGGCTCCTGCGCAGTGGGCTCCTCCGCCAGTGCAGTAGTTGCACGCTCCTCCAGACCTGGGTCGCGGTCGCGCGCGTCACCCTCCAGGGGCCTGATGCCGACAGGCTTACCCTGGGGCTGGAGGAGCGTGATGCGTGCACCGCTTGCCGCCACGGCTGCAGCATCGGCCTGTTCCATCCCTTTGAAGTATACCTCCGCGGGGTTGCTGCCAGCAAAGAGGCCGCTGTCCTCTACTGCTGCAACTGCAAGCCTCCGACCCGTGATCCAGCAACCGCGCAGGCTCAGATCCTCGCTCACGATCCGGTCACCTGTGCAACAGGAAGGAAGAGGTACTGCTCAGTTGGCTAGGCTAAGGGCATGCATGTTGAGTAGCTGTTGTACTGCGTAGCTGCCTCTGCCTTTCACCCACTCTAATCCGGCCATTCCAGCGTACCTTTTACGGCGCGCGGCCGGTCGCGGTCATCCCGCACGCTTAGGCGAGTCCTCTGGCGTTTCCAGTCCTCGTTCCGGTCGAACACGTCCTGCACCTCGCATGAGATGCCCAGGTTGTCGCGCAGCTGAATGATGTCCATGTTCCGCTGGTGGGTCAACGTGCGCAAGATGGCGAAGAGCTCCTCTAGCGCGTTGTCCCCAAGCTGGAACAGGTACAGAGGCTGCCCCGGCTGCTTCACTTGTGCCTGTAGGTGGCGGGTAGACACGATAGCTTAACACAACCCAGTCCTGTCCATTCTGGTCCATTCCCCAAAGAAACAGCCCTTTGTCATGGGTTCTCATCCCGCCTATGCTTGTCACCCAGAGCATTACCTTGGCAGCAGTGAAGAATGCGTTCTTCACCACGGCTGTTAGGTCGTGGATCAGAACGGTTGGCAGGAACTTGCTTCCGTTGCCCGTACCAAACGCCAGGAAGGAAACAAGGTGCGCCATTGACGACAGCTGCACGAGCTGCTCGGAGATCGACGCAGCAACGTCAAAGATAGCGAGTAGCCCCCGGCAGACTGCACCAAGCAGCTTTGCGGCACGCCATGGCCGGTGAAGGGCCAGTCTGACCGTGTCACCTGACACGTCAGCCATTGACGCCAGGTGTGACAGCAGGTCAAAGGCGGCGGGCACGTTCATGGCGTCGGTTGGGTTAAGCAGCCGTTTCGCCTTGTCGCTGCTGAGGCCCTTCACCTCCGTGAGGAGCACCTCGAACATGGAGCTGCGGATAAAGATGACGAACCTCGGTTAAAGTGGCCCATGGGTCGTGAAACATTGACGCAGCGACGTTGACACGACCCCACTTCTCACCCCACGTACCTGTGCAGCTGGGTATTGCCAATAAGGATGCCACCGGGTGAGCGTATCCGCTCACTCAAGCGCTTGCCGCAGTGCTTCTCGTCAAAGTTCACAGTCACCGCGTTCTTGCCCGCCTTTAGGTCTAGAAGCGGCAAGGGTGCTAGGCGGTCGTACAGCTCCGGGAACGTTTCACGCTGCAGCTCCTCCGCCTCGAACAGCTCATAAAGAGCTGCACGGCGAGACGAGTGCCCGTCCGATGCGAAGCACCACACCTCGCCGAACTGGCCCCAGGCCGACCTGTGGTACCTGCAATGCAAAACGAGCGTGCTGCTTATCGACTTGAACTTATACCGTGCGTCCCGTGCGCCGCGGCCTTACCAGTCCATGAGGTCCCGCAGCAACACGTACTGCTCCTCCTTGCCGCTGGATTTCCCGTGCGGCAACGCTGCGACGGGCCGTGCATAGTAACCGGCACTGCCCAGTGCAGCAATCGCGACCACGCTGGCCTCCGTTGCAATGCGAATGTCGCCCTTGTCCAGCAGCAGCTTAATCTCCTCCATGTCTCCCATAGCCCGCACCTCAAGCTGCAACGACTTCGTGTCCTGCCAAGCAAGGCCGGCTACTTGGTTCTTCCTGCATAGCCAAGGGAGAACTGTAAGGGAAAGCCAATGGCGACTGGGAGTAGCTGCTAGACACAAAGCACGACAGGGCATTAGCAGGTATGGCTTGTAGGAAAGTTAACAATGCCCGGGTCGCACCCCAACACACCTGCTGTCATATCGCAGCACCGGCTCAATCGCCACCTCATCCATCATAATGACCTTTGGGGCGGTGGTTAGCGCGGGGGCGGCAGCGCCAGCCACGGCTGCTGGCATGGCGAGCTTAAGGTTTGATGCCGCGTGCGCCGCATCAAAGCCCCTTGGCGACGCCTCAAAGGCGCCATGCTTCTCCGAATGGCGGATGACAGAGTAAACGCTGGCCGCGCCAAACCTGGCGGATAGCGCATGGAGTAGCTGCTGGCCACCCAGCCGCCAGGCGAGCAGAGCAATGTCATAGTCCGCCTGGCTGTAGCCCTTGGGCTGGTAGACACCCTCAAAGGCCTGTGCTAGCCGCTCTATGGCCACGGAAACGCTGCTGCCCTGCCGAACACACACCGCAAGCACCTGCTGAGCACGTGGCACGTCATGCTCCGCGAGGAAACGCACAAGGCGCTTGTGAAGCGACAGGACCCTGGCAAGCCGAGCGGTGCTGCGGCCCAAGTTTAGGATATGCAGCCGGCCGGTGTCACGCTGCCGCCTATAGTCGGCTGCAAGGTCCGACATCTGCTGATGCGTGCGGTCCGCGTAGTTGGTTTGGGGTGCGCATTCACCCATCGCCCTGTTCCGCATTGCCAGCAGCTGCTCGTTGCTGGAAAGCTGCTCGCATGGCTCGCAGCAGCTGCGCCCTATGGCCGTGACACCATGGCAGTGCTTTGCCCGAAAGCGGCCATCCGTGCTGACCTGCCAGGGTAGGGGCTTGGGGCCAGCGTGACGACCGAATGGGTAATTGGCCGTAAATGGCTGCGGCCATTGCAACAGGTTGCCAGGGCAGGGCTTGGTGTCCGAAGGCACTGCTGGCTGCACACCTGGAGGCTCTGCGGCTGCTCCTGGGGGCCCAGCAGCGCGGACCTCCAAGAGCTCGAAATCCTCCTCGTCGTCGCTGTCAGGCTCCAAGTCACCGTCACCAATGGCTGACACAGGCCCAGCCTCGGGCTGAGGCTCAGGCAGCAGCCTGGGAGGTGGAACCACAACCACCAGCTCGGGCGGGGTGAGAAGTGGCGGCGGCTGCGCCAGCTGCTGCGGTTGAGCGAACAAGGCCCGCGGCATCCCTGTGCCGGGTGTCGACCCAGATGGCTGCTGCAGTACCGGTATGCCACCTGGTGTGGCCATCTCAGGCGTGTTGCCCTCAAGCCGTGGCCGCTTGTGCTTGTTGAAGAATGACATGATGTTAGGCGTCTTGCTGCCGCTGGCTGGCTCAGGGACCGCTTTACACGCTCGCTGGTGCTCAGAGATGTTGAAGGCGTTGGTCACCGGGAGCACCACCTTGCAGCCGGGTACCGGACAACGCCAACTCCCTTGCGGTGTCTTTGCTGGCTTTGCTGTCTTCTTCTTTTCGCACGCTAATACATGCTTCGTGAAATTGTACTCGTTGAGGGCAGAGTAATCTGCCTCGCAATGCGGGCAAACTTGCTCAACCGCTCCGCCGAGGGGGCCATTGACTTGCGGACCAGGGCCCTGAGGCCTGGTCTGCCTTAAGCTATATGATATCTGATATGCCATAAACTCTAAAGCTACTTATCCAGTGCCTCCGCGGCCTAAGACTGCCAAGTTGCGCGGTCAACCATGAGCATTGAGATGGCGACGTAAATTTATGTGTCCCTTTGAAGTATATAAGCTTATATAACAATAAGGAATGTTAATGCCAAGTGTATTCTACTTTTTTCTTTGCGAAACTTGCCTTAGGAAAAAAGTTAGTAAATTTTTCCACATGGCCCGGACCCCCCCCTTTGGGACCCCCCGCCCCCGGGACCCCATTTTGACCCCAAAAATAGTTAAAACGGCAGATTTCAATGAGTTCTATTACGCTTGGGGTGTCACGGGATCGGGAGGGGCATGAGGTACAGAACTATACTTCCGCACCCCTCCTGATTATCCATTGAGTTGTCGCCGATTCGGCGAAGCACAAAGTCCGGACGAACAGCCTTATTATATTTTTTAGTAGTAAAAGGGTCTAAACATTTTGGTTTATTGTTTTTACTTAAAAGATAAGCACTTTTAATAAAATATTTTAAAAATAAACCAGTTAATAAGTTTGTTACATTATCTCGGAATAATCGACCACGTTTAGTTGTGCGTGCTTCAAATAGTTGTTCTATTTTTGGAATCCCTTGTACAATGTCACCTGTTTTTAATTGTTGGTATGTTAATGTAACAACATCTGTTTTATAACGAATAAAATCCCCGTGTGTAGCATGCATAGTACTTTGTGGAGATATAATAATAGGTTGTCCAATTCTTATTGTAATTTTTTGGGCATTCATGTGTATTAATTGACCCGATTTTTTAAAAACTTTAAAATTATTTAGATAAGTTACCAATGTAGGTGGTAACAACCAAAAAGCAGGTGTTGTATCAATTGGGGAGAACCCCCACATGCCTTGTGTGCGGAGTTGTGGACAGAGGTGGCGCAGTTCAAACGTGGATAACGCTCATACCAGGCTATCCTGCGACTGGCTGCCACGGGTGCTATGCGCGTTGGTTCATGCCGTCTCGTGCTGTGACCCTGAGTCGTACATCATGTACGGTATATCGGAGATCCGTCATCAAAACCCACCTCGCAGGATTGACAACTGCTCCGGCGAGGCGCTGCATGTGCAGCAAGTGGGCTGTTTGGACCAGGAGGACGTCATCCGGCCGTACGCTTGCCTGCCGTACACTTGGGACGAGCACACGGCACCGCAGCGGGTGCTGGTGTCGCTGCCGGGGAGGAGGCGGCTGGGAGAGTTTGAGCTGGAAAAGGTGATTGCGGTTTAGGCGGAGAGTAAATTTAATCACGTTGAAGTAGCACGGCATGTGTGGTCTTTCCACGTTCGGGTTTGGTATCGTAGCGACGGGGAGTGCAGGGACGGAAAATTTGTCAAAGAGGGATGAGTGGTGAGCGTTGTGCATGTGTATGGTTCTCCGTCCTCCGCTTGTTGCTCTGTCTAGTCTCCTTCGTTCATTCCCGTATGCAAGGGAGCCATGCCGCACCATACCGCGCCATATCCAACAATCCTAAGCCAGTCCTAGCGCACATCTCCCTCATGTAGGTGGGCCACTCAGCTGATGTTTCAGTCGTCGCGTCCCAAACCGGAGGTCGCGGTCGGAAGACCCTCCGCGTCACAGTCACCGCGGACGGCCCCACTCGAGTGCTGCGGGTCGTCGACACGACGGTGCACCCCACAGGCGCGTTTCCACCCCAACCGACCCGTGGGTCATCATCCGCCTCCTCCGGCGCCGCAACGTCTGCATCCTCACCGCCGAAGCGACGCGGCCGCCCATCCAGCGGCCAGGGTTACAACCCCCACGCACAAGGCACCGCACAGGCTCGCGGGGGTTCCTCTGTCACGAGTGGTGCGGCAACAGCTGCCGGCGCTGACGCTGCCGGCGGCGGCGGCGAGGAATGGCAGATCGAGGTATCCGCAGCCGTGGCGGGTGTGGCAGTCAGTGTGGTTTCGGAGCGGGCGGAGGTGCTGTACGCGCTGTTGCAGGGACTGCATGGAAGCCTGCTGGTGGGGCCTGCCAAGGTAGCGGCGACTGCAGCGCTTCAGCATGTGCGGTGGGACAACTGCCTTCGCGGCGCGGTGTTCCCGATCATGGTCTACAGTCCCGTGGGTCGGTCCATGTTCAACACGGCAGTGCTGCTGCCGGCACCGCCGCTGCCAGCGTCGGCGGCGACGGTCAGTGGCCGGTCGCCGTACGGTTCTGGATCTGCCGGAGCCCTTGTTCGTCGCTCGGGAGCAGGAGGCAGTGGCGGTGGCGGCGTATCCCAGATGAGAGGCTCTAGTCCGGGAGATGCGGGACAGAGCGGCGGCCGGGCCGGGGGGCCGGCGGCGCCGCCGCCGGCGCTGGCCGGTCGTCTGGTGGTGTGGCGGAATCGGCCTGGCGGCGTTACATGCGTTCAACATGCAAGCCTGAGTACGGCACCGTTAGCGGTTAGTGTTGAGGAGACACACTTACGGGAGCTGTTAGGCCTGGCATCACGTCTCGTGGCCGCGGCGACGGCGGCGACGGCGGCTGATGAAGCCGACGACGACGGTGAATGCGGTCTGCCGCCGACACGACTCGTCCCTGGTTGCAGCGGCGGCGGCGGTGTCCGCCAGTCGCTGACGAGTAATGGCATGAAGGACCTGTATGGCAGCGCCGGAACTCGCCTGCCGTACGAACCTGACTTGACGCTGCTACGGCCCGCGTCGCCGTCCAGCCAGTGGGCGAGTGGCGGCGGCGGCAGCAGCGGCACCACCACCGAAGCCGGCGCCGTGCGATGGGCCGCTGGCGGCGGCGGCGGCGGCGGCCGCCGCGCCGGGTCGTCATGCTCGGCTAATGAGCCGCGGCGGCAGCGACTGCCGCCAGTGCTACAGTCGCCTGCCACAGCGACCCCGTCGGAGCTACGTCGCGGCGGTGGCGGCGGCAGCCGAGCGCGGCATGAGCTGTTCGGTGAGCCGCCGTCACTGACGCCGCATGCGGGCGCATCCGCTGATGCGGATGATGACGACGGCGGCGCCGCAGCTCCGCCGCCGCCGCCTCGCAGCCGCCGGCTGTACATTGAGGAGCTCCACATCGGTGAAATACGGATCTCCGCATCCTTCGCTCCAACACCGTACGGCGCCAGGTATGCAGCCGCGTCGTCTTCCGCCGGCTGCGGCGTCGGCGGCCGCAGTGCCGGCGGCGGCGGCGACGGAACCACTGGCGGCGCCGCCCCCGCCGACGGCGGTAACGGCACCGCTGGTGGTGGCAGCGGTGGCGGCGGCGGACTGGTGGATAGCGCCGTACGGCTGCTGGTGTCGCTGGCGCACCTGGAGGGCGCCTGGGTGGTGCTGAGGCCGCTGGATATGCGGTACACGCTGATGCGGGATGAAGCCCTGGTGCAGGTGGGGGTGGGGTGAAATTTATAAAAATTGAAACCGACGCAGGACCGACGAGGAAATCGACGAGCTTTGGGGGTAGGGGGGGGGCAGCCGCATGGTGGTGGTGGTGGTGGTGGGAGGGGAAGGACACCACGTACGGCAAGGTGTCTACGACCAGTAGCTGTGGACTCCTGCCGACGACCGGGCTCCATTCCAATTCCGCCATCTTCCTTCCCTGGCTGGTCCCAATTCTCGGTGCCTCCATACGCCTCCTCATGTCCTTCATGCCCCCCCAGAACATGCTGCGTCACTACATGACCTCGGCGCTGCTGGAGCTGGTCAAGGTAGTGGGCTCGCTGGACATATTCGGCGACGTGGTGCGGCTGCTGCAGGCGCTGGGAGTGGGTGTATGGCACCTCATCAGCATGCCGGTGGCGGGGGCGCTGCGCGGGGACGTGGTCAAGTTCGCGGCGGGGCTGGCGGGAGGCGTGGGCAGCATGGTAGGGTGGGGGGATGGGTTACATGGGGTTCCATGGGTTGACGTGGGGTATTGGCAGAAGGGTAGAGGCAGCAGGGAGTACGGAAATGGAGGTGTGGGAATTAGAGGCAAGCGGATACGGCTGTGTATGCGGGGAAGGTTGCGGCGGAGGCACCATGCCTCATGCTATGCATGCGGTGTCTACAAAGCGCTCTCGTATTGTTCCGCTACTGCTATTGCTTCAGGTGCGCAACGTCACCTACGCCGCCAGCAACAGCGTGGTCAAGGCCAGCCGGCGGGCTCGTACGACACTGTCAGGCCTCACTCCGGAACCTGTACGGCAACCCACGGCTGTCGCTGGTGGTGGCGGCGGCAGTGCTGGCGGCGGCGGCAGCGGCGCTGCTGGGGCCGGCGGAGGTGGCGGCGCGCTTGGAGGTGCTGGCGGCGGGAGCCGCGGTGACGGCATTAGCGGTGGCGGCGGTCAGGGTATGCCGTACAATCGGAGCAGTGGTGGCGGTGGCGGTGCTGGTGGTGCCGTCGTCGGAGGGCGCGGGGGAGCTGCCGGCGGACAGCGGGACCTGCTGCTGGTGAGTGAGGGAGTATGGGGGGCTGGGGTGAGGACGCTTGGGACATGTGACCCATGGGTCGGATCTGTGCTGCTGGAGGCTGACACGCACACTGGTAAAGAGTTATTAAACAGCGCCTTATAAGCCCTGACGCAGCGCTATGCTCTCACTCCTTTACAGCTATGCCCCATATCTGCACTTCTGCCACCTTGTGTCCACCCGTGAGCGTCCTGCTGTACCGTACTCAACACTGAACCCCTGCTAACCCAAACCATCTTCAATCCCGCCCCCACAGTCCACCTGGGAGGGCTACGCGGCCATCCTTCAGCGTGTGGCCACCCAGGCCAGTCGGCTCAGCCCCCGGGGCACCGCTCGGGAGCTGCTGCTGGGAGGGTTGGGAGCAGTGGTGAGGCTCCTGGGGCGGGGTGGGGTGGGGCGGGGGAGCGGACATGGCGTACGTCCTGTGTAGTCTTGTGCAGTCCTTCTCCCATCTGGTTCCGTATGATGGAGAAGAAGGGGACTCGATGCGAGGAGCTGGGCTGAGCTGGGGGCCCGCTTTGTCGATCGCCCCCTCTTCTTGCTCGCTTGCATCCCTTCAACATCATCCACCTCACTCCCGCGTCCCGCCCCTCTCCGCCCCCTCCCACCCCCCCAGGCCCTCCCCACCATGGCAGTTCTACAGCTGGTGGAAGTGGCTGCCACCTCCCTGCGAGCCGCCGTGTCTCCCCACGCGCACGGCGCCTACGCATACGGCCGCAGCGGCTACAGCAGCTATGGCGCCAGCGGCAGCAGCAGTGGTGGTGGTGGTGGTGGTGGTGGTGGTGGTGGGTTTGTGCGGCCGCGTGTCCCCCGCTATGTGGATCCGGACGGAGCGCCGCTGCAGCGCTACTGCTGGCTGGAGTCGCTGTGTCGGCTGCTGCAGCGGGAGGTCCGGGGCGGGGCGTTTGCGGGGGAGGCGTACGTGGGTGGAGTGCAGGTGGGTGTGGGGGCGTGGGGCGGGGTTGAGGACATTGGGCGGTTGGAGGTACAGGTACCGGTACAGGTGCATGCGGGCTTTGCAGGGAACAAGGGTGAGCTAGGAAGCGATGGACTGAGGCACTAAAATGTTGTGAAGCCCGCCACACCTACTCGCTCGCAGCGCCTTTCCTGACCTGTGGTATGTGACCTTGCTCCACACCGCAGATCACGGAATCCGCGTTCGCCGTCGTAACGCTGCGACACCTGCTGGTGTGCTGCTCGCGTCCCGGCTGCGGTGGCGGCTTGGGCAGCAGCAGCAGCGGCTCCTCCTCCTCCTCCTCGGTAGCTCACCCCTGCGAGCTGGCGTTGCGACTGGTGGTGCCTCTGGAGGGGCTGGTGCTGGCCTCGCTACACCTCTCACCACCGCCACACTACCAGCAGCAGGGGCAGCAATTCCAGGCTCAAGGGGCAGGGGAGTTCAGACCGGTAGTGTCAATCGCGCACATGCGGCCGGACGCTCCACAGCAGCTGCAGCGGTCCGCACATCATCACCACAGCCAGAGCCGCCATGGGTTTGGACAGGTAGGCGGAGGAGGAGGAGGGCTGCGGGTACGGCAGCAGCAGCAGCAGGGTCCTGCGGCAGCGAGTGGTACGACAGCAGCGGCGGCAGCATCCACGCGCATGCAGCAGCGGACGTCAGGTGGTGGTGAGGCTGGCGATGGGGGGTGTGCTGCAGCTGCGGCCGGCAGCAGGGGGACCAGCATGGGCAGTGGCGGCAGCTGCGGCGGCGGTGGTGGTAGCGGCGGCGCAGGAGGAGGAGCAGGAGGAGGCGGAGCTGCTTGCTCGCCTTCCACGCCGTCTCGCAGCAGCAGTATTGGCGGAGGTGCCGGCAGCGGCGGCGGTGGAGGAGCCGAGGGTGGTGCTAATGGTGGTGGTGGCGGAGGTGGTGGCTTCGCCGCTTTGCTATCTGTGGGCTACCGACCCGCCTCCTCACCTCAGCACAGCACTGGCAGTGCCGGTAGCCGCGGTGGTGGCGGGGGCCTTGACTCCCCGGCGCCTTCCTCACCTGCCTCAACCGCATCCGCTGCAACCACCGCAACCACCACAGCAACCACCACCGCCGGGGTAGGACATCACCACCCTCATCCGCTCCCCTTCTCACCTTCCTCCTCGCCTCCGCTGCTGTTCAGCCGGGGAGGAGACAGCCTATCAGCAGCTGCTAAAGGCGAGGGGTACGGGGAGGAGGATGAGGAGGAGGGCGAGGGCGGGGAGGAGGGCCGCCAGCCGCCGGCGTCGCCCTGGCTGTGTGTGACAACGTTGGAGTTTGGGAGCGAGCTGGATGCGGGCAGGTTGGTTGCGTTGTTGGAGGAGGTACGGCGGTGGTATGAGGAGCGGCGGCGGCAGAGCAGCGGATGCAGGATGATTGGGTTCTAGTACAGTGGTGGTTTAGTATGATGGTCTAGTAACGTGATGGGATGAGGGATGCGGTGCTGGCTGCTGATTACTGGTACTGGGGTGCGTGTGTTAGGCATGAGTGAGGTGTTGGGGTGTGAGAAGGCATAAGAACTGTGCTTGCCTGCGTGTGTGTGTTTTGTGTCTTAGGTTTGCGTTGCTCCTCGATCCTTCCGTTGTGCCGCGAGGGAATATGCGAGTGGGAGCTGATCCAGAGCATGGAAGCGTGAGAGGTGCGTGTGTGCGTTCTCAGGTTGGCCAGGAGTTGCGTGACGTACAGGCTTGCTGGTGGGGGTTGTGCTCAGTTGCATTGGGCGGTTGAATGTGTTGCACCTGCACAGCTGTGTGTGGAGGGCATAAGCATGTGGACTTCCAAGCAAGTGGTGGTGGTGGTGCAGGTCATGACACGAAAGGAACCCGTACTCGTGAGGGGCTGCCAGTGAGGGGCTATCCGCAGGGGGTTCGGTGGGCAGTTGAAGGCTGTTAACGTTTAGGAAAGTGGGCAGCTAGAGCCGCCCGTAAGCATCCATGACCCATGGGTCAATACTGCTATGGCGCTTGTGTTGAGTGTCCGTAGTGCATAATAGGACGTAGCAAAGAGATTGTTTGGCATGCGGCAACTGTCATAAGCTGTGTTGGACGTCTTTCTGACCGTGCACTGTTCCGTGTGTAGCTGATAATGCAGCAAGCAATGCTGGGCGATGTTTGTGCCAGGCATGTTAAACAGAATGAACACTCAGATTAATCAAGACGTGTGTGCTCATTTGCTTCTTCATTGCCTGAAGGTAGCAGACGCGTGTGATGCATATTGCTTGCAACAGAACTAGGTAGGCGGAGTGTGGTTTAGGTAGGTTAGGTATGATGCTCATGACCACCGGTACAGCGGACTAGATGCGCAGGTACGCAGGAAGAGGTGACAGTGCCTAGCGCTGCCTGATGGCTCATGCCTTTCACCAATTTCACTATCGTTGTTGTTGACTGTGCTTTGGTTGTGGCTCGTTGTGTTCGTTACCTTTTGAGTGAAGGACTCTCCTTTCATCTCTTTTCCATTTGAGTGAAGTTTGTCCGTGTGTGAGCAATACGGTTAGCCGTGACTCTGCAGTGCATTTCTGCTCTTAGCTATAGCGCTGGGGTGGGGTCAGGTCAGGTCAGGTCAGGTACGGAGCAGATGCTAGGCTTTCTCGGTGTGACGTCAACAACATGGGGAAGCACGGTCAGACATCGTTGCGTTCGGCCCAACCATAGGACCTATAGCCTCCTGCAAGCTCCACACATATGTAAGCGCAGACATCTCAGATAGACAAGACTCTACTGAACAACCCATTTCACTTTGTAGCCCAAGTCTTCCGTTCACCACCTACCTCTTTTAAGACGTAAGGACAAGTCGGTTCTTCCTGCTTAGCAACAAGAAGGACATATGGCAACCTATGCGCCGGTGAGAGTAACTCCGTGTTGCAGCTATTAGCTGCTGATGCAGCCGGGAGGAGGCCATACAGTGGCGTATAGGCTGCTAACGTTTGGCGGGAGTTGTCTCTGGTCTTACAGCGGGCCGCACTTAATTAAGCTTACGCTTGCTAGTTGTTTACCGTGTTCCACGAATTTCGGGGTTATGCAAGGAGCTTATTAGACAGGGGCAGCCGCGACTAGCAGCCTGCTGGCAGGTTGACCGCCAAATGACGCAAGAGAGAGAGTCCGCACAATGGAACACGGCGTCAGCATCGCACTCTGCTCCCTGCAGCTTGCTTAGCCGCAGGAATAACACCCTCTTAAGGCCACACCAGCTTATTTGCATAAATTTTACGCTTCTGTGTTTAAACGTTGCAGCCTAAGACAATCGGTACTTAACGGTCTGGTTAGCGCTTTTGCACTTGTGGCAACCTACCTGCTGAGGCCTTGGTTACGCATGGTTGTTATCCGTAGCTGGCTGTTCCTCTGCTCCCCGGCAACGTTCCCAACGCCGCTGCTGCCATTCTGCTCCCTGCTTGTGCGGGGCAGGCGCCTGGAGAGCCCGGCATGCCTGCGGGCGCCACCAGCACCGGCCCTGGCATGACTGGCGCTGAAGACAAGCAAAGCAAGCGCATCGCGGAGGGTGTGAACGAGGTGCGGGAGGAGCCTGTTAGCTGCTGCTTGCTGGGGGACACGTCGTTACATTACTTGGCATTACTTGGCTTTCGTCGTGGATTGTGTTAGGAGAGAAGGCCCTTGCCTCTTGTTGTATAGCGAGGAAGGTAGAGATGTTTAATGCGGCTGTGACCCATGGGTCAGTGAGGAACCCGACGCTGCTGTGCCCTGCCGCCGCCCCCAACCACCACCACCACCACCCCTACCTCAGGAGTACCATGACCCCTACGACGACTGGTCCTCCCGGGACACGCTGCTGGCGCTGGTGCCGACTATCATGGTGTTCGCGCTGCAGGTGGGGTGAGGTGGGGTGGGGTGGGGCGGACTGATACTGGTATATGCTCCAGCTAAACAGCAGCATACCTCTTTAGGTATACCGCGAACGTTAAGCGGCTGCGCATCAGCAGGAATGATTCCCTGCCTTGCTCCTACCACCATAAGACTTGTACTCCAACCCCCACACCCAGCCCCAGCCGGCATCGCCTGCATGGTGGCTTCTTATCTCCTCTCGAGCCAGCCTAGCCCTCGTCGTACTTCGTGCTGTCGTATACAACCGTACCCTCACTGAATAACTGACTACCACCCACGCTCACAGGACGCCGCATTCCGAGTGGGCCTTATCATCGCGGTGGCGGGCGCCTCCTTCCTGCTGGTCATGCGCACCGTGGCGTGGGACAGCCGCTACAAGAAGGTGGGGTTGGGGCCTGTGAGATGGTGGGCCCTGGTGACCCGTGGGTCAGCGTGCGGGGCACGTAGAGGTTTCGCCCCTGCGCATGCTCAATCACGCCCAGCTATGTAACAACAAAGTAAATGCACGCATGCACATGTCGGTTTATTTCCTAACTTTCACCTGCCCCTCTTACCCCCCCCCTCCAGATATGGCCCATGCTGGAGCTCATTTCCGTACCGCTGTTCGCAATCCTGCTCGGCCTGTCGTACGTCAACTTCTACCAGGTACGGTACGACACATTGTTCGTTTACACTGCCGTACTGCTGCATGTTTCGGCCTTCCATACACCGTACATATGGTTGTAGCGGATCTCAGCCTGCAAGGCTCCCCATTCATGTACCGGTACTCTCCCTGGGCTGCATCTGCCCCGCATGCCTCCCAGCACATGCCAGTGATGCCACTGCCGCTGCACCCCCACCCACTGCGCTCTCCCCGCCCCCCTTCTCTCACCCCCCACCGCCCCCGCTCACCCCCAACAGGTCAATAAGTGGTTTCCCACGATCACCGCCATCACCTTCGCCCTCACAGCCCTGGTAAGCAGCCTGGTAGGCAGCTGTTCACAAACATGGAGTCCTCTTCCGCTGCCCTCTCTCTCTGCCCTGCTCCCACATCCCTCCCATCCCTCTTTTCACCCGCACCTCCTATCTTTTCGCCCACTCCTCCTCGCACCTCGCACCTCGCATCCCCCCCCCGCCCAGCTGAGCCTCCTGTGGCGCCGCCCCTTCACCGGCCACTACGCGCGCTACCCCAAGTTCGACCGCGGCGGCTCGCTGCTGTGGCGCCACACCCCCAACTGGCGCCGCACCTCCGACCTAGCCACGCTGGGCTGGCTCATCGCCTTCACTGTCATGGCATGCCTCACGCTGGTGACTGGGGGGGGCGGATGGGGCGGGTTATGGTCACTAGGTTTATGTGGAGTAGTTGTCGATTGGATGTTTGCAGCTGTGTGTTACGTCATTCCTAGCCCCCTCGCCCCCCTTGTACCTCACCCCACCTCACCACCCCACCTCACCCCGCAAACCCCCCCGCAGGTTCCCCAGCTCACCGGGCACCACCGAGGCCGCCACGCATCCAACGTAAGGCCCCGGCCCCCCCACATGCATGGCACTAGTACTACCGGTAGTAGGGGACGTGAGGTGGGGGGGCGGATTGCAACTCGCCGACTGTCTCTTTCCATTTGCAAGCCAATGAACCCGCCCTTGCACCCTCTGGCTCGCTCACTCCTCCTCCTCCGCTCCGCAGATCTGGTTCAACTACATCTTCCCGGCGGGTCTGGGGCTGTTCGGGCTCATCCACCAGCAAGTGCTGGGCTCCCGGTACCGCAACAGGTGGGCGGTTGGTGGTGGTTGGGACGGTTGGTGGTTAAGATAGTTGCCATGGTTGGATGGTCGTACGGTACGACAATGCACCTTTCCCGTCCCATCCTAACTGCACTTCCTTGACTCTCACAATCCCCCAACTCACAATCCCACCCCTTTCCCACTCGCCCGCAGCACTGTTCGCAACCTGGACCGCTACTTCGGCCGAGCGCAGCTGAGCAGTGTGCCCGGCACCGGAACCATGCGGGGGGAGACATACCCCTCGGGACCCACGGAGGCACATGGCGCATCCACCGTGTAGTGGGTGGTGGGGAGTGAGGGTTAAGAGGAGGAAGAGGAGGTGGAGGTACTGGAGAGGGTGGAAGGAGGAGGAGGCAAGCTGCCAGCGACATGGTACCATGTGGTGCTGCGGGAAGCTGCGCAAGGCATTACTGGTTCGTGACGTGGGTGGTGATGGTCCAGTAGCGCGGGGGGCGGTCCAGAGGACGAGGGAAATGAGCGGGGGGAGGAGCAGGGTGGTGTTAACGACTACATGCATACGGATTTGGGTCGGTGAATGCATGTAATAGTGGGTTTTGAGGAGGCGGGCAGTGAGGGGATGATTCTTCTACAGGGGTCTTCCGGCCCTGATGGGGGGCGGTGTGTTCGAGGGGGGCGAGGAAAAGGCCGATCCGTGATGGGGCGGAGGAAAGGTGTGCTGTAGTACAGTACGGAGGATGTGTACGGAGGATGTGTATAGCGGGTGTAGCGGGTGTAAGGACATGTACAATACGGATTGTTGAGCTTTGGTTACCGTTTTGTGGGGTGGTGCCAGCAGGGTGGTGTGAGAAGCATGTCTTCCTGCTGTGAAAAGAGGTGGCTATGTGGTCGGGGGCGGCCAACGTGGGCGTTGTCAGGAGGTTGTTTGGCATTGCGGCACAGGTGTTTTGGAGCTGTACATTACTGTGTACGGACGTTGGTGAGTTGTACACAGGAGGGGGGCCGTTTGCGGTTGTTGCGGTTGTTGGAGATATGCGGCGGGGAACTCTGCAAGCGTGTTTTCAGGCCGGCGCTGAGAGAGGCGGGCGGGTGTGCTGCAGACTACTGACGACACTGAAGCAAGTAGCAGGGTTTCACAAGGGGCGGACGCACGCATAGACACGAAGGGTGACTTGACAGGTTTGCGCAAAGGGGTTGAGGTGTGAATTGAAGGGCACACAGGTGGTGCAACAAGTTTTACAATTTTACGTCAGTTTTGAGGAGCAATTGGCTGTTGGCTGATGGATATTCATTATGAGGGGGAGTTGGAGTGCGGCTGCGCTGAAGTTCTGAAAGCGCTGAGAAGGGGCGGGGGTTGTTGCTTTAATTGCTGTCCTGGGCGGGCCGTGTTTACCGGGGGTACGGTGCGTGTTGGAACTTCCCAGGACATCGCATGGTCTCTACGATGCGATGCAGGTGGGCAATTTATAATGGAATATACTGCCACTTGTGCGCAATCCTGAAACGCTAAACTACAGCTGGTACAAAGGTAAACAAAAAGGTGGGCAGGGAAGTACAAACGTTGCCAACCGGCCAGGTAGATGCTTAATACGGGAATATCCAACCAAACATGTACCAGCACTCGTATACGCGAGCATGCTTGAGCTCTGGAAACCTTGGAAGGCGAAAAGATTCGACAGGTAACACGTGACAGCCAACTATATTTTCTTACAACCACGCGCAGCTTCTGATTTCCATAATATAAGTTCAGCAGTGAGCAAAATATATGATGTTGAACATAATGAAGAGTGCAACGGACCGCATAGCCGCTAGAGCGTCAGATTTGCCGTGACAATAACACGACACAGTTACGGGCCTAGGTATACACAACTTGGTACAGTTGAGTATGTGGAACAGTCGCGTTGGCAAGGTGCTAGCCTCCAGATAGGGGCCTCGCCGTACCTATTTCGTAGGCTTCACCACTTGAGTTGCTTTAACTTCTGTTACTTATCATCTGCTCTGACTGGTTAACGTAACTATAATCTCTTTAAAATCTAGACTTGTTTGTTAACAAGGGAAGGTGGAAGCGGCTAACCTCAAGTGACACCAAGTCTGAGAATAGCGCCCAGAGCAGCTGGCCCTGTGCTGCTTCTTACGTGTTAAATTTCTTTCTTGGGTATGATGGTTATAGGGTTACAGCCTGTTGCAACCTAAGTTGAAGCTACCATAGTTAAGCGGGCCTAAAGTAGATAGTTGGAGACGACTTCACAGTATTGCCTTGATTTGGCCGGTTCCTCGCAACCGCGATACAAACCTTGCCGAGGTTTGGCACCTGCAATGGCCCAGAGCTGTCGATGAGCCGTGAGGACCTACGGTGAGGAAGCTACCCGGGCTATTACTACGGCGTTTCAACGCAGTGGGCTCGCTGTATGAAACGCCGCTACGCTGCAGCTGACAGGCCAGTCGAAGGTTGCTGTTGAGCAGCCAACGCGGCTCAAGCAGCGTTGTCGATAGGCGTATGTTCGCATACATACATGGACGATTCGTCATCATCGTCTACATTATATCCACGCCAAAATCCAGCTGGCGCTACAAGCCGGCGCCATCCTAACGGCCTGCCATCGCGGCAGCCTTCTGGTGCAACACCTGGGCTACCCTTCCTGAACGAGTTGGCGAGCCGATATCCTGTGCGGCAAGCCCGGGATGGAGGACCTGAAGTTGCTCTAGTCTCCGGTCAACTTTACGTCAGCAAACGGTTATGCGATGCCATGGGAGGGCTCCGGACCCAACAAGGTCGCCGGCAATCATTGCAAACTGAAGCCTCGGACATCTCTGGGCGCTCTGGACGCTCTGCACGCTCCGACTACCTGAACCAACCGGAGAGCCCTTGGCTGCTGTTGGCATCCTCATCCTCACGGGGGAAGCTGCAGCAACAATTTTGCCCGGGCGGGAGCTTCCTGTTACAACGAAGGGCGGAAAAAGAGGAACGAAGGTTGCACAAGCAACGACAGGAGCAAGAACAGTTGCTGTTGCAGCAGCAGCAAAGACAGGCGGGTGCCAGCGCGGATGACTCTGGTGGTGGCCACCGGAATCCTGACGGCGGGCAGCCACATCAGCTCCAAAGAGGATTCGCGGCCTGGGGCTCCCGACCCAGTTCAAACTTGGGGGATGCCGCCAGCCCTGCCCCGATTAGCGGCGTTGCTCATGGCAGTAGCACCAACGCCAGAAGCCCTGCCGTCGGCGGTGCAAGTGGGTCGGGCGCACACGGGGTCTACAATGGCCTTAAAACTCGCCTGGAGGGAGTAGAGAGATGGCTGGCGTCACACGACGGCATACCCCCGACATTTGAGGAGGACGAGGAGTATGCACGATTTGGGTCGGCTGAGGAATCGGTTGAGGAGGTTGGTTTGCCGTACTATCAGTACGGCGGGATCGTTAGAGCGTGCGGCAAGGCCGTTTCCTCTGGCGGCGCTGCAGCAGCAATGTTGGCGCCGCAACAACAACGTGGTGTCACGCGGGTCGCTTTTGCTCAGCAGCAGGAATGCAAAAGCGATGTTGGGGGCGGTACGATTCCTGCTCGTCCTAGACGGTATTGAGCTTTGACGCGGTGTCAACATGTCAGTTCCGTGCGTTTTTTTGTTCACTGGTGTAACACATTGTGCCGTTGTCGCGTTGGCGTAGGCAATTGAGATGACGAGCACTGTTTGAGCAGGCATAGGAACAAGAAACTTCGCTAGCGATTTGGGTCACAATTTTTCTCCCGTTTAGCGTTCGGCATGCTCGGATGTTGAGTGTGGGTCCCCCGTCGCCGCGATATTGTCGTAGAGCCAGTTGTGGGTTTGGGGTGTTGCGCGCGCACGTTCTGTGAGCCAAACACAGCGCCCTGGGAGATAGGCGCATGTCCGGAGGCTTGCTGGGGCAGAGCCTACCTCTGGCGGGGTATCGTAGTGAATGCCGCAAGCCCACAACGTCCCTAAGAAGAGTAGTTGTGCTTCGTACAGCGCCTGTTGGAATGCACCACGGCTTTCGTTTTGGCACCTGACGCAGTCGTGCTCTCAGCAGCGGCGCCACCTGCTGCCTCCTACGGCCTGCCTCCGCCTCAGGCAGCCTGGCCAGAAGAGGCGCCGGGGTCTGCATCCGGCCACCCCAGCAGCAGTTGTGTGTTGATCACAGAGTTGCCGTGGTGTCTGCGGCGAATCAAACTCGCTGGTTGCAACCAGCGACACTCGCACTCCATTGTGTATGTCATGGAGGTTCGAGCGTGCTGTCGAGCTCCTTCATAGTTGAGAGCGCCCCTTGGTATACTGCGTGCCTGACAAAACACGTGAGGGAACTATCTGCGTCGAGCTGTCTGTGCTTCAAACCTCTTATCCTTATATCCCTATACATGGGAATTTATCCGAGTCTAGGTTATGTTGCCCGTTTACTTCTGTGGCGGTTTTGCGCGATGTTGTTGCTTGCTCCTTTTGAAGTTCTGGGCACTGGTAGTTAGGACGTACAGGAGGCACGTACAGCTCGGAAAGCCGGAGCAGCAGTTGGTTGGTGTTGTTAGGTCTTGACTTGCTGCTTTTGGGGGTAGGTACTGGGAAGTATACTTGCTCAACGCATGGGTGCAGTTGAACGTGACATGTTTTTGAGTCTTGGATGGAAGTGAAGCCTTGGTTATATGTTTGTCTGACAGGAAATACTGACAGGAATACTGGCAGGAAACTCCAGACTTTGGCAGCTTACGGTTGCGCCTTTAGCTCAGCTTTGAAGCAGCGGTGGCGCCTTCTTTCTTCCTTACTCAGTGTGGCACAGCCCTTGGATTGTATTAGTATTGAATTGACTTGTTAACTGTCCAGACAGGAGACTGTTGCATTGCGACAGAGAGCAATGTGCATGGATGTGTTTTCTTGTTCCTATGCCTGGGGGGAGGCACAGTTGCAGAGGGGGAGACACAGGAGGGCGGGTTAATGACTGGTCTAAACCTTGCATGTACCGCCGGTGCGATGAACTTCTTACAGTCGTTCCATGAACTGTATTATTATACCTGTCGAGCTATCTCTTCAGGTATTCATGCTCGAGGTGGTGGGAGATTTAGAGCAGGTAGGATAGAGGATGAAAGAGAGCGCTGCCAATCGTTTGGTCTGCATGGAGACGCATTGACGCTTTCATTATTGGACAGACAGACGTACGAGCCGGGGGCCAAATGTAATACCCCTGAAAGCACCGTCAACAAGTACATAAGGTATATTGCAACGCATGCATGCAACGCCGCTTGCACGTTACCCCGCGCACACAGCACATGTAAACGTCCCTTGCCTCCAGCGTTCCAAACGTAGACATCACGCATGCAGGCTTTTTTACGGTGGCACGTGAAATACAACAGGAATTCCCCCGTTTCCGTGAGCGATGCACTCAAGCCCCGGCCAAGCACGGTCCCATTATGAAGCACCCGGTAGCAGGGCACACAACTACCGGTAACTGCTAACACAGAACGTCCCGACCTCGCAGTAACCGGCAAAGAGCCTGAGGGCGTATGCGTCAGTAAACAGTCCAACAAAGCTGCCGTACTTTTGCCATTCCTGGGCCTTAAAAGCCCTTGGCCACCCGATACTCGCAAGGAAAGTCCGGATATGCGTCCCATCTTGCTTGCTTAACAACCCACCGCCACCATAGCTGCCAAGACCACTGTCCCACCACGACTAGCAGACGACATGCACAACTAGTAGACTATCCTCCCATCCTCTGCTTGGCTAAACGTCCGTTTAGCGGACTCAACTAAAGCGGACTCGCATCTGGGGTCAAGCGTCGCCTACAAAAACAAGGTTGGGACAAAACATGCGCTGTACGACCGCTGACTAATGCACCGTACTCAAGTCCTACCGTCTGCCTAAGCATCCTTACTGCATACGTCCAGCATTCCTGTGTCCTGCGTTCTTTCCGCAAGTTGGAAGCAAACCCTTCGATCCCGGAACATCCTCCTTGCGTCTCCACCCCACCACCACCATGCAAGATGCACTATAAATGCAAACCATGTCCAAACCTACCACCTTCTAACTACCTAACTACAGCCGGATGTGCCCCTTGACCTCTCCTCGCACACTCTCGCTCACCATGCTCATCATTCCGCAACGCCATGTACGGGTAGCTGATGCCACGACCTCCTCCGTTGTCGCCGCTGCTGCTGCCCCGCGCTTGCATACGCTGCTATTGGCCCTACTGCTGCTGCAACCCAAGAAAAACGATACTGCTGCCAGCAGCTGCCCCGTGCTGCCGCCACCGCACGCACATCAGCTGCTAGCGCCCCCCTCCAGCCGGTTGCTGCCCCTGCCCCTGTTGCTGCTGCTGCAATGCCTCCCACTCCTCCCGCAGCTCCCCTAGCCGCCTGGACACGCGGATGCGGAGCGCCCGCCGCATCAGCTGCTGCGGGTCGGGCGGAAGCAGCGCCGCCAGGTTCTTGGCGGAGAGGGCGCTAAGAAGGCTCTCGAAGGGCAGCCGGACCAGCCGCGGCTCCGCGTGCTGCAGCACCGCCAGACCCACTCGGAAGAGCTGTGGGGGAAGGGGTTGCAGAGGGTGAGGGTTGGGAGAGGAAAGGCGGGATGGAGTGGGGGTGAGGGACAGGAGGGAAGGGCGCGGAGGGTAAGAGGGGGAGGCAAGAGAGGGGCGTTGCATATGTGGTGGACCCAGATGGGGTAGGCCCCAGATGGGGACCACGACATGAAGCCCCGTTTGGTGACGTTACCTGTACCCTTCAGGTACACTTCATCTCCCTCAAGGCCTCAACCCCTCCCTCAACCCAACCGCTCTTTGGCTCTTGGCCCGCTCGTTCGCTCGTTCCTCACCGTCTTGATCCCCTCTGCCAGGAAGACGTCCCACACGCGCAGCAGGTAGCCAAAGGGGAGCGTGTAGGCGAAGGCGGTGTTGAACCAGTGCGTGGCGTACAGGGCGGGATCCACTCCCTCCCGCTCCATGCGGGCTGCCAGACGGGGGGCGGCGTCGTGGAGCAGGTACTTGAACTGGGAGGAGGTGGGTTGGTTGAGGTGGCGGGGCGGAGATGAGGGCGTGATGACGAGGGGGGGGGGGGCAAAAGAGCACATTCGCTGGGGCGCGCGTCTGATACAGGATGACGCGACGCGGGGCGCCTGTGAAGCGGTGTTCCCAATCCGACCCAGATGACCAAACGTGGAAACAAAAGGTCACACGGCACCTCCGTGCCCGTCCTCCGTGTCCAACCTCCTCCCCGTTGTGTATCCCCTTGTCCATCCCTCTCCTCGCCCTGCTCCTCCTCCTGCCCCTCTCACCTGGTATAAGCAGCACTGCAATCCGGGCATGCCGGGCAGGTACAGCCGCTTCAGCCCCTCGCCGCCCGCCACTCCCAGCGGACCCTGCAGAAGGTGGAGGGGCGACGAGGAGAAGGATTCACAACACCAGACGCGCACGAGGGCACGTATGCACTCCTCCAGCGCAATAAGCTCATAAGGGCCCTCCTCTCCCACACACCATGTAGTGTTTCAATACCCCCTCTGGGAACGTACTAACCCGCCTAACGCTACACCGCCTCCTGCTCCTCCTCCCCCTCCACACCTCCTCCCTCACCTGCATAATCGCCACCAGCGTCCAAAACGCCTCCTCCGCATCCAGGTACAGCAGCAGCACCGCCGCGATGAAACCCATGCCCTGCACGTAGCCCACCTGCGCGATGTGGGTCAGTCGCATGGGGACGGGTAATGGGTCAGGGCAGTTGCATCAAGAGGGACGAGAGGTCACAAGGAAAGCCCAAGGCCACACATTTTCCATGCCACACACAAACGACCCAAAAGCGGAAATCAAAGCTATCCGACCCAACAACCCCCTTCTGCACATCTCCCCCATCCATGCAGGAGGCAGAGGACGCATCATGGCCGCACCGTCCTGTTGCCATGTACAACAGAGCAGCATGTACGACACCCCTGGTACGGCCTCACCGATGTGTCGTACAGCGCGTAAGCCCGCAGTACGGTGTACAGCGCGCGCTGGCCGGGCCCCTGTCGCTCCATGAAGAAGATGTGGGTGGGGAAGGTGCGGTTGAGGTCGCGCATGATGCAAGCGTCCACGGAGGGGTCAAGACGCGGGTAGGAGGGGGCGGGGGCGGGGCCAGGAGCATCTGGGGTGGAGGTGGGTGCGCTCCTCGCTTGTTGGGAGGAGTCTGACCCCGCATGCAACCCGGCTGATGCAACATCCGTTGTCCCCGTTGCACCACCCCCAGCCGCGGCATCTTCGGAACTCGTAGCTGCCATTGTCTCTCCTTGACTCGCGGGTCCCGGTCTCCCTGACGGTTCCCCCGCTGTCGCCGCCGCTGACGTTGCTGCTGCTGCCCCTCTTGTCCTTGTCGTACTGGGACCCGCTGGCGCCGCCGTTTCCTCCGCTGCTAGCGCCGCGAATGTACCCGGGTTCGCTGCCATTAGCTTCCGACCGCCTGAGGGCATGTGAGTCCGGGCCAGGCCGACCCAGATGGGGAAGTGGAAAGGGGTGAAACACCTCGGAGGCGAAGGGCAGCAATTGCCGGGTAAATGTCTCTTGCCGTACAAACCAACTTTGAAAGATCGTAACCCAACATGCTACGCATCAAGATGAGGCATGCAGCATGGAAGACCGTTATCCCAGCCCAACCTATCAAAGCCCCACACTCACCCGACAGTACCAGCCAGGCCAGTCCCCGCAACTGCTCGGGAACGCCCTTCCGCACGCGACGTTTCAACTTCTCAGGTCGTCTCTGCCCGTAAGCCTCCAATGCCGCGCCCCCAGTCCCCAGCATCTTGCGCCACTTGCGTAACCGCTCCAGCGCCTGCTGCTGCCGCTGCTGCTGCTCTTGAGGATACGTGTAAGGGTGCTGTCTGTGAGGCTGCTGTTGCAACTGCAGGTTAGGTTGCTGTTGCGCCTGCGGTTTCGGCTGCTGCTGTTTCCGCATCCACAGCCGTCGCAGCAAGGGCTGCCGGCGAGGATGCTGGTGGTGGTGGCGATGTGTGGAGTCATCGTCGCGACCGCTGGTGCTGGCAGCGGCCCCGCTGGTGCGACGTGCGGTGTTACCACCGTCACTGCCGCTTGTTGCATGGCCGTCATTGCCACCAGCGTCTGGATCTTGTACGGGAATCACGAATCCGTACGGATCGAGCCTGAGGCGCCGACGTTCTTGGTGGATCATGAGGACTTGGGTTTCTGAAAGCAGGCCTGTGAGGTTTCAGGCCAGGACAGGGCGAAAATGGAAAGACAGCCGGAAAGCGTTATACAACAGGGCTTTGATACCGGTAACGAAGGGCATGATCGGCAGGGTGCCTGCCCGGGTTGGACCGCTAGCAAACGATAAGCTTATTGCCAATTCCCATCCCATTGGCCCTTTTCCTTCTGTCCGCCACAGTACCAAGGGCCGCACCGCACCTCGGGGAATCTCATAGTCTGGGTCGCCTGAAAAGGACCGCTGCTGCGACCGCAACAGCCCGCAGCCCGTCAGCTTGCTAGGAGACCCGTGCCTCTCCTTGAGCGGCTCGGCATGCTGCTGCTGCTGCCGCCGCTCTTCCTCCAGCTCCTCCCGTTCAGCCTCGTCCGCTGCCTGCTCGTAGCTTTCCTTGGCTTCCTGATGTTGTTGCTGCTGCTGCTCTTGCTCCTCCTCCTTTGTCTCACCAACACCTGCCTTGTCTTCCTGATGTTGCTGCTGCTGGTATGGATGAGCATCCTGATGTCCGCCCTCCTCCCGATGCGAGTGCGGCTGCTGCTGCTCCTCCCGTTGTCCTTGCTCGAGTGCTGCCAGCGTGCATGCCGCCGGCCCCTCCTGTTCCTGTCCCCCTTCCACCACCACCCTGGGTGCTGCCTCGGCCGCCGCCTCCTCCGCCGGCTGTCCCAGCTGTCCCGACTTCTGCGGCTGCACCCCCTGCTGCTGCGGCGGCGGCGGTTCGAGTCCAGCATGCATGGCCTCCAGCCCTCCCTCCACAGCTTGCGCTGCTTCGCTCTCACACGATGCGACCACCTCCTCGCCGGTTGCCCCACCTTGTACACCTGCCTGTTTCTCCTCCTCCGTCTGACAGCGCATCGGCTGTGAAGCAGTGAAGTCGGAGGTGCTGCTGCCCTCAGAGGCGCTGACTAGTACCGACGGTGCTGCTGCTGCTGCTGCAGCTTCGGGGGGATGAACGCTGCTGTGCGGCTGGTTGCTCGTTGTGCCGTTGACCGCAGAAGATGGTTGCGGCTGGCAAGGCAGCTCTGAAGCGTCCGTTGAAGGCGGCAAGGCGGCTATTGGGCTAGGAACAGGCGAGGCGCGGGGAGAGTTGGCAGCAGCTATGGTGCAGGGCTCGGATGAGAGGCTTCGTGTGTGCTGTGGTGGAGGTACAGGTGTGGGCGGCTCCATCGGACGTGACTGGAAGCTTAGGGGCCGACCGGCCTCGCCAGTGCTGGTGTCAGCGGCTTCGGTTGTAAGCGGGGGCTGCTGGGATGTGGAGTAATCGCTTGTCTTCATCGCGGGCCGTGCTATACTGCCGTCAACATGCATGTTGTCGTGGTCAACAGTCTATGCGTCGCAGTATTTTGGAGGGGAAGCTCTGCTACTATGTTTCATAGCCTTTGGAAGTAGGTAAAAACAGCTGAGGACGCAAAGGCCGAGCAGGGTCAGCGACCGAAATGCGCCAAACAGCGTTCGCCTCGCCTGAAATACAAAGCTGCAAAAGCAGCGAGAACCAGCGTACTTGTGAAACAGTCAGAAAGCGTCGGACTAGCGAAAGATTATTGACGATGCGCTGGCGCGGAGCCATCCATAGTGTGACAGGTACAGGTTTGACCAAACCCAGGATAACACGGCGTATGCGATCTAGATCACTGTATAGAGTTGAAACCATGCCTCGGGCTAGGTAGCTTCCTTCACCAGGACTTGTACGGAAGGCTTTTGGTTCCACTCCAGTACGAAGCGCCAGGACTCTGGGAGACCGGGTAACTGGAAAAGAAGTTAGGCATACGCTGAAGTGGCCCTCAACTTTGCCAGATATAGTGTAGAGGCAGACAGGACCGTTAAATAGGTGTCAAGTCGTTGGCACCATGGCCCCATACAATCCAAGGATAGAGGCCTGTCACAGGCGGAAGGCTTATCAGCGGCAGTGGCAGGTGGGAAAGAGAGAGCGAGGGCCACACCCAAACGGAAACTGTTGCACGAATAGCTTGCAATAAACTGATCGGCAAGCGCAACTGGGCTCAATTATATGAAAGCATGATGGACATACTCTGCAACGTTCGGCGTAGGTGGAGCTCTTCAAAACATGTTACAGGCGCCCCGGATGTGAGTTTCAGGGCACAAAAGCCAGTCATATCAATTCGTATATCAGTGGGTTTGTCGCACCCCTAGCCAAAGCATTACTATGCGGGGTGTGGCAGCTTCCGCGAAGCGGTTATCTAGCATGTGGTGTGGCATCCATCCGATTTGGCCGAATGACTTGCCGAACGTGCCCGGCCCATGTCCTCCTGCGTTGCAGACTTCTGCTTCAGCATGTGGTGGTACGCGAGCAGGGTCGGGGCTGAACGCTGGAGTGTTTGACCCCTTGCAGTAGCCGCAATAGCGGCAATGAATTGTCATTGCTTGCATAGCAAGCAGCGGTACCATCACAGTTAAACCTTATGAACCAACAGACGCCACCACCGCCCTCATGTTGCAGTGCCAACTGCGCCAGCTACAGTCTCCGGAAGCAGGCACTGCATGGCGACATGTCCAGGTACGGCATATGGATGACATGAGCAAAACAGCGGACCACTATACTCGATACCGTACCTCTAGCGTTTCTGCGTCCATCCATATGTCCCATGCATTCACTTGCACTGCATGCAATGCTGTCGCACATGTACTGCTAGCACGGGCAAAACAGCCACAAGTGACCATCAACGGTACATCTCTGCAGCCTCAGCTACACCCATTGTTATAAAACATGGGCGTAGCTGAGCCTGCAGAGACGAAGTACTAATCCCCGTCCTTCTTACGGCGCAAACACCTGACTCTTCAATGACCGAAACAGGTACATATGCTGCAACGGCATTTGCCCCTGCTCGGGTCGCATGGGCGAGAAGGACTGCCCGGAGTTCTGCCTGTGTCTGGAGGTGGGTTGGGTGAGGACCGTGAGGTGAAGTGAGAGATGTACGACAGGGTGAGCAGCAGAGCTGTGTCTTGTAACTTACCCCTCGGGCTGGAGTAGTGGGGATTGGAAAGGGGAAGTCTCATGTTTTTGCATGCTTGCTTCATCCAACCTCTTCTCCGCCTCCGCCTCCGCCCCCTCCTCCTGCTGCTGCTGCTACTGCTGCCCGCAGTCCTTCTTCTGCTTCGCGCAGAGTGTTGCAACAACACGCTGGATGGTCCAAGATGAGATGCAGGTTCGTACGATGCTACAAGGACGGATCCGCATCGCCGTACGATAAGCTCTAAGTGTTTTGCATGACCCCACTTGATTGTACGGCAATTGTGCAAAGTGCAGCTGTGCAGGGCAGTGTTGGCCCACCACTAGTGTTCTCTCATCATGCACCACATCGTGAGCGCTTTTCTCCCATGCGTTAACTCGTTTCGCCCATCCTGTCGTCGTATACCGGTAATGCGCATCTTCGCCCTCTGTGTTTGTACGGCACCGCACAAAGGTGGAGACCACGGAGTGCGACAACTGCATTATCGGTGAGCACATGGATCAGGATGATGTAGCTGTCCTAGTTAGGCCAGCTAGTTACCCACGTGGAGGGGCCGTCTGTTGCAAACTCCAATGCTCAATCGGCGCCCCTCCCCCTCCCCCACCCCATAATGAAGCCTTATCACACGGTTAGTTAGTTGTTTCCTCATTAACCCCGCCCCCAAATCAGGCACCATGATCTTCTTCCAGTACCTGTCCTGCATCTGCCACATCCTGGCCTGCTTCGTGTCGGAGCTGCATGACGTGGCGCAGTTCGTGGACTGCCTGGCGGATTTCACATGGTGCACGTGAGTGGTGGGGGGGGGGCTTGGGCGGGTGGGGCGGGGGTTGGAGCGGTGGGACGAGGGGGGTGGGTGCTGGGGCGAGTTGACTGTCAAAGGGTTGGGGCAATCTCGCCCCAACCCTTTGACAGCAGCCCCCCCTAGCAGCCTGCCCTATTAGCCCGCTAGCCCGTTGCCGCTGACCCACACCCGCCCGCCCTCTCCTATCAACCCTTCCCTCCCCGCCTCTCGCCCCCTGCCTCCCCCCCCTCCTCAGCGTGTGCGCCTGCATGCAGACGCAGGCCAAGGCGGAACTGGACTACCGGGACGCCAACCCGGGTGCGGTGCCGCCGCCGCTGCCGGGGGTCGTCATGCAGCCGCCGGGTAGGCGGGATGGGGACAGGGAAGGATGGGATGGGGATTGGGGCGGCGAGGAAAGGCCGCAATTTCCTTTGGCTTTAGCCGGTAGCTGTCTCGAAACCGCCCCACGAACGAACCCGGAACCAACCTCCGTAACAAGCCCACGTCGCTCCCCTCCCGCCCCGCTCCCTCCCACCGCCCCCTGCAGGTGTGCAGATGATCCCCATGGGCGCCCAGCCGCCCCCACCCCCGCCCGGCGCCTACCCGCAGCAGCCCTACGCCCAACAGCAGCCCTACGCCGGCTACCCCACCACCTACCCGCCCCAGCCGGGAGCCTACCCGCCTCCCCCGCCGCCTCAGGGTGGGTTGAGGGTGCGTGGTGTGTTGTGGGTTACATGCCTGATGAGTCCAACCACCGGTCGCTGCGCGTCAGGGGGCTCATTCCTGTTGCTACCCCTCGCGCGCACCGCCTTTCTTTCCCTCCAGGGCTCATCGCGCACACCTCGCAACCCTGGGCATGCTCGCATGTAGCGTGCCCTGCATACCGCAGCGCCCGCCTTGCCGCTGCTGGCTGGTGTTTGGTAGTGCTGGCTGGTGTTGTGCGGCCTTACTGCCCCTGCCACCGACACTCTGACATGCTGCCATGTCGCTGTCACGACTCTGCAAACACAACACATATCCCTCTTTTCCCCCCACCCACCCGCCAGGCTACGGCGGCTACCCGCAGCCCATGCCGTACTACCAGCCCGGTCCGCCCCCTTCCGCGCCGGTAGGTGGCCGTGGGGTGGGAGCTTGGGAGGTGCGGAGGGTGGTTTCGGGGCCGCTTCTACCCGCCCGTTTGCGGCATCAACTCCCCTCGTGTGCATGGCGTGTGATGTAACCCGTGTTGTGTTGTGATTGGGGTTCCTTCCCTCACCCCACCCCGCAGGGCATGCAGAGGTAGGAGCAGGACCACACACCCACGAAGCCATCAGCCTAGGGGCTCTGCCGGGGCTGGAGCTGGAGCAGGCCAGGAGGGCAAGCGGTAGCTGCATCTGAGCAGGAGTTTGTTAAGAAACGGGTTGAGAGCCGTTGGTGTAGCGTTGTATGGCTTGTAATGAGCGGAGATACCCGACCTCCGTTGTGAGTTTTGACGAGTCGCCATCGTCGTTGTCCTCATCATGTTGCTGCTGGCTTTGCTGCGAGGGAACAGGGAAGTGATCCTGACCGTTTTGATCCTTTCTATTTAAGCGCCGGTTCCACTGATGCCGGAAGCGAGGGCGGTCCTCTTCCATGGAAGCGGAGCCGCCAACTGATTGCAATTGAGACCCGCATAGCTGGCATTGAACCATGGGGGTGTACGATGCCGGTAGTACAAGGTGTTGTCACAGGGGGTGTGGTGATGTATGCTCCCATAACGGGTGCGTGTGTGCATATAGTAGTGCCTATATAAGAAGCATCATTCCTCATACGGTAGCTAGCATGTTGTAACTTTGTAAGTTCCCTTTCAAGGGCACTCGTGACGTCTTGAGGGCACCTCAGCTCACACGAGTGACCCGCGGGTCCTTCCTGCTGCTCCTGTCCCATGTCTACACCTCACAGACACACACAGGACTTCATCTTGCGGCAACCGACTCGCGGCCAGTTTTCTGAACACACGCCAGCACCTAAGGTCTATGCCTTAACGACAGAACGACACCTCTGGGTGCCGTTACCGCGCGATACTTCCATACAAACAATGCGCACAGGCCTTTCCAAAGCCCCAGCCCGAGGGGTCCACCAAACCACCGCACTGTACGGCTCCTTCCACGGCTCATCGTGCTCCCCCCACCCTCGCCACCATCCTCCCGCCCCCGCGGTAACATGCACACCCGTTTCACGAGTGTCACATCTGTCACAAGACGGCCTCCCCAGATACGGTAAAGCGACAAGCCGAATGGACGCTTTTGCTCATGCGCTCAAACTGCTTGACACAGGCAGTCCGTTGCGTGGACTTCATGAAAGCTGCCAGCTGCCCTGGGTGTACCGTGCCCTCCCCATGTCCCCTTCTTGCATGAGTCGGGATATGGGATTGGGATTCGTTGTTTCACTTATATAATTTTTCCCCATGTCCCCTTCAACCCGTTTGCCCGCATCACCACCATGGCCTCATTACCCCCATGCACCCACTAAGTAACAAACCTCCCAAACCCACACATCCTACTAAGCACATTCCCCGAAGCAAAGCCCGTGCATACACCAAATCCCTCCCAACATGCACCACACGTCTCTTCCCTACCCTTCCTCACCCCTCCTAACCCATACCCACACCCTTACTTTGCTCCCTGCTCCCTCTCCCACTTCCATTTCTTCGGCATCGGCTTCGGCGCGCGCACCGCCTCCCGAATCCTCTCAATCACCGGCCTCTCCTCCTCCTCCTCCTCCTCTTCCTCTCCTGCTGTCCCCTTCTTCCCCTCATCCGCATCCACCAGGTGCTCCATCCCCGGCGGCGGCCGGAACACCACGTACGCCTTCTTCCAGTCGTCCTCGCGCCACCACTGCCGGTGCCCGAAGCGCCCCAACGTCATCCGCCGCCGGCCCAGGTAGTTGATGGTGTGAACCCGCTCAACCGACATGCCGTACACGGACTCCAGGAAGGCGGCGATCTCCAACTGGGGTTTTTTTGATTGCGGGGAGCAAAGGGTGGGGGTTAGTACGGCAACGGCGGGTTGGTACGGCAGACTGTTGCAGGAGCCCATGCCCCGTGCCCTAGAACCCTATAACTGTCTTGTTTCGCCTTACGTCTTACGCAGGCCCACTTACAAGCTGGAGTGCTTGTATCGGTATGTGTGGCGGCGCATGCAGTGCAGCGGGCCCCGTCTGGTGGCGCGCGATATGGGAACCGCAACGCCAGCCCAACACACACGTTATGCCTCCGCCCTGCCGCCTCCCACCCACCTTTGTGACATCCGGGGTGGTCTTGAATGCCGCCTCCCGCACCCAGCCCGTCTCCCGCAGCTGCGCCAGCTGCTCATCGGGCATCCGAAGCAGCTGCAGACTGCGGAGGGGATGGAGGGAGAGAGAGAGGAGAGGAGAGGGAAGGAAGGGAAGGAAAAGGAGGTGGAGTTGGGTAGGTTTGGGAGAAGCAGGAGGGGGGCACGGAGGTGTAGTGAAGATGCAGGGAATCAATGCCGTACAGCGGCTCGTCGTACTGCATTTCCTCTCAAAGATATTACCGGTACTGCCAAGACAGGACGATGTGTTAGGGCTACGTCAGCAGCATGGACATGGACGGCCCCCTGAACAGCAGCTGCATACTGGTAGGGCCCTCCCGTGAGCTCTTAGGCGCGCATCCGTGAAGCCCAGCTGTAAGGAGCAGGGCACCTACACCCTTTCAAGCGCCGCTCACCCTTACCTGAGGGTTGGGAAGCAGATGGGCAGGCGGGTTGCGGGGGGCTCCGGGCGCTGCCGCTTTTCCGAGCTTACGAAGCGCATGACGGGGGGAGCGGGCTGTGCGGAGGAGGAGGTGCTGGGGGCCTGCAGGGGCGGAGGAAGGAGGGAGGAGGAGGAGGGAGCAGAGAAGGTGGGTGTGATGGGGATAGGGCAACGGTGTGTGTTGGTGTGAGGAGGGCGCGTGGGGGGAGGGGTGAGGGGTGTGCTTCCTTGGGAAGGAACTGACTGGTGGAATAGGTGCTATTAAGCAGAGTGGCATGGGAAAACGCACGTGTTATGGGGCGAGGGTGGCGTGTGGTCTGGTGCATGGAGCAAGAGGGTTGAGAAGGATATGCTTCCCGAGTGATGTGTGCTATCTGGGGAGTGCGGGTCTCCTAGTGCCTACAAACTGTCCAACTCGCCAACATAGTGCAAAGTGCTTGTTGCAATCCGGGGCTACCGGTACATGAAGTTTATGAGGTCAACTCTGATTAACACGAGTGAAGCTTACCGATTCGGACTCCACATCCTTGCTGCTTCTCCGTTCGGCAGACTCCGCAAGTGTGTGTTGACTACGGAATGTGCTGCTTGTGCTGAGAGTTTCAACAATGCCGCTTCGGCCTAGTTGCGTATGTGAGAGACATCCATAGCCTGTCCGAAAGAGGAGGCGCATGTCAAGTAATGTTGACGCCATTTGCCGCTATTTTTAACAGTTAAGCAGCAGGATAATAAGCAAGGATACACACACTCCAAAGTTGCCCAGCGTGCAGCGCAGTAATTTGTACGGCAAATTCGGCACTCGCCTTTCCTGGCATGAGCTCAAAATGCTGTGTTTGTATCACTACACGTCTCCCTTGCTCTCTTCATCTAGATCCTTCTGCTACCGTCTTTCGTTGGGCAGCCCTCCCAACCCTTCCTTCGTTACTAACTTTAGCCTCCTTTGCAAACTAAACACGTATGGCCGCTCACAATTGGCGTAACCTTGAGTCTAAGGTCGTTTACGCTTCCTTCATTAACATGCTGGCTGAGCCCCGCGCCACGATGGCTACGGCATGCAACGAGTGCGTTAAAGGCAAAAAAGAGACGAAACACGAGCGGCGACTATGACATCCTTCAGTCGTTAAGTGATCACCGTACTTGCGCTGGTAAGCTTGCAGGAGTCGTCCCTGCTAGCCGGCCAGTAAGGCTTGCAAGTAGCAAAGCCGTGTGAAAGCTGTCAACGTGCCCCCTGGCGACCGGTTCCTGTAATGCGATGCTCCCTTTGCTTCTCTGACGCCTTCCCCGATCATTTCCTTCGGTGGCCCTCCCTCTTCCCCCCCAATGCCTCCAACTTTCCTGCCTGTCGTGCGATGGCCCAGCTCTTCCTATTGGCTACGGTCCCCTACAGTCTATACTGCATCCTTTCGAGATACCTGAACATAAACATACCAATCCTCACGTGCCTCCTCCGTTTGCGCAGAACGTAGGCTGATCAACACCTGGGTCATCGAGGCGCGAAAGCACGGTCAACGCCCCCACCAGATTGCCTCCTGGATTCGACGCAAGGCGGGAACAACTATTTGCGTGTGGCGACGCTTAAGCGATGGTTCCCTGGGAACCAGCGTGCCTTGCGTCTGCTGCCGTCAATTGCTGCAGCAATTCGATTTGCGCGTGAGCTGTGTCTTGGAAGGCGGCGTGTGGTGGGACGGACGTCTGGACGCGGCAGACGCGCCTGTTAGCAAGCCCACCAGCGGACAGAGGCGCAGGTGGCAGTTTGGTGAGCCTAAACAGGCAGCCAACCAGTCGGTAGGAGGTGGAGGAGGAGGAGGAGGCATACCACGTAGGCAGTAGCTGCAGTGCAGCGGCTACCGCAGCAGTGGCAGCAACTGCAGAGTTGGAGCGGAGGGCAATAGTGTAGCTGGCAGCGCTGTTGGGAGGTTGTGGGATTGCGAATTAGCAGTGGTGCAGAAGCAACAACAGCAGCGGTGAGACACGGCTTGAGCTGTGCAATCTTGAGTGTGTGGTGTTTGGAGACGACAGAGGAGGTCGTACAGGGGCCTCAATCACAGGTGGCAGGGCAGGCTAAGCTGCTAATCTCTTTGTTATTGTTGTTCCAGATCTAACTAGTAATCGTGATCTTACGGCTAAAGGGCGTGTACCGATGGAGTCGCTGTCTGTACTGCAAGACATGCGAGTGCAGGTGGTGCAATTGGGTTATGACTTGGGGTGTGTCCCGCATGCACGCCATGCCGCTTCGACTTGCGCTGCTTTGCCTGCTTGCACACGAGACTGTCATATCGGACTGATGCTTGGTGGTATCGGATGTTGGCGTTTACGGATGGCTGCGGTTCCGTTGCTTATGCGTCGGATACCGTCACTGCCGCAGCTGTCATCCGTGGGGACATGTGCACTAGGAGGAACCTCCTGCCTGTATGCGCGCCTGTCAGGGTGTTGCTGCCAGGTGCGGTCATGCCTTTTGTTGCAGCTGTTGCTGTTGCTGCTCCAGTGTCTGCATCGAACATTTCTGCGTTTTGCACCAGGCGTGCCGGTATCGGTACTCTCAGCTTGTACTTGCAACTCCTGATGCTGTTTCTAGGTCTTGCGTTTGTGCCTTGGCAGTTGTCTGTCGGTGCTGCTAACGTCAGAACGCGGTGTAGGGATGCATGGGGGTGCGGCAGATGAAGTGTAGCTGTGTAGGCGCGTGTGATGAGGACTTGGGAGGAGCTAGCCCCTGCAACGGCGGGCGCAAGCGCTTTCACCATTGCTATGTAGGCCTCAGTACGGATGCTGGAGACAAGAAAAAGGCGCTAGTTTCAGGCCACTCAAGAAGTCATGAAACGTGCCTCGTTACAAGCTTCAAACAGTCAGGGGTGACGGCGGAAAGTCTATATTGCAAGGCACTTGGTATGTACGAAACCAGGCTTGCTTCAGGCCCAGCTCACAAACTGCAGTCCAGCCATGGTAAATCTTAGTACGTGCAAGCAGGGCACTCACATTTTGGGGATCACTTGTTTGAACAAGACCGCGGTGTCGTGCTCACAGAAAACATATTGGCAACGGATTGTTGCAGCAGCGTATGCATGCTCTCGCTTCTTCACTACGCAGCCACGCAAGCTATGCAAGCCTACCCCCATTAACTCCCACGCTTAAAGCACATGAACCAAACACATCACACATTCACACTCCATCCAATGTACAGCAGCCTACAAGCTGACTAGCCGCATGCACTTCCTCCTCCCCGCAAGCCTCCTTTCGTTTCCCCCTCCCGTCTCTCACTCTCTCGCACTGCCTGCACGTGCCCCTCCCTCTTCCTGTCCTCTGCTTCCCTCACTTCGACGTCTCCTGCTTCCCTCACTGTAACGTCTGTCCTCTGCTTCCCTCACTGTAACGTCTGTCCTCTGCTTCCCTCATTGTAACGTCTGTCCTCTGCTTCCCTCACTTCGACGTCTGCTTGTTGCTCTCCGCGATCACCGGCAGCACCGTCTCCAGCAGCCCTCCCTGGCCTCCCAGACCTGCCGAGCTCCCGCCTCCAACACGGCCGTTCAGGAAGTATGTGCTGTTGTTCTGGCCAGCCTCGATAGCAGGGAGTTGCTGCTGAAGGGGCAGCAGCGCGGCAGGCGCCATGTCCCCACCAAATGCCAACTTCACTGCTGCAGCATCTCCTCTAGCCGCGACTGCAGGTACTTGGCCTGAGCAAGCAGTTCGTTAACCTCTGATATCAGTTCGGAGGTCCGTGTGCTCATTTCATTAAGCTGCGACATCATTTCATTAAGCTGCGACGACTTGATCATGAGTTGCGACATCTTTGCCTTCAACCGCGACTCCATTTCTTCCAGCTGCGACCTGAAACTGAGCTTGCTGCGGTAAGAGTCGATGTACTCGTGGTGGAATATTCCGAAGGCGCCGCGCATGGCGGAAGTCCCAACGCGCTGGATGTAACCCTTCATGGCGAAGCATGCCGTGTAGGAGTCGGTGACCTGGTTGAACGGCGTCCCCCCGATCATGGCTGGAACGCAATCGTGGGCGAAAGCGTCGAGAACGCGGTCGTCGTTGAGGCCCTCGCATTTGTCCACGACTCTAATGGCGTGAATGAGGGGGATGTTCCAGCGCAAGCCCGGGTTAAGCCTCGTCGCGTTGCAGCCAAAGGTTGTGCGATAGGCCTCAGTGCCTTGCGAAATAAACGTGAAAAGCCCACGAGCCAAGGATGGTGCAGCTTGGGCAAGCAAACCAGCATTATTGTGAAGCCGGCGGGCGAGCATTTTGGACAGGGTGTTAAGAATTGGCTATCGTGTTAGGATAACTTTTACCTACTTTATAAAGGGCCAAACTATGGTGCGACGTTACCGGGCTGTCTCGTCTGTCGTCGCTGACATGCCATGAGGAGTCGTCAAGTCAGTTGCAAGCAACCGACATCAGTTACGTGTCCATTCTCTTCAGCCTTCGGCTAAGAGCCAACTTTTCCTGGCATTTCTTCGCTTTACATATACATAAGCCATTGCTTTATGGCTTGCCACATAAGACCTCCTTAACCGTGACTCAGGCCAACCCTTGAAGCCCTCTTGCAACTTGCAACTCCTGATGTAGTTTCTCGTTCTAGCCTTTATGCCTTGGCAGTTGTCTGTCGGTGCTGCTAACGTCAGAACGCGGTGTAGGGATGCATGGGGGTGCGGCAGTGTTGAAGTGTAGCTGTGTAGGCGCGTGTGATGAGGACTTGGGAGGAGCTAGCCCCTGCAACGGCGGGCTCAAGCGCTTTCACCTTTGCTATGTTGGCCTCAGTACGGATGCTGGAGACAAGAAAAAGGCGCTAGTTTCAGGCCACTCAAGAAGTCATGAAACGTGCCTCGTTACAAGCTTCAAACAGTCAGGGGTGACGGCGGAAAGTCTATATTGCAAGGCACTTGGTATGTACGAAACCAGGCTTGCTTCAGGCCCAGCTCACAAACTGCAGTCCAGCCATGGTAAATCTTAGTACGTGCAAGCAGGGCACTCACATTTTGGGGATCACTTGTTTGAACAAGACCGCGGTGTCGTGCTCACAGAAAACATATTGGCAACGGATTGTTGCAGCAGCGTATGCATGCTCTCGCTTCTTCACTACGCAGCCACGCAAGCTATGCAAGCCTACCCCCATTAACTCCCATCGCTTAAAGCACATGAACCAAACACATCACACATTCACACCCCATCCAATGTACAGCAGCCTACAAACTGACTAGCCGCATGCACTTCCTCCTCCCCGCAAGCCTCCTTTCGTTTCCCCCTCCCGTCTCTCTCGCACTGCCTGCACGTGCCCCTCCCTCTTCCTGTCCTCTGCTTCCCTCACTGTAACGTCTGTCCTCTGCTTCCCTCACTGTAACGTCTGTCCTCTGCTTCCCTCATTGTAACGTCTGTCCTCTGCTTCCCTCACTTCGACGTCTGCTTGTTGCTCTCCGCGATCACCGGCAGCACCGTCTCCAGCAGCCCTCCCTGGCCTCCCAGACCTGCCGAGCTCCCGCCTCCAACACCGCCGTTCAGGAAGTATGTGCTGTTGTTCTGGCCAGCCGCGATCGCAGTCATCTGCTCAACCTGCTTAAGGCGCAGCAGGTAATTGGCGGCAGCTGTCAAGTCCCCGCCAAATGCCGACTTCATTTCCTCAAGCTGCAGCTTGAGCGCCTGCGTGTTCCGCTCAGCCGAATAGAGTTCAGCGTCTGCGCGGTTGCGCAGCGCTTGCTGGATGCCCTCCGACTCAAGGATGGCTTTGCGCTTGAGGCCCTCGGCCTCGAGGATGGCCTTATCGCGAAGCCCCTCCGAAACGTTAATAGCCGCTTGCGTATCGAGGATTTGCCTGCGGCGGGCACGCTCGGCCTCCATTTGCTGCTCCAGCTGTCGCTCAACGTTCTGGTTGGAAGGCTTGAAAGTTTGAATTTCAAACTTGGTGCACGTCACGCCCCACTGCATGCTGAGCTCGCCCACAACCTGCTGCAGCTTGGAGTTAATCAGGTTGCGGTCCGAAATGATGTCATCGTATTGGAATAGCCCGACGACGCTGCGCATGGCGGAGGTCCCGAGGTTGGCGACGCTCTGGATGCATCCCTGCACGGCGAAGCATGCCTTGTAGGAGTCGGTGACCTGGTAGAACAGTGTGCCCCCGATATTGACTGGAACGTTGTCCTTGGTAAAGGCGTCCAGCTCGCGGATGTTGATGGGACCCTCGCGCATGTCGACGACCTGAATGTTGTGAAGGATGGGAATGTTCCAGTGCAAGCCGGGGTTCAGCTTCTTGGGGCTGCGGCCTAGGATCGTGCGATAAGCCTCTGTGCCTTGGTGGACTATCTGAAAAAGCCCACGGGCTAACGCCGGTGCTGCTTGGCCAAGCAGCCCAGCGTTCCTAAGCTGCGCTGCATTGCAGGCGAGCATTTTGTACAAGCGTTGCCAAAAAGCAATTGTATTCTGATATTATTTATACTACTCTGTGTGCGACGCCTTTCCGCCTTCCTACATACTCTGTCGCTGACGCGACATTAGGAGTTCACACGATGGGCATTAACATGACCGGTGCCAGTTGCAACCGGCATCAGTTGCCTATCCACTTTTGTCAGAAGTGGGCCAGCAAACAGCCTTCCCGAGCTCTTTGCCGCATTTACAGTTGAAGACGGTGACTTCTACAACCATAACTTCCTCATCCGTACTGAGACCGACGCCTCAACCCCATTCCTCAGTCACTCCATCGGCTCCACCCAAACCGTCCAAACAACGCCGCAATCCCCCTTTAGCAACAACCCCAATTTCGCTCATGTGCTCCTCCTGCTCTGCCAGACGGCTCCACCGGCTGAGATATGTCACCCCTTCCGCACCGCCATTACACATACAGCACGATTACATCACGTCCGGGGCTTGTCCACGGCACTTGTCCGGTGCAGTCCATCCGCCCATTCCGTCACACAGTCCCTTCCCCTTTCCTGCTCAACCACACAACTAACTCCAACTGTCCTCTGGATTTCCCACCTCGCAAGGCCTGCGACGCCAACTCCCTCCTTTCTTCCTCAGTGTTTCCGCGGCTCAGTTTACCTAATCCCCCCTTTCAACAGTTGCCCAGTTAACGGCGACCCCCCGCAACCTGTGCATGTCTCACAACCTGTGTGCATGTCATGGCTGCCATCAGGAACGCAGCAACGCCGCAGCATCCCCGCTCCGCCTCCCAGCCGCCCCCGCAGCCCCTGAAATGCCCTCCGCCGCTGCCGCCTCATCCACCTCCCCGTCGGAAGACCCCTCCCCCGCTGCCTCCCCTGCCCCCGGCCCTGCCTCCCCTGCCCCCGGCCCTGTCAGGTCATCTAGTGACGCATGTCGGGCCCACAGGTCCGCGTAGCGCCCGTCGGCTGCCAGCAACTCGGAGTGGGTACCTGGGGGGGTGGAGGGCAGGGAGGTTTGAGGGCGCTCAAGCGTCTCCTTTTCATGACACGTCGGAAAGGGTAAAATGGAGCCTGACCCAAATCAACGCTCCCACGATAACCCCAACCTCAACCCCAACCCCGACCAACCGTTAACCGCCAACTGTTAACTCCCCCCCTGCTCACCCGCCTCCACCACCCTGCCCCCCTGCAGCACCACTATCTGGTCGCACTGCGCGGCGGTGGACAGCCGGTGAGCCACGAAGATGGAGGTGCGGCCCTGAGGAGGGGGAGGAGGGAGTGGGAGCGGCCAGGGCAGGTGGCGGTTAGGCCAAGACATGCGTACGGGCGAACACAACACGTGGCTGGATCGAACAAAAACGACAACACCGACACACATGCAAACTCCCCACCCAGTGTTTGGTTCATTTCTCCCCCCCCCTCCCCCGCCCTCCTCACCACCGCCAGCGCCCGCATGGCCTCAAGTATCTCGCCCTCCGTGCGGCTGTCCAGCGCGCTGGTAGCCTCGTCGAACAGCAACACGTGGGGAGCCTTCAGGAAGGCCCTGAGGGGGGGTAGGGGGGTAGGGAGGGGGCAGGGTGGGGAGGGAGGGAGCGTCACAGAGGCAGGCAAGGGGGGAGGTGTTGTCACGAATAGCTGTGTCTCACTACTACCGGCCCCGCCAGCTCGCCTAACCGGCGGTAGCACTTTCACACCCCATGCAGCACACCACTAGTGCCCCGCACCCCACCCTCGCACACCTTCCCATCCCACCCTGGCCCACCCTCCGCCCCCCCTCCGCCCTCACCTCGCAATGGCTACCCGCTGCTTCTCCCCTCCGCTCAGCTTCAGCCCCCGCTCCCCCACAACCGTGTCGTACCCCTCCGGCATTCCCAGGATGGCGTCGTGCACATGGGCTAGGCGGGCGGCAGCCTCCACCTCGGACTAGGGTGGGGGGAGGGGGCGGGGGTCAAAGATACACCAGAACCACAGGTTAGGGCATCGCGATTGGGAGCGAGGCAAGCAGCTTGTCATGAAGGAGAAGGGCCGGTGGAGGGGTAGGGGGAGGTTTGGGAGGTGTTGTTAACCGCAGCCCGGCAGTCAGTGCCAGGGGGGAAGAGGCCGTGTCAATAAGCAAAACACACACATGCGGTCAGGCCGCACCCACCCGTGTCGCCCCCGGCCTGCCGTACGCGATGTTGTAGTAGATGGAGTCATTGAAGAGCACCATGTCTTGCGGCACGGTGGCGATGGCGGAGCGCAGGCTGGCCAGGGTGACCTGCCGTACATCCTGCCCGCCCACTCGTACGGCACCGCCCTGCGCGTCGTAGAACCTGCGGGGGGGAGGGGTGGGGGGAATGTGTGTGTGTGTGTGTTTTGAGGTGGCCCCCTCTTTACCCCTAACCCCCAACCTGAAAACCTAGGTTTCCCCTTCCTTACCCTTCCTTCCTCTTCCGTACCCCACCCCACCCCTCCCTACCTGAACAGCAGCCGCAGTATGGTCGACTTGCCGGACCCGCTGCCCCCCACGATGGCGCAGCTGCTGCCCGCCGGCACATGCAGACTCACGCCATCCAGAATGCGAACATCCGCACCGCTGCCACCACCATTGCTACCGCTGCTGCCATTGCTACTGCTGCCTTTACCACCACTGCTACTGCTGCCTTTACCACCACTGCTGCTGCCACTACCGCTGCTGCTGCCAGCTGCCGTTCCCCGGTAGCTGAAGCTCACGTCCTCCAGCGTGACATCGTAGCCGCCGTTGGGAGCGGGCGGCAGGGGCTGAGCGTTGGGGGCGTCCTGGGGGCCGGGAGAGAGGGGTGAAGAGGGGAGGAAGCGGGCGAGAGGAGGGGTGGTAATGAGTCTCCTAGTGCTCCTACTGGGCTGGTTGTTACGTGCCATCCATCTGCACCCGCTCCCCCTCCACCCTCTTACTACCCACTTAAACCCTCCTCTCCCCTCACCGTAATGGCGGGCTGTTGCTGCAGCAATCCAAACATGGCACCCATGTCCTGTGAGCAGGAGGTGGGAGGGTGGGTGGGGTGGGGTGGGAGGCGGGAGGTGGGGGCGTGGAGAAGGAGACAAGGGCCGTGAAACATAACCATTGTCTTTCTGTGGCAGCAGCAGGTGATGCACAACTTCCAACGTAGCGCACGTCGTCATGCTTGCATGCTTGTTGTTTGTGCACGCAATGCCCACTCACTCGGCGGATTGCCCCCATAACATGTCCCTTATTCTCATCCAACACATTGGGTATTCTTCTTCCTTCCCCCACCCCCAACTCCTCCCACCTCCCACCTGCAGGGACTGCCGTGTCTCCCGGTACACAGTTCCCAGGAAGTTCAGAGGCATGGAGAGCTGGGCGGAGGTGTGTGGGTGGGGGGGTAAAAGGGGGACGGGAGGGAGGCGGGTGGGGGTTAGAGGTGAGGAGAAAGAGGGTTGAAGGCATGGCAAGGGGGGGTGCAGGGAGGAGGAGGTCTAGTACCCTAGCAGGAGGTGCTCTGACGGAAGGGAACGACGGAGGGAGGTGCTCTGACGGAGGGAGGTGCGTGACGTGGCGACCCACATGGCGCTCCAACATGCATGGCCAGGACAGGCAGGCACTCTGACACGGAGGTGCTCTGCCTCCTCTATGGGTTGGTAGCGTCTTTGACCCCCTCCCCCCCCCTCCCCCCCCCTCCCCCCCCCCTCCAGCCCCCCTACCTGGAACAGCAGCCCATTCACCATCACCAGGTCCCCCACCGTGGCAGCGCCCGCCAGCACCTGAGGGGGGAGCAGGCGGGGTAAAGAGGAAACAACTAACTGACTGAGGGATAAGGCGTCATCATGGTTTGCATCATGTGAGACAGCCCGACCCGCCAAGCCCGAATTAGCCAAGCCGATACGTTTAATGGGGCAGGGGGGGACAGGGAGGGCAAGAGGTAGGGAGGGCAGGCCGGCAGCAATGGGGGGCCGGAGAGGAGGGGCCAGCAACATGCTTCACACCCCAGCCCGCCGGCCCCAACCCCCCACCCGGCTTGACCCGGTTAGTGTTTCCTCGCGCCTCAGTTCACCTACCCCCCCCCACCCTCTTTAACTCCCCCCACCTGCTGCCCCGTGAGCACCATGGCGCCCGCCATGCCCGCGCTGAATATGGCGCTCTGCCCCAGGTTGAGGTACGACAGCGACTGCTGCGTCTTCACGGCGGCAGCCTCGTAGGCAGCCATGCTGGCGTCGTACCTGGGGGGGTGGAGGTGGGGAGGTGATAAGGGGAGAGGTGGGGAAGGGGTAAAGAGGAAACAACTCACTGACCGTGGGAGATGGGAAGTGGAGGGCGGGAGGTGGGGGCCTTATTGGGTGGTTGAGGAGTGAGGACCGTCGTCGCGGCGGCGTCTGGGTGTCAGAAATGCGGGAGGAGGGGCAGGGAGGTACGTCGGGCGCCTGTACCGACCCGTTACGGTACCTTTGAAAACCGCCGATCCGCTGTAGCCCTGTACCGTACGATCCCCATGCCGTACATTCCCAATCCCCCAGGCCCCAACCCCAACCCCAACCCCAGCCTCCCCCCCCGTACCTCTTCACCTCCAGCTGCTCCGCATTGAAGTACTTGACGGTCTCGTAGTTGATCAGCGAGTCCACAGCCCGGCCCGCCGCCTCGCTCTCCGCGCGGTTCATGGTTCGGCGGAACTGGGTGCGCCAGCGGGTGATGGCCAGGGTGAAGGAGGCGTAGGCTGGGCGGGGGGGGGGAGGGAGGGAGGGCAGGTGTCAAGGGAAAACCATACCAAACCACAGGTCAGGGGAGAGGGGGCCGAACGCCCATGGGAGACGGAGCGAGGTCTGGTTCGCAGGTGTGCGAACGTGTGTGTTTGTGAACACACAAACCAGCTGTACGGCTGCGGACAACATTGTGTGTGCCGTACCGTTTTGCGGCGGCGTCGCCAGCCTTCAGGCTTTGCCGTACTGCTCGTACACTAACGCAGTACCCAGTCCCCTCACACCCCCACCTGCCAGTGTGGCCAGCGTGATGGCCCCCAGCGCGGGTCCGCACTTGGCGGTGAGGATGGCGGTGACGGCGGTGACCTCAAACACGGTGGGGGCGACATTGAACACCTTTGGGGGGGGGAGGGGGGAAGTGTGTGTTTGCATTGCTTCCCCCAAAGCATGCAAGCTTCCCCAGCACCCCTCATCCGCAATCCCAAACCGCATGAAACCCTAACCACCACCATTACCACCACCACCACCACCACCATTACCGTTACCACCATTACCACCACCACACCAACGTTCCCCTGCCCCCCTCCCAACCCCCCACCATGCTGGACAGGATAAAGTTGATCCCGCGCGTGCCCCTGTCCACCACCCGCGCCACGCTGCCGGTCTGCTTGGCCAGGTGGAAGCCCAGGTCCAGCGTGTGCAGGTGAGTGAACACCTCGCGAGCCACGCGGCGGATGGTGCCCTGCGCAACCTGTGTTTGTGTCGGCAGGGGAGGGGTGCGGTGGGTGGGGTGAAGGCGTGGCTTGGGCGACGTTCAGGAGGGGAGCGTGTATACCTACCGAGCTACCGTCCATCCTCACGTTGCATGCAAGGTGTTCACCCACCAGCTCCAACCCACCCACCAATCCCTACCCCAGGCCCCCACACCAACCCCAACTTTCCCCACCCCACCCCACCCCACCTTAGCAAACACCACGTTCCTCATCTCATTGCAGAACGCCATACCCATCCGCGCTCCACCCCACCCCAGCAGCAACGCGATCGGGCCCAGCGTCATGCCGTACAATACCAACCCTGTCGTACCGGCTGCTGCCGTACCCGCTGCAGCTGCTGCTGCCGTACCACCCGCTCCCGCTCCCGCCGCAGCTGCCGCTGTTGCTGCCGCTGTCACGGCTGCTTCCGCGGTTAGGGCGTCCACTGCCAACTTGAGCGCAATAGGTACGTTGATGTTCAGGATCTTGGCGACCACCAGCAGACAGCTGGCAGCTACTACTCGGCGGCGGAACTCGGGGTTGTCTGAGGTTGTGTGGTGAGGAGGCGTTGAGGAGCCGTTTAGGCGGGGAGTGACCCGCGGGTCATCACTCATGTGTCCGCATGAGCCAGGCGCGCTCAGCAAAGCCGGCCTGGAGACGAGACAAAACTACCACCATGCGCGGCCGGTCGCCAAGCCCACTCCACTCAACCCCACCGCCACACACAGCCATACACGTCTCAGGTCTCACCCCCTCACGCTCAGTGCCCCCACATCCCAATCCCAGCCCCTCCCCCAACCCCTGTCCCTGTCCTCCCCCCCGTCCTGCCCACCTCCCGCCCACCTCGCGGCCACAGGTATCCCACCAGCCTCCGCAGGATCTGGGTGTCACTCAGCCGCTCGCCTCCCACATCCAGGGGCAGCGAGGCGGGTGAGGAGGGGGCTGGTGGGGTGGTGGAGGGGTTTGTTCCTGATGTTCCTGCAGGCGCCGTCGCGCTGCTGCTGCCACTGGTGCCGCTACTACTGCTACTTGCCAGGCCCCTCCAAGGGGCTCCGAAACCATTATGTGGGTGTTGGGGATGGAGGTGCAGTTGGTGATGATGGGGGGCCGCATGGCGCCAACCGCTACTGGTGCTGTCGTACAATGTACGGAGGCGACAGGGGCGGTTGTCGTACAACCCTCTAAATGTCGTCATTGGGGCATGCATGGCGGGGTGGGCTTCTGCTTCAGGCTGCCAGCTGCTGTTGGTGCTAGCAGTGCTGCTGCCGTCTCTGCTACTGCAGCTGTAGCAGCAATCGTACGAAGCTGTGGAGATTGAACTGTGAGTGCAACACGCAGAGCCGCTGGCTGTGCTGCTGATGTCGCTGTTAGCGGCAGCGTTAGCGTTAGCAGCAGAGGGGGTGTAGAGGGAGGGGAGGATGGACGGTAGTTGGCTGTCGAGGGCGGGTTCCGGAGCCGCTGCAGCAGCGGCCGTCGCATTCCAGGTGTGACCGAGGGATGATGAGGACTGGGGTGATATAAGAGAAGGAAAAAGAGAGAGGGAAGCGAACCGTGTTGCGAAAAGCATAGGTAGGATACACGGGATGCATGTCGCCATTGAGGCAGCAACCAACGGCAGCAACAGCAGCGGCAGCACGTTTCTTGTCATTCATGCAAACTAAGGTGTGACGGTCAGGAAAGGGTTCATGGTTAACATAATACAGTTGGCGACGCGCACAAATCGGGAGGCATGCGTCATGCGACCCAGTGCGTCACTAGGCATCTACAGCCAACCCCGATCGCTGATCTGCCGCCCCTGCCACAACCCGAAGGCCTAATAAGGCTCACACCTTCAGTGCATTTTGTGCCAGAGCCGCTGGCCAGCCGCTCTTTCTTACTCCGGCGGCCGCAACGCGGCCTGTGGCTATCATTATTGGACAACCACGGTGAGCTTACGGTTTTCTAGTCCCAACACAGTCACTTTCGCACTTGGCTGCGAAACCAGTAAGGTCACAGTTAAGACTGTTATACTGTGTTTCGCATTTTTCTTCCCGAAAGGAATTTATATGCATTGGGGACAAGGTGTCACCCTATTTGATTTTAGTTCTTTCGCACCATAAGGGTTTAACGAATGTCGTGCTAACTAACCTGTTTGTGGCATATCACATATCAAGCTTCAGACTCCTGTTTTATAATACACAGCTAGTCCCAACTCTTACTATACATTCAAAGCATTTGTTCTCATACGCTTGCTTCCTGGAACAGGATAGCGGACCGTCGCGGCTTTCACACGCCTTAGGCTAAGGCCGCGGGTCCTGCCCAATTATGATGCTTACAAAGTTCCGGCTCGCCTGGGCGGCGAGCCATACTGCTGGGCGTACGCATCGGGTTGTCGCTGCAGTGCGTCCATTTTGTGGTGTCCGCTTCGTGGCGCCCCGTCTGGTCCGCAGCCGCGCCTTGGTAAGCCAATTATGCTTCTTTCACGAAATTGATTGGCTCTGTGGCTCTTTTAGGCGTTGGGATCATGTGCTAGCGTCGGTAGGAAGAGGTCCTTGTGCATGTCTGGCGGCGGCAGCGTTAGTTAAATCCATACCAACACCAATACCACTTGGTTGCGTTTTGTCTGGTACTGTCATAAGGTTTACTGGGGCGGTGGCGTTGTCTTCCGTCTGGCTTTGGACATTTGGCCGATACTACATTTGGGTATATGTTATCCCTTTATTACGTTTATAAGCGTAAGTCTGTTTCCTTAATGAGAAGTTCCTATGCTGCACAGGCGACGGAGGTGGAGACGAGCTTCAGCTCCCTTCTGGACGATGAGGAAGACCTCGTGGACGAGGATGAGGGCGCGGAAACAGAGAAGGAGATTGACGAGTCTCTTATGGTACGGGTTTAGGAAGTTTTAACTTGACTGCCATTTGCGGTCACGGTTTGCCCGTTATGCCATGGCCATCCCATGTGCACGGTCTTCCTCCTTTCTCCTAGACTTTCATAACTGGCGTGCACAGGGTCTCGTAGCTCGTTTAAGAGTCCTCTTGCTACTTCAACTGAATCCTGCCAGCTGTCAGACTCGACTCTGCAGCCCATTTCTCGAATCACCTCTTACCATTGAGCATCACGTTCCTCCGCACCTCCCTTCCCCTCCGACCCAGATCGCCAACCTGGGCCTTTGTGCCGAGACTATGGACGCGCTGGCCACCCGCGGCGTCTTCAGCCTCTTCCCGGTGCAGGCGCAGGTAAGAGGACAGGGGAGGCGTGCATCGTTGATTGGAGGCCAAAAAGGCGCAAAAGCTGAGGGCTTGGTGTGCACCCCCAACCCCTCCCTCCTCTCTCTTCTCTTCCTCCTGCCCTTCAACGCACGCCTCTCCCTCTTCCTCGTCCTCTTCCTCCCTCTTGCCCTCAGGTGTTCCAGCCCATCGTGGACGGTCGCGATGTGGTGTGTCGCGCCAAGACGGGTTCCGGCAAGACGCTGGCCTTCGCGCTGCCCGTGATCGAGAACCTGCTGGAGGTGAGCCCGTGGGGGGGGGTGCAGAGGGCGGTGGTGCATGGTGGTGTGGGGTTGACAAGAAGGCGACATGAAGGGGTTTGCATGGGGTAGGTTGGGGTGGAGAGTGCGGGTGCATGCGGCATGGCCTGCATGGGTCAGTGTGGTAGCGGTTGCAGGTGTAGGATGCGCGCCTATCTGCCACCTCTTGTTGCTAGGGCTGCGTACGGCACCATTACCATACCACCGTCCCCGCCCTCCCATCTCGTCCTCAACGTTCCTCCCTGTCCTCCCTCTCTCCTCCCGCCCTCCTGCTTCAGGAGAACCGTACCACCCGCCCCCGCAAGGGCCGCGCCCCCCGCTGTGTGGTGCTGGCCCCCACCCGCGAGCTCGCCAACCAGGTGGGGAAGCGGGAGGGAAATGGAGGCCTGCTGGTGTGATGAGGCACCCCACCGCGTGTGTTACCATGCGGGAAGGTGGTTGTGGGGGCGCTGGGGGAAGGCGCTTGGGTGTAGGAAGTCACGCGCAGGGGACAGCAGGCGGTGACATGCATATGGTTTGAGAAGGCCTGGGGGGTTGGAGGTCGTAGTTTCGCGATTACTCCCGACCCACATCAATTCCAGCCCAATCTGGCCCGACCCACATTGACCCACATCACTCCCAACCCAATTCCGCCCTCAGCCCTTGACCCACATCGGCCCCCACTCGCCTAATTCCTCCCTCACACCCTCCCGCTCTCCCTCCTTCCTTCCCCCCAGGTTGCCCGTGAGTTCGAGTCGGTGTGCCCCAACCTGACAGTGGGCTCCTTCTACGGCGGCGTGTCCATCGGCCCCCAGATGCGACAGCTGGAGGGCGGAGTGGATGTAGTGGTGGGCACTCCGGGGCGCGTGATCGACCTGCTGGAGCGCAGGGTGCTGAGGCTGGATGAGGTGAGGCGGGGGAAGAGGGGGGGGCTTGCATGGGCGGGGGGGCGTGTTTTGTTTAGGGGCTCTCCCACGCACTACCTCACCATCCGCACATGCGTCCCGTTCCCACCCATCCTTCTCCCTCAATCCCGCATTCCTCCCCACTCCCAACACCACTAAACCCTAACTCCTCCCAACTCCCAAACCCCAGGTCCGCTATGCCATCCTGGACGAGGCGGATCAGATGCTTGACATGGGTTTCGAGGAGGACATGGAGCGCATCCTGGGGGCCATCCCCGCGGACCGGGACCGGCAGACGCTGCTGTTCTCCGCCACTCTGCCCAAGTGGGTTAAGTCGGTGGCCAAGAGGTGAGCGCGAGGCGGGGGGGGTGGGGAGGGAGGGGGTGAAGGGCGGGGGAGGAACCCAGGTGTGGGACATGCAGTGACAAGGGGCCTTGGGGACCTGTGGTCTTGTCGGATGGGTGCCGAGGAGAGAGGCTGCTAGCCGGGGTCTCCAGCCACTCTGCACCCTGTCGGCATCATGTCTTACGAGTCCTAACCCTTCCCGCCCACCCCGCACCCCTCCCATGTCCCATGCCCACAGGTACCAGAAGGACCCCCTCACGATTGACCTGGTGGGCGAGGAGAACACCGGCAAGCTGGCGGATACCATCCGGCTGCTGGTGCAGCAGGTGGGGGGTGGTGGCAGGGGAGGGAAGAGGGGAAGATTGTACGGGGGTGTACGGCACGGTGGGGAAGGCCTGAATGCAAAAGCCCCATGTGGCTTCACTGGCTTGATCGCCGCAAGCTCCATCTCCCGCCTTTCCGTTCCATAACCCCCCCTTTCAACCTTCAACATCCGCCCAACCACGTTACCCTCTCTCCCTCAGGTCGACGCAGCTCAGAAGATCTCGGCCCTGCAGGGCCTGATGGTCCAGTACGGCAACTCTGCAGGCGGCGGCAAGGCCATCATCTTTGTCAACACCAAGGCTCGCGCGGACGAGGTCAACATGGCGGTTAACGAGTTTGCGAGCTGCGAGGCGCTGCACGGCGACATTGGGCAGGCGCAGCGCGAGAAGGTACGCGGCTGCGGGGGCGGGACGCGGAAGGGGTTTGCATGCGGTGATGGGACCGAGGGGGGGCGTCTGCTGATTGCTCTGTGGACTGCTATGTGGATCTCTCCCAGGCCGCCTCTTGAGCTCCGGCTCAGTTCATCTCATCCCCGCCTTCCTCTTTCATCTAACCTACCTCCCAACCATACCCTTAACCCCTCCCCGCCTCCCCTCCCCCTCCATTATCACACCACACTTTGGAATTTCTTCCCCCCCCCCCTCCCCACCCCCCCAAGGCCCTGGGTTTGTTCCGCGAGGGCAAGTACAGCTGCCTGGTGGCCACTGACGTGGCGGCACGCGGGCTGGACATCCCCAATGTGGACCTGGTGGTGCACTTTGACGTGCCGCAGGTGGGGGGTGGTGCGAGTGTGTTTTGGGGGGTGCGGGGACGGGGGGGATTGTTGCCTAAACTGGCAGCAGGTGCGTGTCCTTTCATGCTTGCAAGCCATTTGGACCCCCTGAACGTCTGCCTGGTCTTCCCGAACTCCCACCCCCCCCCGCATGCGTGCATGCCTGCAGGACAACGAGGCCTTCCTGCACCGCTCCGGCCGCACGGGCCGCGCCGGCAAGACCGGCACTGCGGTGGTGCTGTTCACGGAGCGGGAGGCGCGGGCGCTGGGGCTCATCCTGAGGGCTACCAAGGTACGGACGGGACGTGGGAGAGGAGGGTATGAGGAATCAACTGAGGCGAATCCGCGTTGGAAGTCTGTCCATAGGGACCGTAGGAAGACCGGAGGAGGGATGCGCGCCGCCTTTTCCCTCGGGCATGGGACCTTAAAGCTTTCCTCCTCCTCCTCTCACCTGCTTTGCCATTGCGATATCATTCAACACATTGGGTTTTCTTCTCCATTTCCCCGCTCCCCCTAACCTTTGGTATGTCATTCCTCCCCCCACCCCCAGGTGTCCAATGCCGAGCTGGTGGGCGCCCCCGACCCGGCCGATGTGATGCGCACCGCCTCGCGCTCTGTGCTGGGCAAGCTAGACAAGGTGGGGGGTGGGGTGGTTGCTAGGGGGGTGGGGGGGGTGGTGGTGGTGGTGGGTGGGGGCGTTGCAGTAGCTGAGTCGCAGGGGATGACACCCTGACCCTGGCGTGCTGTGGATGAAGGCGCTCCTCCTCCCTTGCAACCCAGACCCCGTAGTCCCCCCTTTCCCCTCCTTCGGGCCGTGGAGGTGGGCCTCCACCTTAACCCCTTACCCTCCTCATCACTGTGCTTCACTCCTCATTTCTTTCTCCCCCCTTTTCCCCTTCTCTCCCACGGTTATATATTTTACCCCCACCAGGTTGACGCCTCCGTGGTTGATTTCTTCGTGCCGGCTGCCGAGCGGCTGCTGTCCTCCGAGCAGCCCTCTCGCGTGCTGGCCGCCTCCCTGGCCGCGCTGGCGGGCTTCAGGCACGTGCCGCAGCCGCGCAGCCTGCTGACGTATGAGCCGGGCTTCGTGACGCTGCGGCTGCTGACGGGGAAAGGTGAGAGGAGGGGGGGAGAGAGGGAAGGGGGGAGAGGGAGGTGGCGGGCCGTGCCAAGTGGTCGTCTGTAGGTCGGTAAATCTTGCTCCTCCTTTGGATCGTTCTTTCGGGGTGTCGTTCTCTAACAACTCTTTGTACGGTATACCATTGTCCTAGTGTTTATACTGACAGCTATTTTTTGGTGTTGTTATGTTTCCCTTGCAACCTTACAACCCTTTCCTATGTACCCTATGATCTGACCCCGCTCCTCTTCCTCCTCCGTCCTTCCCCCAGGCGCCACTGTGGACGGTGTCCGGTCCCTGGGCCTCACCCTCCGCCAGCTCTCCGCCGGTGCGCCGGATGCCGTACGGCGCTCGCCGGTGCTTGCTGACGTGGAGCGGGTGGTGGGGCGCGTGAGGCCGGTGGAGGGGCAGCCGGGCGAGGTGGAGGAGGGCATGGCGGGGCTGGCGTTTGATGTGCCCACTGCTACGGCTGAGGTGAGCGGGGAGGAGGAGGGCGGATGTGGTGGGTTGCGTGTGTGTTTTGATGGCGGGGGGGGGTGGGAGGCCGTACAAGTACCGTACGTTGACCGGCCGTGCGTCTGAAGAGCCATCCTGGCCTCATAACCCACAACGTGACATTTATGCCTTACCCCATTCGGTACCCCACCCAACCCAAACCCCTTGAGATCCGGATGACTCGCTTCTTTCCTTTCTTTTCGTTTACCCAACCCCCAACCTCCTCCTCCCCTCCTCAGGCCCTCCTGGCCCACTGTGCCCCTCTGGCCGCCAAGCGCGGGTGGGTCCTTGACAAGCCGCGCTCCATCGCCCTGGAGGTGGATGCCCTTATGATGGGAGGAGGCCGCGGTGGCGGCGGCGGCGGCGGCCGGTCAGACAGGTACGGCGGTCGCGCGGACTCCCGCTACGGCAGCGGCAGCCGGGGTGGTGACCGGTACGGAGATCGTGGGGACCGGGGAGCGTACGGCAGCAGGGATGGTCGCGGCAGCGGTGGCGGCGGGTACGGTCGCGCCGGTGGTGACCGGCAGTACGGCAATGGCGGCGATCGGTCGTATGGCGGAGATCGGTCGTACGGCGGAGATCGCGGTCGTGTCGGCGGCGGCGGCGGCGGCGGTCGTGCCGGCGGCGACGCCTCGTACGGACGACGGGCTAGTGGCAGCAGCAGCTTTGCTAGCGGCGCGAGTGCCAGCTTTGACGATTGGTCGAAGGGAGGCCGCGGCCGTACCGGCGGCGCTGTCGGCGGCAAGGGCGGGCGGGATGACGTGGCGGGTGGGAAAGCGCGGCGATTGGATGGGCCCGCGGCTAAGGAGGATAGCTGGGGTCAGTGGTAGACAGCGGAAGGGGTGAGGAAGTGAGGAGGAAGAGGTGACGAAGTTGGGTATGAGAGTCTAAGAAACTAGGAGGTTGCCGTTAAGCCACTCGAGAGGGGAGGAAGGAGCGTGCTTGTGAGGTGCGTTGAAGTGGAGGAAGTGGAGGAAGAAGCCGACACGTGGGGGAGGAGTGTGCTCTAGGGTTGCACTAGGTGTGAGGTGAGGGTTTTTGTAGGGTCTGGAAATAGAGGTGTGAGCAAGCTAACAGCATGCAAGAGAGAGGGAGGGGGCTGTGCGTGTGGATCAACAACTACTTGAAGTGATATTGTGTGTGGGCCACTGCTGCATATATCGCGTGTTATGTGGTTTAGGTTTCTAGCAACCTGCTATGTGTTCAACTTCTGTTGCGATTGGTTGTTGGTGCGTGTGGTTCAGTGTTAGGACAGCTAATCTACGGAGGTATTGTGGTTTCGTGTGTTTAGGTTGTTACCGCTTACCGTAGAGGTTCCGTGTCCGTGCTTTCCTGACCCCATGTCGGCCTCGCGGTACGCTCGAGACGTTGAGAGACGATGAGAGAGAGGTTAGCTGTCTTGTTCCTTATTCCACATGCCTGTGTACGACACGTCTATTTGGGTCGTATGCGGAACGTTGGATAACGCATTTTTGAGCATGCATGTCGTCCCCAAAAAGCGAGGAACATCTGCGCAGAGGAGGGCTTACAGATTGTGTGACAATGTGGCACTGGACCCAATTGTGTTGAACCAACTGGGTCCGTGTGTGTTATGGTTATGACTGTGCAGGCGAGAACAAAGCGGTGAGGACATGGCACCTGCAAGAACGAAGTAGGTGTGTACGACATCTTATCATCCGAATTTGTGTACGGCGGCCAGAGCTTGCGTGAGCTATTTCCTAAGCACTTGACGAAATGACGTACGAGGCGGAGTGCTCCTTCGCTAGGCAAGGCGTGTTATCGGTGCTGTTACCGGTGCTGTTCTTATGCTGCTGCTTTGTTTCTGTTTTTGAATGTACCTGAAATCGTTACCAGATGGGGCGTTGACTGATGGCCGAAAGCCAGTCTGTTGTGCTGTGCGAGAGGCCGCGCGAACCCCGCTGGGCGGATGTGGTGAATGAATGACGACCGCTACAGTGGTGCACACTGGTCCCCAACAAAAACGAGGGCACTTTTGGATGAGGAGAAGGAGCCTGCTGTGTCTGGAGTTTGACTGAGCCGTTGGGAGAAGACTACTCAGCCGAGAAGAAGATGATAAGCCTGGCTGGCCTTGGAAAGCCCCTGTGCTCACTTTTACGAAGCAGCTCATCGCAAGGCGCGCTATCGTAGACTTGCAAAAGCATCCAGTTCCCACAACTTCTGTGGAGTGACCTGGCGTACAGTACGAACCTCAGGACGTTGTACGGTAACGGCACCAACGGATGCGCACATCGCACAGTAAGACGGAGGAAACATTGAAGAATGGACTGCAGCTCAGAAAGGCTTTCAGATACTACACACACGTGGTACGTGTGCATGTGGTAAGATGCCACAGGTTTCAGGCAGCTGGGGCACTTGCTGCTGGTGTCTGTTCTCCCTTAGGTTGGCTCCCCAAGGGTGTTCCTGGCCGAACTGGCCTACCTACAGGGAGTGTCGCGCTTGGGTGTGCCTACTGGTGGTACAAACTCTGCGTCAGAAAGTAGCGAAGGAGGTGCTTTTGTGCAGGGCTCCTACTAGTATAACCGCTAGCCGATGCTACCATCAGTGCAGTGCAGTACACGACGGCTTGCGCCAGGGCTCTCGTGCGGCTTAGAGCTGCTTTCATGTGGGTCACATGGGAGTAAATTTCTTAAGGTGACGTTAATGCGGACTAAGGGGGAAGCGGCGAGGATATGAGGGGTGGGAACTTCGCGGACGGAGGGTTCGAGGACGGAGAGTTGGTGGAAGTGGGCAAGAAGGAGTACGGAAGTATGCAGAAGCTGACCCCATGGGCCTGCGGCTGTTGCCGCCCGCTTACTTAACGGTAACCTGTGTAACTGACGGTCTTTTTAGGGAGCGACTAGCGCTGCGATAGCTGGTGAGCGCCTGACCGGCCGCGAGGTATTTGCTGACGCAGGATACTGTACTGCCGGGAGAGTACTAAGCCGGCTGCCTTGCTACTATACTACTGGGAAGCTAACGCCATCTGGGCTTAAGTTGGATTTCACGAGCGAGGCTTGGCGAGAATTTCGGACGGTTCTATGAAAAACTGCCGTACCTAAAGGGCTACCGTTGCCTCGTCTATCCCACAAGTTGTAAACATACGTTATGGTTACTTCCAGTTGTAGGCCTTTAACCCCGAAGATATATAGCGCAAGCTGCCTTTGATAGTAAACTCCTCGGCTTAGCTCGGGGTTCTTACTCCTTAAGGTCCTGAAGACATGCAGCAGCCGCTTGCGGACGACTTATCTTCCACTTCCTTCTCGAGCACGGTAAGCAGGATTACGCGTACTCCGGGAACTTGCTTGCCAGCTTCACTTGGCGGACCTGTGCCATTAATTGCTATCTAGTATTGGGGGCGTGCGAAGGACTTGGACGAATATTAGGGTTGTACGCAATAGGAGCTAGCACGGGCCATTATCGCCGTTAGGCCTGGAGAAATGCCTTCATACGGCTGACCCCGAGACTGGCGAGGGCGTGACGCCCCATCCTGGTTGGGAGTCATGATACTCACAACCCTGCATACTTCGGGTAAGGACGTGTGCCAATGATAGCCTCGCTTTGTTACCGGCAGGAATTGGACGTAATGGACACCGCACGTCAGGAGGAGTACCTAATCGAAAAGTATGGCCGACTTTCACTTAAGCAACGAGCACTTATGGGCAAGGTGAGGTAGTCTTTTTCGCTGTGGCTGTCTAGCGTTTGGTACCATGGTGTGGACAAGCTAACCGCTGGTGTCCTGCCTACTTTTTTGACCCCAACAGAAGCAAACACGGCGTTACTTTGATTCGGCCGACTGGTCACTGCAGAAACAGGGCAAACTGGAACCAGACGTCTTCCTGGGATTCGACGTAGGTACAATTCGCACTGCTTGCGATTTTTTCTTACGGCCACGGTTTGCGGCTGGCTGCTTCGTCATCAGCTGTACCATGCCACTTCGTTCTGTACCTTCGCTGTCGGCCCTGCCTGATGCCGGTGTTGTGCATTCACCCAACATGGTTCCCAGTCACTTGTACTGTCGCCTGAAGCTGATGATGGTCGCAGCTTTCCTATTGACATATCCTCCCCCCTCTCTCCTCCACAAATCATTGGTTCCCTTACCGCAGTGCCCAATCGACCAGCTCCCGGTAAAATCGGAGCCAACTGTTCCGGGTCCACGCCAGCGGTCTGCAATGGACCACGTTGGATGGGCCGAACCCGCTGTGCTTCCAGCCAATGCGGCTAGGAACGTCATCGACATTTAGGGAGCCTAAGTAGGGACTGGTGGGCTGGACATACCCACCATCACCAATGTACTTCGACGCCATTGCGCCGCTGTGAAGAAGAAGAAGAAGAAGAGAAGTTCATGCATGTGCGCCCGCGCTGGGGTGGAACAGAATAACGCGCGTTAAGGTTTGGGGAGTTGGCAAGGTGCCCCCTGGCGCCCGAAGAGGGCTCTTTTGTGCATCCAACATCTTGCCATGTTGACGTTGACTGCGTTGACGAGCAAGTGCCGGTACTAGGCCACGGCGGGATGGCTTGTGGGGAAAAGCAGCGGCGCCGTATGTGGGTGTCCTGCGCCTTAGTCCCTGAGTAGGTTGTGGATATTCTTGTTGGCGAGGGCTATCGTCGCAGTGCCGGCCTGTTGTTACTCGTTTTTACGTTTTGGGGGCTGGGGACCTGCATTTAACACATAGCTCGATGTGACGGGGCGGTGGCAGCAGGGTGCGCGAGAGGCAACTGGGGGACGGGACACCAACTAGGTTTGAAAAGGTAGGAACGAGACGTAGGGCACTACTAGCCTCGTACGTGAGCCTTAGAGGGCTGTCTCCTTATGCAGGGTTTCCTGCTTGGTGCAAGGCCTGCGTCAAAGCATTGATGCTGTGGTGGGTGTTTCGGATGCCGCGTGTCAAGGATCCGACTCCTGTTGAGGGAATGGAAAGGGGAAGGGCGGGGTTTTGGCGCTGCTGTTCCTGCCAGCCGGTGGCATGGCGCTGCTGTTCCTGCCAGCCGGTGGCATAGTATTAATATGGGTCGGGTTGAGGACATGCATAGCTGTCGTAGCCTCGCAATTGACAGTTACCTTACTGACTGGGAAGAGCGTCATTGATTTTAAGAACCATCACATCCACATGTCTAGCGGGTTTTTCGGTGTACCTGACCTGCGTTAGAGGAACTCTGGGTTGTGCAGGGGCCGGGTGGAAGGAAGAATAAAGTGGTGTTGAGTTTGACATCGACTATATGCAGCTTTTGGCCTCGTGTGCCCATATGACCGCAGGTAAGACCTGTGTGAACGAATGGATTATTGTTACAATGGTTCCCAAGAAAGAAGGGAACACGGCTGTGGGCTTTTGACCCAAAAGCAGGGCCTCCCTATGTGGAGGTCTTTTCCGGTGGCGTTGTGCGGCGCCGGTGAGCCTAAGAATGGGTTGGAAGGGGGAGACGGTTGATGCTTTTATCATGATTGATGGAGGGATGTGGGAAGACAGCCTCTCCGTGTGGTAATGAGGTGTACAACACACACGCCCGCAAGTCATCTGGGGTTCTTCCTGCCCCGAGGCTGTGCGTTTCGGGGCCGTGGAAAGCCGTGCGAGTGCGCGCACACCGATTGCTGACATTGATGGAGGTCCAGGGCCTGTTGCAAATTCCGTATGTGGGTAAAGGATGTGTGATACCAGGTTTCCTGGGTGGGGATGTGTCTGCTACCGCCAGGCTCACTGCATGACTGGGACGAACCCGTTAACGCAACACTCTTGTACCGACACTCGTTGTTACACGTGTGATGACAATGTTGGCATGACTTGTGGATTGGGATGGAATGGTGCGATCACACTGTTTGTCGCTGTTAGCTTTTGTGCGCTTTTAGTTTTTGCGTTACGTAACCACTTGCTGCATGCCGCCTCACTCTTGTACGCTCCTTACCGACCGGCCTATACCTTAATATAGTAATGAGCTAACTGATGTGTACTGTATAGGATGCTCTTAACATTGTTTAGCATGCTATGCGGCTGTCAGTCATTGTTGCTTTGGCCTGTTTAAGCAACGTCCTGGTGAATCTTGTACGTGAAAACCCAGCGATGCTTCTGTACCGTTCAGGGGGGATGTGTGTCCTGCTTAAGTAATGGAAAACTGCTTCTGAGCCTTTTGAGCCAACACCGGTATATAGCTGCAAAACACCACATTCCCAGCAGCCAGGGTAAACCCTGTGCGCCTGGTTGCGTGGTGCTGACATGTCACAGATATTACAGGGCAGCCGGTAGCAGGGCCATCCACAGCCCGATTCTAGTTCTCGAATTACCCTCGAATACCCTCAACCTCCCTCACCAGTTAACAATCGAACCCCCTAAAGTATCAACACTGCTCAGTCTTAAAAAAGGCTCAATACAGTGAACCCAGCTATGAAGACCCTGTTGTGGTAAAGTAATAACCTCTAGTATTCTCTCAGGTCTAAACACACCGTTTGCTGGTATCAAACGCCTGACCTCAAGCCTAATGTGGTCCAAAGGAACCTTCCTGCGATTGCATCCCCATTTGGGATGTGCCTGATCTTAGGATTACCAACCGCCTCACCGTTCTCCCCTCTCCCTCCATGCCCTCCACTACAAGATGCAGTAGCACGGCACACAAACATGCACATCCCTCGAGGCTACCAGCTGCCCCCCCCCCACCACCGCCACCAAGCGCAAGCGCTGCCAGACGAGAGCCCTCAGAACACTGCGACCTATCCAGGCCGCGCGTTTGTGGGGCAAGGTGCTAGCGCTCAAAACAGGAAGCTCCCCCTTTCGAATTGTCCGACCCATATTCATCACATACGAGGAACTGCGCCTTATTCTACTGCATTAGCTAGTGCCAGCCAGCAGCAAAACAGCGTCGTAATGCCGTCATCCCGCCCGCATTTGCCAACTTCCAACAACCCCATTCGCCCCCGCACTTATACCAGCCCTGCCAAGAACACGCGTAAAGGCATAATCCCCCGTATGTTACGACCCATATACGACGACACATAGCGCTAGGACAACGACGAATAAGAACACGTGTGCTTAAATGTTGGGGGAGAACTATGCGCGATTCTTTGAACACGCAAAGATGCCGCTACGAAGTGCGATTCTTTGAACACGCAAAGATGCCGCTAAGTACCCAATTCCGACCCGTTCAAAACCGAAATCCACTGCGCCGCTCTGGACGTCCGTTCATGTTGCGTGCAAACGGACGAACTGTGATCTTAAATTTCCCAACACCATGCTGCGCGCATCTGCATTACTCTCTTTAACGCGCCGTCCTCCCTCTTAAACCAACAGCATAATAACCCAAGTAACTCCGGCAGTGTGTATATTCTGCGCACCCAACCAACAAGCCCCTCACAGACAGCCTGACGGCTAGGTGTCCAATAATACTACACCGAGACACACAGTGAACGTGTTAACAAGTCAGCATCTGAGGATAATTTTCTCTTCCGCGCCTTTATTGCTAGACAGCAAACCCCACGACGTTTCAGGGCCCAACAACGGCGCTAAGTTAAACCAGCAACTTATCCTAGGTGTCAGCCCAACCAATGCCTCCCTTACAAACACAAGCCGAACGCTGTCCCCAACCCTGTCAAAATGTGCTGCCCTTTCATACACCGAAAGCATAAGAAGCCCACCCACTGCATCAGAGACCCTAGCGACCCCCGGGCCAGCAAAGCAAACACCCCAACTAGTTGCTAAAGACCACACGGTTTCGTGAAAATGCGTGCGGCGGCTGTGTGCTTACACCCGCCTCTTGCCCTGCCTGTACTCGTGCATTTGCTCTTTCCCTCATACCGCGGCAAAGCGTCCCCCCTCCCCTCTTGTTGTGGCCTCCTTGAGCACGCGATTTCCGATACGTGACACCAACTTGCGACACATAGCAATGCCCCAAGTGCTGCCAAAGCAATGCATAGAATACCACCCTAACAGGCCCCAAGTGCATCATAACGCCTTCCCCAAGAGCATTGCCGCCCGTCTCTCTGTCTCCAGTTAACCACACAGCACGCCAGTGCTCCGGTAGCCGCGACTGAAATGCCGCAAGATGCTGTGTAAACGCTGTAGTCTGTCCTCTCGCTTCCAGAGCGAAGGCGACGCCCCGCAAATAAACAAAGCTAAGCGTCTTCTGAAGCAACTAGACATCCTGTCAAGCATAGCGAAGCAGGACCGAAGACTAAAGGACTATAATCAGGCAACCGGGGTAATGGTGCGTCACAAATCTACGTTAATACAACAACCATCTTCATCGCAACCTACAGCCTTACCGCACCATAACAGACAAAACCAACCAACGATACCACTACCATCAAACTTCCATTACCCTCCTTTCACGCGAACCCCATGAAACAACGGAAATGCATACCGGTGGGGATGCCCACCCGACCCACGATGTGACCCATGCCGCAGCACTAACCACAGCCCGCACCTTCCTTCCTAACCTCAAGCCGCTTTTACGTACTGCATCTGGCAACCACCCACACTTCCAAACCACGCCCATGTTCCACGCCCCATGCTCAAGCCCGGCCATAGTTACCAGTGTGTAGTAACAAGCCTGTCACGTGGGCCCTCCCCAGCAGCAGCAGCAGCCGGCACCTCCTGTGAATGGATCCGCCGCATGCGCAGAAAGCCCCGGCCTGAGGGAGTCGGCGGCGTTGCAACGCTCGCCTTGGTCAGATCGCTTCCCTCACTCCCCAGCTGCTGCGGCTGCAGCTTCTGATGATGTTCGTCCTTCTTGCCGCGTGAAGAACGCCGCCGAAACGCGGAACTAATCCAGCCCGCTGCACGATTCGCCCACAGCCTCGGCCCACTGCTCCTGCTGCTGCTGCCGCCACTACTGCCGTACCTCACACTGCTGCTGCTGTTGGTACCGATGCTACAGCCGCTAACGCTGCCGCGGCCTCTCATCCCTCGGGTCCCCCGGTCGCTGACGTCGCCCTGACAGTTGCAGTTGCTAACGACGGATCCGCCGGCACCCGAACCGAAGGGCCCAGGAGCGGTGAAGTCCCCGTTGGCGCTGCTGCCTCCTGTAGGACCGGTGTAGGTACTAGAGGCGAAAGGACTGATCATCTCCCCATCTGCGGCGCTAGGCGTCGCGGGCACGGCCACGGGACGTATAGCAGCAGCTGCACTCGCTGCTGCTGCTGCTGCAGCGGTGGCGGCAGCGGTGCTATACGAGGGCCGTAGCTCACAGCCCAACGCAGCCGCTGCGGCTCCCTCCACATTGCCACTGCCCACAGCACTACTGGCTTCAGAGGAACTAGCCAGCGTGGCACGATGCAGCCCTCGCCAGCGCGGCGCAGCTACCTGAGCCCCCATGCTGCCCGCACTCAGGCCTGCTTGCCCTGCCGCCCCCGCGCCCGCCAGGTCCTCCACCTCCTCCTCCAGATCCACTGCCTGGGACTGCTCGGGCGTCCGAGGCTGCATGGGGGCCTGCGAGTTAGCCTGCATGGGGTCAGCATGGGGCGGCTGCAGGGGCAGCTGGGGGAGCTGCTCCGGCTGCTGCTGCTGCTGTGGGTTCTGCTCGGGCAGCTGCTGCGGCGGCGGCACCGCAGACTGCAATGCCTCTAGTGGTGTCAGCCGCGGCTGCTGCGGCGCCATGGCGGCTTGCTGCACACCGTCCGCTTCCGGGGCCTGCTCCGAATCACCACTTGCCTCCTCAGCCCGCACCGGCACCTCCAGAGTCGCCTCCACTGTCACCTGCTGCGGCTCCTGACAACAAAGTACAGCGCTGCTCGCGGGCGATGACATTGTACGACCGGTTTCCATGGCTGTTGCGGTGGCCGCTTGTCCCTCCTGCTGCTGCTGTGGTTGCAACGCTTGCTGCTGCCGCTCTTGTTGCAGCTGGCGCCAAGCTGCTGCTATACCGCTGCTGATGCTCTCCTCCTCCAGCGACTCCCACACCGCCTCCAGCAGCTGAAGCCCCGACGCTCCGGCACCCCCCCCAGAGTCGCTGCCACCGCCGCTGCTGCTGCCGGCATCATTACCACCCACCCCATGCGGGCCGTCCATGTGAGCCGTTTCATGCCCGTCCCTGGAGTCAAGAGCCGGATTGCTAGACGCAACGGCACGGCTTTCGGCCGCATCCTCAGCCGCATTCCCAGCAGCAACCAAGGCGCTGGAGCTGAGGACGTCCCTCAACGTCCTGACGGCATTAGAGGAAACCGCGTCTGCGCATGCACAGCTGGCGGTTCCAAGGACCGTGTCCGCTTCAGGAAGGGCGCCAGGACAGCCAAAGCCATCCGCCGGTAAAGACGACGAAGAAGGCAAACGAACAACCGCCGCGGCTGCTTCTGCTGCTGCTGCTGCTTCCGGCGCCGCGGGCGGTCCGCTGCTGCCGATGCCGCTTCCAACAACTGCTGCTTCAGCTGCTGTTGCGGTTTCCCCAGCCTTCCCGCCGTTGCTACAGTTGCTACCACTGCAGCTGTCACCACCACCATCCGTCTCATCACCTGCCTTCGGGCCACCACCGCTTGCATCTGTCCACTTGGCACCCGCAACAGCCAGTGCCAGAACCACAGACCCATTCGCGCCCGTGCCGTCATCAGAGTCAGCAGCCGCCGTAGCTCCCCCACTCGCCTGAGCTGCCGCAAAGCCCCGGCGGTAGTGGCTCTCCACTGCATGCTGCAACAGCACCCCCAGACCGTGGCACGAGGCAGACAGCAGTACGGCCTCCCAAACGGAGGCTGAGCCGTACATGCAGTACAGTACGGCGGTGACCGCGAAGTTGAGGAGACGCAGGGGGCAGATGACGCAGAGCCGGACCTGCAGCGCGGAGCGGGTTGACAGAGAGAACAGCAGCATAGAACCGTTTACATTGGCAAAATAGGCAACAATAACGTGATGCCGTACCCTTCTCCTCCATTAGCTTTCCAGCTCGTCGCATCCCTCCTCTAGCCCCTACGCATGCCTTCTCTTCCTCGCCCTTCCCTCTTTACCCCTCCTCCTTCCTCCCCCCTCCCTCCATCCCTCCCCCCTTCCATCCTCCTCCTCACCGGTTCGCACAGTGAGCACATGGTGGCACAGGCCAGCACGTCCATACACACCAGCTGCTTCAGCTCCGAGGGGTACGGCAGCAGCCCTCCAATCCCAAACACCTTGGCCACCACATGGCACAGATGCATGGTGGCTGACAGGGCCTCGATACGGCCCCGGTAGGCGGCTGTCGCGCCCAATGCATCCGCAACCGCACAGCCGATGTACATCCAGTTGGAAAGGGGAGAGAGCGCCAGGGAGCGCCACTGGCGGGCGAGCAGCTGGGAGGTCACGGAGGCAGCGTAGAGGGGCACCATCGACCAGCACCAGGCGGAGAACACCCATGCATGGGACTGCTGGTAGTAGCTGTGGGTGGGTGGCAGAGCGGAGGGACGGGTGGGGAGGGGTAAGGGGAGTTATGGGGCAGGAATGGAGTTAGGAAGAGAGTTGATGGCGGGCAAGAAGGTTGATAACCAGGAAAACCCAAATCGCGCATGGCTGCAAGGACCAGCATAAACGATCTGCCGTACCCCATGCGTATTAGCAAGTACCTATACATGCAACTGCCAAAAAGCGTGCTGTGCGCATACCGGTGGCTGTTACCATTACCATGCAGGTAAACACCGATGCCCCCAAAGGTTTGCTGCACCGTCATTTCAGCATACCTGAGGAAGCGGCTCTCCGCCTCCTCCTCATCCGCGCCTGCACGCCTCCTCAGCCGCATGGCCGTGCCTGCCCGCAACGCCAGCAAGTGAAGATCGCTGACGACCCACTCGCCCATCCGTAACGCCCACACCCCTGCTCGCAGTACGACCCCCGACGCTTGAACTTCCGATGAGGCTGACGTCATCACCAGTGGCGCTGACGAAGAGGACGCGGATCCTGATGCCACGAGGGTGTGGCCAGCGGTCCGGCCGAGGGAGCCGCCACCACCACGCCTTGCACTGCGTGCGGCCATCGCAGCTGCGGCCAAGGATGTCAACGCAGCATGCAAAGCAGCCACAGCCACCCCCCGCAGTGAGCTCGCTACGTAGCTGCACGCTGACAGTACCCGGCGAGCGGTCGCTGAAACCGCTGCCGGCGCTGCTGTGGAGGCAACCGCTGCCGCCGCCGCCTGCGCCAAGGAGGGCGACCCCTGCATGGCAGCTCGCAGCTTCGTCGCCGTTCGCGTGCCCCAGCATGCAGCCGCGAATGCGATCGCAGTCGCTGCACTGCCCGCGGCGCTTGAAGCTGAACGTGCTGCGGCAGCGCTGGGGTGGAGCCAAGATGCAGCCCATACCGTGGCATTCCCGGATGCGGACTCACCAGCTGACGTGGCGCCAGCCGCGACAACACCAGGCAATGATGATGACTCAGACCGTGGGGCTGCAGCAGCGGGGGCATCCGGGGGTTGCTGCACGGCATTCTCTGCCGATACGCCGGTGCCATAGCTGTCGTTGCTGCTGCTGCCGGTACTGCTGATGTAACCTCCGAGGATGGCAACCCTGTTGCCAACGTCGCTGCTGCTTGTGCGTCTGCTGGCGTTGCTGACAAGGGCCGGGAAGGCCAGCACGTCGCCCAGGTCGGCACCATAACCGCCAACGGCATTGCCGGCTCCGCTGCCGCATTGGGCTGCAGCAGCAGCAGCGACTGCCAGGCCGACAGTCTGCTCAGCTACCGCCGCAACCCGCGGCGCATCCTCGCTTCCATCCTCACCTTCTTCTCCGTCAATCTCCACATCCACAGTAACCTCCATGGTCTCTGTGGCAGCAGCTACGCCCCCAGCCTCCTCCGCAGCTCCCTCCGCAACTCCCTCGCTGCTGCTCATCGCATCATCCTCCGTCACCGCTGGCATGACGGGCCTGTGCAGCGCCACGGGGATCCAGCCCATGTCCACCGCCGTCAACTGCGACCACTGATTCACCAAGTGCACCATGGCGGGGTTGCCAGACAGCGTGGCGGCGTACATGAGCGGCAGACCGTCGGCCGAGCGACACGTCCGTACAACCTCAACTGCCGTACAGCCAACCGCTAGTAAACTGTCCATGAGCGCACATGCGAGGCCGCAGTAGCCCGCCTCCACGCAGTCTGCCAGCCAGTTATACCCCTCCTGCAGCATCATGTCATGGAACAACTCGCGATCGCAATCAACCATGCCGCCTCCGGCGCCGCCGCCGCCAGCCATGCCGTACGATGCCGTACCGTACGACATCGCGTTCTGCGGCGGCAGCATGGCACCAGCAGCTGCTGCGGCTGTGGATGCTGCGGTTACGGTGGCAGCAGGTGCTACGGAACCAGCTGCCGCTGCGTGTTGCAGCTGAGCTCCTCCTTCGCCCCCTTCTGTACGGTTGCCACCCCCACGCTGTAGGCTGGGGAGCAAGTCATCCGAAAGAGGCATCGCGTCACTCAGTCGCGTTGAGGACGACTCGGCAGCCGCAACACCCTGCATGGGCCTCACGGGCCCCCCCAGGCCGCCATGCGCCGCTCCCCCAACGGCAGCTCCCGCCGCCGCGGCAGCGGCAGCCAACGCCGCCCTCTCCTCCGCATACCGCTTATGCGCTGCGTAGGTAAGCCACCCGCCCAAGTCCTCAACGAGCTGATGCGCCGCAGCGAGTACGGCAGCAGCGCCCGAGCGTGCCGTACCTTGTACGGCAGGGTCATTGGCGGTGGCGGCGGCCGCCGCCGCCTCGCTCTCCTCCGCCTGCTGCTGCCACAGGCAGCAAATCTCATGCGCCCAGGAAGACGCGGTTTCCGGTAGCAACAGCACAGGCAGGCACGAACACAGCTGCGGTCCATGCCAGAGCTCCACGTAAAGCACCCCAGGGCATGCAAGCTCTGACAGGGCGGTTCGGACGGTGGCGCGAGCGGGCAGCAGCCCCCTGGCTAGGGAGGACATGGAGATGTCTTCCGTCACATCGCGTGCGGCCTGCGTGTCCCCAGCGTCGCCGCGGCGCTCGCGTTCCACGGCTGCGGCCTGCAGACGTACGGCAGCGGCGACAGCGGGGGAGGCCGAGTCCAGCTGCAGCTGTACGGGCAGGTAGATCTGCTGGCCAAACACGCTGGCAGGGCCGCAGTAGCGCAGCATGACACTGAGCTCCGGAACCGTTGCTGGAGCGCAGAGCAGGGAGATCTGAAGCTCCGAAACCGCAGGCGATGGGGGAGCTGTGGCAGAGGTTGCGGCAGGGGCAGCCGACGCGGCGGCGGGTGGTGTGATTGACGCAGGAGCGACGGCTGCGAGGGCTGCTGTTGCATGTGGACCTGCGAGGACTGTGGGAGCAACGGGGATGGCTGGAGGGATGCTGGCAGCAAGTGGGCCTGCCGCAGCAGCAAAGATCAAAGGCGCCTTGCAGATCAGCACCGGCTGCACCACCACGTCTCGTACGGGCAGCGCGCCGGGGTTTGCAAGCACCGGCAGACCCGTGGGTCGCGACCCAGTCGCCCCCGCCGCTGCTCCTGGCAGGTTGGAACTGTTGCTCGTGGTGTTTATGGAGGATCCCGACGCACGGGCCCAAAAGAGCCGCATGGTGGGCGATGTCCCGGGAGCCGCGACCCCCGCTGCAGTCGCCGGCGAGTAATGCTGCGCTGGCGCTGGCGCTGGTGCCGGCGCCGGTGACGCCGCCGTGGAGGAGGATTGTATTTGCGACTGACCCAAAAGGATCTGTTGCAGGGGGCTCAGGCCGGCCGCTGAGCCCACGGAATGGGGCGGCTGCAGCTGTTGTGCCTGCGGCTGCTGGGGTGAGGACTCTGGGGTGGAGGCGAGCAGGTCCTGCAGAACCCATAACCCGGACGCCGCACCCGCAGCAGCCGTCGGTGAGATCTCATCCGGTCTGCGACGCAGCTGCTGCTGTTGCTGCTGTATTTGTAGCTGTTGCTGTTGCTGCAGGTGTTGCTGTTGCTGCATCTGCTGCGTGTGCAACTGCTGCTGCAATTGCAGCATCTGCATTTGATGCACGTGCTGAGCTGCTGCTGCTGCTGCTGCAGAGTGTGACGCTAGCGGCGGCACCCCGCCAGCAGTCGGCTGCAGCGGCGGCATGTACAGACCCTCCGTCTCCCAGCTGCTATCCGGCCCTTCATCCGCCGCCCAGCCTCCGCCCGCGCCCACCACCTGCCGCAGTTGCAGCGGCAAGCTGCCTTCCAGCTGGCACACCGCGGATAAGAGCCTAGGCGTGCTGCTACCCCCGGTAGCACCAGCAGCAGCACCAGCAGCAGAACCGCCCGCCTGGCCGCGCGCCGTCCCGCCTGTGACGGCGTCATGGCTCCGAACCTGCATGCCATCCAAAAGCTGCGCAACCTGCATGGATGCTGTGCCGATGCTGCCGCCGGTGCGTGTGGAACCCCGACACAGCAGGTACATCTCGTTAGAGAGGGAGGACTGGGTGGTGGTGGTGGTGTTGCCGTACAGGGTAGCCTGCTGCGCGGGCGACAGCATGGGCGTGTAGCGCATGGGAAAGTAGCCCCCATTGATACCTCCTGCTCCGAGAAGGCCGGAGCTGGCGGCAGCAGAAGCAGCAGCAGCACCTCCCATGGCTGTTGTCGCAGCCTCAGCGGATGCTGTTGTCGCGGCATCGGCGGCGGCATCAGCGGCGGTGGCGGAGGGCGCCGCAGCGCCATCGCCATCGGAAGCAGCAGCAGCAGCTGCAGCGCTAGCAGATGGGCCGTGCTGCTCAGGGGGCTGTGACGCAGGCGGCGCTGGCGCAGCTGCTGCCGCTGCGGCCGCCGCCGCCGCCACCGCGACCGTATCCAGCAAGTCCAACGGGTTGTTGCTGTTACCGGGTGTCGACACGGGACTGGAGCCGGCGCATGCGGGCGTGGTGAGGCGGTCGGGGCGCCAGACGCCGGTAATGCGGCGGCGGCAGTGCGGCGGCGAGAACACGCCCGGCGGCAGCTGCGCCAGGTGCGCTAGGTCCCCGCCTGATAGCAGCAGCTGCGAGGCGGAGGGCGAGCCGAGGGGCGAGGAGCCAGCGGCGGCTGTGTTTCGCCTGTGGATTTGCGAGCTGGGGTGGTAGGAGCTCCATGTGAGGGGTGAAGTGATGCTGCTGGTGTGTGCCTCAGGGATGGGTGTTTCCACGGATCGAGGCGGGTTGTCCACGCTGCCGCCTCCTGCTGCTAGCACACGCAAGCCAGACACTGTGGTGCTGTCACTCTGCTTCTGCCCGTTGCTTGAGCCCCGGGCGCCGCCAAACATGGCTGCGCTGCCTCCTCCGCCGGTGCTACCTCCTCCGCCAATGCCAGCACCCCAGACCGTGCCCTCCAGACCATGGCTGGGTGGTGAATGCGAGTGCGGTGACAGGGCGCCTCCCCGCTGCATGCGATTACTGATGGACTCCTGCAGGAGCGTGGCAGCTTGCTGCAGCTGGGGATGCTGCTGCTGGGCCTGCAACTGGGGCTGCTGCTGGGCCTGCTGGTGGCGGTGCTGTTGCTGTTGCTGCTGCTGCGGGCGGTAATGCTGCCGGTGCTGGGGCGGGTAGTAATGATGCCGCTGCGGATACCGCGAGCCGCGACGCGATGCCGAGCTCCCGCCAAACGAGGAGCCGCTGCCGCTTCCCGGGGACGCACTCGGACTTGGCGAGGAGGCACTCCCCGGTGGCCCTCTAGCTGCGGCTGCTGCTGTGGCTGCTGCTGCTGCGGATGATGCAGCTGCCGCAGTGGCGGTGGGCGCGGTCGCGCCGCCAAAGGCACCGGGGGCTGCAGACAGCCTCGCAACTTGAGGACTGTCATCCGTCAGTGACGGCGTACCGTCATCTCCTCCACGCCCCTCGCCATCGTGAGGGTTGCGTCCGTGGTGCAATGAGGGGAGGCTTAGGCCCCGTGAGCCGCCAGGGCCGTCGGATACTAACATGGGCCGCCCCTCGGCCGCCTCATCGGGGGCATCAGGAGCAGCAGCAGCAGCGTTGGCTGCTGCCGCCTGTCCTGCTGCTGCCTCGGCTACAGGGCCCGCGGCTCCTGCTGCTGCTTCCGCTGCAGCGGGAGGCCCAGCTGCAGGAGGCCCGTCGTCGTCGCGAGCATGCGGCAGCTGTGCGAACGAGACCGTGACGTGTATGCTGCCCCGCCGCACGACAAGGCCGGTAACAAGGCAGCGCTCCGGCAACCTGCGGATAGCGTGGGTTTGCAGGATTCATGGCAGAAGGTTTAGGATAGCATGTTTGAGAGAAACAGAGCTGCGGTGGGATACTAGCTGCAAGGAGCAAGGAGGAGCAAACACGTGCCTTACCCAGGCAGAAGGCCAACTATACGCACCCAAGATCCAACACAAGCGGTTTCCCATAGCGATCATGAAACCACATCCAGTCCCCACATGCATTGGACCCCAGTGCGTCTTAACGGCGGAGGCACAATCGCACAGTACTCACATCTCCCTGAAGTGCGAGCACACTTCCTCCTGCCAGTTGGGCGCTAAGTCCTCCGGATAGGCGCCATCAATGCGAATCCTCAAGACGCCGTGGGGATAGCTGGCAGCAAAGCGCCTCCGAGGTCGCTGTGCTGCCGCCGCCGCCGCCATGCTGCCCATGCACATTGCACCCTCTACGCCCACGACCCCGCGATCCTTCCTGGGCCCAAATCCGAGCTCGGGCTCCTCCTCTTTCCGGCAGCCCGGCCCCTGGGCTTGCAGCGAGCTGTGATGTGGGTTGGAGCCCCAAGGCAGGAAGGCATGGCTGCTGGGAAATGCCCCCGCGCGGAGGTAGGACATCACCCGGCTGGGTTTCTGGCGCGCCCAGGGGGACAAGGTCAGGCAGTAGGACGGCACGTGCTGCTGCTGCTGCTGCAGCCGCTGGAGTGGATAGGTAAAGCCCATGTCGCCAAGCGATACGAGCTTCCCGGTCCCGATCATCGCCCAGTCACCCATGGTTGCTGCTGTGGCTGCATCTGGCCCAGCTGCTACGGCTCCCAGGTCGTACAGCAGCGCCGAGTCAACCAGCGGCAGCTCCGTACGGTGCCTGCACACGTGTACCCGCAACGGAAGCACGCGCATCCTTCTTAACACGGTATGGGGACAAACACATGAGGATAATACTCAACTGACACAACGCGGTCAAAGAAGCAAGCAACAACACCCCATCACACGCACCTTCGGCGCTGGCGGCAGCAAGCAACCGCCACTGTACCCTTTCCCTCACTCCCCGGCGCCTCTCCGCCAGCCATGAGCTCCTTTGTGCTCCGTACTTTACCCTGCAGTCACATGCGGCAACGTGCACGCATAGCATCAATCCTGCTGATTACGGTATGTGAGCTCATCATGTGATCACTCGCAAGGCAACCTGCCCTAGGAGCGGATTACAGCCTCAGATGGGCCCTGTAGCGTAGGTGAAGACCAAGAGGTGCAATCTAACCGGCCGCAGACCCAGGGTTAATCCCCAAGGCAGTTCCTAATCCCCTTCCACGCACCGTTGTTGCCACCAAAGCTGCGTCGCGCTTGTCCGCAGGCTGCACCCCCCTCCCTGACCCCCCGGGGGCTGCATGGCTGCTCCATGACATTCCAAGACGCCGCATGAGCCACCGCCGCCGCCCGCTGCAGTGCCGCATGAGGGCGGCCAGCGGCAGCAGGCCATCCCGCACGGCTGCCCAGACCAGTGCGAATAGCGACGCAAGCAGCAACTGTGGGCGAAAGGGTTGGCGTGCGGCGAAAGGGATGGGCACGAATGAATGAGTCTGTACATGGCCCTCATGAAACACACAGGCTCTAAATACCATATCCGCACAATCAGGCATCGAGGTACCGAGGTGCACGAGCCAGTGTGCCCCTTCAGCACCAGCCGCTCCCCTCCCAGCCTAGCGGTAATAGCAACACCCCAGCAGAAGGACCCTGCTTACGTGTACAGCAACTGCTGACGGTTGGTAGTTGGTTGGCACTTGCTGCTGTTGCAGCAGGGCCATGGTGGCGATGGTGCACGCCACGCAAACCCCGGCCCCAACTGCAACGGTGGAGAAATCAGCCTGGGGAAAGGGGAGGGACAATCGAGGAGAAAACAGGATGTTTGGTTGGTTGCAAGGGTTTGGGTTGTCAAAGCATGACGAGGCTGAAGCGTCTACAGCATGCCCACATGCTGTACGATACGCGGTTCGAACGGGGCTGGTGCCAGGGGGATCACGGTAAGGTTAGGTGGACTTGTTTTTACTCATGTGGGTCTGGATGGAAAACACAAGTCCTCTTAGCAATCCCCCTTGCAGTTCCATGCACCGCCCTTCTTCGCTTGTTAAGTCATAAGGCGCACATGAGTTGGTACTCACCGCCCACATAGTGAAGCTCATTATGTGCACTGGTCGGTGGGGTATCTGCTCCGCGAGCACGGAGGGCACGCCTTGACGTCCTGGCACCAATAATGCCAGCAGAGGCAAGATGCTGTACGCTAACATCGGCATCTCCATAAGCAGGCGCTGGACCAGGGGATGGCGCCAGAAGCCCGGCACAAGGAAAGTTATCAGGCAAAACAATGCGTTGGTGAAGACGACCAACCCTGTAAACAATTCCTCAACAGTATGCCATGAAAGGAGCGCGTAGGACGCAAGCACGAGGTGCGGTCGCAGCGCCAGGTACAACAACCCGCCGAAGAGTGTATTCCGCTGTTTGTACTGGCTGAAACATGGGTATCTTGGCACCACAAGTCGTAGTATGCCAAGATGGCGGTGAAAGGCGTCGGGCTCCGCGACGCACAAAACCTCATGGGCCAACCTGCAAATATGACCGTCATCACAAGAAGTGGCACGGTACTCATCATACGCTTAGACTTGTAGGCGTATACCGAATCGGCATGCGTAGCAGCTGAACGTAATCCCTGGGCCAGGACAGGTAAGTGTGAACTCTTACCGCCGAAGGTAAATCCAGGATGATAGCCATATTTTTGCGGACTGCAGGGCCAACACTTGGGCGCTGTATCGAGGATTCTGACGAGCTGTGACGACCACGTCCCTCATGCTCCCTGCTCGCCGTTCGCCCACCCGGACGCCGGTAAAAGGGAGACCTTACAACGTTCTGGGATAAAACCCAAGGGTTAACCAATTGGCTCAAGAGAATAGGGGACGCATTATTCTGAAAGAGCATTCCCGTGCAAGGTGCTGACCACATCTCCCCCATGATCTGCCATTTTATTATGGTACTAAATGCCTACTACTCTAGCATCCGACTCTCTCAGACTGTTTGTCACCTAGACGACTGGTGCGGAGTACGGGCAATCGCGTCGAAATGCCGTACTGCGTGTTAACCTGACAGCGAGACGAAAAGCGCACAGAAAACTTCCAAGCAAGGCCCCGTGCGTGAACTCTTCTAAATATGTCGCTGTCAAACGCTTTACAATCAGGGGATGACTGGGAGGAAACCCAACTATCCCATGGTTTGGGTCGTACAGCCTAACAGTTGAAGTGGCAAGAGCCACTGCATGTTACACCACGACAGGGATGGCCCGTCGACGCGTACACCATGCGCCAAGGCCGCCAACCTGCCTTTCGCCTCACACATTGTTTGCCTTCTATCCACATTGCCTTGCCCTACGCCGTTATTCTATTCCGTTTGGTTACCCTGTGACCCACACGATCTCACCTACCCCTTCCACACAATCCCTGCTGCGTCTGGAGGCGTCTTGAGCCGCTGCCGGCCCCTAGAGCAGCCTGCCATCCATCTTCACACCCATCTTCACACCAGCACATTCACTCACAGTGCATTCCTACTCACGGCCAGCTTTCTTTCTCATCGCACCTGCAGCTGCAGCCTGCGCCCTCGTTTGCGCCCTCGTGGTTCGGCCACAGTGGCCGGCTGGCAGCATGCACTGTCCGCCTCACTGTGCCAGCAGCCTGTCCGCGTGGAAATTGATGTGGTCATCGATGAAGGTGGAGATGAAGAAGTAGGAGTGGTCGTAGCCATCCTGCAGGGCGGGAGGGAGGGAAAATTAATTGAGAGGTGGAGCATCGGAGTTCCAAACAAGTTCCAAATGACAAGGCTCCGCCGCCGTAGAAAGGAAGGGAGGGAGAGAGGGTAAGACACATGGGGTTACTCGCAACGGGCAGAGCCAGTGGGGGTAAGCAGAAATATCAAAAGGAAAGCCGTGTGCCTTGTGACGACGCTCCACCATGGCATTGGGGGAGGAGCTGAAGCTGTGCACTGGGTCATCCTCCTCCCGCGCTCCCTCCCTGGCACCCCTCCTCCCGCGCCCTCCGCCCGCCCCCTCCGCCCCCACCTGCATGCGCAGCGTCGCGCCGCTCCAGCCCGCCGCCTCCGCCGCCGCCCGCAGCGCCCCCGGCTGCAGCTGGGTCTCCAGGAACTTGTCCGCACTGCCGCTATCCACCAGCAGCGGGGGTAGCGAGGCGGAGGAGGAGGAAGCCGAGCGGTCGCGCAGCAGCTCGCAGGCATCATACTGGCGCCAGGTGTCCCGGTCCTCTCCCAGGTAGCCTGGAAGGAGGGGAGATAGGGGGAGAGGTGGGGAAGAGGGGGAGAGGGGAAGTAAAGAAGGAGGAAGGAAAGTCACCCCCCAATGTGCCCGAGAGAGAGAGAGGAAACGAGTAGAGGAAGGGGCTTGATGATGGGTTACTGAGGGGTTTGGGAGGTGTTAGTGTGTCGTACTGCTGTCGTACTCCCGCCCCGCACCCCCACTTCACCCCAGCCGACCCACCGGTGAATGCCTTGACGCCCCAGGGCGCGTTGCAGGGGTTACAGATGGGCGCGAAGGCGCTCAGCGAGCGGTACGACTGGCGGGGGCGGCGAGGGAGGAAGGAGGGAGGGAAGTGGGTGGGAGGTGGGTGGGGTGGGGGTTTGGATCTGGGTTGGTGTCGGAGGGACGCAGCCGTTGCAGCCTGTGGCCACCATGATGCAACCAGTACATGGTACGGTGTAGGGCCCTCACACTCTACCGCACAACCTCACGAACCATTCCGGTCAGGAGGTCTGCTGCAACCCATGATGAAGCATACAACCATACATGGCATGCATCTGGTTAGTTACCGGTAGTTTCCTTCCTGTTTATCCCCCACCTGCGGGTTCCGGAGCCCGATCACCAGCGCGCCATGTCCTCCCATGGAGTGGCCGCAGAGGGAGGCGCGCGAGGGGTCCAGGGAGGCGAACACGGGGGCGGAGCGGAGCAGCGCGGGGAGCTCCTGAAGGGGGAGTGGGGCGGGAGAGGGGGGAAAATTACAGATAAGGGGAGATAAGGGAGGAGGAGGAGGTAGCAGCTCAGGATCCATCTGGGTCGGGTCGTATCGTGCTGCTGCGCTGCCCCATGCGGCAAGGCAACCCCGTCATGCTCCCGGCACTGTCGTACCTCGACAATGTAGTCGTACATGCGCCATGCTCGCCACTTCTCCTGCGTGGCGTTCAGGTAGAAGCCCGCACCAACGCCAAAGTCCCAACTCTCTGCCTCGCCTTCTACTCCCAGACCCCGAGGGGAGGTGTCAGGAGCGACCAACGCAATGCCCCGGGCCGCGGCCTGACGCTGTGCACCTGAGGGGGCATGATTGATGGGTCGTCGTCGTAAGGAGTGAAAGCCCACGAAAGCCCAAAGCTGATGTCAACGTTGTTAAGTCAAAGAGATTTAGCTTTGCAAGTTGTATAACAAAGGATGTTACCCACCGGCCTTTTGGATGAAGTTCTCATCGGTGCAAGTCAGGCCCGAGAGGTAGTACAGCACCGGCACCTTGCCGTTTTCCGCAACGGGAGGAAAGTAAACAGTAAAGGTCATGTCGCATCCAAGCACAGTGCTCCTGTGCTTGTAGCGACGGTTGTAGCCCCCAAATTGTCGGTTGACGCTAATTTCCTCCACAGTGGCAGCCATGGTCGGTGCCGTTAATGTATCAGCACGAAAAACGAGATTCTCGATATGCCAACGAGTGGGTATGGTAGGTACAAATACAACGAGTCGGATGACAGGTGTAGATCAGGGCAAGTATAGCCTGCAGCGAGATAGGGCTGCCACCTGGATACGCGCGTAACAACTCAGCACATAGCTAAGAGCTCTGCAGTGGTCGAGGCCAGATTTCATTACGTAACGGGTGTTGTAACCAGTACGGTGTGGCCATTTGGCCACGACCTGGTGCGCATTCTGCTTTGCAGGCAGACTCAAGCAGTTGCAACAGGTTTGAATTAACTGCCACATGTTTGGAGGCTTAGAACTCACCTCCGATGGCACGAGCGTCGGCATGTCAGGATGTTACCATCACATTGTACGCAACCTCTGCGGACATAGCCTCTCTTCTTGTGCTATGTGCCTGGCATACATGTACTGTATGGTGAGTATAGCTACGTGGTTCAGTTGGTTCCACATACACTCCCTCCTTCCCCATGCATGCAACAAGCCGTCCGAAACACCTTCGCTAGGTGACCCACCTTCGCGTGCCGACGCATCTGCAGGACTCCTCTACTTATTTACGATGAAATTGCGTCGGCATATCTGGTTCTCATCTTGCTTCCGCTAGCCATACCCCGGCCGCAACACCCGGAGCTGGCTAGGTCCGGCCCCTGGCTGGTCTGCCGCAGGCGCAATGTCGCCCGCTGCCGGCTCCTGCCACGGCATTGCAGATTACTGAACAGCACCTAATATGGTGGAGTTAGGTAAGGGCTGTCCCACGTGTGCTACCAGCAGCAGATGATTCAGTCGTTTGCCTTTGATGGCCGTCTATGGTGATTGGTGAACTAGATGAATTCCATCAATTTAAGCGTATTCCGGGCGTTCTAGTCCTAGAGCTTGGAGTGCGCATAACTATACTTCTATAGTTAACCAAAAAGAGTCGTAACATGGCGCAGGACGATTCGCCCAACAAAGGCCTTTGGCGCATCCACAGGACCCTAATGATCTGTTTATGCCGAAGCACAATACCATAGACGACGCTGCGGACCTGTCGATGATGCCGAAATGCCATCTTCAACTTTCCAAGCTAACTGATTGTACGTGCAACAGCACTCTTAATATAATGAACTCGTCGCCCAGCCCCTTCTACAAGCGCGTTCACCAACACATATACCTTTTATACCTGCTAGAACACATGCCCTACGTACCCCCGCACTTGCGCGGCAAGCAGGACTCTGCTGCCCAGCAGGATTCATCCTCTGCGACCCGCTCTTCCGAAGGCTCTTCTGGCTTTCCTCGCACCTCTAGTTATGGAAATCGCCTAGAAAACCAATCGTATGGCAGCCGTGGAGAGGGAGGATACGGCCGTCAGAGCTCAAGCGGCCTCCCGCGCAGCGGGAGCACCCAAAGCTTTGGCGATGGAGGGCGAGGATACGGCCGTAACCAGGCACCTGTGGAACCCACGTTTTCCACCTGGCAGCCCACCGACCGCGTGCTGGCGTTGAGCGATGAGACGATTCAGGAGATTCGGCAGAGGCTCAAGGTCTCGGTTGAAGTCACCGAGGGTGAACCTAAGGCGGCACCCCCTATTGAGTCGTTCCACGAGATGGTGAGTCCCGGCATTTTTTGGCCGAGCCGCTTTCGCTGATGCCCTAACCGTAACGGGGCTGCTACACGCCTGCCTTCCTGTGCGCTCATCAGTACTTACCCTTCTATCTGTCTGGGCTACGGAACTGTCGATCCGTTGTCATTTGTCGCTGCATTTCCGCGAGTTGGCGGCGCCTTTCTCAAAACGTTTTTTCGATGGAAGTCCCCCGCTACCTGTGTGCCTGCAGAACCTGCATGCAAACATCCTGGCGGACATTGCGCACCACAAGTACGAGACCCCCACGCCTATCCAGGCGCAGGGTCTGCCGATCGCTCTGTCGGGGCGCGACATCCTTGGTTGCGCTGAGACGGGCAGCGGCAAGACAGCCTCATTCTCAATCCCCATGATTCAGCACTGTCTGAACCAGCCGCCTTTGCGTGGAGGGGATGGGCCCATGGCGCTGGTGCTGGCTCCTACCCGCGAGTTGGCACAACAAATTGAGCGCGAGGTGCGTTGCGGAAACGCACCGTTTGTTAAGGAAGCGAATTATTGACGCAGGAATGGCCCTTTCCCGGCTCAATAGAGTGGCAAGCCGAGGTCAAAAGAGTGGCAAGCCGAGGTCAAAAGAGTGGCAAGGGGCTTGCCACAGCTCGCTAGCCCCTCGGCCAGTAACTACGGCTTCAGCTCGTGGCTGTGGAAGTGGAGCCCTGTCACGCAATGGCAATTACCCTGATCTGGGTCAGCTCACGACAGACGATCTGCACCCCGTGTTACCACCCCTTCCTCCGACCCACATCGCTCCTCCCTCCCCCCCTTCCCCCCAGGTCCGCGCCTTCAGCCGCTCCTCCTCCCGCTCCGTCCGCACCTCCATCGTGGTGGGCGGTGTGCCCATCCACGAGCAGCGCCACGACCTGCGCTCGGGCGTGGAGGTGGTGGTGGCCACCCCGGGTCGCTTCCTGGACCACCTGCAGCAAGGCAACACCAACCTGGGCCGCGTGAGCTACGTGGTGCTGGATGAGGCGGACCGCATGCTGGACATGGGATTTGAGCCGCAGGTGGGGGTGGGGGGTGAAGGGGCCGGACGGGGGTGGGGATATGGGTCGGGGTTGTTGGGTTACAAGGGTTGGACCCGGGGAGAGGTGAGCAGAGCGCGTGCGAAGGGGGGGGGTAAAAATAAGGAAAACTGACGAACTGAAAGACGGGGCTTCTCCATGGGTTGCTAATTGAACCCGGTCCATCCCACCCCACCCGGAGGCGGGGCAGCGGAGGGTATATGGGTTGGTTACCGAAGCATACAAGGGTCTCATTTGGAGGGAAACGGGAACAGAAGGCAGAAAGCCGGGCGCAAGGCGAGCGCTCGGATTGCATAGTGCGGCTAATGGGTCGCGCGCACGGCACCAGCAGCTCTTAACTCACCTGTGTGTTAAGAAAACTGGCCGCGAGTAGGAACGTACTGGGATGTCGGAAGATGAAGTCCCCACCTGTGTGTTAAGAAAACTGGCCACCTGTGTGTGCGTGCAACTCGGCTGGGACGTCCCAAGAGCGGTGCTGACGCATACAACGGTTGCCTCGCGTGTCTAGGCCGACGCTGGAGGGCGCCAATAGGCTCCATCCATCATGCACGCCACGACACAGCGGCAGCTTACAGCTGCAATAGCAGTAGCAGCAGCTGCACCTGCGCCAGTCCCGGCCTGCTCCCATTCCCAACCGCTGCGCTACTGGCACTCCTGCTGCTGTTGCTGCTGCTGTTGCTGCTCTTACCGGGGTGCAATGACAGCATAGCACCCTAGCCACGAAAGCCAAAACGATTGTGGGCCGACCCATCCACTCGCCCACCCGCACGTTCTCGTATTGGGTTTCATGTCTCGCCGACAATGGGTCGCTCACTTCCACTTGTCCGGTGCTGCCTGTCCCCGCTCCAATCCGTAAACATACCTAGCCACGTTTGCTTGCTGCTCCATCTCCCCCAGCTTGTCACCCATTATCACTCACCACATTGTGTCTTCTTCTTCTTCCCCCCGCCCCCTTCCCGGAATGCAGATCAAGGAGGTGATGAACAACCTGCCGGTGCGCCACCAGACGCTGCTCTTCAGCGCCACCATGCCCAAGGTGGGTGTGACGGGGGGGGGGTGCTGGGGGCGGGGCGAGGGGTAGAGGCTGTTGCAGGAGCTGCTATCATGGCCACTGTGTTTTGAGTGCCGGTACCAGCACGCGCCCTCGCATGCGTTTCCACTTATTGAAGCTTGTGACATGCACCGCTTGATCCCAATGCCGCCGACACTCTCCCACGTGCCCCACCTCGCCGATGTGAGCAGGAGATTGAGGAGCTGGCTCGGGCCTACCTAAACAAGCCAGTGACCGTCAAGGTAAGAGACGTGGGGGCGTAGGGGTTTAGGTCGGGGGTTGGGAGGCGCATGAGGATGCGGTTGGGTCATGTGGGGCGGTGCGGGGGCCTGTGACACCGTCCCTGCGCCCTCGGTTGAGCAGGAAGCGCACATGGATAGGAAGAGGGGGAAGGCTGATGAAGTACCAGGTGCAGTACAGCAAGCTGCACCAAACAAAACACTTGATAGAACGAACGTATCTGCGCCCGCGCGCGCTGGACTCCTCCGCGCGGGTACTGCTCGGGGGGGCTGGGGCCTGCTCTACACTTTCCTGCTCTATATCTCCAGCAGACGGAGAGAGCTGCTCAGGGCGGTGCCTCCCGTCTCCTCCCTCCCTCCCCTGTATGCCTCAACCCTCACCCGCCTCACCTCCCGCCCTGCCTCCCCCCACTCCGCCCCCCTCCCAGATCGGCGCCGTGTCCACCCCCACCGCCAACGTGGCCCAGCGGCTGGAGCATGCGCCTGAGGGGCAGAAGCTGGACATCCTGGTGGCGCTCATCTCGGCGGAGGTGAGTGGGGAGGGGTTGTCATGGGTATTCTCATGGGCGGTTGGATAGTTGGATTGCATGGGGGTCAGGTTGGCGTGCCGGCCGTACCCACCGCCGCACGACGCTGGAGAGCCTGACGGTCTACACCCCCTCCTGCTCCATGTCCAGCATGTCCTGTGGTCTCCTATGGCTTGGTATGGTCTTTGACCCCCCGCTCCCCTCCACCCCTTGCCTCCGTCCCGCCCAGGTCGCCGCGGAGGGCACCGGCGGGCCGCCCATGCCGCTCACCATTGTGTTTGTGGAGCGCAAGACGCGGTGCGACGAGGTGGCGGCGGCGCTGCGCGAGGAGGGCATCGCGGCGAATGCGCTGCATGGCGGACTGAACCAGGTGGGGGTGTGTTTTGGGGGGTTGGGGTGGGGAAAAGAAAATGCGAAGTGCAGCAAGTGGAGTTCAAAACCTAGATCCCGGATAGGGGAGAGGTGCAGGGAGGTGGGAGGTGGGGAGAAAGGGAAGCCACGTTGTCGATGGTAGCCAGGCAGGAGGGGGCATGGCGCACGATCTGCGCCGTAGAAAGAGGTGACGCTGGCTCTGCATGGTTTGCCATGGCATGTGGGCCATGTCGTTACCCCGTCCCCCCTCCCTTTTCCCCCTGCTCCTTCTCCCCCTCCCCCCATGCAGTCCGAGCGTGAGGCGGCGCTGCGTGACTTTGCGCGCGGCGCCATCAAGGTGCTGGTGGCCACCGATGTTGCCAGTCGGGGTCTGGACATCAAGGGCATCGGCCACGTTATTAACATGGACCTGCCCAAGACATTCGAGGACTATGTGCACCGCATTGGTGGGTGGGGTTGCGTGTGTGTGTATTGGGGGCCGGTGCTTATGCGTGTGTGTGATAGTTGTGCTGTGTCTGTGTCTCAGTCGACATCGGGGCACATCTTGACTAGGAGTCTTTAAGACCGACATTCTCTCCCCCACTGCCCCCACCACCCCCAGGTCGTACGGGTCGTGCGGGCACCAAGGGCCGCGCCACCTCCCTGTGGAACGACAGGGACTCATTCCTGGTGGCGCAGATCAAGCAGGTGCGTGTGCGTGTGCGTTCAGGAAACATGCTTCACTGTAACCCCTGACCCGCACGCTCATACCCATCCATAAAGGGTTCCTCTTGTGCACCCGCACACCATCTCCTCTCGCAACTCCCTTACGGCACCCCACCGCTCCGCCTCCGCAGGCCCTCTCTGAGCTCGAGAAGGGCAACGGCTTTGCCTTCGCTACGGGTAAGGAGGCGCGCAAGGAGGAGCGGCAGCTGGCTCGGGAGTTCAAGTGAGTTGGGGGGGAAGGGGGAGTGAGAGCGGGGGTTGGGGGAGTGCGGTGTAGGGGGCAGGGGCTGGCATGGAGCAGGGTGGAGAACCGCAAAAGGGCGGGTGATCACAGTTCTGGCATGCAAGTCCGGTGACGTGTACCGTTCATCCACCTGTTAGATCTGGAACTGCTTTAGTCCTGCACACGTAGCCTTACTGTGACGTAGCGTATCAGCTCGGCCAACACCCTTCCCACCCTCGTCTTCTCCCTTCCCTCTCCTTCCAAGTAAACGAACGCTAACCCAACTATCAAGCCTAATGTGGAATATCTATCCCTGTTAATCCTCACCCTTTCACCCTGCACCCGGCTCCTCAGGTCGCAGCTCAAGATGACGAGCCAGGGCATGCTGCAGACGGGCAGCGGGGCGGTCAAGGTGGACGACCGCTATGCGCACATGGCCACTGCGGCGCCTGCAACGGCGGGGAGCGGCGTGGCGGATGCCGCCTGGGACGATTGAGAGGAGGGAAAGAGGGACATGGCGGGGTGGGAGCGAGGAGGTTGACATCTCGACGTGAGATGGTTTTTTTGTACGTTTGCTCTTCTGCCGTCCTATAAAACAATTTGGCTTGTTTGGTTTACTTCACCTGTGCCCAGTCTGCAGGGCGGAAGGTATGCGTATATGCACTGTTTTTTGCACTTTTGGAGACTTTGGGGAAAGGGGAAGGGACGGGGAGAAGGGCTGTTGGGTTTGGGGTTTCCCATTTACGAGTACGGCTTGGGGAATAAGGCGAGGTGGTTAAAGGGAGGATACCGCATTGGATTTTGAAAGGAACCTTTCGCTGGTTTGGGGTGTGAGGGGATCCGGGATAGACCTGGGCGCGTGTGTTTATCGCAACGCGACAAGAAGAAACACGCGAGAAGGGGACAATGAGCAGGAGGCTTCGCGCAAAGGCATATAGCTTATACTTGTGGCAGGTGTCGAGAGTTTTGCGTGTGGGGTGTTAGGGGTTTGGGGTTCAAGTGGGGATGTCGTTGCCGCTGTGTCTTCTGGAAAATAGGACGCGGATTTAGGTGCACAGCTTATTTGACTAATGTTTTGTGCAAGGGCGTTTGTTGGTTTTTTGGACAGCCAAACCATCAAGTCTCTTTTTCCAAAAGCCCTACATTGGCCGGAGGAGGCTGTTCGAAGCCCTGGAGAGGAAAGCAACAAGAGGAAATGACATTGCGGCGGTAGTAAGACGTGCAGCAGCTGCAGTAGCGTACGGGGCACAGAGACGTGTGACCTTATCGTGAGAGCGCGAGGCTTTCGACCCTTTTTGGCAATATCAGCTGACGTTCATCCCGAGTAGTTTTGGAAATGTGGCAACATGTGCTGGCCATTTGGATTTGGGATTCCGGATTTTGCTCGGCCGCCTTTTGAATACCTGTTGTGTACGGGGCCATTCGTACAAGCCACCCGCTTGCAGCCATCAAAAGGGCTGTCCGCCTCCTGCTCAATAAGGGCCGCTTGGAAGGTCACATACAGGATAAAGGGCGAGGGCATTTGTGTTGTGTGGAATGCGGTCGAGGTTTGGGGGATATGACAGGAGGTCAGTAGTTGTACGGCGGATGACACGCGTGACACATGCCCTTCTTGAACTGGGTCGTGCGGCGTGGGAAGTGGGTCCACAATGGCGCAACCTGGCCTGGGTTTAAATGCTTCCGTACGGCATGTAAAGCCACCGTCGAGCCACCTTTCTCCTAGTGATGGATGGGCGGGGTATCGGGTTCTGCTGCATGGAGTCCCCAGATTGCTCGTAAGGGTAAGAGCTGGGTGCTGCGGTCAGCAATTGCCTATCCAGCAGTCCGCCTACACGTATGCCTGTCAACATGTGCAGATCTTCAAACTCAGCCTCACATGATACGGATTCGGAAGTGCGATAAAGCCTTTGGCCGAGTGAATGACAGACGTGGCTGTGCGAAGTCTGCTAAAGGAGCAGTAAGGTGACCCGCCGCCGTACAAAAAATACATGTGTCCCGCTGCCGTACAATATGCCACGCACATGAATGTCTGCCGTACATGGTGTCACGTGTCAGTCCGCTATGTGCACATAACGTGCAGTCTTTTCTGCAGTCTTTTTGTCTGGCACACATACGCCAGTTTGCGGGGGGTCGAAATTGTGACGCGGGGACTTCGGCATGGGTGATGGGGCTGCTGGGGGAAGGTGCTACACGTTGTTGCTGAAGGACGTTATAATAATTTGAAATCGATTACGTGGCATGTCCCGTTGGCGTAGTGGATAACGCACTGGACTTCTAACACTATAGAAGGTCATCCAGGGATCATGGGTTCGAATCCCATACGGGACGTCTTTTAAGGACTGTAACAGTTCAAGTTTTCCTTGCACTCTTCTTCTCAACCTTCCTTGGGGGGTTATGAGGAATCTGAATGATACCCTCATAATTTGGTGTACTGGGTCCTCAGTGATCCCTCCCTCCAAGGTACGGGAAACGTGGGCCTGCATTCCACATCCCAATTTTACTCTAAAGTGTCTGTAAAGACGTTCGATTTTTTTCATACACATACGTCCCAGTACGTTCCTACTCGCGGCCAGATTTTTTTAACATACGTCCCTATTAAGAAGCACGTTGCTGTTAAGATCTTTCTTACATGTGTGCTGGTGACAACACAAGTCCTAGTGGACAGACAACCCGCGCAGGATGAGTTGGCATGCAGCACCTGCACACAAACTATCCCACCTTCCCCTCCCTGCTCCCCAACGCACCAACTCCCAAGCCTGCCCCCTCTCTGCACCTCTCTTGTGCCCCCAGCGCTACCAACCTGGTCCCCGGACCACCAGATCAAACACCCAAGGCCAGACACCTCCCCCCTGCACTGTGGTTTCCGGTGGTTTGGTATGGTCTTTGACCCCCCTGCACTGCCCAGCTCCTCTTTTCCCTCCCTCTCTCCCTCACGACAGCTCGAACCCTGCCCCCGAGCTAATGGAATACAGCAGCTTCTCTCTAAGAGTGGCAGCCCGGCGGTAGTTGGGTAGCTTGAGCATGTTGTAGCAGGTGGAGGCGGAGGGCAGGCGGCTCACGTCCCTGCCGCCCAGCGCGGCAAACACACCCGCGTCACAGTCCACCTGGAGGGGGGCGGGCGGGCGGGGGGGTATAAAGAGGTTACTAACTAGAGGAGACAATCAACTACCGGTAGCTAACCGTCCGATAAGCCTTCATCATGGTTTGCGGAATAGCGGTGTTGCCGTGCTACCCCGCCCCGCCCTCACCAAACCCTCGCACCCCCAAGCCTCACGCCGACCTGGTGCAGTGTCAGCGGCGGGTTGAGGTACCTGAAGCCCCCCAGCGGCGGCCGACTGCAGCTCGTCACGAACCGCAGCAGCGCCGCCTGCTCCCCCGCACTCAGCTCCGAAACCACCCGCCAGAAGTGCCGTACGGTGGGGGATTCAGGGCTGTAGCCGCCGCTGTAGCGCGTCCAGCGGCGCATGTCAGCCACGTCCAGGGGGGCGGGTCCGGGGGGCCGGGGAACGAGGGAGGTGGAGGGAGAGGAGAGGGAGGAGGAGGGGGTGGTGTAGGAGTCGGCGGCGCCTGAGAGGAGCTGGTTGAACTCCCGCGGGTTAAAGAGACGCAGGGAGGCCTGTTGAGCGGTGGAGGTGGTGGGTACGGGTGAGTGGGTGGGTGGGCGGGTGGGTGGGTGGGTAAGACAGCCATATAAGAAGTAAGGGAAGACATGAACACGCAACAACACCGCAGCATGTTCTCAGCACCTTGCCCTCCCATACGGCAGGCTCATATTCACCTCGGCCCCATCATCCGCCCCCCCAAGAGCAACCCCCCCTCCGCCTGCCGACCTGCGGAATGACGGCGAACAGCCCCCTTGCGAAAGCGGCCGCAGTGGTCCCCAGCTTGCCCGTCAGGTGCCAGTCGGCTAGCAGGTGGCAGTAGAGCAGCCGGGAGTCGTTGCTGGGGAGGGGGGAGAAGGGTGGGGAGAGGCGAGGAGGGGTGACGGAGGGGGAAACGTGTGTGTTTTGAGGTGGCGTGGTGGTGGGGTTACTCAGGTAGCACTGACAGAGAAGGAGACGGCGGGCCAGACCCGCAATACTACCCCCCTCCTGGCCCCACCCCTCCCCTCTTACGTCACCGCCACCTCCGCCCCCCCGGGCAGCAGCTCATGCGTGGTGGGGCAGCCGAAGAAGTCCGTGGATGCTGCGAAGGTGAGGCCCAGCTCGGACACATCGCCCTCGTAGCGCTTCACCTGGGAGGGCAGGCGGGCAGGCAGGCAGGCAGCAGCCGGGAGGAAGGGGAAGGGGGAAGAGTCGTGGGGAAGGATGGAGAGCAGCGCTTACACCAGCGTTCTTTCCCAGCCACCACCTCTACCGTATAATACCACAGCATCGCCTCTTCCCTTGTGTCGTCTCCTCCCCACTCTCTCCCCACTTCCCCCCCCCACTCTCTCCCCACTCCCTCCCCCACTCCCCCCCCACCATGAGCAGGTTCTTGTGCAGTTGGGGGTCCAGGGAGGCCAGGTCGTCGAACAGGGGGGCACGACCCTGAGGGTGGGGGAAAAGAGGACACCGGTACCCAACGTGTTGAGGGGGGGGGGGTCAGAGATACCGTGCACCGAAACCGCAGGTGAAGGGGGCGTGAAGGGAACCTTACGGAAGGGGGCTGGCAAGGAACGTCAACAAAAGGATGACTTGGTTGGAAAGGGCCCGCGTGGCTGCCCCCCCTTTCCGCCTCCCTGCCCTTCACCCCGCTGCCCCCTCTTGTACCTGCAGTCGCGCGATGAAGAAGTGTGCGAAGGGCACGGGCAGCAGAATACCCTCGTACAGCGCCTTACCGAACATCAGGCCTGGGGGGCAGGTAACGAGGAAACAACTAACGAACCGTGTGATAAGGCGGTATCACACGGGTCAAGGATCCACCAAAACCACAGGTTAGGGCAAAGCAATGGGGAAACAAGAAACGGGTGGTGAGGCACTGGAACCCCAATCCCGCATCCCGGAACAGCCACCCCCTTTCTACAAGGCGATAACCCCGCCCCCTCCCCCCCACAGTTTTCCTTATTTTTACCCCCAAACCCCCCCACCCACCCAGGAACTCCAGCAGCGGCAGTCCGCCCTCCAACCTCTCCGCAGCGGGGTTGGGGTGCGCCAGGCCCTCGGGGGAGGTACACGTGAACAACCCGTACTGCGCGTCCAGGCCTGGGGGGGAGAGGTGGGAGTGGGGGTGGGAAGGGGGAGGGGGTTGGTGGGGGGAAGGGTGAGATGGGGGAGTGGGGGGGGGTGGAGACTTGTAACTAACTGGTTCAAAAGGCTCAAGGCTGTGCATTTAGGGATGAACCTGTTAAGAAAACAGGATGATACCCTGGTGTAAGGAACAGCGGTAAGCCGTGGGGATGTCTTCGTCCCCCCACACGCCCCCCCACCCACCTGCCGCCACCACTCGTTCCAGCAACTCCTTTTGAAGCCCGCCAAAGTCCAAACCAGCCTCCCTGAGAGCGGGGTGGGTAAATGCATGGGGGGCGGGTGGGGATGAACAGGAGACAGAGGGTGTGGTGACGGATTCGGGTGTAGGACGGGTGTATCTGAACCGGAGGAGAACGAAGCCAGGGGACGCAGCAGAAGGAGAAGGGCGCAGGTGGAGCGAACAAGGGAGTGATGGGGGCAGCAGCAGCGGGAGGTAGACACGCGGTGACTGCACCAGACCCGCACAAGCAGCATGGCAGAGGAAGGGCAGAGGACGCAAGTGGACTCTGCACAATAGCCATCATACCCACACAGCCCCCGCACTCTCCCGCAAAACCCCTTCCCGCACTCACTCCAGTCCCGACTCGTTAATGAATTTGACCTGGTCGGGGCGGACACGGGTGGCATATGGGGGGGACACGTGGGGTTTCAGACACTCAACCAGCGCTGCTGTCGCGGGGCCGAGGTCGGCGGGGGCCCCAAGGCCTCAAGTCCCAATGAGACACGCGGCCGGAGTGTGCTGTCACCCCTAGGGCAGTGAGGGGGCTCCAGGTCTCCAGGCCTACCACCATCCCCTCCTCTTGCTCACCCACCTGCAGCCGTGCCTTGATCCCCTCCCCCCGGGCCGCCAGACCCCGGTACGCGTCCTCCATCAGACTGCTGCGGTGGATGGTGACCTGGGTGGGAGATGGGGTAAAAAAGAAATTCCAAAGTGTGGTGTGGTGTGGTGAGATGGGGTGGGGGGTGGGGATAGACGGGTCGGCGGGTAATGATTCAAGATGTATTACGTCGCAGCGGAAGGGAGGCCAAGACTCCCTCCTCCTCCTCCCCACTCCCATTCCCCGCCACTCCCTCCCCCCTCCTTACCTTGATAGGTGGCACCTCTCCTCCTCCCCTGCCCTACCTTTATCGGCGGCACCCCCCCCGCACTGACGGGCTGCTCCCAGCGCCCGCGCGCCCTGTCCTCCGCCAGCAGCGCCCGCAGCAGGTCCACGCGCCGGGGGAAGGGAACCGCCTGGGGGGGTCAAAGACCATACCATACCACAGGAGACAACAGGGTGGGGGAGTGAGGAGTGGATGAGAGGGAGGAAAAGCATACCCAAAGAACGCTCCTCCCCCTCCCCTCCGTACCTCCCGTCCCACCTGCGGCATGACTCGCAGCAGGGAGGCCACACTGCTGGGCCGGCAGCCCTCACCGGGGCGGGACTGGGGGGGGGGCGGGAGAAGGAAGGAGGGAGTAGGTTGAGAGGGGGGCTTGAGTGTGGGCAAACAGAGGGGGCGACAGGAGGGCAACGATCACTAAAGCAGACCAAGGGCGAACAGCAAGCCCGGGTGGTTCCGAGCATATCTCAGACCCCTCATGCCAACCCACCTGCAACGCCGGAGCAGCAGCACCAGCAGCACCACCACCAGCAGCGCTACCGCCGGCAGAGGTCGCAGCCGCAACGCCCTCGTCATCCTCCTCATGCACACCGCCTCCACCACCTCCTCCGCCGCCACTCCCGCCGTACATTAGCCAGTGCAGTACGGCACCCGTCGTGAAGGGCCCTATGCGGGTGGCCGCGGGGTCCGGCGGGGGAGGCGGCTCCGAGCCCCCCTCTTGTCCCCATGCTCCCCCTCCTTCGCTTCCCCCGCCCCCGAACCAGCTTTCCGGGTCCAGAAAGCGGGGCCGGCCGCCGCTGCTGCCCGTGCGCCGGCGGGGGCCTGTGACCCGGGGGGTGTTTCGGGGAGTGTGGGGATTATTAGGTTTTTTACGGTGTCGAGCGAGGAACGGAAAGGTGACCCATGGGTCTGCGACAACGGACTTGACACATAAGCCGCATTGTACGACACGTAACACCGCCAACCGTGTCCCATGATCCCATCCACCCACGTTGCTCTTAACAATCTTAACCTCAACCGCAACCGCTCCATGGCAGACCATCATACCCACAAAACTCACATCTCGTCTTCTTGTGTGTCCCCGCTCCGCCGCCCTCCTCCTCCCCGCTCCCAAACATTTCAAGGTACGGCGCCAACCACAAAATCGGTTGGCAGTACGGCCGCCGTACATCTCGTTCGTACAGCTCCCTGAGCAGCTTGGGCGCCCACTCGGAGAGGAGTGCGTAGGCGGGGTGGGAGGTGGCTCCAGGGGAGGGGTCGGAGGAGGGAGGAGATCCCTGCATGTGTGTGTTTGGGGGAAGGTGGGTAGGCTGGTAGGGTATGGCGAGGGAGGGGCCAATCGCTCATACACGATTCCCTCAACCTTGCTTGCGAGGGGGGGGGGTAGGTACACCCTCTCGGGGGGTGTACCGGTAGCTGCTTCAGGAGCCCTGCTCCTCCCACTTCACCTGCCCCCTCCACCTGCCCCTCCGCCCCCCACACACACCTTTGGCAGGTATGTGTGGAAGACCAGTGAGTTGAGGCATGCGCCCACCGCCCGCGCCGCCCCCAGGCTCAGCGGCCGCGGCTGCTGTCCGTAGAACTCGCCGTCGTCCAGCACCAGCAGCAGCTGGGAGTAGGTCCTGGAGGGTGAGGGGGGAAAAGAAGAAGGGAAACCATGTGAGAAGAGGAAGCATGCGTTACTTGACAGTGGCCACCCAACAAGGATGAGTTGCTGGTGGGTGGAAACGAGAGAGGGGCGCATGGATGAGGGGGGTGAGGTCCCCTGTCCTACCAAAGTTGGAACAGCCTTGCCGCCTTCCCGACCTCTTCCCCTAGCGGCCCCCCAATTCATTCAACGCATTGGGTACGGTACCCTCCCTTTCTCCCCCCCCTTCCCCCTCCCCACTCCCGCACCCCACCCCCCTCCCCGCTCCTCCCACCTGCAGAACAGCCCCAGCACTCGGGCCCCCGCGGGCCCCACCCCCGCCACCCCGCCCGCCAGCGCCGCCACATCCAGTCCCCGCACCGCCTCCGCGGGCACCTCCCGGGGTAGCCCCAGGCTGAAACACAGCCAGCGCCAGAGGCGGGGCAGGCAGGCGGGAGAGAAGGAGAGCGCGTTAAGCAGGCTGGGGACGTCTGGGCGGGGGGAGAAAGGGAGGGAGGGGAATGCGGGAGAGGGAATGCGTTACTGCGACCCCTTCAACCCCTTCAGCTCCTCGCATCTCCCCCACCTGCCGCCCCCCCCCCCCACCTGCTCGTAGGGCCTCCGCTGCAAACGCCTCATTCAGCCTGGACAGGGGGGGGAGGTAGGGAGGTGTGGGAGTCAGGGAGGTGTGGGATGCAGGGAAGAGGAGAGAGGGAGAGGTGTGCAGGCAAGGGCGGGATGCGGAGGGCGGAGAAGGGCGTGCAGGAGGGAGGTGCCTGCCTGCCTGCGGAGACTAGCTGCGGTGCCCCCCCACCCTCCAAGCTCCCAACCCCTGCCTCTCCCCCTCCATCCAACTCCTCTTCCCCCCACCTCTCCCCACCTCTCCCCCCCCACCTGGGCCCCAGCTCCATTGCCGTACAGCACATGTCCGCAAACACCTCCACACCACCTGGTTGGGACTGGGGGGGGGGTTTGGGGGGGTTTGGGGGGTTTTGGGCGGGCACAGGAAAAGGAATACAGGTATTGAATCTCCTGGCGGGGAGAAGTGGCCAGGTTTGGGCCTACTGCTGGGCGTGAGGCCACCCCATTGACTCCCTTGCGTCTCTTGCCCCATCAACACTCCCCCCCACCCCTCCTCCGCCCTGCCGCCCCCCCACTCCCACTTGCCCTCCTGCTGTGCCCTAACCTATGGCTTCCTATGGTGTGGTTTGGTCCCCCCCGCCCCCCCGTCCCACCTCCAGCTCCCCCAGCAGCGGCTCCAGCAGCCCCCGCTGCCCCAGCGGCCACCAGCCCCCCACCGCGGCTGCTAGGTCGGGTAGCAGGGAGGAGGAGGGGGAGGGGGAGGAGGGCCTGCAGGAGGAGGGGGGAGCCAAAGACCATACCATACCATAGCAGACCAGGGGGGAAGAGGAATGCCGCGCGCAGGTGAAAGAGAGGAAAGGGGCGTGCGGTGGGAAGGTGGCGGGTAGGGGGCGGATGTAAGATGTGGGAACCACGAGTGGAAGGCTGGCCGGGCCTTTGTGCGTACCATAAATTGCACACTGCCTGCATCCCCCCGGACAGTTTGCTCCCTTCCCCTCGCGGCGCAGTTCAGATATCCCTTCCCCCCCTTCCCCCCTCCGCTCACCTGCCCACACCCCGCATGACATGCCGCATGAGCGCCGCCGCAGTGGCCGCAACCGCACCCGCCACACTGCCGCTGCCACCACCCGCCTCCTCCTCCTGCTCCCTCTCCTCCTCCTGCCTGCCTGCCCCCTGCCTGCCTGGCCCCTGACTGCCTGTCCCCGCTGCTGCTGCAGTCCGCGCTGTCCCTGCTGCTGTCCCTGCTCCCGCCCGGCTGCTGGTGTTGCTGGTGCTGGTGCTGGCCCCCACGACCTGCTTGGGCCCCCACAGGGAGTCGGACAGGGGGGCCAACACCCGACATGCAGCCCCTGCCGCCCCTGCCCCTCCTGCCCCCGGCCCCATGCAGGGCCCCAGCAGCAGCTGAATCAGGTTGGAGAGGCACCAGGCGGCCTGGGGGGGTGGGGGGAGGGGGGGAGACGGGAGGGGTGGCCGTGGGGAGCGGGGTTGGTTCGCGGGAAGGCGTTGGGGTCCAGAGGACACGCAGCTGTCCGCTCCTCCTACCCCACCCACCTGTACGGCACCCCCCAGCTGTCCGCTCCGCACCAGCTGCCGTACACAGCGGCACAGCGGCACCCACACGTCCGGGGCGCGCAGCCGGGCCTGCACCTCCTCCGGCACCGCCCCCACCGCCCCGGGGGCCACCAGCACCAGCTGAGCGAATGCAGCCACACACCGCCACCCCTTGCCGCCACCGCCACCGCCTTCGCCTCGTCCTCCAGCTCCTGCTGCCACACCTCCATTGCTGCTGCTGCTGCCCTGCCCCTGCTCCCCGTCCCGCCCCTGCCCCCCCTGCTCCTCCCCCTCCAGTGCGGACCGCAGCACCGCCACCACCAGCCCTAGCAGCCGGGAGAGCTGCTGCGGGGGCTGTTGGGGCGGCGGTGGGGGAGCAGGAGCAGGAGGAGCTCGCTGCCCTCCCTGTCCCTGTCCCTGCTGCAGCCCCTGCCCCTGCTTCCCCTCCTGTTTCTGGTGGTGTTGTGCCGCCAGCAGTCGTGCCAGCGCTGCGAACAGCGGCTGCGGGCGGGCGGACAGCCGGCAGCGCAGCTGGGCGGTGGCGGCATGCGCGGCGGAGCGCTGGGGGCTGGGACCTGAGGGGGGGAGGGCGCGGAGGGGTGGGGAGGAGGGGTTGGTGGTCTTAGGTTAGTGACATGGGGCTGTGGGGGTTGTGGGGGCTTTCAGGTTCGCATGGGGATGCGGGGTAGGTACACAGGAGGAGCGGGCAGGCAATTCAGCCGCCAACCCACATCGACCCCCCACCCTTCTTCCTTTTAACCCTCGCTCCTCCCTCCTCGCTCCCTACCCGGTGTCAGGCACTTCCAGCCGCTAGCGTCCGTGAGCAGCACCGCCAGCCGCAGCGCAGCAGCGTCCACCACCGGGTCGGACATGCATCCACTGCCGCTGCTGACACCGCCACCCCCGGCCCCGCTGCTGGTGCTGCCGGGCCGCCCCCCTCCCGCTGCTGGTGCTGCCACCAGTCGGCAGCATGCGAGCAGCAGCCGCCAGGACTGCTCCTGCCAGCTGGCCTGAGAGGGGGAGGGAGGTGGGGGAAGAGGAGGAGGGGAAGTGGGTCGGCAGCGGGGAGGCAGAAGGGGCGCCTTACATGAGAGGGAGGCTGACAGCGGAGCCTTTGTCCAGGCACGCATGTACCCCTTCTTACACCGCCACCCCTCCCCCCACCTCCGCCTCCGCCTACGCCTGCTGCTGCCACCCCCCTCACCCGCTGCCGCGCGTCCCCGCACGTGGCTAGCGCCAGGTAGCTGTCCCGTGGGTCGCTCGCGGCGCAGGAGCGCAGCAGCAGCGCCAGACTGCCTCGCACCATGTTGAGTAGCGCGGGGGGCAGGTGGGGGCAGCAGCTTCCTCCTTCGCCTGGGGCGCGACCGTCACCATGCGGGTCGCCAGGGGGGCTGGCCCTTAGCGGTGTTGCTGTTTTAGTGGAGGGTGCTGCTGAGGGTGCTGGTGTGGATGGTGCGGGTGAGGCTCGTGTGGCTGTTGGTGTTGGTGTTGCTGAGGGTGCGGTGGCTGCGGTTGGTGCCCTTGGTGGAGGAGGTGATGCGGGTGCAGCTGCTGCCGGGGCTGCTGATGGTGTTGCCGATGGTGCTGGTGGTGCAGCAGGCGGCGCGGCAGGCGGTACGGCAGGTGGTGCGGCAGCGCGAGGTGGCTTGAGGAGGAAGAGGAAGGGCGGCAGGAGCTTGGCTGGGGCGGTGGAGGGAGGGTGGGGAAGCAAGGGGGGCTGGTTGGTCTTGGCAAAGGGGGCTACCAGGGGGCTGGGCAGCAGCAAGCAGGTGACCATGCCCTTCAGTCGTGGAGTTTCCTGCACCCAGCCCTTAACCCGCTACGCCGTCCCTTCAGAAGCACGGTAATTCCCAGTTCCCAAAGAAGGAACCCATACTCCGGCGAATGCATACGCACACACGCCCACCCACCCGCCACCTCCTCCGCACTCAGGCTCCGCGGCCCAGCCCCCTGAACCGATCCCCCGCCCGGTGCAGCCGCCACCGCCACTAGAGGGCCGTACTCCGCCGCCCACTCCGAAACCAGCGCCGCTCGCAACCTCCGCCGAGCCGCATGTCCCCGCCATGTGCGCTGGATTAGGGCAGCTGCACGGTTGCGCTGGCGGGCGTCGCTGCGGGCCGCCCGCTCTGAACGGACTGCATCCAGCAGCTCATCCCTGTGGGAGGATGAGGTGTGGGGGCATTATGTAACGGTGGGGGGAGGGTGCATGCGAGCACGGACGTAGGTCAGGATAAACTGAAGTGCGCAAGGGTATATGGATGACTGAATTAATAAGTTTACTGCTCACCTGGTCTGTTCTTTTCGCGTTGAACCTCCAAGGCCACGCATGTTGCGAGGCACCAACAAGAGCGACTACGCGCACCTAGCAAAGCTTATTTGGCGAGCGGTAACTGTAAGTTATTTCTGGTAAAGAACTTTTCCAGGATCATCTTGAAAGGTTAGGAGTTTGGGTTTGGAAGGATTTGACCATGGTAGCGACAAGGCCCTAAGTAAAAGCATAATTACCATATACTCATTAACGCATGTCACATACCAGTAAACTGGTGTCCAGGTTTGCCTGAAAGTTGACTTCCTCGACCGCTTGGAGTTCCGGAGCAACCCTAGCGGTTGATTCGTGAAGTCTGTGAATGAGCTTCCTTAGGTGGCCGCGCACGTCAATAGGATCTCGAAAGTGTTAATGGTTTGCATGCGGTAAACGCTTTTTCATAATGGATTCCTGCTTACTAAGCGCAAATTGCTAGATAGCCCGTACCGACGCTGAATATATATTGCCGAAGGTGTCCCGTGATAAGAGCATGTAGACTTTGGAGGAAAGGATTGCAGCTACGCCTCTGCGCTCAAGAGGGTTATGCTTGCGCCGCTCCGATAGACATTTCGTAAGCCCCAAGTTGCGCAGGAGTCAAGCGCGGGGGAACAACTACTTGTAATAGCTGCCGCCCAATCCCCCTCCTCTCCTCGTCCTCACACCTCCCCCCACAGCTCCCTCACGCAGTCCAGCACCTCCGCCAGCCTCCCCACCGCCGTCAGCGCCCCCACCGCACCACCCACATCCGCCACGTTGCTCGCGAAACGCGCCACCCCCGCAGCCTCACCACCACCGTCACCAGCACCACCACCACCTTTGCCACTGCCGCCACTGCTACCACTGCCACCACCACCATCCTTTGTCACCGCCTCCGCCGTCGCTGCCGCAGCTGCTGTTGCTGCAGTCCCGGCTCCCAGGTTTCCTGTTGACGACGCAGGTGACGTCCGATGCACCTTCCCTCCCTCACCTCTGCCTGTCCCTATCATCACCACTGCCGCCGCCCCTGCCGCCGCCCCCTCCTCCTCCTCCACCTGCCGCTCCAGCTCCTCAATCACCGCTGGCAGCATGTCGTACAAGGGCCGTACGGCAGCCCGGTATACGGCACTCAGCACCACAGCACGTGCATCATTACCATTACCGCTACTACTTGCCAGTAGTTGTGACTCACAGCCATGAGGTCGGGGCAGCTGCTGCTCCTGCCGCCAATGCTGCTTGAGAGCAGGCCGGTGTTTTAGGGCCATGAAGCGCAGCACACTGAGGGCGGCAGTGGCCGCATCTGCACGCTCTACAACTGCTGCTGCAGGTGTTGCTGGTGCTACTGTTGCTGGTATAGCTGCAGCAGCTGCGGGTAACAGCGGCAGCAGTTGCTCCAGCACGAGTCGCAACACCCAGGGACCGCTGAAGGGCGAGGACACCTGCACCCCCGCTGCTGCTGCTGCTGCCGCCGCCGCCACGCCGCCACTGTCGCCACCACCTGCCGTTCCTGCTGTCGCCGCCACCCCCCCCGCTGCTGCTACCTCCTTGCGCAGCCGCTGCAGGGCCAGAGCGGTGAGCTGCAGCGAGGGGCCCGAGGCCAGGCAGGGCAGCAGGGTGGCGCGCAGGGAGGCGGGGAGCGCGTCTAGGAGGGCCTGGGGAAGCGAAAAGGGGAGGCAGAGGGGGAGGCAGCAGCAACAGCCGCGTCAGCCAGGTTAAGGAGTCCCATATCTTCCACCAATACCGACCATGCCTTTCGCCTCCTGGCTACACACCTCCAAACCTGCCCCCACCCCACCTGCAACGCCTGGTGGGCCAGCCCCCTGACCTCCTCCCCAGCCGCCCCCGGCGGGCTGTGAGCCAGCGTGACAGCTGCCACCGTAGCTAGCCGCTCCGCAAGCGGCTGTAGCTGCTTTTGCTGCTCGTCCAGGTACGACACCCCAGGGGAGAACTCAGCTAGCATGTCGTACAGTTCCCTGGCGGTTAGGCTGATCTCAGCAGCAGCAACAGCCTCATCGTTGCGGTTCTGGCCGGCCTCGGTTGCGGTACCAGCGACAGCAGTAGCTGCCCCTCTACCTGTCGTACTGGCTCCGCTACCTGTCTGTGCTTGCGTGCACGATAAGCGCTCGGCCAGGGTGACCCATGGGTCACAGGCGGCCTGCTGCTGCTGCTCCGAACTCCGCTGTTGTGTAGATGCTGTTGCGGTTGCTGCTGCCAGCAGTGGTGGCGGCTGTATCTGCCGGCCCCGCTGCACCCCGCATGCACACGCGCACCCCGCTGCCAGCAGTTGCAGCGCCCGATGCAGCAGGAGGGGGCTGTCCTGGAGGCCCGCCTGGTGGGTGAGGGCCTGGCTGGCCTCCAGCACCGCCTGGGGTGGGGGGAGGTGGTGGGGAATGAAATGAAGGAAGGCACCGGTACGTGGTAAGGAAAGTGCAAACCAGGTAGACTAGGTGTGCAGCCGAGGGCAGAAAGAGGTGTGGAATACGCGCCTTGGAACTCCAACCAAGTCCCGGTCGCGTCCATCCGCCTATGCCATAAACTCACTCACACCTGTAAGGCCACCAGAGACCCGGTGCTGCCGCTTCTGCTATTGCCGCCTCTGCTACCATGATTCGGCACCGCTGCTGCTGCCGCTGCGGGCATCTCACACGCCCTGGCCGGCGCTGCCTGCCGCCCCGCCTGCCGCCCTGCCGCTGCACCTGTCAGCTGCAGCCACATGCAGGTGGCCGCACCCAGCCGGATGAGATGGGGGTTGGAGCACACCTTGGGGAAAGGAAGAGGCGGGAAGGGGCAAGGGCGGGAGGGGGCAAGGGCGGGTTGAGGATGAGGCAGAAGGCAGGGACTTGGCGGTAGACCTGGTGTACGCAAGAGTGAGAGCTGGGTTAGGTACTGTTAAAGACCGCGTGGAAATCCCCAATCCGCTCGCCCCTATAGCCCCCTCTTAAACCTCCAGCACCATTCCTTCGCGCTCACCTCCACATCCTCATCCTCCGCCGCACTGTTCGCTGCAGCCCACACAGCCTCCCAACCCACGCTCCCAACCTCCGCCCCTGTCCCTGTCCCCTCCCCTGCTCCTGCCTCCAACCCGCCTCCCGCTTGTGCTGCTGCCCCTTCCTCCGGTTCCGCAGGGGTCCTCAGGTAAGCCCACAGCAGCCGCAGCAGCGCTGATGCCCCTCCGCCAGTCGTTCCAAAGATCTCCGGATGGAGCCCGAATGACCCGTGGGTCGGCACTGCCGCCGCTGATGTGGTTCGGTGGGACCTGACCTCCTGCGGCTCCCATGCGGCCCATAGGGCCCCCATCAGGGCTACCAGCCATGCGGCCACACGGGCCCTATCGCGGGCATAATGAGGCTGGGACTGCGATGAAAGCGAGGTAGATGTGGTGGAGGAGGTGGAGATGGAGGTGGGGTTTGTGGGTTGAAGGGGTGGCAACTCAACAGAGAGGACCTGTGGGGCCGGTTGAGGTAGGAGAGAGCGATGGTGGGAATGGTCAGCAAGGAGTAGATGGGACTTCTGAACGGGACGGTTAGGGTTTGAGCGCCATAGTCCTCAGCGGGACGAGGAACTAGAGCGCACCATAATGATGGTGTGCGGTTGGTCAGGACCCTTCCCACCTGCAGGCGCAGCTGCTTCCCTAGCCCTCCCTGCCCTCCTCAACCCCAACCCACATCCCACCTGCTGGTATAGCTCCTCCGCAAACTCCACAAACGGCCGACACAGCGCCTCCTTCGCCGCCTCAAATACCTCCTCCGCTACCTCCGCCTGCACCTGCATCTGCACAGGGCTGCCAGCGGTTCCCATGCCACCTGCTGCTACAGCCCATGCACCGGCAGCAGCAGCAGCAGCAGCAGCAGCAGCGGTAGCAGCCCCGCGGTACCCCGCCAGCCTCCTGCCCGCCGCCTCCGCCGCATCAGCCACCGCCTGCAGGCAGCTCATGGCGCACGGCAACCGCCGGCGCGGTACGACAGCCACCAGCGACGGTATGAGGCCACACAGCCGCAGTACCAGCTGCTGCATGTGGGGGCTGCTGCCACTCCTGCTCTTCATGCCACTGCCGCGCCCGCCTTCCTCGTCGCCGTTTCTGTCATTGCTGCTGCTATCATCGTCCTGCTCCTCCTCCTCCTCCTCGCTACCCTCCGGGTCCTGTCCGAATGCGGAGGTGCAGTGGCAGCTGATCACCTCCAGCAGCGCCGTCAGCACCTCCCTCGCACTCACAACAGCACCGGTGCTGGCACCACTGCTGCCGCTGGCAACATCAGCAGCAGCACCACCTACGGAAGAGGAGGCCCCCGCTCCAGCTCCAGCTCCAGCTCCCGCTCCCGCACCCGCCAGCCGCGCCAGCATCTCCGCCAGCGCTGCTGCTCGTGCTGCTGCCCCCGCTGATGCGGCTGCCAGGGAGCCCAACAGGCGTGGCAGCAGCTCCAACACCAGGGAGCCCAGCAGCAGCTGTGCATGAGGGGTGTGGGTGGGATGAGGGCTGGGAAGGGAAGGGGAGGCTAGGGGAGGGGGTTTGGGGCTACGCATATAGTATACGGTCTGCGCAGGCATTATCTCCAACCCCAACCTGAACCAAACAGAATAGCCCCTGCTTCCGCACTCACCCTGAAAGCACCCGAGTGGGGCTGCTGGCAGGTGCAGAGTTCCAGCAAGAAACCAAGCAGCAGCTCCGCCGCGTCAGCATCTGCGCGAGCATCCCGGCGCACCGACAGTCAACCCCACGCGACTACCCAGCGATAAAGCTGTTTACTATCCACATGAATACTTGCTTGCATGCCTTCGGCTGCTTTCTTAAAGCGCTATTAGGGAAGGACAACGCATGGATGGCTCTTCCGCTCCGAAACGTGATGTCGCCTCGCAACGGTTTACTCACCATTCTCTGCTTCATCAATCAGATCTAGTAGCAAACCCGTTGCTTCCGTCGAAGCATCCAAGTCGCCAGCTTCATGGGCCTCGGCCAACTGAAACAATCGGTCGCGAGCTGAGGACAATACGTCCATTTTCTTCGCAATCGTTCCTTACAAGAATACATTTCAGTGCTATCCTAGCTAAATTTCTTCTCATTCCGCTTGCAGCCTTACACATGGGTCCCTGCTAGTGCCGTACGTACCATGGGAACCAACGACAGACAAGTAACGAGCGCCTTGTGTATCTCGCATGCTGAATGACTTCTTCAGGATCCCGTGGTGCTTTAGAGATGGTAGAGCCACACCCGCCCCACTCAGCGCTACTCTTGCTGGCTGTCCTTTGTCCTCGCATACCTAGTGCTGCCCTGCATGCGGAAGAAGCGTGTGCACGTCCCTTACACAGCTGTAAGTGGGTTTTCGAGGGGTGCGCTGAGTCTGAGGCTAGAAGCTGAGCTTCCACCTCCACTTATGCTAAACGGTGTAAGAGCTGTCCGAGCTCCCGAGTGCTTACTCTCCAGTGCTTTTGAGGCGGGTGGATCTAACCACCTACATCAACACCCTGCATGGTAACCCCAACGTGATAGGAGCCAAAGCAACAGCGTGTTTGTGTTACATCCGGAATCCCTTCACGGATCCGAGGTTTATGTGCAAAGGCTTTGTATTTGCACCGCACGTCACAAAAGGTTCCCCGCACACGGCTCCCCCTGGGCTGGCTGTAGGTCAACGCAAGGCCATACCACCCGCCACATCGGGAAAGCTGCAGCGGGTATGCTTCCCAAGCGGCATGCATTACACCGTTTTAGGGGAAGCTACGAACATTCAATAACAGTTGTTCTTCTCCGCTAACTGGCCCGACCATGCAAGTTTCTCGCAAGCAATCGCGGTCGTGCCCTACCCTCAATTCCTATTGATACACCCTCCTTGTGTTGCACCGATGATGCTCTGCTCCCAGTGCCCCACAACGCGACACTCCCTCCAAAACTCCTGGATGCAACGCGAACCGTCCAGGCCGGCAGGGGCACAATGTGCCCCAATGAGTCACAGAGATGACATGGCGAAGGCTCAGTTGCTTAGAGCTTCAGGCCGCTGTCGTTGTCCTCGAAGTCGCCCAGATCTGAGTGAGGTAGGAGGATGAAGGCAAGGAAGCGTTGGTGAGACAAGGAAGCGTTGGTGAGACAAGGCTGGGAGCAGAAGGAGGGTTCGGACGATGCAGTAAGCAGGGGAGGGGATCACCGTATTGCCGCTATTGGAGGAAGCCATAGCATGGGCCAACCTAATCCCTCGGTGGACGCCAAACAAGCGAGGCCCAACTGCCATTGTCAACAGGCGCTGTGGAGTGATGGCTGAAACCCTCACCGCGCTGGCCGTTGAACCACACAGCCCACATGACGCCGAAGACACCAGCCAGAGCCCAGCCAAGGGCCTGTACATATGCGTCGAGTTGAAAAGTTCAGAAGTGCAAGCCGGGGAGCGACATTCAGCGGTCATCTTAAATGCCCTCACGCCTGACGGCAGCCAAATTAACTTACGGGCTCGTTCACACCGAACGGCAGGCCAACGCCATCGCCGTTCATGCGCTCATCGACCTGCAAGTAGATTAAAGCGACGTGTCAACAATGATAACCACACATGTTGCTTCATTTCTTATAGCATGGATGGCATATCTTTAAACATGATCTGTTCTTACCAGGGCGAAAGCGGGGCTGGCAGCCAGAGTGATGGGCAGAGTGCTGAGCATGGCAATCTTCTTGGTAATCTGCTCACGGGCGGTGGTCGCCTTGCAGACGACTGCAATGCAAAGTATATCCACAGCACCATGTGAACGGAAGCGACAATAGCGCAAGCGACCGCAACAAGCGCTACAAAGCCGTGCGAACAACGCCGACGAGGGCATTCTCAAAAGGGAACTTACCGCGCATAGGAGCGCGGGCGCCCGAGCGGCTCACTGCATTAAAAGAGAGTATAAGAGAACGTTAACGGGATCTACTCTAGAGGAACACGCGTAGTGAGGGCGCGGAGGCAAGGTCTCAAACGCACCGGCCTTGGCCGCCACGCGGGGAGCACGAGCAGAGAGGGCCTGCATTGTATTGTTTTGGTAGCAACAAAAGTAACAAGGTCAGCGACTACGGTTGCTCATAGCTCTGAGTGCTAGACGTAGGGATAAAAGGAAGGAACGTACGGCACTGATCCAGGGCCCTACAGTCCTCGGCACTAAAGGCGCAAGAGTGACGCTCAGTGTATGAAGTGAAGACCTGCGTCGTTTCTGCCGGAAGATTCGTTTTTTCCAAAGCTTATTCCAGAGCTCAAGACTTCAACGCTTGCAAGGGCCTAGCTTAGGGCCTTTGCGAGTAGTGCGCTGTGTCCAAGCCTTGCATCTTTTCCATGAGTAGGACTGTAGCGACAATCCATTTATGGTCTGAGATGCAACGAGGTAGATAAGCTGCCTACTTCCCCTCAATGCTCTTGCATTTTCACCGGTTCATTGTTGAGGTTTAACTTCAGGGCAACAAATTGCCAAACATACTGATAAGCTTCCCTGGCTTAGTTGTTGTCGACCAAGTCAACAGTGTTGCTTGTCGGTTGCTTGCGTGAACTGGTGCATACACATGAAGGCGTTGTGATGAGGTCAATGATCTGGGTCTAGGATGGTTGAAGGGTTATGGCTGGTACAATGGACAGGAGCGGCGGGAGCAGGTCTGGATGGTTGGGCTAATTCGAACATGGGCAAAGCGGGTACAGCCTGCACCCAACAACTAAAACGTCCTGCCTCAGCTGCATGTGAACAACCACCTGCAGTTTGCGCACAGCGGGGCAGAGCACCAATCTAGGTTGTGGCTTGTGGGGCCAGACATGGGAAATCCCCAACTGCTTCTAGTTCGGTGCTTGAATCTGCGTGCAATGTGTGCAAGCCCCAGCCTAAGCTTCCGTGGAGCCCTTGGGTTGGGGATACTAGCTTAAGAGAGACGTCTCAGGAGAGACTGGAGCCTTGCTAGACACCGTTCCGGCGCCAAATTTGCATCTGTTCTCGACTTTTAAGATCGATATATTACCGAGAAAACAACACCCACCATTGCGTATAGTACCCGACTACCCGTGTTCTGGGCTCTTCGCCGTCTAGTACGGCGATGACGAGAAGCTTAACTGTCAGCCCACGAACTGGATTAGCTCGATCTTAGAAAAGTGCTCCAAACGGACTGCATAGGCTTTACCAATAGTAATACCCAATAGCGACAAAGATAGCACAACCGAAGAGACATCCGAAACGTTGCGCAGCCACAACCTCCGCACCCTATTTTAGGAATCATTATGACGTCTGCTGCTTGCTTTGTCGCTGGTGGCTTAGCCCCAGGGGCAGCCCTAGAAGCGTTGCTGGCGAAAGAGCCCCTCTCCCTAGCATCTGTGGACCTGGTCTGCTGCGAGCAGCTCCCTCAGCAAGCCGATCAGTTAACAAAGTATGGCGTGGTGCTGGCCGCAAGCAGTTCACCCCACAGCCGAGACGCGCTTGCGCGTGTGGCGCGCAGCATGACGCCTGGTGGTCGGCTTTACGTTTATGAAGCCGCGCATCCCGGCACATCCGGCAGCGACAGCTCACGCGTGGAGGAGCTGAAGAAGGACTTGCTGCTGTCAGGCTTCACGGCAGCTCAGGAGCTCAGCAGCAGCGGTGCAAGCTCCAGCGCCGCAGCTACACCAGCCGCCTGGGTAAGTGCTGGCTGCCCGTCTGTGAACCGTATCGGTGGTGGTGGTGGTGCGCGTTTGTGCGGTAGCAATCATGTGATCACGAGCACGCAGTATAGGCCAGCCCAGCAGCCCTCACCTGAGGTGACCTACCCGTTGGCGATTGCGTGGGGGCCTCCTTTTTCCCTTCCCAGCACGGCCACGCACCACGGGCAGTGTGTTCTGCACTGCTGTCGTACGAGGTGTCCCCTTCAGATGTTCACACGCCTGTTCTCATCGCGCTCCTGGTTACCGTCATGCAGCACCCAATACAGTACCTGTATTGGGTGACCCAGATGACCCAGATGAGCTACAGTGTGGGAGTGTAGGAGTAGTACTGGTGTAGGGGGGTTAGACATCAGGGGTACGCGGGGGCTGCTTGGAAGGGCGTACGGCGTAGCAAGGAGGGAGCTAGGGCCTGAGGACTGCCATTCCCCATCTGGGTCGGCCAATGGCTTGGTCTCTTATGGCAGTAATGGCCACGAATGCGCCAGTATTGGTCAACTACCGTTATGCTGAGTGATGTAGCTCATCTGGGTCATCTGCAGCACCCAATACAGTTGGGTGACCCAGATGACCCAGATGAGCTACATCACTCAGCATAACGGTAGTTGACCAATACTGGCGCATTCGTGGCCATTACTGCCATAAGAGACCAAGCCATTGGCCGACCCAGATGGGGAATGGCAGTCCTCAGGCCCTAGCTCCCTCCTTGCTACGCCGTACGCCCTTCCAAGCAGCCCCCGCGTACCCCTGATGTCTAACCCCCCTACACCAGTACTACTCCTACACTCCCACACCCCTTCATGCGGCCAACCCCTTCCCTTCGCCGCCAATACTCACCCTGCGCTTACCCCAACATCCTTTTGCAAACATCATAGCTATTTTCCTTTTATTAACAACTGCCCGTCTAACCCTTTTCCCCGCCCCACCCCGCCGCCCGCCCCACCAGGTCACCGCCCAGCTGCCGCAGTGGGGCCTAGGCGCCTCAGCCAAGCTCTCCCTCAAGCGACCGCAGCAGCAGCAGCCTACGGACACCGCCACCACCACCACCGCGCCCTCTTCCGCAGCACCCTCCACCACAACAGCAGCACCAGCACCTGCAGCTCCGCCCGCTGCGACAGTGGCCAGTGTGTGGAAGCTGGCGGCGGGGGGCGCTGACGAGGAGGGCGGCGAGGAGGATGAGGAGCTGCTGGATGAGGAGCAGCTGCTGACGGAGGAGGAGCGCGGGGCGGCTGCGGCGCCCAACCCAGGTGGGGGGGAAGGGAGGTGCAGGGGGGGTGTGGGAGTGGTGGTAGGCTTGGTGATGGCATTTTGGTACCGGTAGGTCATGTGGGTCAGGCGCTTGCGACAGCCGCAGGACACCTGACACCGGAATGGGGCTCATGCTGGATGTGTCTCCGTCCCGTCCCGTCCTGTTCCCCCTCCCTCCTTCCTGCTATCGTTTATGCAGTTGTAGTAGAGTCTATAGCATGACCTTCTTTCCTGTCGATCCCCTCCCTGCTGTCAGACGATTGCGAGGTGGGTGCCTCGGGCCGCAAGGCGTGCAAGAACTGCACCTGCGGGCGAGCGGAGGCGGAGGCGGCGGGCGAGGGCGTCAAGCTGACGCCTGAGATGCTGGAGAACCCGCAGTCTTCGTGCGGGAACGTGAGGCGGGAACGCGGGAGGGAGGCGGGGAGGGGGACGGGCTAGGGGGAGGGTGTTGATGAGCGTTGATGGGTTGACGTACCATGGTGGGGGGCTAGCATGGGTACCGTAGTTGTGCATGACTGGTTGCAACAGGGGTTTCTCGTCATGTAGCTGAACAGTCGTCATGTAGCTGAAACAGTGCACAATGCACCCTTCGTTATCGGACCCAGTTGCGCGTACGGGCATTAGTGCAACCGGTTGCAAGGGCTCCCTCTCTTGGCTTCCCTCCCTCCCGTGTTTGACTCCCTCCCTCTCTCGCCCACCACCCCCCTCCACGGCAGTGTTACCTGGGGGACGCCTTCCGCTGCGCCTCCTGCCCCTACCGCGGCCTGCCCGCGTTCAAGCCCGGGGAGAAGATCACGCTGGGGGCGGGCATGCTGACAGCGGACCTGTAGCGGTCGTCCTTCGGGAGACGGGGTGTGTGTTGGAGGGAAGGAGGGGAGGGGCAAGGGGAGAGAGGGGTAGGCGAGGGAGTGCGCGTCGAGCGAGGAGGGGGCTCGATGGACGGCTCTATTCTGAATAGGCTTTAGGAAGAGGGGGGTAAGGTTCGGTTGGTGGCTTCTTGGTAGGAGCCCTGAATGGTATCTGAGAAGGGAGCAGTTGGCGAGGGGAGCGGTGCGAGGTGGGGGCGGCGGTGCTGAGGCATGTGCCGGGGAGCTTGCGGGGCACAGCAGGAGCAGCAGCAGTGGCGGCGTGCTGAGTGGTGGGTTGGGTTGGAGGGAAGTCCATTCTCAGAATGGACTTTTTTTTAAGAGCCTTGTTGGCTGCTGGCCGCATGGGGCATGACGAGTTGAGCTGTACGTTCGTACAGGCACAGGACCTAGCATGCCAGGCTAGGGGAGCGCCGGGCGGAATTCGGCATGCAATGGTGTAAGCCGTACAAGCAACACGAGGAGGGAATGCTGCATGTAATCCAAAGGGTGTTCTTCAAACAAGTACTGCCACCTTCTGCCCAACAGATGCAGATATTGCATTATATCTCAACAAAGGCATGTCACCAGTTGAATGCAGCCTGCAAGGTGTTCCTGCTCCGCCACTCCACCTGCCGTCCCACTCCCTGCCCAACCTACATCAACCTGCGCCATCTGATGACTGGGAGGACTGTGGCCTAGCTTCCTCCCTGGCATCTACTACTGTCAGGGTCGCGGCTCAGTGTACCTAATCCTCTAGCATCCCAGCACAACCGCACACACGGACAACCTGCCAAGCCTCCCGGGCATGCCCGGCCCCCGCTTACCCCACACAATGACCCAGATGCCATGCACCATGCACCATGAACCATGCAATGCAAGCCGCTCCTTCAGTGTCTCTGCTGCCCTACTACTAGTACACTCAACATGCGCTTCTGTGCTATCCCACATACCCCTACAGGTACGCGCCCCCACCATCAGTTAGTTGTTTCCTCTTTACCCCCCCATCTGGTGGGCGTACCTCGCCCTCACAGATATGAATACCCCCCTAGCTGCGAGTCCTCTGCATGGAAGAACCAGCACAGCATCCCGGAGGCAAGCACCAGGCAGCACTGCAGCACGCCGCTCTGGGTGTGGGGGCGGGGAGCGGGGAGGGGAGCGGGAGAGGCAGGCAGGGAAAAAGGGCGGAGTGGCAAGTGGGCATGATGAGGAAGACGGAGGAGGCTGGAAGTTGAGCGAACCCCACCACAGTCCTACAGTGCCACTCCAACCCGGCTCAGTTGGTTAACCCCGCACCTACCTCATCCACCTTCGCAGCCCCGCACCCCTTCGCATTTATTCTCTACCCCCGCACCCCTCGCCCTTCCCTGTGCTCACTCACCGCTCCCACCCACGTGTCCCCTCCTCCTCCTCCTCCCGCCCGCCCGCCCCCTGCCGCCCCCGCCAGCAGCAGCGCCACCGCCCCCGCCAGCGACCCCAGGGACACCAGGTACGACAGCAGCAGCAACAGCTTGGCACGGGTCTGGGGGGCGGGAGGGAGTGAAGAGGGAGAGGGAGGGGGATGGGGAAGTTACGACACATACACGGGTAGCGTGGCATGGCAGGAAAGGGAGAGGAAGGGAAGCGGGGGCTGCTCCTACCGTGGCCGCCTCATCCAGGTACTCCCCCGCCACCTCCTGGCGGCTCACGCAGTTCATGAGCAGCACCGCCGCGGTGGCGCCCAGCCCGGGCAGCAGGCTGAGGGGCGCGAAGGAGGCACCGTGGAGGGCTATGGAGACAACCAGCGCGTCACCCCAGATCCACCTGTCCGGGGATGGCGGGGATGGTTAGGCCATGGGTGGGGAGGTGATGGGGCGCGGGGAGGGTGAGAGATGGACGGAAGAGAGGATGGAGGATGGAAATTAGGATGTAAGTGGCGTGACGGGGCAACGAGGCCGAGGGGAATTTTGGGAAGGAGGGATGGCACCCGGGATGGACGGGGCTAACTGACCATGCCAGGCCGAACAAGACGCCAGCGGCAAAGGTCGCATGAGGTTGGATGGCGGAGTAAACGGCGTCCCAGTCGACCAGCCCTGAGGGGAGGCACCCCATGCGTCACAGCTGCGGCCCAAGCTAGGATGTTGGTTGGTGGGATGCGCCAAGACGTCGCACGAACGCTTGATTTATGTAGCTCTTCTGTTCGTGTTTATCGACAAGCGGAAAAGGGCAGACGCGAGCTATGTTTGGGAGGAGCGGTAGAAGCAACTGCCAATATGGCGGGCAGTCGAATTCAAGAGTTTGTGGGACGCTTTGACGTCAGCTATAATGAATCCAAGCTTTCTTGCTCGGGTTGACCAACGTGCGTGTGAAGGATTCCCATCTTCGTCATGTACGGCGTTCAGGGTTTGCTTTTATAGTGTCACGTCGCGTTACAATTAAAAGTGAAACCCACATCTTATGAATTGCTTTTACACAGAGAAGTTTATGCTTTGCTACAAGTCCTGTAACGCACGCCATTGGCACACGACATTGCCGCCTTATAAGGCATTTTAGAATAGCCCGTATTGCAAGAACCAGCTTCAGGTTGTAACAAAATTACACAAGTCCTTACTGTAGATGTCAAACCTGGACACTACCTACGTTTGGTGTAACATCGACATGCGGTCCGGTCCATGAGGTCGGCGGATTGGCGCAAAAGCCCATGGAGGAACTGAGCGAAAATGAACCGGCGAAGGAGGAGGGCGCCGAAGGACAGCCGGGAGAGGCGGCTCCGCCGAAGGAGGACAAGCCCATCCGGGCAGCCCTGGCCAATCCAAAATGCCCCGATCACCACTTCCCTTCCTGCCCAATTCCCTCCTACATCTTGAAGACCCCCTTAAGGAAACCAAATGGTGGGTCCATACCTCTTCGTACTTCCGCTACCCATCCTCTCCTCACCCCTTGGTGCGGAAACCCACACCACACCGCTCCACCCCTCGCCCTCACTACACCACCGCTACCCATGTCTCACACGCATCCTGCCTCCCGTATCCTAGCCTCAACACGGCTGGCTTCTCACCCCACCACCTCCCCCCCTCCCTGCAGCCCCCTCCTCCGCCGCCGCCGGCCCCCCCTCCCCGCCCGAGTCCGCGGTGTCCCTGGAGTTCCTGCGCGCCTTCGTGCGGCGGCTGCCGGGCGGCGGCGGCGCGGACAGCTCCACCACGGTGGCCTGGGTGGTGCGCGAGATCGTGAGGACCTCCACGGCAGCCACGAGGTGCAGGTGCGGTGAGGGAGGGTGGGAGGTAGAGGTAGAGGGATGGGCCCGGTTGCTAAAGGGAGCTCCACTACATGGTTAGCTTTTAGGCACCTAACTTAAGCCCTTCCTGCACCTCCTTCTCTCCTCTTCCCCCCCGCAGCTACGCCTCCCAGCCCCTCCTGGTCCCCCGTGAGCACACCTCCACCCCCACCTGGGTGGTAGCACACCCCTGGGACATGCCCTTCGCTGACCTGGTAGCCTCGCTGGACGCCTTCGCATCCGGCCTGCCACCCGCGCATACCTTCTTCTGGCTCGACGCCTTTGCGGTTAGCCAGCACAACGACGTTGCCGTACAACAGCCGGGTAGCGCTGCCGTACAAACCCCCGGCCTAACGCCCCGGTCTCCGGACCCGGCGGCGGCGGCAGGTGCCATGCCGGTGCCGCAGTCGCCCCTGCAGGTTCAGCAGCAACAGCTGGCGCAGCAGCAGCAGGCCATGTCCTCCATGCTACCCAGGCACCTCTCCACAACCGGAGCAGCGGACGTCTCCTCCCCATCCGCGGATGCTGCTAGCGAGGGTCCGACTGCTGCTGCTGCGGGAACTGGAACGGGTGCTGACGCAACCACCGCCGGCAGCGGCGGCGGCGGCGGTGACGGCAGCAGCAGCACCGGCGGTCCCAGACTGCTTTCCGCTCGCTCCTTGGGTCGTGCCTTGCTAGCGCAGCAGCAGCAGCAGCTGGAGAGGCAGGAGCAGGCGGTGGCGGCGGCGCGGGCAGGGGTGGCGCGGGGTGTACGGCGAGAGGCGCTGGCGGCGACGCTGGCGGCGGTTCGCGCGGCGCGGTGCGGCGTGTTGCTGGTGTTGGGGCGGGAGGCTCGGCCGCTGCAGCGGGGGTGGTGTGTGGCGGAGGTGGTGGAGGCGTTGAGGGCGCATGGACCCGAGGCGGTGACGCTGGTGCCGGCGGATAAGGTGGGTGGGGTGCGGTGGCGCGTGCTGCCGTGTACGTCTTGTACAGGTTGTCGCCGTACATCTGCCGTACGTGTGGCCTGGTGTGGCCTGGCGGCTGAGGGGATTTCGGCCTATGTGGTGGTTTGCACGAGCATGAAGCGGTGGGCATGACGTGTTTGGTTGGGCGAGGTGGCGGCTGATTACCCAAACGGCAGCCGCAGGGCGCGTTGCGGACCTTGCATGTCATGCAACACGCTTACAAGCCAAGCGACCCCTCGTCTTCTCCCTCCCTCACCTCCTTCGCAGTCCTTCCACAGAGCTGACCTGGTGAAACAGCTGCGGGAATTGGACCTCTCAGTTACCGTATCCACCGCAGACATCCACGAACGAGACGCCCTGGCGTCCGTCCTAGGCGTGCCGCCGCCAGCGCCCCCGCCGTCGCCGCCGCGACCGGGCACCATCGCCGCCGCTGACGCCGCCGCCGACGCCGAAGGCGGGCCCCCCTCCGCCTCCTCTGCTTCCGCCTCATCCACCGGCATCTCCTCCGCCGTACGACGTGGATCGAGATCTCCCTCGCGCCGTACTGGTGGCACCGGCGGCACCGGCAGCGTCAACTCCGCGACGGGTATCGTGCCGGCGCGTCCTGACCCCGGGGAGGATGATGCGGGGGCCGCGGGTCGGGCTCTGGTACGGCAGCTTCAGCTGGCACTGCTGCTGCGACCCATGGACGGAGCGTGAGTTGATGCGAAGGGTTCATCTGGGGCCTCTTCCATCTGCTAGGCTGCCTGGGGTTGGGGTTGGGGGGGGCAGGGGTCGTATGTCTGGTGGGGTATAGCTTGGCGGTCTGCTCTCCTGCTTGCTACGCATCGCTCCCATCCCGCCCGTGTTCCTCCCTCGGTTCCTGCTGGCCTCTTCCCCTCTGCCCTCCGCAGCCTACCCGCGCGCATGCTGGGAGCTCCCGTTGTGGACATGGCCCCCCTCGCCACCAACGCAGCCACAGCCGCAGCCTCCCGGCCCCACTACCTCGCAACCCCCACCGGGCCGCACACCCCAACCATCGCCAACACCGCCTCATCCCATGCCGCACCCGCACCCCCGCCCGGCTCCCTAGCCTCCCTGGAGTGGCTTTGGGACTGGTCCCCCTTCGCCGCTTGGCTGGCCCTGCCGCCCTCCAACCCTGCATGGCGCGCTCTGCTGCTGACCGCCCCTCCCGGAGCCGGGAAAACCACCGCTCTGGCGTCGCTGATGGCCACGCCGACCCACGGGTCAGTCGTGGCCGCCTGCCACTTCTGCAGCGCTGCGGACGCGCGCTCCATGGCGGCAGGCGAGGTGGTGCGCAGCTTGTCGTACCAGCTGGCGTGTCGCTCGCCGGGATTCGGAGCGGCTTTGTGCCGGGCGATTCTTGATAGCGGAGCTGGAGGTGGAGGAGGAGGCGGGTGCGGCAGCACGGTGGGCTTGGGGCTGGGCCTGGTGCCGGACGGCTGGCTGCATGGCGTGGAGGAGGTGGTGGATGCGCTGCTGCGGAAGCCACTGGAGCAGGTGAGGGGGAGGGGGGAGAAGAAGGAATGTGGGAAGCGGCGGCGGGCAAAGACTCGGTCTAGGGCCGCGGCAAACGGAGGCTAGCGTCAGCAAGGGAGCTGGGCGCTTGGTAGCAGTCCTGGCGCTGTCCCCACGAGCCCTCCGCTGCTCTAACCTCCTGCATTAACCCACAGGACGCTGAGGCCCGGGCTGAGCGAGGAGAGGCGCCCATTACGTACGTCCTCCTCATTGACGGACTGGACGAGGGACCCGCCACGGCGGCAGTGGCGGCGGCGGCAGCCGCCGCCGCCGCGACGCCAGCGTGGCCGGGCGTCACCGACCCGCGACTGACCCATGGGTCATCCCTGCCCTCTGGACCCGGGCCTTACGAGGTACTTCATCTAGTGGCGTACCACCTCCGCCACTTACCTGGGGTGCGTCTCGTGCTCTCATGCGCTAGCAGTAGCGCAGATGAAGCCGTTGGCGATAATGCTGGCGGCGCGACGCCTGCGCCAGCGGCGGTGGCGGCGCCGCCGCCACCAGCGCCGGCACCGTCGGCGTTTCCATCGCCGCCGTACGCCTTGTCGCCTCCGCTGGTGGTGGCCCCGCGCGGCGCCGCTGAGGCCTGCGGCTCGGTGTTGCTGGCGTTACGTCGGCTCATGCGATGTGTGGAGGTACCCCTAGGGGCGCTGCGGAGGGACAAGTACCTGCCGCTTGCGCTGGCCTTCTTGCTGCAGGTGACCCACGGGTCGTTCGGGGATGTGTTGAGTCGCATGTATTCGCTGCGTTAGTAGTTCTGGCATGGTCTGACGCTGCTGCGTTGGTAAACTGCGACGCGAAGACAACCTAGCATGGCACGGCGCTACCTGGCCCCTCTTGTCCATCCCGTTTCACCGCACTGCTCCCCACGGTACCTCACCCTTCACCCGCCCGCCGCGGCTGCCCCAACGCTGGCTGCTCCAGGAATACGTGTTGAGTCCGGAGCTCACGTCTCGCGAGCTGCTGTGGCAGGCTCGCGGCTGCTTGGCCCACGTGGCCATCCTGCAGCTGCTGGTGCAACACGCGGCGGAGTCCCTGGGGCCAGCGGGCGGACTGATGGACGGAAGCGCCGCCGCTGCTGCTGCAGCTGCCGCCGCTGCCACGACAGTGGCGGCGGCAGCGGCTGCGGTGGCCGCAGGGCCGCAGATAGGAGGTGCTCAACTGCCGCAACCGCAGCAGCAGCAGCAGGCGGGGACGAAGCGGGAGGAGAGCGAGCCGGCGGATGTGCCGCCACGGCCGCGGACGCCGCCGCCTCAGGAGCCCTCACCGCAGCGGCCCACGAGCCATGGAGCGGATGAGGAGCTGCTTGTGACTGCAGCCGTGACGGAGCCGGATGTGAAGGCGGGAGGGAAAGGGGGCAGCGGGGCGGCGGGGGAAGCGCCGCTTCCGCTGCTGCCGCCGCCGCCCTCCCCGCCGCGGGAGGCTGCGAGGCTGGCGGAGCCGCACAGCGGCTCCGGAACCATTGCCGTACATGTCGTACCGCAGGCCTCCAGAGGCAGCCTTTTGGATGAGTACGGCATCCTATGGCAGGTCCGTACGGCAGAACTGCAACAGGCGGTTGCGGTTGCGCTGTTTAAAATCGAGTACGAACGCGCTCAAGAACGGCTGCGGCGTTCGAACAGCAGTCGGAGGCGTCGAGAGGCCGGCGTCCCGGACATGACGCCGGGGAGCAGCAGAGGCAGCAGAGTCGGCGGCGGCGGCCCTGGCGGCCCTCGCTTGCCTCCGGCGGCCGTCCCTCGTCGCATGCAGCTGGCACAGCGCTTCGAGTCCTTCTCGCTAGCGTCGCTGACGGCGCCGCCGCCGCTGCCTCCACCGCATCCGCCGGAGCGAGCGGCTCGCCTGCAACTCATCCTCGACACGCTGGCGGCGGCGTCGGAGCCGCTAGAGTGGGGCGTGTTGGCACGCGTCGTACAGTCGAATGTAATTCAAGCCATTACCGCCGCCGCCAGCGGCGGCGGCGGCAGCGCTGGAGGCGCCGCCGGCCGCGACAGCTCTGCACTCGGTTCTGCGGGTGGCAGCGGCGGCGGGGGCAACCGCTGGCAGACGCTGCGCAGCGGCTTGTCCGCGGCGTCGGCCTTCAAGCAGCAGCTTGGCATGTCACCTGGCGACATCAATCTCGTGTCTCGGGGCTCTAACACGAATACCGGCACGGGCAGTCGGCTGGCGTCTCGAAGCGGCGGTGTGCATTACGCGACGTCCGCGACTGACAGCATGGAGGGCGCTAGCAGCGATCCGGACGACGAGGACGATGCTGACAGCGACTTGGATGATACTGATGAGGCAGATGAGGCTGATGGTGAAGGCGAGAAGGGAGAGGGGGGTGATGGGGATGAGGATGAAGATGAGGATGACGTCAGCAGTGAGTGGGACGACGGAGGGCGCGACGCGGCGCTGTACAGCGCCCCGCAGCAGCGACTAGATCGCGATCAGCAGCAGCGAGCGGCGATAGCGCTGCGAGACCTGGAGTGGGCGCTGCAGGTGGGCAAGACAGGGACACATGAAGCGATGAAAGGCTATGGCTGTGAGCCGGACTGATAGGTTGCTTGCAGCGTAGTCCACAGGGGCTGGTGGCCTGCATGAGGGTGGGGGGGCTATGCTGGGCTACGGGGCCGCCCCAGAAGGAAGTACACGTCCCTTCCCCTCCTCCTTTGTACCCTTCCCCGTAGGGCCCTCTGGCGGGTTTGATCTGGACCACCGGCTGTGGCAAGATCTCGGTACGACACTCCTCCTTCCTACACTGGCTGCGTCGTGGCGGCAACGGCAACAGCGCCGCCACCGTCGTCACCTCCACCTCCGGCGGACCTCCTTCCACACCGGGTGGCGTCGTACAGGCACCCCTGCTGGGCGTTCCTCGGATGCAGTCGGGCCATGCCGCACTTGCACGGGTGCTTCGCATGCAGGTATCCTCCGGTCGCGCGACAGCCCTGGGCGTGCTGGCAACCGCCGGACCCGCCAAACCCGGCAGCAGCTTCAGCACCCGGGGCGGCGGAGGCCCCTTCGCGGTCTCCGGCGGTTCAACTTCCTCCGCAGCCTCGGCGGCGATCGCGGCGTCGGCGGCGGCAGCCGCCGCCGCCGCATCCGCCGGCCCTGGCGGCCCGCGACCGACCGCGCTGTCCATGCTACCCGGCTCAGCAGCGGAGGAGTTCGCTGCGTGTTGTCCGCAGGCATCTGGCTACTGCCTAAGACATGTGGTAGCGCACTGCGCTAAGGGACGTGTGCCGGTGGCTGAGCTGGAGGCCCTACTTATGGACTTGGATTTCTGGCGGCAGGTGTTTGAGGGCGGGCATGTAGAAGTGCTGGCGACGTCCCTGGAGCACATTCTCCGTACACGCGGCCCGCATTCGCGTACGGCACAGTCGCTGCCGCTGGCGGCGTCAGCGACGCCGTCGGCGCCGCGAACGCCGCCCGCCGGCGCAGCGGCGGCAGCGGTTCGCGGCAGCAGCGGCGCAAACGCCGTCAGCTCGCGGTTCAGCCCGTCCTTCGTCTCAGCATCCGCGGCCGCCGCCGCCGCGGCGGCGGCGGCGGTAGCGGGGGCGCCAGCGTCGCCCGTCGGGGGCGGCCGCGAGCTCTCCTTCAACCAGCCTCCAGCCGCGGCAGCTGGCGCTGGCGCTTTCTCCTTCACCAAACCTCCCGCGGCTTCTGCAACAACAGCCAGCGGCGGGCTGTCCTTCACACTTGCAAGCCACCTAAGGTCCCCGGCATATCGAGGCAGTAGCCGTACCGGCGACTCCGCCGCCCAGGTTGCCGCTAGCCTGGGCTCACCTAGCTTCATGGGAAGCCGCGCGGGCTCTCGCTCCCGAGAGGGCTCCAGAGGCCGGCTGTCAGCCGCTGCGGTAACGCTGCTAAAGGACGCGTTGTTGTGGCTGCTGGAAAACGGACTGCGGCTCTGGCGGCGGCCGGAGCCGCTGCCCATAGCCTGCGGCGCTAGCTGCGCGCCGCTGCACTCGCCGTTCAGGCGTCTAGCGGAACAGATGTGTTCGGGAGCCGCTGCAGCGGCGGCGGCAACGGCTGGCGGCGGGAATGGCTCCTTCAGCGTCAACCTAAACCCCAACAACAATGGCGGAGGTGGCGGAGGCGGCAGCCGCTACGGCCTGCCGCCCGCCGCGGGCGCCGCCGGCGCCTCCGCCGCCGACGGCTCCTTTACCCTCAATTTCAACGCAAACGGCAGCACCAGCAACAACAACAGCAACAACACTTATGGTTCCGGCGCCGGTGCCGGTGCCAGCGGCGGCGGCGGCAGCCGCTTCGCCCCGACGCCCGGTGCGGCGCCGCCAGCCGCCGGCAAACCTCCTCCCGCCGGCACCCCCGCGGCACGCGGCGGCTTGACGGCGCTGCAGCACATGGAGAGCGTTCGCGGCACGCGCAGCAGCCCCGGTGCAGTGGACCGGCCTGCGGCGGCGGCGGCGGATGTGTGGGTGCCTCCATGCTACGTCACCACGCTGCCGCACCCGCGGACCTGGTCAGCTGCGCTGCGGGCTGCGGAGTGCCCGCACCGGGTGTCCCGGCTGCTGATCAGTCCGGATGGGGAGGTGGCGCTGGCCACCGGGGAGTGGACTGCGCAGGTGAGAAGGGAGCTGCGGGGGCTGTGGGGGATTGGGGCGCATGAGGGCATGAGGCGGGTGGGAGGGTGGGCAGGGGTAATGACGTACCTGTGGGCTGTAGGTTTTGTGACCTGTGTTTTATACTGGTACCGGTAATGGGTGCTGGTCCCAGCCTGGGTGTTTGCTACCGGTTCTTGCCATCTTCCAACTCCCTTTTATTCCCCCTTCCCTCACTAACCTTACCTCCTCCCTGTTACCCTGCCCCACCCCTAGGCTTCCCTGGTGGACATCCACAGCGGCCGCCGCACCGCGCAGATCGAGGCCACAACCGTCGACGAAGCGGACGAAATAGAAGCAGCCGGCGTCGCCGCAGCCCTCGAAGCAGCCACCGAAGCGGCTGCTGCCGTAGCAGCTGCAGCGCTGAAAGCCGGCGGCTCGCCCGTGCTCCTTCCCCAGCACTCCCAGCACCCACACTCCCGCGCTCCCAGCGCGCACCCCCACCTGCATTCTCCCTCCCGAGCTCCCAGCGCCCATCCCCACCTCTACTCCCCTTCTCGCGCCCCCAGCGCGCACCCCCACACCCTCCTCTCCTCCTCCTCCCGAGCTCCAAGCGCCCATCCCAACCTCCATTCCCAGTCTCGCGCGCCCAGCGCGCACCCCCACCCATCGCTCCACCGCTCCCTATCCCGCGCTGCTAGCCTGCACCCGCACTCCTTCCACCACCCCCCCGACCCTCCGGAACCACCTCCGCCCCCACCCGTCCACCATGCAGCCCTCACCTCCGCCGTCTTCTCACCAGACCGCCGCTTCCTAGCCACTGTGGGTGCCATTCCGGGCACCATAACCCTGTGGGACCCAGCCACCGGCGCCCTACGCTCACACCTTTACTTCAACGAGAGCAAAGCCAAGACTGATGGGCTAGGTGAAGGCAGCAACGCAGAAGGTACGGGCGACGGTGACGATGGAAACACGGGCTTGGACCGCGTCGGCACTCGGAGTGTGAGCGCTGGAGGCAGTCCGCTGCGAGGTGGGCTGCGGTCGCACACCAACACCGGCACCGGAACCAGCACCGGAACCGGCGGAGACGCCTCCGAAGCCACCTTTCGGAGTCACCTGCACCGCGAACGCTCATCCACACACACCCTCGCCGTCCGCTCGCAGCAATCGCAATCACAACTACATGTGCACAACACCGCCCCTGCTCGCTCCAACCTACACAACAGTGACTCCACCACGACCGCCAACCCCCACCAGCAGCACCACCTTTCCTACGCGGATTCCGCCGCCTTTGATGATGACACCGCCTCCCGCGGTGACGGTCTGGGCCGAGAGACTTCCTCCGGCTTGGGTGCGGAGGATGAGGACGACGTGCCGTACGTCACCTGCATTCGCCTGCACGCACCCGGCCCGGACGCCTGCGTCTCAGCCTACGGTGCGGATCCAGCCGCCATGCGCATGATCCCCGCCGCCCTGGCTCCCTACTCCAACGTCCCTGACACCTCACCGGCTACAGCCGCCGCAGCTGCAGCGGATGGCGCCGCCATCGCCACCGCGCCTGCAATTATGCGTGGAAGTGTGTTGCTAGCGGCAGGTGGATCTGCCGGCTCACGTGTGGTGTTGTGGGCTGTGTCGCCGGACGGCAGCAAGGCGGTTCGTACGGCGGAGCTGGTGCCGCCGGCGCCTGGCGGTGGCGCCGTGACCCATGGGTCGTCGTCGTTTGAGAGCGGCGTGGCGGTGTTGGAGTTTGCTGCGGGCGGTCGGGCGCTGCTGGTGGTGCAGGGGTGTAGCTCGGAGGTCCGCGTGTGGAACATACAGGTGCGGGTTGGGAGGGGGGAGGGGGGGGGAGCTGCATGGCCCATGATGGGTGTTGATGGGTGTGCTTGCGGCAGTGTTTCCTGTGCTATCGTTTAGGACGCAAGAATCCTAGCTAGGAATCAGAGCTTGCTTCGCATGTGGGGCCGCATCTTAAAGCTGCTACATTAGGTTTAGGATATCCCGCCTTTTTCATGCTCTTCAATCGCATCAGACCCCGTCCCTCGGTATCTGCTGCCCTCTCCACCCTCCACCCTCTCTCCCCCACAGTCACGCAACATCACCGCCGTACTGCGTCTGCCGGCCAGTTGCGGAGAGATCTTCGCACTCCACTTCGCAGCGCACCCTACCCTGTCAGTCACGGCAGTAACAGCCGCCAGCGCCGCCGCAGGCGGCGTCGGTGACGGCGCCACAGGCGCCGCCGCCACCACCACCAACAGCATCAGCGGCGGCGGCACCAGCTCCACCACCTGTGATACGCTTCTGGCCGCTGTGTGTACCAATTCCACGGAGCTTTGGAGTTTGGAGCGACGCAAGGCCGTAGCGACGTTACCCATCGGCGCCGGCACCGACGGCGGCCGCACCTGGGCCGAATCCTGCGTCGCCTTCAGCCCCGCGGGTGGTCTGCTTGCCACCGCTGGCGCGCTGTTTGCGTCCTTTGGCACCAGCGGCTTCACCGGCATTGACCCGGCGGCGGCGGCGCTGCTGGAGGCAGCGGCGGCGGCGGTGGGCCACGTCGATCGCTGCGCTGCGACGCTATGGGACGCCCGAAGCGGCGCTAAAGTAGCTCAGATGCGAGGCATGCGAGGGCCCGTGGCGGCGCTGACGTTTAGCCCCGACGGGGCGCTGCTGGCGACGGCGGCGGGTTCGTCGGTGATGCTTTGGTCCGCCGCCTCCGCCGCCTGTCTTGCCGTACTGCCGCTCGGGGAGCAGGCGGCGGACGTGCCGGCGGTGGCGTTTGGTCGCGGCGGCGCGGTGCTGCTGGCGGCGGGGAACGGCGGCGTGCTGACGTGGGATGTGTCGCTGGCTGTGGCGGCGGCGGAGGCTGGCGGAGGCGGCGGAGGCGGCACGAGTACCTCCGCCACACCCACGGGTGGAGCTGCTGCCGCGGCTGGCGGCGGCGGCGGCGCCGCCGCCAGCGGCGCTGGTGGCGGCGCCGCTAATCCGCTGAAGCGGCTCGGCAGTTTCGGTACCGGCCGCGGCAGCAGCAGCAACACCAGCGGCGGAATGAAGGGATCTGGGGTGGCGGCGGACCGGGGAGGTCACACGGACCGAGTGGCGGCGGCGTGTTTCAGCCCGGATGGCTCGCTGGCGCTGACGGGCGGTCACGACAACACTGTACGGCTGTGGGATGTACGGCGACAGGCGGAGGTGGTTTCGGTGGAGCAGCCGGGAGGTGGGTGGGACCTGAGATGGAAGGGCGCCAAAGTGTCCTGCACTGCTACAGCGATACGTTCTGCATCAGTCCTCAGGGCATGGACCGCTTGCTGTAATTTCCCTTCCTGCTGTAATTTCCTCTTACCTTCCCTCCTTCCCTTCTTGCCCCCTACTCGTCGCACAGGAGTCATGGGCATCGCCTGGAGCCCCGACGGCAACCTCATTGCCGTCGCCCTCTCCAACGGTACGGCAATCGTGTGGCACGCGTACGGCGCCGACTCCGCCGTCGCCGCCACCAAGGGTGACTTTGCGTCGTACGAGGCGGCGCGCTTCGAGTGCACCGACGGCACCATCGCCGTGAGCTCCGTCAGCTTCAGCGTCGATGGATCCATGCTCGTCACCGCCGTCGGAGACGGTACGGCAACCCTGTGGTCAACGCGAGAGTGGACCAAGGTTGGGAAGGTGACGCCGAAGCTTCGAGCGGTTGTTCCCGGCGCCGCAGGCGCCGTTGGCGGCGGAGCCGCCTCCAGCGGCTCCGCCGCTGCGGCGGCTGCCGCCGCCGCTGCCGGTACCCCTATCGCACAGTATTACGGAGCCACGATGAGTGCGGACAACAGGTGGTTGTTGTTGGGTCATGGTCGGGAGGTGCTCATGTGGAACGTACGGGTGAAGCGCGAGGCGTATCAGCGGTTGGGACCGCACGGGTCGCTTGTGTCGGCTATCGCTGCCAGTCCACAGGGTAAGATCTTAGCGGTGGGCTCAGGTCCCGTGGTCACGATCTGGGGCCGGCCGGAGCCCGGCAAGGGCGGCGTCATTCCTCCGGGCGCTGAGGCCACGCCGCCACCTCCCTTTGGACATCGGGACCTAACCCTGATGGCACATGCTGACGTCACGCATCTGTCGTTCAATCCTGATGGGATTATGTTGGCGGCGAGTTTGAGTGATGGGTCGATTTCGGTGTGGGAGACGCAACACTGGAAGGAGATTGGGTGGCTGACAGGGCATGGGGGCGCTGGGGCGTCATGCGTGGTGTTCAGTCCTGACTCCCGTGTGTTGCTGTCTACGGGCGGAGATGGGCGGGTGCTGGCTTGGTCCACTCGGGACGTGTTGGTGCCGCGGGCGCAATGGCAAGAGCTGTGAGGCTGGTTGGTTGGGGGCTGCAACGGTAACCGTTAGCAGGGCGCCGTTGATAGGAACCGGCTTTGTAGCAAAGTAAAATAGATAGCAACAACTACACTTCGCTCTAGGACTGTCACTTCCTTTGAGGGAAATTGATACCTGAATTGTTACTTAGCTGGATTGTGTCGGATGTGATACCACACCGCGGAGCGTACACCTACCGTCTGGCCAGGGTCTGGCTGTTCGCTTGTGAGCTTTAGCACAAGTTTCTTAGCACAAGTTTCGTGGACATCCGTGGCACTCTTTATTCGGTATAGGATATACCGGTAGATTAGATGGGTCGAAAGGCTGGGGGCCCGTCTAGTAGTAGCAGTAGTCGTAGAGGGCACAGGGCCCCGGGTGTGCGGACGCGGTTGTGGAAGGCGTCTAGTCTCAGCCCGGTGTCACTTCTGCGTCGTCGGAGTGTGGCCGCCGACACAGTTGAGGTAATTTTTGAAGGGGGGGCAGTATCGGTATGCACGCTGCGAAAGCTGTAGGATCGGGTAGGTAGACTGCACCTGCCGGTGTTCGACATCCTCGTGTGTTAAAATACCGGTAACCAGGCCGCGAGGCGGAACGTACTGTGATCTTTTAGTTGGACATGGTACTTTCGTTTCCTGAAATTGGCAACTGGGTAATTGTGTGGCGTCGTCGTCACTGTACATGCATGGGATTGGGGCGTCCGGATGACCACCTGCCCTTCGTCCGTAGACTGCATGGTACCTGTAGGCTATAGCGCCACGTGGCTGCAAGGAAAAGCGCTGTTAGCAACGCTACTTTCCATATCTGGCAAGGACAGGATGTCTGGTTGGCTGCCAAGCCTGCGTTGTACGTTGCGTTAAAGAGCCGGGCGGTGTATGTGAGCGGGTTATGGCACAACTTGCCTCCCCCCATTGCTGTACTACTCCCACGCCATATGACGCATTAAATTCATCCATGCGCCCTCCGCATGTGCTCTTACAAACGCAGCTTACGGTGTTCGAAAGTTGGACCTCAACGCCAACAGTCAGTCCTAAAGTGTCTAGCTTAAGCCTCAGGGCAAAACAAAGCAAAGCATCCCCCTGCATGTCGGCCAGGAAAGACGCAGCACTACGTAGTAACAGAGGGCCCCAACCTCGAATCACCCTCGGATACAGTTCTCATGCAAATCTGCATGCAAGCGTCGAGCTGCAAGTTAAAGTATACATGCAAGCCTCGAGCTATAAGTGAAGGAGACATCACGCCACCTTGTACGCTGACCCAGATCGTCATGCCCCTGGTATAATAGCCCGGGGCTGCCGCTGCAGTCACACGGGGCTGCTCCACTACTGGGGAAAGCAGTAATACACCGAGCCGCGCCGAACCACAAGGCAACGTATGCTGTGTGCGCATGCAAAGTGCTCCGAACAAGCAAAGCGTGAGCAACATTGAACAGGTTCAAAATCCTTGACAAGTGTACAGTATCTGTACGACATGAGTACGACAGCATACAGTGCCAAATCAGCATTTCTGCGCATCTCAGAATTATATACATAACAAGGGTCCCAATAATCACACCAGTAAATAAACCCACAAACAAGAAGCCCACAAACGTAGGACTGACCCCACTTCCATGCTTCTGCACCCGCATTTGTCGGGACCGTCCCCTACATCCGACTGGTCAATCTCACCCCAGCGCCATCCTTCCTTTCCACTTCCTCCTTCAACCCCTGCACTCCGCGCCGACCCACTGGCCACCTGTGCATCTCATACATCCGCAGCGCATGTCGCCCCGCGACTGTCTCCCGCAGCTGCCGGCCTGGGAAGTCCGGCCCCCAGGCCTCCAGCGGCGGCAGGTAAGCGCCGTACAGGCCCTCCGGCATCAGCAGTACGGCACTCATGGCGGCGAAGGTGAGGTCGGCGGCGGTGAAGTGCGACCCCACCAGATAGCGGCTGCCGCCTACGTCCCCGTCCCCGCCCGCGCCCAGACGGGCCCCTACCTCATCAAAGACCTGTCGTACTCGCTGCAGGCATGCGGCCGCCGTCTCCTCGTTGACCCGCATGCCCCGGCAGATGGCACCCCGCACCACAGGGTACAACCAGCGCAATGCAGCGCACCGCCAGCTGGCCATGCCCTGCTGCTGTTGCAGCTGCTCCTCCTGTTGCTGCTGCTCCTCCTGTTGGCCCCTTCCCGGTTCTTCTCGGCGGCTTTGCTGGTGTTGTACCTGGCACCCCTGCTCCTCCTGCTGCTGTGGTGGTGGTCGTTTTGGAAGCTTTCCGTCCCCAGGTGAGGCCTGCTGCCTCAGGCCTGCTGCGCCCCGCGCCTGCCTGTGCCCCGACAGCACGTCAAGTGCCATGTCCCTGTCTTTGAAGAGGTGCTGGTAGGCTACCACACGCGTCCACACACCCAGCTTGCGGGAAAAGAGCTGTTCGAGCTGCAAGACCTGCAGGCGTACGGCATCGACAATAATTGTAACCGGCTGTGCATTTCAATAATTGTGACACGCACGATAGGATTGCGTTGCAGCAAGGGGTATGTCTTATAAAACGCAGCTAGAGGCAGCTAGAGGTGTCAGTCTTACCTGCCGCAGCTCCTCTGGGTCCGAAGGATAGAGGGATGATGACAAGATGGTAGTCAAAGTTGGATTAACCGGCTGCGGCCTGCAATCCTCCAAGGACATTGACACTTGTTGTTCCCCAGCGGTCAGAGATGTTGTAGTTGTCGGGCACGGCGCAGGCGCCGAAGCAGCAAGCATATGCTCATGCGCGTAGCGGACAATGTCAGCCGAGTCCGTGAGGACCTTTCCCCGAGGCCCTGCGCCTTTAGGGCATTTCAGTACAGGGACGGATTTTGTTCCGCTGGCGGGAAGCGTCCCAGCATAGTGCAGCAGAGGTGGCCATTTGTCTTCCTTATAAGCAATTCCCGCATAGTCCAGCGCCCAGCGCGCACGTTCACAGTAATGTGAAGCTGGTATAGTAACAAGCACGTGCTTAGCCATGTTGCAAGGCCAGCGCAGGTAACATTGATGAGTGTAGGGGCGCTCTCTACCAGTATTCAAGTCCAGTCAAGGGTCAGCTTGGCCCTTTACCAAACAACCAGATGGAGCACAGCTGCACATCACAATCCCCTGGCTGATTACAACTTCACATCCCGTGTAAGCCGTTCCCCCCGGTGCGCATCCCTGGGAGAGACTCCCCTGGAGTCAACCCGCCAAGCCCCAGCCCAGCACCTTCCAGTGGTGCTGGGCTGGGCCACATGTAGGTGACCGGAGTCGTTGGTGGTTTCATAACCAATACCTGGATCCCTTGGCAGTCTCTAGGGGGACCTCTCCGGTATAACCTGTGGGAGCACCAGTTTGCGGGTTCTGGTTGTCGGGCAGAAGCTCGCCAAGCGCACGTTGCCCCGCCACTGGCGCCAGCACATCCTAGCTGTCAGCTGACGGCCCCCTGAACAACAGATAGCTCTGGGTGTGATACTCAAGCCGCAAAGCTGGATGGTTACGATGGGTAAGCGCCCCACACGTCTCCGCAGGGTACTCGGTAGGGGAATCGTCGAAGCCTGGGATGGGAGGAAGTCCGATGTGCATCGATGCCACACGGCTGCTGTGGTCATTGCGGTTAACGGACGCAACGTACCGTACGGTCAGTGAACGTACGGCAGAGCGGCTTGCACGGCAACACCTGAACTGGACACCCCAGAACACCGTTAAGTGGGTGCGAGCTTCGGTGTTGACGCAATATCAACTGTTGGAAACTAAACGTGCCGGCGCGCTTTGCCTTTGGCAAGTCGCTGGCCTTTAACTTGCTGTTAACACGAACGACAGCGTCACAGAGGCTCATTACTACACAAGGCAATATAGCTATCAGATTAGCTCTGCACCTACACCATACGATAGGCTGGATCGGCTTCGAAATACGCGGCGGGCTGTCGCGCCCATCTAACTGCCAATAAACTGACTATGGGGTCCGACTGGAGGTCGCAATCCATATGCGTAGCTGCTGGGGCGTTGATTGGAGCAGGCGCTGCCTATGTTGCATTTAAATATGCAGCGCGAGGCGCCGCCGTCCCTGCGGCATCGGGGACATTAACATCGCCAAAGCGCGATGAAGCTGGCAGCGGCGTATCCGTTGAAAACTTTCTCCAAGACGAAGTGTTGACGGAGCAGCTAACGCGCAACGTACAGTTTTTTGGGGAGGATGGCCAGACGGCCATCGCGAAATCTTTTGTAATCGTCGTTGGACTCGGTGTGAGTACGCCTAATACTCCCTCGCCGCCACAAACTGATATGCCAAACGTTTGAGCCATTATTCACAATCATAAGCTCATGCAAGCCATAGTCTAACGTACACATGCCATCCGCAACGCAGGGTGTGGGCAGTCACGCTGCTCACCTGCTGCTTCGCTCCGGTGTGGGGCGACTGCGTCTCATCGACTTCGACCAGGTGGGGCGCTTGGTGGATCGCCGTGGGCTGGGAACTTATCGAACGTCTCAACCAGGGCGTTCACAAGGGGTCCAGGGCTTCAGCTATAGCCAGCCCCATCCCACCCACCAGCCTCACCTGCCCCCACCCACCCACCCCGCAGGTGACGCTCTCCTCCCTGAATCGCCACGCGGTGGCCACCCGCGCTGACGTGGGCACCCCCAAGGCCACCTGCCTGGAGCGCCACTTCAGGCAGATCGTGCCGGAGGTGACCGGGGGAGGGGGGCAGCGGGGGAGAGGACAGCGGGGCCAACATGAGGTTGTGAGAGAGCGCGTGGGAGGAATCGAGGAAAAGAGGAGGACAGAAGTGAAGCTGTCGAATCCCTCCCTTCCTCTCCCCTCTCCCTCCCCGCCCAGGCGCACATCGAGGCGGTGGTGGAGATGTACACGGCGGACCGGGAGGAGGCGCTGCTGGACGGGCAGCCGGACTTTGTGATCGACGCCATTGACAACATCGACACCAAGGTGGGGGGCTGGAGGCTGGGGCTGGGGGGTTGGTAACATCAATCCAGGTCGAACAATACCACACCTCCCGCACTCCCTCTTCCTCCCAACCCAACCCAACCCACCCCTTCCCAACCCCCACCTCCCACCCACCCGCCCCCCCCAGGTGGCGCTGGTGGCCGCCTGCCACCGCCGCGGGCTGCGCGTGCTGAGTGTGGCGGGTGCGGGCGCCAAGGCCGACCCCACGCGGCTCAAGCTGGTGGACGTGAGCGAGTCGTCGCTGGACCCGCTGGCTCGGGCGCTGAGGACAAAGTGAGGGGGGGCGAGGGGGTGGGTGTCGCCTAGCTGTCGGCGGAGGCGAGATGATGGGCACTGGCGGCTGGGTTGCGTGTGCGCGTTAGGATGCCATGCAGCAGTGCTCCGCGGATACAATGCTACGGTGCGTGCCCGCTTCCCGTCTCTTCTTGTTTGCCGTTCTCATTCAACACATTGGGCATTCTTCTTTTCCCTCCCCCCTTCCTCACCTCCCGCAGGCTGCGCAAGCAGTACGGCATCAGCGGTGGCGTCCCGGTGCTGCTGAGCACTGAGAAGCCGCGCTGCAAGCTGGTCAGCATGGCGGACATGGAGGCGGGCAACCCGCTGGACTACCAGGTAGGGGGGAAAAGAAGAGTTCCCAATACATTGTGAAGGGGGGGAGGGGTGCGGATGCGCCTCTCATGGCCCCCACCCCAGGCACCGTATGGAGGGAGTGCGGAACTGCGGATGCTCCTGTCAGGGTCCCACCCGCTCACCCATTCCTAACGCCACCCTTCCCCTAGTCGCTTTCAGCTTGCTTGCCTCGCAGTTGGGCTTACCTGCTCGGCAGGTACCACCCTTTCCGCCGGCTCTCCTCTCTTCTTGACCCCATCTCTCCCCCTGTCCGCCCCTCCCGCCCCGCCCCTCCCCCCAGATCGTGCCCAACTTCCGCGTGCGCACCATCCCCGTGCTGGGCACCACCCCCGCGCTCTTCGGCATGGCGGCGGCCGGCTACGTGCTGTGCGCGCTGGCGGGGCCGGCGCATGCCGTACAGGGGGAGCCCATCATCCGGCTCACGGCGGCGCAGTACGAGCGGGCACTGGAGCGGCTGAGGGAGCGGGAGAGGGCGAGGTGGGGGCGGTGGGGTTTGTGGGGTTTGGGATGGGGAGATGTGAACTGAGCCGCGGAAACACGGATCGTGACCCTGGTAGTAGGGAAAAGGGGAGGTAAGGAGGTTCAGTAGAGTCGCGGTACGACTATTCATCCGGCCCGTTGCATGTAAAACCCTACAAACCTTGCCCCCCTCGCCCCGCCAGGTACGGCAGCGAGGAGGGTGTGGCGGTGGACCTGGATGACGTCACCTACCTGCTGAGGGAGGTGTGGCGCGGCTTCAGCGCGCGGGAGGAGGCGCGGGTGGTGGCTCCCGGGGGCGACAAGGGGCTCATGCGGGCCACCGCACACCTCACATTCACACGGTGGGGTGAACGGGGGGGGGTGAACGGGGTGGGGTGAGGGGTGGGGTGAACGGGGGGATCCGTACATCCGTTGCTGGGTTAAAGGTTGCTGCGCGCTGTGTTTTGTGCTCGGGCTCGGGCCCTCTCCACCCTCTTGGTCCACCTCCACTTAAACCTGATCGCTGTCTCCGCCCCCCCCCCGGCTTGCTTTGCCCTAACTTGTGGTCTCCTATGGTTTGGTATGGTCTTTGACCCTTCACCCCCGCCCCCTCACCCCCAGTTGGGACCCCACCCGCCCCGCCACCGCGGACAACCTGGTGCTGCTGAGCGGGCCGGAGGCGGAGGCGCACGAGGCGCTGCGGGACCTGGGGGCGCTGCGGGAGGCGGAGCCGCAGCTGGTGGCGCGGGTGGAGGCGACGTTGGAGCGGGTGAGAAGAGAGCTGTTCTACTGAGGAGGTGGTGGAGGTGGAGGTGGTGGAGGAGGGGAATGGTTAGGGATACATGTTCTGCATTGGAGGAGAAGGGAAGGGGAACGGAGGAGGCGGAGGCTAGGTGTGGGATGCGATCTGGTGGTTATGAGGGTGAAGCCCCTCTTAAAGCTGGTTTGGTGCCTGGCTGCTGTCCAGGTTCTCTGCCGGTAGCAGTGTCGCACCGGAAGGAAGGCGTGAGGCTTGTGGATGCTGGTTGGTGGCGTGCGCGAGGGTGGGTGTTTGGAGGCAGACATGAGTCCCCGGAAGAATTGTGGTTTGGGTGGTCGTATGAATGACGGGGGGCTCCTGTTGGAGCTGGTGTGATGTAATACGATGTCTGTTATAAGGTGGGTGCCTCATTAGGGCTGTCACAGACCATGTAAGGTCTGAACGAGCCCGAAACCCATAGACCTGTTACAGAGTTCGCTCATAGAAACATAGCTGGTGTGACGGTTAGGACCTGGTTTTGGGCTGAAGCTGAGGCGGCAGACGGTATGAGAAAGGAAAACTGGCCCTGGTGGTGAACCTACGTTTTGAATAAACCCGGTTTACTGCCGCATCATTAGGCATTGGCTGTGTGGGATTCTGACGCTGGCGGGATTCTATCATAGGTACGCCATTCGAAGCATCGACCGAGGAGCAGTAAGCTGCCGACCCAAATGCCAGTATTTGCAGTCAGAGCTAAAGGCTTCAAAACACCCACTATGTCTGTAGGGTGTGCTAAGAATGTGAGTAGGCGACGCCTGGCGCGACGAGCGGCGTCTCACCCTTTTGCGAAAGCTATTCCCAAAACATAAAGCCATATCTAACGGTAGTAATAAATGCTACATCGATCTGTTGTTAAAATGCAATGTAAAGCAGTGCGAGGGACAGCTGGCAGGGCCAACGGCCGTTGTTAGGTAAACAGCAAGCCTGCCTTTGCGTAGCGCCAGCAATGCATGTCGCGCAGTACCAAAAGCACGTTTAAACCTCGCAACCGAAGGAAACCGTTTCGCAAACCATGCTTGCGAAGCAAGTAACAAACCGAACAAGATGCCCGCTCCGCAACATAATGATTGAGGGCACGAAGGCGAAATCAGTGAGCAGACCAGCCGCGGATCTGGCGGCACAGTTGGTCTCGGCACAGTACATAGGCCCCTACAAATGCCGTACCAGAAGTTTGAGGATTTGAGGGCCGCCAATCCATGTCATCTTTCATACTCCCCGCTGTTGCTTTGCGAAACGGAAAGGCTTCTTGCTACCGCTATCGGCTCTCCATTTTACTTCCGCTCGAGCAAGACCGCTTGGCCATCAACTGGCTCAAGCTGGCGCCCCATAATCTCTCTACCTCTCTCTTGGCTCGTAGCACAACCCTCCTTAGAAGTCTGAATATTCAGACTTCGCCATTGTCATCGACCAGTTCCCCGCTTTACAGGTAAGGGCAGACATTTGATATAGGTGGCGGCGAAGCGCGGCCGCGGCTCTTCTCCATAGGCAGTGTTGCTCCATGGGACACCATGCATACCGCGTGTTGGCGTAGACGAGTTTCGGCACTTTTAGGCCAGCGCCGTGGCGAAATGCTGACCTGTCCCTTGTTTCGGATGTTTGGCTCCTGCACCCGCTTCCAGGCTTAATCGTGTCATCATGACAACCTCTGAGGTCCTGAGTCCCCCTCCGCCGGCCGCGGTCGCAAGCCTTGCCGCGCCGCAACTGCACAGCGTGGACCTGCAGTCCCTGCACCTTCCTCTGGTTCCCGACGTCGTCAACGTTGAAAACGGCAACCTGCCCGTCTTTGCCCGTAACTCCCGTCGTAACGAGTCGAGCAAGATGAACAACGTGAGTTGTTTCTCCTTCTACGTTTGGGCCTGGATCAGCTTGGTGTTCTGGCACCGCTCACGACGCAAAGCCTGCGCTTTAGCACTTTGGACATATTTAATTTTCCATTATTTTCGTGGTCTCTTTAGCAATAAGTTCTCCAATTTTCAACCTTCTCTCGATGTTGTTGACCATGCTTGGTTACTCCTGGCTGACGGTTATTGCACTCTATCCTTTTCTCTTGTGCAGTTTGGCCAGCCAACCATGCTCGACATGAAGGCCGAGGCCCTGGAGATGGTCCAGTTGGACAACTGGAGCGTCCAGCCTGTGGACCGCGGCCCGGCAGCTGCGGCGCCTGATCCGAAGCTGCTGCGTTCCTGGCAGTACCAGGTGACCGGCAAGCTTGCGACGGCTCAGGTGCTGGTGGACCTGAAGGTGGAGCACATCAAGGCTGGTAAGCATGCTTAGCTAGGTTGCGGCGGCTGTTGGAGATCACCACCTACAGTGCACAAAAGCAGATACCCCCCCGCTTTTACATAATGCCATGTTACATAAGGTTCCCCCCCCTTCCCTTGTATTGTCAGGTGGCCCCGTGGGAATGAAGCAGGAGGCCATCAAGCACATTGTGCACCACAAGCCTGACGACACGTTCTACATGGTCGATCTGGCAAACGTACAGCGCATGTACAAGGTAACGGAATGGTCCCTGCCATCCACTGCGAGTGGACCAGGGCCAGGGGTCGGGAGGTGCATGGCGGGCTCTGAATGAATCTTAAGGGTTGGGCTGCGCCGTGCATGCCATGGCGTTTGGTCTTCACGTAATTATTGTTTAATGCATGTAGGTGTAGATATGATGTTCCAAATTAACTCTCCCTTGCTGTGCTCCTATGTTGTCGGCCCTGCAGGCTAGCCCTGCCTGATTTCTCGCACCACCCATTTGGCATGTGCCCTTCACACCCGCACCGTGCACCACCACCACCACGCGCTCGCCGCCGCCTCATCTACTGTCTCTACGCCTCGTAACGCCTGCACCAAGCTGCTCTGCTTGGCCTGGAGTCTTCCGGGCCCTGCCATCAGCGACCTCCCGTCATCGCACACGCCTCACCAAGCGCGAGCCTTTCCTCCCGAGGGCAAGGTCTGAGCGGTGGTGGTGGTGGTGGCGGCTGGCACCGGAGTCAAGATTGGAGCATGGATTGGAGCGGCGGAGCCTGAAGACCCTGCACTCTGCAAACAGCACAGCCCAACCTGTTGTTGCTCCTGGTAACCCTCTCGCATACTCACGGACCATAACCTAGCCGCCTTTCCTACTAACTGGGCCGGTGTTCTCTCTCTTGTCTAGCAGCTAGGTGGTCGGCACTGGGCGCCTTGCACCGCATGTTGTTGCTGTGTTGTCTGCGCGGGTGTGGCGCGTATGTGTGTGTTATGTGTGTCGTCTTCGTCTTGTTCCTGTGCCGTGTGGGGCGTGTTGTGTTAAGCTCCGGAACCCAGCACGCATACCGCTTTCGCGTCGCGATGCATGGATTCGGCAGCTAGTGCCTGTGTAGTGACCTTGTCCGCGCGTTGCACACGCATTAAGCCACGTGGCGTCCTCCTGGCCTTCCACGAGACCAGAGAACACGCCATCACGGCCAGGAGGGCCCGTGGCTACCTTCGGCGCCTTCTTACCTCCCAATTACCCAAAATTGGGGGTGAAGGACTTGCCAACTCCAGGTGGTTGCTGACGGTTTTCTGTGCCGATTTCCCTCAGGCGTGGCGCGCCGCGATGCCCCGTGTTGTGCCCTTCTACGCGGTCAAGTGCAACCCGGAGCCCGGCATCCTCAAGCTGCTGGTGGCCATGGGAGCTGGCTTCGACTGCGCCTCCAAGGGCGAGCTCGACATGATGCTGCGCATGGGCGTCTCGCCCAGCCGCATCATCTTTGCGCACCCCTGCAAGCGCCCGTCTGACATCCGCTATGCCCGTGACCACGGCATTCAGTACACCACGGTAAGGGTTTGACCATGTGTTGTCTTGCTTATGCACTTCTTTCTAGTTCGTCTGTTAGGCCATGCAATCCCCACCCTTTCACACCTTACTTACCCGTGTATCATCTGCTACTCGCAGTTCGACACGGTCTCGGAGCTGCACAAGATTGCTCAGATCAACCCTGACTTCAAGTGCGTCCTCCGCATCCGTGCCGACGACCCGGACGCCCGCGTGCCCCTGGGCCTGAAGTACGGTGCTGAGGTGTGCGAGGCGCCTATGCTGCTGCGCACCGCCAAGGAGCTGGGCCTGCAGGTGGTAGGCGTCAGCTTCCACGTTGGCAGCGCCTGCCAGAACCTGTCCACCTTCTCCGGTGCCATCGAGAACGCCCGCAAGGTAGAACGGCCACCTTCCTTTTATGATGCTTTTTAATCCCGTTGACCTGATATGGACCTTGCGTGCTCATGCCATTTGTTAGTTTTTTACAGTTAGATAGTCGCATGACAGTCCGTTTCTGTATTCATTCGCAGGTGTTCGATGAGGCCCACCAGTGCGGCTTCAACATGGAGCTGCTGGACATTGGCGGCGGCTTCACCGGCCACTTCGACGAGATGGGCAACGTGATGTTCGGCGAGATTGCCAACACCATCAACACTGCCCTGGCGGCCTACTTCCCTCCGGAGATGAACGTCCGCGTCATTGCTGAGCCGGGCCGCTACTTTGCCGAGACCAGCAGCACTCTTCTGACGCCCGTCTACGGCCAGCGTGACCGCGTGACGGCCGAGGGCGTGATCAAGAAGGACTACTGGCTGACGGACGGCCTGTACGGCAGCTTCAACTGGTGAGTTGCGTCGTGCCCTTCCCTGCGGTGGCGTCGTGCCCTCCACTCGTGAGCCTCTTATAGAGTAGACACGTATATCATTAAACGGTCATCCGTGTCCTAACTCCTATATCTCTTATGCCATGCAGCATTCTCTACGACGGCCAGACGCCCGCCTACAAGGTCGTGCGTTCTCCGCTGATGCCGGAGCCCACCGACAACAGCACCTTCACTTCGACGCTGTGGGGCCCTACCTGCGACAGTGCTGACTGCGTTTACAAGGACGTGACCCTGCCCTCGCTGCGCAACGGCGACTGGCTGATGTGGAACAACGCCGGCGCCTACACTGTTGCGGGCGCCTGCGACTTTAACGGCATCGAGTTCACCACCCCCGGCAAGCTGTACGTTTGGTCGGACAGCGCGGTGGATGTGGTTGAGGAGGTGGAGGAGCAGGCCATGCACGCCTAAGTAGGCATACTGCATATGCATTTTGAACAGGGATTTGCAAGGGTATGCGTTGCGGCACGTAACGTATGTCGTGCGGTCTTGATTGGGCCAAGAGGCAAACATGTGGCTATTGGTCTTGCATTAACCTAAACATTGCAAATGTCAAAATCTGGATTGGTCATGCACGTGCGGTAGTATGGTGGGTGTCTGTCGATGAATTGTTATAGGCTAGCACACTGATTCGTTATCATCCTTAGTTCGGTTTCTTTCCTTTCCTATGCCCTTTTCTGATTCCGTTTTGTGTGATCGTGGAAAAGCATTTGCCGGGTTGCTAATACCTGGCAAAGCATTTGAAACAATTTATCCCTGTGGGGTCAACATCAAAACCCTGGTGTGACATCAAGCAGGATGGATACAATGATGGGGATACAAATACTTGTAACAGGCAAGTTGACTCGATGATTTGGAGCCTTATAAAGCGCCCCTACACCCTGCCTAGACTGCAAGTTCGACTTAAGCTTAAAGCAAGGCGGATTCCTCAACATGCATTGCATAACTTTGGCTGGAGTTAACTTTGGCAGCCTTATAATGCCACATACTCGTTGCCTTTACATTCGGCAGCTGTCGGGTAAATGAGCTTGTTACTTGCCAATTACACCAATAGTGGCAGCATGCATCCTTCGTCAGGACACCATGCTTAACAAGGCGCGCATCACGCGGCATGTCGTTGCGGTACACCTGAACAATTATCCCGTCTGCCAAGGGAACGGCAGCATATCATCGTAACCCCAGTCAACATGTGTTTAGCGTCAGCATTCCGCACTCTGCTGCCATTCAATGTATAAGGGGCAGCTCGAACACGTCTTCGTCCCCCTCACTGGGCTCGCACGTGTCACCAGCGGGTGCTATCGTGCTGTTGTTGCCCCCCTGGCCGGCAGTGGCGTTTGCCGTGTTGCCTCCAACCGCTACGGCCCCGGCGTCTTGGGCCACACGTCTCTCCTCCAACTTCTTCCTGCGGTTCTGCGCTAGCTGCTGCTGCAGCAATGTCAACCGCTCCACCAGTCCTTCAACTTCCCGCACAGCCTCGGTACTAGACCTGGCCAGGCCAGTGGCCGACGCCCGCAGTGCTTGAACCTTGTCAGGGCGCAGCGTCCTCGGCATGTTGTGAGGCTTTTCCATCCCTGGGCCCAATGTAGGCTCCACAGATGGTACCAACGGGGGGTACGCATCACCAACGGAAGCGCGGAGCCTGTTCGGTGAGGTGCTGGTGCCGCCCCTGGGACTGGCGAGCGGTGTGGGCATTGCTCCTAAGGAGGACCGAAGCCAATTTGACGGACCGGCAACATCGCCGATCGCTACGTCCAATGCCTCCAGTGCAGTACCGCCTGCATGAGCGGCATCTGACGTCGCCATCCGTTGCTGCGCCATGGCTGCTGCTGTTGCTGGGAAAAGCCTTGCGAGGGATGCATCCACCTCGCCACGCCCGGCAGGGCTTGGGACGTGGGCATGTGGCACCGAATCCAGTGTTGGCAGTAAGTACGCCTCCTGATCGTCCTCTTCGCCACCATCCAGCCATGACTCCACATGTCCGCCAGGCTTAGGGTCAGCGCAATGGGCCACATCAGCTTCCCCGGCCGCCGTGCGTCCCGCTGGCGAGCTTGACCCGCTTGCCTGACATGCAACCTGCAGGATCTCGGCCCCTCTACCGCTGCCGCCGCCGCTGGCACCACCAGCTGATTCCAATGCTCCTTCCTGCGCACTGGCCGGCGCCGGCAGCGCACCCAGAGGCCCTTCTGGCTCCTGCTCTCCACCGGTCTGCCCCTCCCTGAAAACCGCGCTGGCGCCAATCTCCACCCACTGGTCGCCACCCGCAGATGAGCGCAAGCTGAACAACGACGCCCGCAGAAGCGATGCAGGAGCGGAGAGTTCTGGATGGCCGGCGGCGTTGGCGACACTGCCATGTACGATAGCCTGGCCCCCTTCACCGGGTGCTGCCGTACTCAGCTCCAGCAGAAGCGGCTCCAGTGCAAGACTCATCGGGTGTGGCGGTGCAGACCTTGGTGAAAGGCCGCCGTCCAAGGGTCCTCCGACATCCAACGGCAGTGCAACCGCGCCCGCTGGCTCTGTTCTCATTCCGGCATGGACATCTGCTTCTGCTGCAGCGGCCGTCACGGCATGCGACCGAGGAGACTTTGGCGGCCAAGCTGCTGTTCGCGTTGCTGATTGCCCGGCGTCAGCGGCAGATGCATGCAACGGCAACGCTCCTCCTTTGTGTGGAGAGGTAACTCCGAAGGGCCCCTGCGCGCCCGAAACCCTAGACCTCGCCGTTGCAGGCAGCGGCATCATGACCGCCGCCGCTGTAGCATCCCGCGAGGGGTCTTCCGCCGTTGTTCCCGGTGCAAAGGAGGGACGCGAGGTGGCGGTGTCACCAACGTCCAAGGCTGCCAGACGGCTTGCTGACGCTACAGCGGCGGCGGCGGTGCCAGCCCAGACGTCGTCCACGGCCCCGGTGGAGGCACCGGTCGCAGGTGCACGGGGAGTGAGGCTGAGGTGGCTGAGCTCTGGAGCGAAGACGGTTTGCACCGAGGGCAGAGTCGTTTGCGTTTCAGAGCTTGTTGGCGCGTCCAAACTGGGCGAGAGGCGTAGAGGAGGCACAGGTGGATGGGGAGGGAGTGGAGGCGGCGCAGCCGCTACGGTTGGATACCGTTGGAGTGCCCGTGGAGGTGGTGGGTGGGCGCCTGGGTGCAGCGGAGGGCGCGTCAGGGCGTGAGTTGGCACCGCCACTGTCTGTTGCACCGGTGGCCGTGGAGGGGAATGCCGGTGTGAGGCGCTATGCGTCGGCTGGTGCCTGGATTCCCACGGCTCCAGACCCGCGCCGAGGCTCTGCAGGCGTGACATGACGTCCTGGATGGGCGAGGTGGAGCGTGGCGGCGCCTTGGGCGCTCGTGCGCTTGCACTTGCTGCTGAGCCGCCTGCGTCACTCCCTCCGTCGCTGCTGGTCTTGCTGCTGCCCTTACTGCCCACAGGCATCACCGGCGGCCGAGTAGTCGCCACAGGAACTAGAGGCCGGAAGTCAATGACCCGCGGCATGTGCTGGTAGTCCTCAAAGTCTACATCGGGTGTGGTCCAGCCCGTCGCGGCGGCTGCCGTTGCAAAGTGCTGTATGGCAGGAGCAGTTGCCATGCCAGCCTGCATGCTGGCCTCGCCTTGTTGACCAACCGACGCAGCGCCCCAAGCTACCGCTTCATGCTGCGCTTGTTGCCAGGGATCGTGCGCAAAGCCGTTGTACTGCGGGCCCATACTTTGCTGCATGGGCTGCCTTGATGGTTGGCTCGGGGGAGCTTGCTGCATGGCAGGCTGCCGTCCGTACATTGCCGCAGGATCCAGATCAGCAGGAAACCCAGCAGACCGAGCATCTGGGTTCCATCCTTGCTGTTGTCCGTGGGTTTCGTGGTACACGTGATGTTGCTCCTGTTCCTGCCATTGCTGCTGTTGCTGCGGCTGCTGTTGTTGTTGCGGTTGCTGCTGCTGTACCGGCACGGTTGGCCGTGGCGGCCGGGCCCCGGGCAGCGGCAATGACGCTGTGCGGTGAACCAGCGCTCCTAACGCCGCAGTAGTGTTCGGTTGCTGCTGCGAGGGAGCTCTGGCGGCGCCCCCGTCTCCTCCCTCGTCGTCCCTGCCAGGCCACAACACGCGCGGCTCCTCTCGCCCACCTCCTCCGGACGCCACACCCGAAGCAGCCACGCCGGAAGCACGCATCACGCTGTCGCCGTCTCCGCCCGTGGAAACGGAGAAGCGCACGCGGGGTGAGCCGGTCGCATGGAGCTGCGTCTCGGAGCCCCAGGCGGTGCGAGGTGGCGCGCTGGCGCCCCTTTTGGTGCCGCCGCCAGCGGCAGCTGCCGGAACGGGCGGTATTGAAGCCATCCTGTTTACCCCCATGCCGGAACCAACACCACCATCTCCACCCCAACGCTGGGGAGCGGCAGCAGCTGCCATGGCCCCGCCGGAAGGACCCATGGAGGCTTGCCCGAACTGGCCGGGCGCGTGCTGAAGCGGCGGCTGCGCGGCCGATGATGGGGGGAAGCTGCTCGGTGGAAGAGTGCTTGAGCCTTGGTTGCCTTCGACGGCGCTATCGACGGCAGGCGCTCCCCGGCGCACTGGCGGCACGCTGCTCTGTTGGCCGCTGTTGAGCTGTGCGATTGCGAAGCCGGGGCCGCTACTGGGCCAATCGGATCTAGAGCTAGTGGTGCGGCGGGGCTCGCGGGGGTAGGCGGCATTGGGTTGGTCGCCGTCGCCGGTTGCGCGATTGAGGGAGTCGCGGGTCGCCTCAACCTGTCAGGATTTACAGGGATGTGGTGGCGGAGACATGGTGGGGCGGCGATGTGCTGTGGCTTGGGATTTGCGGCACAGCCGACGCATACAGGTTGCATGAGCCTTTAGGGAGCGGCAGGGCATATGCATGCAAGTCGTACGGTGCAGTCCTTTCCTTGCGTGCATGCAACTCACCTGCTGAATGAATTCTCGGATGATGCTGGTGGTCTCAATATCGAATACGGAGGATGCCGTGCTGACCCGCCCCGCCATGTCTGCTGCCGGACCAGCCAGTCGCTGGTCGGGATTGTTAGCCAGACGTGACGGGTCGGACAGTGACGTGCCCGGCATGGGTGGGTTGCCTGATGAAGCCTGGGGTCCGCTCGTGGCGCCGGCGCCCTGTGAGGTGTTGGGGACCAGGCAAGGTTTTTACAACGTGACGAGGGAGTAAGGCTAGTGGGCTAGTTACAGCCGCTGGGGTGTATGAGGGTAGCAGCCTTGGTCCAATTCACAAGCCAAGGTCAGTCCCGTACCCTTTCACCACATGCTGTTCTGCCCGGTTCCTTCTCGACCCACGGGTCACCAGCAGGCCGCGTGTCTCCTCACCTGCAGTGCCACCACCAGCTCCTGCAGCCGCTGGACCGCCCCCTGCAGCGCGGAGGGAGCCCCCACGCCTGACAGCAGCAGCTGCAGGCTGGCCTGGGCGCCTGGGCGGGAGGAGGGAGAGGGGCAACACCGGCAGCCAGGAACCGGGCGCCTGTTACTACACATGTTCTTAGGTTTCAACACATGCGCCTATCAAGTATTTATTAACTCAGTCTGGTATCCTACAATGTCCTATCAAAGTTATGGTATACGTACTTGCAGCTTGCTGCAGCAGCAGCTGGAGCTGTTGTACAGCGGCGGAGGCGGCCGCCGGGTCCAGCCCGAAGCGCGGCACGGGGGTCGGCGCGGGCTGCAGCTCAGCTGACTCACGGGTCCATGCGGGGGCTGTGTGGCTGGACCCGCGGCGCGGCTGCGTGTCCCAGCGGCGGCGCTGCTTGCGGCCGCCCCCGGCGTCCTGCCTGCTTGCGAGAGCTAGGGAGGCCTGCAGGGATCTCGCCTGCAAGGATTTCAGGGCGGAGTTGAGAAGGTGACCAAGGGCACACGCCCGCTTACATGCATGCAGGGTGCCGGATGCACGTTACGGTATTCATGCGCGCAGTTGCATACCTGGTCCACCAGGGCTTGTAGCTGCTCCCCGAGCGCCGCCGCACCCGCATCGCTGCCCTCCCGGCCGAAGCTGCCGCTGTCGTCGCTGCTAGCCGCCGTGTCCCCTTCCCATGCATCCCCGCCGCCGCCGGTCCATCCTCCCCCTTGCATGCCGTACTGTTGCCAGGCATCCTGCGTCCCACGCCGCTGCTGCCGTGACTGCTGCTGCTGCTGCTGGGTTCCAGAGCCCTGTGGCGGCTCTCCTCCACCCAGGAGCTGCACCCGCGCAGTCATGTGCACCGGCTGAGGCCCCTCAGCCCCATTGATAGCAGCCACCGCCCCAGCCGCCGCCATTGCCGCGGCTGCCGGCCTCAGCGGTGAGCCCTGGCGCCGGGCCCTATCCTGCTGCGGGTTGCCGCCATACCACGGGTCACTGGCGGTCTCCTCAGGCCCCCGCCGAGCACGCAGGGGGCTGCTGTGGGTTGCTGCTGCGGCGCCGGCCGGGCCAGCCCCAACGCCGCGTCCCGGGCTGGGGTGTGGGATGCGTTCTGGTGTTGCCACCACGAGTGCAGAAACCTGATCGCCAGTGGTGCGTACGTCCACTACGTATTGCTGAGGGGCGGTGTTGGGGCCGGGGCTGCGACAGCGACCGGCATCTGCTGCGGGGGCGACAGGTCGCGGCGGCGAGGGTGAGGGCTCCTTGGCAAAGATTTGCACGCCGAAGTCCTCGGGCGGGAGGGACAGGGAGGGGCGCCGGAAGCGTGGACTGCCGCGGGGCGGGCGGTAGCTGCAGAGCGCCGGAAGGAGAGGAGTGAAAGGAGCTTAGGCGGTGAAGGTAACAGGGATATGAGCAGCTGCGACGGCAACGGCAAAACAGCAGCCAACGCGCTAATGTAACCTGGCTGCTATCTGTACAAGCAATCTCCCGGTCTTACTCCACGTTTCTAGACCCGCAGCTACGGTAGTGCTTCAGCGTCCAAGCTCGTTCAAACCGCACACCGCAACGCGCATGCACATCTGTCCATGCTGCCAACCCAGACTCACCCGCCGGACCAGCCCAGGCTGACTCGCGAGGGATCCTGCCGCTGGAAGCGCCGTGGCGGGGACGAAGACACGGGCCCGCAGCGGTCCGCCGCCACCGCTCCCCCCGGCCTGCTGCGAGCCTCCGACCCCGATGTGCTCCCCCGCATAGCGGCGGCATTGCCGGGCTGCCCTTGATGCGGCCGGGACGACGTGGGCGAGGGGTCCCGAGCAGCACGGCCGCCGCCGCCTCTCCCAGCACCGCCGCTACCGGCATCCCCTCCGGAACGCCAGCCTTCATCGCCCGAGGAGCCCCCGCCCCCGCCAGCCCTGCAATCAACCGGATCGCGCAGGGCAGCAGCTACTGCTCCTCCAGCCAACCCCCGGGCCTCGCTGCCGCCACCACCGCCAGCGACCTCACGTGGTGGACTTGGTCCTCGCATACCGCCTCCACCTCCACCTCCACTTCCTCCACCGCCGCCACCTCCACCTCCGGCGGCACTGTCCTCCGTGGTCGCAACCTCGCCTCCAGGGCTGCATGCCCTGGTGCGACGAGGCGAGGGGCCGCGTGAGGGACACCTCCAGGGGGGCTGCATCAGCGGAGCGCCCTGCCGCGCCCGCTGCTGCGCTGGCGGCAGCGGCGGCGGCGAGGGATTCCGTACTCGGGTCGATGCAGGAGGTCCGGAAGCGGGAGTGGTGGTGGTGGCGCGGCTGGGCTGCTGCGGCGGCGGCCGCAGCCGTGGGGGCTCGGCGTGGTTTGCGGGCCGCCGGTCGTCCACGCTCGGACGCAGGCGGGGGCTCTTGCAAGGCAGCAGTGCAGGCATGTCTGCATGCGCAAGGGCAACAGGTGCAGGCAACCCTTCAGCCAAGCAATGGTGCGCATATGCAGCCAGGACCTCGCTCGGATCTGCTCCGGCGACCCACATCATACCAAGCACCCCTCTTTCACTGTTACAACCGTGTAACCCCCCTATACGACCAAGCCGTGTCAGCGCACCCATGTACGGTACTGCTAGCTCACCTGCATCGCCGCCGGGCGCCGGCCAGCGTGCCCCGCTGCGGCTGCTCCACGCCTCGCCGCTAGCAGCACCAGCAGCAGCCCCCCTGGAGCCAGCAGCTGCGCCCCCACCTCCTCCCCCAGCGGCTGCCGCGCCCGGATAGCTGTTCCTAGCAGCCGCTCGCGCTCCGTACGCCTCACCCTGCCCACTGCTGCTGCCGCTGCCCCCGGCAGCTTGTAGATTCCTAGCGGCACCGCTGCTAGCAGCAGCACTGTTCCCGAAGCCACCACCGTTCGCGGCGCCCACAGCAGCAGCGTGAGAGGCCTGCCAGGCCACACCTTGGCCGCCGGCAGCAGCTACAGAGGCAGCGTAGCTGGCGGCATAGGAGCCGCCCTGCCCCGATTCCCCGACTGCCTCACCCAAGCCTCCAAACTCCTCGCCAAATCCCGCCGAGACCTGACGCCGCGACGCCACCGCTGCCGCCGTGGCGGCCTCCGCCGCGAACCTCGACGTGGCTCCGCTACTGGGCGAAGCGCTGCGGGGACGTGCGGGCGGCTGCTGGGCGGACCAGCCCCACCCGTCAGCAGGCGGCGCACGGGAGGACGAGGACACCGGCTCCTGCCGGCCCCACTCCCGAGGCGCCTCCTCCTCGTACTCCTGCTCATACACCTCCTCCCCTGACAAGGGCACCACGGCAGCCCAAGAGGCGCCGGGGCCGCCGCCGCCGCCGCGGCCCCCTTGCATGCTGCCGCCGCCACCATCGGTGCTGTAGGTGTTTGCAGGGAGGGCGGCGGCAGGACGCATGTGCGGTTGGGCGGAGGGGGCCCGTACTAGGTCTACGCTTGCTGCGTTGGCGGCGGCCGTGGAGGGTGCGAGGGGAAGGCTGAAGTCGTCGGGATCAGCTGGCAACAGCGCCACTACGGCGGCGGCGGCTTGGTAGGCTGAGCGTACGGCAGGGAACTTGTCGTGGCGAATGGACTCCAGGGACTGCGGTACGGTCGGGGTATGGAAGGAAGCAGGAGGGCAATGTCATGTGTGACGGGGAACTTCACTGTTGGACAAGTGTTTGCGGGGCTGCAGGGCGGCCACGCGGAGGTGGTAACCTCTCGGCGCCAAGCTAAGCGCACACGGGCGCCATTCACAACCCCTTAGTGGGGGGGAATACATGATGTGCGTCAAGGTCATGGCCACCAGCCGGTGCCATTCCACAGCGTCACATGCAGCCTGACCTTCCCTCTGCTCCGCCCCTCTCACCCACCTGCATGAGGAACTCCCGGCGGTGCGGCCCCGCCATCCACGCCCCCGCTGCGCCGCTCTCGGCATCGCACTCCCCGCGCGCCGCTGCAGCCGCCCCCAGAGCCGCCAGCGCCCGCACCAGGTTGGCAGCCTCGCGCCGCACCTGACTCGAGAGGGAAGGGAAGGGAGGGAACAGGGTGGGATGGAGATGGAGCAACATGGATGAGGCCCGGGGTCACCAAGAGGAGGAGCTGCTGGTAAGGAGCCGCATGGGCGACAGGTAGCTGTTCGCCGCGCCCCGGAATGACCCAAACGTGTTGCTGGGAACTGGGTCAGGGTCGATAGGTGTAGGATGGGGGCACATATGATTAGGCCCGCAAGCGCGCAGGGTACCGGTATCCCACCCACGCAGGGCAAGTAACACCCCACGCCCACCTGCCACTCCTCCGTGCAGTCCAGGCCCGAGGTGGCAGCCAGCAGCATGCGCTTGGCAAGGTCAGCATCCAGGCTCTGGCCTAGTGCCTGCGCGCGGTCCAAACGTAAGTTAATCAAAGGACAACAGGCTGCCACGATGCGGGGTAACGGTAACATCCCTGCTGCGACGTCATTGGTGGCATCGGGGTGCTGTGACCCACATCACCAGCGCCGCTCCAACTGCTTCTGTCGGCTTCCTGCCCTCGTTATTGCACCCATATGGCAACACTTCCCACTCCTTCGTGCATCCCTCCTAGACACGTCCTTGCCACCCCGCTCCGCGAACCCCCCGCCCTTCCTCCTCATTCCTCCTGCCATACCTGCACACAGCTCCCAAACAGCTGCAACACGCCCGCCGAGCGCTGCGGTGCCGCTGGGCTGCCCAGCAGTGAGAAGGCCCACGCCACCAGCCGAACCAGCACCGCACCCACACCCGAAGACTCCGCTGCTGTAGCCCCGCCGCCCCCAAAGCCGCCGCCTCCCCCAGTGCCGAGTGCCGTCGCGCCCGCGCTTTTCCCCATGGAGTCCACCAGCGGTACCAGCAGGGCGCATGCGGCTGCCATGGCGTCGCGCTCGGGGCCCCTGGCGCGTACGGCAGGGCAGGGGCCAAGGGTCGGAAGCGGGCTTGTGAGAGGAGGCCCTTGCGAGCTGGTGCGTTAGGGTGGTTGAGCGGTGGCACTGCGCACAGCAGTCTGTCGTGTGCTACAGTATCCCCCCTTGATGGTACGTTGATATTGCTTCAGAGTCCCTGGCTGCTGGGTCCCTGCGTGCCCCAGCCTTATCGACCCACTTGCATGCAACCCGCAGCAGCGGCAGCAGCAGGTGGTTCAGCACCCAGGCTGGCTCCGCGGCGAACGGCGCTGCCCCGTCTGCGCCTCCCTCTGTTGTTGCCGCAGATCCTCTGCGCCCGTCAGGCAGCTGACTTGTGTCCGCCCAGCCGTACGATTGGGCCCCCTGAGGGCTGGCACTGCCGCCGCTTCCTAGTGCCGCCGCGAGCGCCTGGCCCAGCCGGCAGCCCAGCGTGGCTAGCTCGTCGTTGTTCGTGGAGTGATGTTGGCGCTGGTGTAGTGTTAGGAAGTGTGTGGTGTTAGGAAGGGATAAGGCGACAATTAAAGTCTGGTAAAACAGCTTTGGGGAAACAGCGAGGAGACGTAATGGGCATGTCACCCGGGCACACCTGCAGGTAAGCTACAAGGCTTGGCATGGCTTGCGGCAAGCCTTTTACGGGGCTCAGGTGACCCTGGGTCGCCAGCAGGTAAGACAACAACATAACACGGTTGTTGGCAGAAGATCTGCTGCATTTGTCGAGCCCTACAGCACGCAAGAGTGAAAGGTTAGGGTACACCACGACTAGTTGACATGTACTAAGACGCACCTGACACGAGTTCTTTGACAACCATGCATGCTTGCTGTACTGTCTTCAGCTTATCGATTAGCAGCTTGATAGCGAAATTCCCCTGAGCACTCAGGTGCCGGTCCTCCAAGGATAACAATGCAGACCGAAGACGAGCTTTGACGTCCATTCCTCTGCTGTCGTCTGCAAAGAACGCCCACGTCTGCCAAGGCTGTATTATATGGGGTCGTAAATCTAGGTGTGTGCACCGGGCGTATAGAAGTTGTGCTTCGCCAACGGCTCGTTATCTGGTAACACAAATTCGGAGCATGGTAAAAATGGTATACTGCACACCATCATATTAAGAGGGCTTAGAGCGTCAATTGTTCTCAACAGCTTGCAAGAGTGTCTTTCGTGTTGAAGTCAAGGTACCAGCCTTCGGAGGATTTAACGTGTAATGTAAACATTCATTCATATGTAGGAAGTGAAGTCCAACGGCTAAGCTTGCAGGGTCTCGCGAGCAGTGTACCCAACTTCTATTTCGTAACATACTGGATCCGGTTTACTCAGGATAGATTATTTCTTGCCGAGGCCTCACGCAGGCTAACCGCGGCATTAAGCCTTTTTATTTCAGCCTGGGAACTGTTAATCTGGGCTTCCTGAAAATCTAGCTGGTTGCATACCGTACGTACATACGAAACGTTTCTGGTTCAGCATAGCTACAAGTGGTTACAAATAAGAGTGCACAGGGACATAGTATCTATGAGACACGGCATGCATGGCTGGCAAAGCAGGGAAGTAGCTCTCCTATGCCGGACCTTCAAGGAAGGCAGGACATGAAACGTCCAGGGGGTAAGGCGCATGTACGCGCTGCTGCCGATATACCATCTCTTTTAAGGAGAAGCACGATCCAAGGCCAACATCACTCACTGATTTCTTCACGATATCCTGGTCGGCTCTGCAAAGCCTGCGCTATAATTGGGGGTGTCGCCGCGTGTCCCCGTTGGTGTCTCAGCGTGCATTAAGGCATTAAACACCAGTGCCTGTCATGCACACGCTACGCGGCAAACCTTTCGCAGGGGCCTCTGCCCTCATGACGTCATGAGAGAAGCAGGCCCCACTATCTGCCTGACGTGCGGTTTTGTTACAGACTTACAGAAACATCTACAGAAAGCAAAAGCGAGAGAACAACGCACTTACGGCAAGGACAACGCAACTACGGTACACAAGGCACCCGCACCAAGTACCAACTACGAACATGCGGCCCAGAATCCAGCCACACGTGCATACAACACAAAGAGACGTCAGTCCTGAAGGTAGTTCAAGTAGTATACAAACATCAAGTGTTATAGCTTATAGGCTATTCTTATACAGGAGGTAAGCGTCCCACGTACAAATCGATAACGTCATCTGGGTCACCCAGCAGACCAGGCATGAGTGACAGGAGCAGCCCTCCCCTCTCCATATCCGCACACCACACTAGCCAGGACCCACAAAAGCCACCCTCCCAGGCACTCACATCACAAACCATTCCAACCCATCCCATCTTTACGGAGCCCCGCAGTGGTCTTCTGCCATTCGGACCCGACTGCCGGCCTCCACACACGCGTGAAGCCCCCTGGTGCCACAACACCACACATGGCACCACCGCCATCACGCGAACAAAAAGGCACGCCCATTCGTACAGCCTTACAATACCAGTACTACTTATCTTCTCAGGCTAGTAGCCTTCCGCCCTCCTCCGCCCGGACCCTGGTCGAACCGGCTTGTCCTGCCCTACCTCGCTACCTGCCCTACCTGCCCTCCGGCCCCACCTCCGCCAGCGCCCTCTCACGCTCACGGTCCGCCTCCAGCCCATCCGGCCTGCTGTCGGGGTCCTGCCTGCAGCCGCCGCCACTGCCTCCCTCACCCCCTCCTGCTCCCGCTGCAGCGGCAGCACCGCCGCCCCCAGCCGCCTCCGCATCCGCCCCCTGCGGCAGCGGGCTCATGATGCGGTCGGCTGCCGGCTGGTGCTCCGTGCCCACCACGATGCCGATGCCCTTGGTGCGACCCTCGCGGAACACGAAGCGCGTGCCGGGGGTGACGTACTCGGGGCGCTGCAGGAAGCGGAAGCGCACGCAGGCGCGGTCGCCAGAGCGCAGACCTGCAGCAGCAGCGGAGGGAGACGTGAAGGTGACAATGGAGGAGGTAAGACGCCTGTGGGATCAGCTAGCGTGTTAGGATCACTAGCTACCGGTATACAAGAATACAACAATAGAAAAATAGAGGCTGACACCGCCACCCCCGCCGGCCCCCACCGCCTGCAGGCCCGCCCACACTCACGTTCCCGGTCCATGGCCACCACTTTCGCGGCCTGGCGGATGATCTCGCAGTGGATGACCGCCTGGTATCGCGGCTGGATGGTGGTGGAGTGCGTGAGGATGGCGATGTCGGCGTCGAACTCCCAGCTGGCGGCGGGCTTGAGCCGCTCGTCCACCAGCACCATGCCCTTGCGGACCTGCAGGAGGGGTGGCGGGGGTGTGTTAAGAAGGAAACTGGCCGCGGATAAAACAGCAACACGATGGGATCATGGAAAGGAACGGGTGAGAGCAGCACGGCGGGTTGAGTTGGGTGTGGTGGAAATGGCGCCGCGGCGTTTAGAGGAGCAAGCCACCGGCAGCCAGTACTTACACCGAAGCCCTGTACTGGCCCCACGTCTCTAAATTTTTTGCGAGATCTCAACTCCCCCCTATCTACCTGGTTGCGTTTGGTCTTCTTGAGCGCCAGTGCCGCCGTCTGGCCGGCTACCACGGTGGACACGGGCAGGCGCTTGTAGTGGATGGACTTGATGGCTGCGGACTTGAAGCTGCCGTCGCCGATGTCGGGACCTGGGGGCAGGAAGGAGGGGAGAGGGGAGCAAACATGTCGGCATCCTTCTACCGTAAACGGCAGCCCTACGACGTCAAGGCGGAAAGCACCTTTGTTGTAGCAGCCGTCGTTCGTGGCCACCACCGCCAAACGCTGTTACTTTAAGTTACCTATTCATAACCTCTTTACCCTACCATCCCTAGATTCTCCACCACACCACGCTCGCTCACCCAGCAGCAGGACGGTGTTGGGTGTGATGACGCCGCGCTTCACAGTGCCCGCCACTACCGTGCCCACACCCGGCACCCCGAACGTCTCGTCAATCACAAACTCCGCCAGCTCCGACTGCTTGTCCACCCAGCGGTGCCGCTGCGGAAGCAGGTTGTAGAACAGGCGGACCAGGTCCAGCCCCTTGCCTGGTGGGTAGGTGGGGTGTTGGTTGGGGTGTCATGCGCGTTTTGCGAAAGGAGAGTGTGGGCGGGCGGGGAGAGCCCCAAGGCAGCGCAGGACTCGGGGGTTGGGTAGCTTGCGCCTTGCCGTACCGTGTCGTACAAGCCAGCCAACAGCTATATATGTAACTACAACCGAAACTTTGACATCTTGCGATGTCCCTATCGTATAGTGGTTAGTACATCACGTTGTGGCCGTGAAGACCCCGGCTCGAATCCGGGTAGGGACATATTTTGCCATTTTTCCCCTTCATCCCCAAGTCAATTTTTATTTCTGCGCTGGGGAAAACATACGTCATGAGCCGTACCTGTTACCGCGGAAGTCAGGAAGATGGGCGCAAGGGAGTCGGTGTTCATGTTGCGCGCGCATAGCAACACGTCTTCCTGGCTCTTCACGAGGAAGGGCTTCTTCTTGACTCCCGGCTTCTTGAGGATGGACGCCAGGTTCTGCAAACAAGGATACGTATTGATAAAAGGAGAGTCATGAAAGTAGCGATTAGACAGGAACCCTAGCCGTCGCGACTCGAGCGACAAGGCAGACCAACAGACAAAAACCACACAGGGACAGATAACGGCCAATCTTACACAACATGTAAATACATGTATACATGTTAAAGAAAGATGCTTGTATACGCCGTAACTCGCACACGAGGCGAATTGGCCAGATACGCATTCTCCAAACCAAAGCCGAGTTACCTAAATTTTTTATTTTTTTATGCTAACTATCTGAACTTCCTTGAGCCTGACGTACCTGCACTGTCTGCTTGAGGATGTGGTCGGGCGCGATGTCCACCTTGGTGACCACGAAGAATACCGGGACCTTCAGCGCTAGGGCCACTCCCAGGTGCTCCTGGGGACAGAAGCCGATGACCAAGAGAAAGCACTTACTGAAGGCTGACGCATTGAAGGCTTTTGCTTGCTTGACGGAAGAGCCATTAGCCAGCATGGACAAGCTCCGTTCTTCAAACAGCGGGCTGTATACGACTTCCTTTTTCTAACAGCTATACATGACACACCTTAAAGCAGCGGCCGTTCCAGTCCTGCCCTCCCTCTCCCGCCTCACCTTGCACATGCCCACCACGCCCATGTTTGCGCCCACAATGAGGCACGCGTAGTCGGGCAGGTGGCCAGTGAGGCCGTACGCGGTGGTTCGAAAGTACTTCTCGTGCCCCGCCAAATCCACCAGCGTCAGCACCTTGCTGGCGCGGGAGATGTACTCGTGGCAGGTCTGGGTCCTGTGCAGGGGGAGGGACAGCAAGGGCGGGTCCCGCAGGCACGAGGCAGCTTGATGTCCTGATGAGGCAGGCGTGCATGTCATCAGGCGTGCATGACTAATGAAAGCCACAACCAGTATAGCCCTGTCCTTCCCACGCCTCATCACTCCGCACCCACTGCCCCTCTCTCCTCCTCTGCTCCATACCCTCCCAGTGTCAGTGTTTCCGCGGCTCAGTTTATCTAATACCCTCCCCCCTGCTTCCCATCCTGCACTCTCACCTGAACTGGTTGTCGTTGAGGATGGCCCCCCGGCTGTCCAGGCACAGCGTGTGCTGGCCGATGGAGGAGGTGCGCCCCGTGGCCTCCTCGTGGTGGTGCTTGAACACCTGCGGGCGGGCGGGGAGGGCGGGCGGGGCGGGGGTTCAAAGACCATACCGAATCATAGGAAACCCAGCGCCGGCTCCCTTTCCCTATCCTAGGAGCTGGAATCCCGTGTACCCAGCGTATTCCCAAGGTAAAATGTGTGCACCCGGTACGCAGCCACGACCCGCTGGCGGGGGCTCCATGTCCCTCCCTCGCACCCACCATCCCCCAAGAGCTCGTCACCTAGTTTGCCAATGCCAATTAACACAGTGTGCATCTTTCCTTCCCCCTCCCTCGCGGCTCCTCCTACTCCCTCACCTTGGACCGCGCCAGTCCGCGGCCGTCATCCAGGATGGAGCGAGTGAGCACACCCACCTGCGGGCGAGGGGAGGGCGGGCAGGCGGTCGGGGTAACGACACCGTAAAGAGGGCCGTAATGACACCATAAAGACGTCGGGGCGCAGAGGATTCCGAAAGATTGGCCGGCACCCCGTGCAAACCAGCATGCGACCACCATCCCGGCAATCCGGCAAGAGCCCAACAGCTGTGTCCCCTCTTCCCCATCCTCCAACTACCGTATCCCGACTCCGCCTCCAGCTCCTCTCCCCACCCCTTTCCCTGCCCCACCATGGTCGACTTGCCGCTGTCCACGTTGCCGATGATCGCCACCCGCACCTCCAGCGGGCCCCGGGGGGTGGGTCGCCGCCGCAGCAGCACATCAGCCGTCGCACACTCCACTGGGGGCGGGAGGAGGGGGAGGAGGCAGCGGGGCAGCAGGGTTTAAGGTGGTGAAAGCATGGTCATGGGTTTGGTGTGGTTGGTGGCATGAGGCCAGGAATGCCAGTCGGACAAGCGAAGAGGCCGCGAAAGCAAGCTAAGCCTGGCCGGCCCCGGCATGTACAGGGGAACACCACTAAGCTTGGTGGCCCAGCCCTCCTCCCCATCCCCATCCCCCTGCCAGCGCAAGCGGCACCTCCTGTCTTCCCCTCCTCCCCTGTCCTCTTCCCTTGCTCTCCGCTCCCTGCCCCTGCCCCCACACGCCGACCCACCTGTCTCCCCGGCCGCTGAGGGCAGCTGCGAGGTACGCTGTTGCACCACCGTCACATCCACCTGGGGGGGAGGAGGGAGGCAGGGAAGAAGGGAAGAGGGTTAGAAGGCAGCGAGGTAGCAGGACGGAGTGCAGGGAGGCAAGGCAGTAGCCCGTCTCCCTCACCCCATGCGCTCAGCCGCTTCCCCTGCTCCCTACCCGGCAGACACACCTCCCCTGCCTGGGGCGTGCGTCCAAACCCTCCGCCCGCCCTCCAACCCGCTCCTCTTGCTTTCCAACCCCCTCGTCAGCTCCTTCCTTCCCACCACCCCTCACCCACCTCCAGCGGCTCCACCGCCTCCCTGATGCGGTCCAGGCAGGAGGCCAGCTGCTGCGGGGACAGACCCACGGGTCCCCAGCCCAGCGGCGCACCCACGTCCAGAACCATCTCACCCACCGCCTCGATCTGCCGCCAAGGGGCGTGCGGCGAGAGGGAGGGAGGAGGCAAGCAGGCAACGGCAGATGGAAAACGCGGCACACCGTAGGGTCAGCGCGCCAGGGGATTGGATTAACTTCGCCACGGAAACACTGGCCCACGCCAGGGGAGAAGCCTCAACGCGCAGCCAGCACACGGCAGCAAGACATACCGTATGCGCCCCAATCCGGTGAGGCGAAGCAGCTCAAGGCTAGTTGTACCCGTCGTACTGATCGTACTTGTCGTACAATTCCTCTGCCGACCCCGAAAGCCCCCCCCGCCCTCACCTCCGAAACCATCACCTCCAGCGCGTGCTGCAGCACCGCCTCGTAGTCCTCGGGCCGGGTCACCACCACCGAGCCGCCCGCACCTGCACCCGCACCCGCTCCTGCACCCGCAACGGCAGGAGCCACCCCAGCTGCTGCTGCGTTGCCAGCTGAACCGCCCCCCTCAGCCCCGGTGCCGGTAGCTCCAGCAGCATCGCCAGCAGCACCAGCAGCAGCAACCCCTTCCGAGGCGGGCCCTGCGGGTGCTGCTGCGGCGGCGGCGGCTTTGCGTGCGACCGCTGCCGCCGCTGTGGCTGCTGCTGCTGCTGCGGAGGCTGTGCCGTTCATGGCAGCAGGGCGGCGCTCGGGCTCCTCCGCGAGCAGCTCCACTGCACGATCATCGGCCTTGGTGGAGGGCCAGGAGGGAGAGAGAGAGAGAGAGGAGGAGGAGGTGGAAGGGGCGGGATTTGGGTTTGAGGAAGGGAAATGAGGAGGGAATGAAGCGAGGAAAAGGTCGGCGGGAAGCAGGGATTGAAGTGGCTACAGCCTTTGCTGTGCCATACAAGCGGGTTGACGGGGGTTTGTCAAGCTTGCGCGCCGCTGCAGCGGACACGCAACGCAACGCTACCTTGAGGCTCGTGATGCCCTCCACCCAGCCGTGGGTGTCGTGGTTGTGCGGCGACAGGTGGTGCATTCCCTTGCCATGCTTGCCGTGGTGATGTGACATCGTGGCGGACACTGTAGGTCTTGTTGTTGGTTCTCGGCGTGTTTTGCTGGTCGAAGCTCCTCTAGATGACTATTGTCTTAACCTTTGTTGTTCTTGTTGTCTATATCTTTGTACGCAAGTGATGGTGATGGCCATGTGCGGTTGGCAGGACACTGATCGAAGGCACCTGCAGGATCGCACAACTACATTAGTCGCGACTGAACGCAGCATAGAAGACGTGGGGCTGTAGCCAAGTCGTCCAGGCCCTCCCCCGACCCACGGCTCACGACAGACTAACCCACCTCGCAGGAGACATCTACGGAACTTAATGGATATAACGCTTAAACTCCTGAGACGTCATTTTGATGGTATAGTTCAGGCCTGCAGCGAAAGCGACGAAAATGAGTTTGGGTTGGCCCAAAAGTACAGCACCTTCAAAGCCATCGCGATTGATGCGCAGTTGAATGTACGCCTCTTTCCCAAACAATTACATCAAACGTGCTTCCTTGGTGTGGCGCGTACCCAGCGCTGACTTGCGATAGCAACGTTAGTACCAACTTCCCACAACCCTACACAGATCTAGTGGTCCTTTCTGCCAGTAAAACGAAGAGCTTCAACAATAGCGCCCAGGTAGTTAGAAAGTATGGGGGTCGCAAGTTCCACCAAATGGGCAAGGTTTCTATCCTGCTGGGCCACGCCCAATGAATACTCCTACCCGAAACAATATGAATGAAATCCTCACCTAGTTGGTCAAAGACGTTGTTGTCGGGATGTGCACAGCGTAGGCAGTGAACCAGGGTCAAGCGAAAAGTGTTTGTTGTCAAAGCAAGATTAGCAATTAGTAACGTATGTGAGTGCAGTGTAACAGGTTGTGGATTGTGCGAGAACACGTGTGCCAATATGTCTAACGGTATGTGAAGTACGTGCCATCGCACCTTCCGTATGGCGCGCTGAGGCCACGCCGTGACATGGCCCGAATCGCACCTGTCAAGCATTAGCGAGTAACTGATCCAACAGCATCCTGCACAAGTGGCGTATCTTTTCGATGCAACCAGTCGTGCAATGCAGTTACATCCCTTCCTCATTACATCCGACCGCACCCGACAGCCGCACGAACCCGTGGACGCAGAAATTTATGGCCGCACAGCGTCTCCAAATGGTAAACCACGTGCATTCCCTCGCGTGCCACACGTCAAACCAGCAACATCAACCGCTGCTAGGATGGCACAGTGGTGCGGACTTGCCCAGACGGCGGGTCCCTTCAGGCCTCAAAGCGCATGCAGGCAGCACGTCTAAACCCACTTACCAAGCCTCGAGTTTTCTTCTCCAGTATTAGCCACACCGTGGTACTACACGCGCTGCCTTCTCTAAAGGGGCCAACTAGGCATGTTGTGCAACCGCACAGCAATCCAATCTACTCCCCGCCAAGTCCTCCATGTGAGCCATACGTGCGTTATAAAAGGTTCAAATGTGCACCCATTTTCAGCGGCCGCGTCGCGCTCCAGCCTTTCTAGACCAATGTGTATGCTGCTCTCACCTTCCTCCACTCGGGCCGCAGCAATTGACTTCCGCTCAGCAGCAAGGGCAGTCCAATAAGGACCACGATGGGCCCCTGGGATACCTTTCTTGTCTTCATCGTATCATAAACTTGTTTTCATCTTATCATGAAGAAGCCGCTGATTCCCACGCTGCCTCACACTCCACTCCACTCCCGTGGCCACTCGCCCTTCTGCGTCTGTGCATCTTCACGTTCAGCCAGTCCTTCCCTGCCTTCCACCTCTGCCCACGCACTCTGCACACGCATACCGGCAACCCGCACGTGCCTCCTCCTTGCTTTCCATTGCACACGTGCATAACAACTCCTTGCTTTCCATTGCACACGTGCATAACAACTCCTTTCCCCCGCTCGCTCGCTCAATCCTTCTTGGCTCGGACCACGCCGTACACCTCCTCTTGTGAAGATTCCTGCACCTCCGGGGCTCCGTACGACACCCCAAACCTGTCGTACAGCGCCCCCTTGACGCGGTACAACAGCGCCACCAGCCCAAACGCGAGCCAGTGTACGGCATACAGCCCCAGGTAGGCCACCGGGGCCCAGGGCTTGCTGGTGTCCAGGAAGGGGTACAACCAGCTGCGGGTGTTGCGGGTCGTGATGGGTTGGTAAGGAAGGTAAGAAGCCAGGAGCCCCTAAACACATGCAGCAAACAAGAATGTGACGAGCACGGAAGCGTGCTTGTGTGCAGTTGAAACAGTCGCGCTTAGCCGTTGTTGTTGCTGTTGTTCTTGTTGACGCTCAAAAGAACGCAGTCAGGCATATCGTGAGACTTCTAGCACACCTCCCTCACCTCCCGCAAGGCAATCTCCCTCCTCACCCTGTGGACCCTGCCCCCCTCCCCTCCCTCCCGTCATACATAGGCCTCGTCATACAGCTCGTTACTTTCCTCCCCACCCTCCCGTCACTCACTTCCCCGACATTGCATGCCACGCATGCGCCCATCCCGAGTACGCCAGCGACCACAGCCCCAGCGGCCCCACCGCGTGGAAGGCCAGCCGCTGCCGGTTGGCTAGCAGGTCACAGAAGATGAACAGCGCGTTGAGGCCGTGCTGGTTGTAGGAGGTGAAGGACAGCAGCAGACGGCTGAGCAGGAGGAGGCGGGAGGGGGCGGGCGGAGGCGGGCGGGAGGTGTGGTGGGAGGTGTGGTGGGAGGTGTGGTGGGAGGTGGGGTTGGGCTGGGGCAAAGCGGGGTCCAAGGTGAACGGGAAGGGTAGCATGTACGGTTCGTGAAGCTGTATTGGCGTTTTGCTATTTAACTTGTGCTTGCGTGCGGGTCGGGCTTTCCCAGCATCCAGCATGCCCCAGCACCCAGCGTCCAGCACGACACGGCACGCCCTGGCCCTCACCGGATGATTCGGGTAACCTCCTCCGTTTGCGGCCCGCGGCTCAACATGGGGTACAGCACCGCCCAACACACCACATCCACGATAACCACGGTAGAGGAGTTGACCATGAACAGCGCATGGCAGGCGCGAGATAGCGGCGTGGCTCGGTGCAGCCAGGCGGCCGCCGGCTGCTGCTGCTGCTCCTGCTTCCTGTCGCCGGTAGATGTGGCTCCCTCAGGCCCTCGCTGTTGAGCGCTCCCGTCTGCTACTGTGCTTGCCCTGGTTCCGACAGTAGTAGCAGCAGCAGCAGCCTTCTCAGCTCGTGCGCACAGCGCCGAAGCCACCGCTGCTAGCGCAAAGTACAGCCCCAGCAACCACCAGTTCCAAATGGTGTAAAATTTGAAAACGAAACCGCCAAGTTTCGACAGCTGCAGCCCGCCGAGGGTGAAAATGTAGATTGCGAGCACGGCGCGCATGGCGGCTAGGGTGGTGGAGGAGAGGGCGGGGCTGCAGCCGGCTTCGAAGAGGGTAGCAGGCGGGCTTCCATGGCTGCTGTCGCTGCCACTGCCGGGGGCGCTACCGTTACTGGCTGCCTTGTGTTTGGTGTTAGCAGCGTTGCGGCGGTGAGTAAGAGTGGGGCGCGCCAGAGCGATGTAGGCGCTAGAGAGGCCTGCCAGGGCCAGCACGAGGTGAGCCTGGAGGGATGTTGGATGTGGTCAACGGATGCGCGGGGATGGCATGTTCGGTTGCGGCAAAGGGTTATTTGATCATTTTTTTGTAGGTGGCTTTCTGACCCGGGCTGCAAGCGAAAGGTGCTTTAGCTGGGTATTTGTGCGGAAAGCCCTTCGTTAGGAGGAATGCCGATGTATGATGTGCCCCAACGACCAGTTGCGGTTTCGCGTCAACGCACCCCATACCTGCAGCTCAGAGGACTGCAGCAGACTCTCCATTTGCTCCGGTGCGAAAGCCGCAAAACCCGGCTGCGCAATGTACCGGTAAGTGCAAACGCACGGCGATGATGTTGCGCGCTAAGCCCCCCGCACCAGCTAGCTATCTTGTCAGGTTGTCACTGACTTGGATTATCGTCGCGTAATTACTATATTTAGTCTGTTGCTAAGCAACACGCAGCCATCGCCTTGAGCTCGGAAGTCGAGCAGGTTCGCGTCCTACGATTACGATTACGATTACACCTGCTGTCGTGCATGACGTGCTCGCATGGGGCGCCACGCAGACTGCAAACGCCGCCGAGTGCATGACTAAATGAGAGGTAGAATCGGCATGTGAACCGAGTACAATGTGTACTTTCTACACCACTGCCATTGTTGGTTACGCTGTCATCAATGCAACATACAAGTTGAAGCCAAATGGCTATACCACAGCCTAACCATTATTTAGTTTGGCAGCTTTTATGAAAGTATAAAATTGCTAGTTTTGTCGGGCTTGTTTTAAAGCGGCCCCACAAAGGGGCTGCTGTTCTTGTCCCACACGGTTGTCGGATCCTTCTTTACCTATTGTGAGGGGACAGAGTTTAACTAGTAGTCTTTTAGTATTTCCTTTACTATGATCCTGCTTGCTGCGCTGCTGACCCCTAGCGGTCGGCCCGTGCTGCAAGCTGGCGAGGTTGAGGTCAGCCTACTTGACAAGGCGAGCTGCTGAGGGGCTGGTACTGGGAGGCGAAACGCTGTCAGGGGACTGGGTGGGGGCGTGGTTTCGTGTGCTGCGGTGCGGCATGCCGCACAAGTGGGAGCGCCGAGGCCCGCGGGCAACTCCCAAAGCCCTAAGCCACCCCTCAGCCCCTGCTCCACCCATACCTCCCACTTGTCCCATCCCCCGTTCCTCCCATCCCGGCTCCCTGTACGGAACCCACACGCCCCTCCTCCTTGCCCCATAGGTGGACCTGGAGTTCCAGCCAGCGGGAGGTCTGGCGGGGCACCAGGTGGCAGCGTACCAGGTATGCGTGCTGCGTGCCGGACATGCCGGGTGGGACGGTACCGGACAGGCTGGGTGGTGGCACCCCGAGCACCTGGGGAGTGCTCCCGACACCCCGCTACCGCTTTCCCCCGTCCCCTTGCACACCCTCGCACACTGTGCGTATGATTCATCCCCTCGCGCCCCCTCCTCCTCCTCCTCTTCTACTTCTTCTTCACCCCTCCTCCAGGACGGCTACGCCATCCTAACCACCCGCCGCCTCATCTGGGTGCCCGCCACACTGCCCTCCACCGCCGCCCCCGCCTCCACCTCCGCCTCCTCCCGCGGGGGCCCTGCTGCTGCTGCGGTGGCGCTGCCACTTGCCGCCGTGACGGGGTGCGCCAAGCGGGTGCAGTACAGCCTCAAGGGCCCCAAGGTGGGTGGGGGGGGGGGTGGACAGGAAGATCCAAGGGGTGGGGGGGGTGAAGAGGGAAACATCTAACGGGGATGACATACGAGTGGTGGCAGGCGAGGGCGGCATGCAGCACACGTGGTGTGGGTCCGGAGAACACCGTGTGCTGTGTGGGTTGCTGCTGCTGCTGCTGCTGCTGCGGCTGCTGCTGCTGCGGTTGTGGTTCCCCCCCCCCCAACGCTCGCTTTTACCTCCCGTTTTCCACTGCCGCTAGGTCCGGCTGGTGCTGGACGTGCGGGCGGACGCACAGAGGAACCCGGTGGCAGGTGGGGTGGTGGAGGGCATGGAACGTGTGAGAGGAGGGGTGGTGGTGGTGGTGGTGGTGCTTTTGCGATGCGGCTGCGGAGAAACAGCCTAGAATCCCGGCGGTGTCGTTTTGTATGTTGTCGTCCACCTAGCTGCCGCTGTCATCAACTGCAAGGATTGCGAGCTTCCGGGTCCTACAGCATTACCACCGAGACCTCAATCCCTTTCCTTACTCTTATCCCCACCGCGCCCTCCTCCCACAAACCCGCAAACACCCACAACCTCACAGCTCCGTCACCCCACTCCCGCTCCGACCAACTCGCGCTGCGATGCCGGGGACCCGCACCCGACTCGTTCAAGTTCCAACTGGAGGAGCAGGTACGGAATGCCGTACTCGCATCAGCAACAGCAGCCACCTCAGCTGGTGGTTACGGCAGCAGCAGCGGTGTTGGCGGTGGTGGTGGCGGCGGCAGTCCCCCTCTGGGTCCTCCTCCCCAGCGCAGGTTAGACCCACACCTGTCACCGCTAACGGCAGGGTTACAAGCGCGAACAACGCCCAGCCCTAGCCTCAGTCCCGTCGGAACTACCACTGGCGGTGGCGGCGGAGGCGGAGGCGGTGGGGGCGGAGGCGTAGGGTCGTTAGGTGGTGGAGTTCAGCCGGGAGTATTTTCCTCCCCTCCCCGGTCCTCCAGTCAGCAGTTGCAACAGCAGCAGCAGCCGGACGCAGCGATGTTGCAGAGCATGATTGAGATGGTGGGTTGTGGTGCGTTGCGGTGGGTTGTGGTGGGTTGTGGTGCATTGCGGTGGGTTGTGGTGGGTTGTGGTGCATTGCGGTGGGTTGTGGTGGGTTGTGGTGCATTGCGGTGGGTTGTGGTGGGTTGTGGTGCATTGCGGTGGGTTGTGGTGGGTTGTGGTGGGCGGTGTTAATTCAACTTGCTGCAAGAGCTTGGCTACGTGTGCCCCATCCCTTACATGCCACGCGCTGCTTCATGGGTTCCCCCAATCGTGCCTTACCCTCCAAACCCTTCCCCGCCCCTTCGTCGACGGCGGGCAACAACAGGGCTTCCCGCGCAATCGCTGCGCCCGCTCGCTGGTGGCTACCGGCAACGTGGGGGTGCAGGTGCGCGCGTGGGCGTGGTTAAAGGCGTCGTGCGCTTGCCAATGATGCCTTCTTGATATGGTTATTCCGCCCGACTGATTGCAGGAAGCGCTGGATTACTTGCTGGCGTTCGGAGACCAGCCCGGCATGGACGATCCACTCGACCAACCGCCGCAACGACCCTCAACCACCACCACCGCCGCCTCACCCACGGCCCTGTCCTACGGCTCTGGCGGCGGCGACTGGCTAGGCCGCCAACCAGCCTCCTCAATCCCCACCACCATTGGCCGCTATCCCAGCATCTTCCCAACCGACCTCCCCATCCCAGCCGATGGAGACACAGCCGGGGCTGGGTGGGAGAGCTGGCCGTCTCCCCCACCCCACCCCTACTCACCCTCCTCCTCTGCGGGCCTGAGGGATGATGACGCTGCCTGGATGCCCATGCAGCAGCTCTCCCTGCGCCCCCGGCAGTACCCGCAGCAGCAAACGTACGGCAGCGCACCGGATCTAGCAGCCGCTGGGGGGACCGGAGGTGGGGGCGTAGGTGCGGGCGGGGGCGGCGGCGGGCTCCCCTCCTCCGCCTCCTCCTCCTCCGTGTCGTCTGCTGCTGCCACCATTGGTGTGGCGGGTATCGTGAAGCGCGAGCAGCACAAGACGGCTGAGTCGGGCAGGTATGGTTAGGCCTGAACATGCACACTCAAGTAGCAGATCAGTCGGTCAGGGGGGGAGCGGGTACGGGGCACCAGGGCATGGGAGAGAGCGACGTCGGGAGGCGCAGCGAGGAGTGTCCCTGGTCAGTGTCAGTGCCCACCTAACCTCGCGCCCTTCCCGTCTCCCGCCCTTTGCCCGGGACCACACCCCCCTCTCTTCCAGGGCCGTTGAGGAGGCCTTCCGCGACCTGTCCGCGCTCATGGCCAGTGCCGCAACCATGGTAGCGCTCGCGGAGAAGTTCAGGGGCGTCATGGCGGCGGGAGCAGGGGCGGCGGGAGGGGCAGCAGCAGCGGAGGGCGGCGCGGCAGCGGGGGCAGGGGCAGGGGGCGAGGATCCGTTGCTGCTGGACTTTGAGACGCAGCAGCAGCTCATAGCGCTGGGCATCAGCAGTCCGGTTACCCGGGAGACGGCAGGTGGGGGCCGCACAGGGGTGGGGGTGCAAAGGGGTGGGGTTGTGCTGGAAGGTATGGGTGGTGCTTGCATGTGGATGCAGCAGATCACCGCCAGTAAGGGCACGGGGAGCACGAGTGGGGGCGGCGGCGCCGTGCTCGGGGAGCACGACTGGGGTTCAGCTCCTCATCTCTTCCTCCTTCCCCGCGTGCCTCATACCCCTCCTCCCCGTCCTTCATTCTTGTGTACCATTGTCACACAACACATTTTGTATTCTTCCTTTCCCCACCTCCTCCCCTCCCCACCATGCGCAATCCTTTCCCAGCCTAATGCGGAATCTTCATCCCTACTAATCCGCCCCCAGGCGCCCGCTACCACTTGGAGCTGTCCCGCCAGCTGGCCGACTTCCTGGCCGCCCCGCTGCAGCGCTGCGGCGGCCTCATCAGCCTGCCGGACGTGTACTGCCTGTTCAACCGCGCGAGGGGCACGGAGCTGGTGTCGCCGGATGACCTGCTGCAGGTGAGGGTGGGCGGGCGGGCGGGCTGGGCGGGGTGGTAGGGGGCTGGGCTGGACTGGGCGGGGCGGAGCGGGGCGGTAGGGCTGGGGCAGGAGGGGAGGGGGGGTTGGAGGCAGGAAACTACCGTATGCACGACACAAACAGGCTGTCTGTAGAAAAAGGGAGGGAGGGGGAGTACCGGTAGATTAGCTTTCCTTACCCCTGGCTTCCTTCCTCACCCGCCCTGCCGCCGCCTCACCCGCCCTGGCTGCAGGCCGCCAAGCTGTTTGCTCGCGCGGGCGTGACGGCGCTACGGCTGCGCACCCTGCGGAGCGGGGTGCTGGTCATCCAGGGGCCGCAGCACTCGGAGGAGCAGGTGGGGCAGTAAAGAGGAAACAACTAACTGACCTTGTGGGGCGGCGGGGGGGCAGGGGTGCTGGACGCGCGCGGGCAGCACTGCTCATTGCCTGGGCATGCAAGCAAAGGAGGTGTCAAAAGGATCTTCACCGTGTCCCCACCAGGCGCCATGCCGTGCAGCCCTCCCAACGCGCCATCCCTTCCCTTCCAACCTCCCTTTCAACATTCCTTCGCAACCCTTCCAACGTCCCAGGTTTGCGCCAAAATCGCACAGCTCACCACGCCCTCCCAGCCCCCCGCGTCCCCCGCCGGCCCCAACAGCCCCTCCTCAAGTCCACAACCGCAGAGGCCATCCCCCCTGCCGCTGGGCCCTGGCCTGACAGCGGGCGACCTCGCACTCGCGCTTGGCGGCGTCACTGTCACGATCGCGGCTGAGCACTTGCTGACAGCGGAGGCGCGCGGCGTGGTTTGCCGTGACGACGGTCCTGAGGGTCTGCGCTTCTACCGCAACTTCTTCCTGCAGGACAGCCTGGATGTGAGGACGGTGGTGTAGGGGCGCGGGAGGAGGAGGAGCGCACCGTGCGTTGTTGGCAATCTTGGCAGGTTGCCTACATGGTATGCTAAGGTGATGCTGAGGTTGTAACTTGGTTGCTCAAGGGAAGACACGTTTGGGTTTGGTGGTTATAAAAGTGGTGGCGGAAGTTGGGCTTTGAGGTGGAGTGATTGTGGCACACGTTAGGCCGAAGCTGTAGAGGCGGTGTGGTTCACATGGATACATGTGGGACCGTTGGGGGTTTAGGAGGGGAGAGAGGTGGGTGCGGAATGGGGTGCTCTTGTGTATATAGTCAACGAGCTGGGTGTTCTCAACGAGCAGCCTGGGGCCTGGGAGCCTGCTTTGTCTGGACTCTGGAGGCAAGTAGTACAGGCGGAAATTAATTATACACAGTAACAGTTTCTACGTGACGTAGCTGCGGGTGAGAGGCGCCCTAATCATTGCCATTACCTATAAACACACAAATAACAGTTGTGCGTCAACACCGCTTGTGACAGCCTTCGGCAACGTGGGTCAAATGCCGTGGGTCAAGTGCAACACCTGACGGAAAAATCATGGCGCACTGTCCGTGCTCTGCACATGTCGGGATGTCAAACAGAAAAACAGAGCATGACGCAACTATCATATGTTACAGTGTCGCGTTGTGCTGTCGGGAAAGCCTAGCGGCACTTCAAGCGATCACCATCACGCAGTGCGTATCAAATCAACATTCCTTTCCTGCATATATTTGTGCAGGGCTGTTCCGTGTGCTTTCGGAAATGGCGCGCCATGAGTACGTCTTTCACCGTACATGCTATGAGCTCATTATGGCTCTTCCCGCTCGCTTCCGACACCATTATTACAATTTACCCAATACAGTAAAGCACCCTCTTTCAAAACAAGCTGTCAACCCTCTCCAGCGCGCTTTTATAAGTTTCCTGCTCGAATAGTTACAAGAGAAGCCATAGCCATGGCACTCTGAGCCACTGCAACTGCAGTGTACCCTTTTACCAAAATGTCTTGCTCCTTACAACTCTGCAGCCAAAGCCGCAAGCAGTTTCAGCAGTCCGCGTCCGTTCAGAAATCCTCAGACCCTCCCCTGCAACCCTGACCGTCATGGCAGCAGCCTACAGCCTTCCAGCATGCCAGGGATACCTGGCCACGTCACCGCTTACGCGGTCGACGCCAATTCCTTTTGGCGGTAAACGCTTGACAAGCGGTCGATCGTCTGCTTCGCAAAGGCCATCGGGAGCTGGTGCGCTGGACGGCTTCAGCGACGGTGCTCGCGCTGATGATTATTATCAGAAATACAGCCTCTCAGCTTCTGGCCGGAGGCGCATGGTGGCATCTTCGCCAAAAGCCGCGGAAACAAAGCTTCCAGCGGGCCCAGCGGCCTCGCACAACGCCCCAGTCACTTTTGGCTTTTCCGTGGGGCCAGGAGACGGCAGCTTCTCTTTTGCAACGCACGCTTCGGGATCCTCAGCGTTCCGACCACAACGAACGGGGCTTTTAAGTAGGGCGCTCAGCGAAACAATCAAGGTCGGTGATGATGACAAGACCTCCCCCGTTTTTGTAAAAGCAGCGAGACAGCACAGGTGATACTGGTCCCACCTCTCTGCAGGAACACGACGCGCTTTCGCACCCTGCAGCGCCAAACGTCTCGGGCGACCCATTGATGTTCTTTCCCGGTATTCCTCTGGACTTCCTGCGCCAAGCCCAGGTATCTAAATTGGCTTTAGTTAGCTTTCATTAGTCAATAATAATTTAGCGAATACCGGTGTGTTCTTCTTGGCCCTAGGTGCCCTGTGGTCTGCCAGGAGTGCTTCCTAAGTCGTCCTATATAGTTTAACCATGAGACTATTACAGCATGCAAGCTTTCCTTGCTGGCGTGAGGGTCGTACTCAAGTCCATGACCTCACCGCCCATGCAGGCTGAGTTCCCGGTCTTCCATTCGGAGCTTGTTGTAACTGCGTATGGGCTTGCAGCGCGTGCGCACCAGAACCGCTTCCGCAAGAACGGGGACTCCATGCTAAGCCACTGCGTCGAGGTAGGTAGGGGGCCGCTGCAGTGCCGTCTGCTAGTACACCGTGCGTAGGCCGCGGCTCTTCTTAACCCTGGCTATCTTCATGGTGCAGGTCGGCAAGACCCTGGCCGGGCTTGGCCTGGATGCGGAAACGGTTGCCGCTGGCTTGCTCCACGAATGCCTGGGCGCTGACTTGTACCGCTCGCAGCTTGAGGAGTTCATGCCGCCTTCTGTGGTCAGCGTCCTGGACCGCGTCAACACCATTAGCGAATTGAGCCGGTTGTACCGCCAGCACAGCAGCTCGGGCTCGTTTACCGAGGAGACTTTCAGGCGCATGCTGGTCGCTATGGAGGACGTCAAGGCGGTGCTTGTGAAGCTAGCAGACCGCGTGCACAACATGCGGACCATTCACATCTTGCCGCGCGAGCGGCAGGAGGCGTTGGCGCGTGAAACGCTCGAGGTCTACTCGGTGGTGGCCAACCGGCTGGGCGTGTGGTGCTTGAAGGCGCAGCTGGAGGATGCCGCGTTTAGCGTGCTGCACCCAGAGGTAGGCTAGATCGACTGGGGCATGCATACCTCGATATGGGTTGGGAAGTGCGGTGTCTGAATGCTTTGCTCGGGTTGGATGCTGTGGTGTAAAGGCGACCAGTCGCCGCAAGTGCATTTGTGTTAAAACCCACATCCACATCCGACAGCTTGACGAAAGCATTAAAACGTTTTCCCAACCTTTCCACTACTCGCAGGAGTATACCTGGCTGAAGGAGGCGGTGCGTTCGAGGCAGGACCCCGTGGCTCTGGAGGCCACCATCAACAACATCAAGGCCTCCTTGCAAGACCACGCCGTGGCGTACGAGGACATCAGCGGCCGCCCCAAGAACCTGTACGGCATCTACTCGAAGCTTAAGAAGGACGGCAAGCCGCTGACCGCCGCCTCCCTGGACACCGTGTACGACCTGATGGCCCTGCGCGTTGTCGTATCCACCAAGCACGAGTGCTACGAAGCGCTCCGTGCGGTCCAGAGCGTCTACCGCACCATGCCCTCGCGCAGCAAGGACTTCATCAAGGACATCAAGAAGCCCAACGGCTACCAGTCGTTGCATGAGACACTGTACGGGGAGGGCGACAACCCTATTGAGGTGGGTAGTTGGGCTTGGGTTGACTAGCTATGCTTGGGTTGGTCCTGGTGTCGTGTATCCTGTCTAGCTTTCATGACTGCTGTTTCCGTGGCTAACAAGGGATTGCGTCATGTGGTCCTGAGTGTAGGTCCAAATCCGCACGCACAAGATGCACTACATTGCCGAGTACGGGTTTGCGGCGCACTGGAAGTACAAGGAGTCGCTTGACAGCGACGACGAGTGGCTCGAGAAGGTACGTTTGCCGCAGCTTGGCTGTATCTTCATGGCGTGGATCCTTGTGGGAAGGTCGTCTTGTCTCGCCACAACATCTTTACAACATTGCTGAGCCGGATTCCCCTTCTGTGAACAGGAGACCCAGTACAAGCGCTGGCTGACGCAGTACAAGCTGGGCGTGCACGACCAGAAGGTGCGCCCGCAGGGCAGCCCCCCAACGGACAGCTCGCTCAAGTCCCTGGGCGTCGCGTTCCTGGACGCGCCCGCGGAGAAGCAGACCGACCTCTTGGACCCCTTCTTGCGGCATGAGCGATTCAAGCTGCAGGTGCGGTCACCGGCCAGGGCGGTCACGGTTGCGATATTGGAAGCTTCTGGGTAGTTTGCGGGTCGTTGGCTACAATTGTATATGGTAGATGCTAAATTTTCATCCGCTGCGTCAGCCAAGTAACTCCCGCTTGTCCATGTTTTATTTCCCATCCTCAGGTTCCTGCCAAGAAGGAGATCAGCGTGTTGCTGCAGACCTGCGACGGCATCGAGACCAAGGAGTTCCCCTTCGGCACCACTGCCGAGCAGCTCTGGCGCGACCTGGGTCTCGGGGCGCTGCCCGGCTACGCGCTCACGGTCAACAGCCGGCCGCCGACGTCTGAGGTTGCTCTCCAAAGCGGTGACCTTGTGCAGGTGCTGCCGCTGGCCACCGTGTTTGGAAAGAGCCCGACCCTGGAGCGGTTGGATTCGGTTGGTTGGTCGTTTTCGGCAATCGCCGACAAGTGGGATGACCGTGCGGTTGCCGCCGCCTCTGACAGCGACGGACGTGGGTACCCTGGGGACACGCTGGAGGTGTACAGCAGGGACGGCATGTCTACCTGGTCGATGGGCCCGCACTCGGGTGCCACTGTGCCCCTTGTGGGAATGTAGGCTAGCTGGTTGCTCTGCCGTTGCCGTAGCTGGGGGTTGAAGCTAGCCACCGCTGCCACCGAAGCTGTCTGGTTGGGGCAGGAATGTCGGCAGGAATCTGCGTAGCGTTCTCTGCGTGCATGTTGCGGACGAATGCAGGCCTTACAATGTGGATGAGGCTTGACTTGTATCACAGAAAGTTGATTGGGTTCCCTTTTGCGTAGGGGCCCGTTGTACAATATGTTGTTGCGGCAGCACTTGGCAAACAACCGGAGTCAACGCGCGAGTTTGTACTTGGTTGCCTTCCTTTCTTGCTTGTCTTGTTGCCGCCGCTGTTGCTGCTGCGTGGTTGCTTCTCTCGGGGTGTCAGTCAATGTGGTTGCTTTGCTGGCCCTTATACTTGTCAATATAAAATCGTTTCGGCATGTCGTTTACGCCGCTGGTTGAGAATCGTATTAGATGAATTGGTCTAGGTCCAGGTATTGAGAAGACCTTTAGCGTACTTTTACATGATAGCTTGGGGCGTGGACAGGCGTAGAAGCTATGGGCGGCAAAGAATGGATGGACCCGTGCCATGATACGGGCACTTGACGTAGCAGGAACTGTTGACCGACTGTTCGCATGTATCATGTATTTGTTGGGCATCAGGACGCCTATAGGAAACGTTACAAACATCAATTGTTGCTTTCGTTGTGGCTTCGGTTGTGGAGGAGCACGGTACAACACGAGCATGGAAAGGGAAAATCGCGCTGGCGGCTGTATAGTTGCGTTGCAATGGTTTTGCTGTGAAGGGTACCCGCCGCTGCTTCCGTTTGGAAGTGGGTTGGGAGGATGTCCTCACTGCTGTGAAGGGCGATGCGGGGTGTTACATTGCTGGTTAGCATGGACCGGGCCAATGGGCATCTGCGGGTGAGGCAGCAGCAAGGTGTGTCCTTTCTTTGGCTCCATAGAATTTTATGGGGCGCGTGGTTGCCCCTATGGGTGCAATGCACTAGGTGAGTCTTCCTGCTAGGGTACTTGACTTTGTGGGCGACTCGACGTGACGCACAGTTACCGGGTGATTACATAGGTTTACGCTTTAAGGACGCTCGCACAATAAGCTGCGTCCTTGTGGGTTAGAATGTTTTCATTATCTTCTTTGTTTTGAGATTCGCCCCCCCATGCATGCAACGGCCTATTGGTCGAGCCGTGCTGCTCTCCTCTCGCTCGCTTGTCCTTGGTGTTAAATGGGCATGTGGTACAAGACACACAACTGCGGTACATGGTGCAAGGGGACGCGCTGCATTCATTTGTCTGTGATGTTGCCTGGGATGTATTGGTAATTCTTTCGGCCACAATGGTGGTGTTCCTCCTGAGAAGAAAATCCTTCTAAATTTGCAGCGTTCCCAAGGCGTTCCAAGGGGTGCTGGTTATCTAATAAGCGGTAAAGCCGGCCGCGGCTCTGTAACACGCATGCCACATTAAGACTTTGTGCACACGAGCACTCGGGCCTGCGTCCTGCTCGCAGAGAAAGCATGCAGGAATGCTACGGATTCGAAGCATGCGTGTGCTGTGCAAAGAGGTCTTCGAACACAACGAGGAAAGGTCCAGCGTGCAACTAATTCCCCTCAACCGCCAACGAGCAACGGCCTATGCTGCGCGAGTTCCTTTTTCCTTCCAGGGCAGGTCCAGGTATGTATTAGCGCCTATCATGTGTCGAAGCGAACATCTTGAAAAGTCCCCGGCAAATTCCGCCATATTACCTTAAGTACGTTTCAGTCGGATGTAGGCGCGATATGGGCAAACGCAGGCATTCCAGGTCCAACAAGAAGAAATCAGATCGCTCACTTCGCAGCAGCAGCAGCAGTAGTAGTGTTAGCAGTCAGAGTCGCAGCAGGAGCAGGAGCAGAAGCCCGTCTCGCGGTCGTCGCTCGAGCAGCGAAAGCCCCAGCAGCCGCGGTCCAAAATTTCGCAGACGACATAAACATCGTGATCGCAGTCCAGATCCTTTGCGTTTACAGATTAAAGCGTTAAAGTACGTGACAAAAGGCGATACCAGGCGGTTACGGAAGCTGTTGCGCCGCGACGCATCCAGCTTGGACCTCGGCGCGGTAGACAGCCAGCGTCGTACGCTGCTTCACCAGGTGAGGAGCTGTCAAGCAAGTACGCATAAACTTTAACATGCCTGCAAGAAATGCGGCCGCGGCTACAGCCGCACTCGCGTAGTCCTCAGCGCTTCACGTACCATCCATGCTCCCTGCAAGGAAACCCATAACACCATCACCCATGGCACCCGCCTCCCAACCTGCCGCCCCGCCGCTCAGGCATGCGCCTGCGGTCACGCGAAGATCGTGTCGCTGCTGCTCCGCCACGGAGGAGGAGGAGGGGCCGCCGCAGCAGGGGGGGCAGCAGCGGCAGCGGGCAGCCGGGATGCTGCCGGCGACACACCCGCGCATCTGGCGGCGCGGGGGGGCCACCTAGCGGCCCTGGCTGAACTCATGAGGGTGGGTAAAGAGTATGGGTAAAGAGGAAGAAACTGACGAGCTGTATGGGGTTGGGTGGGTGCTGAGGGCGGGTAAGGAGGAAGACACTGGCACGGTTAGTGTGACATGTATAGGGTCCTTCACGGGTTGCATGGCGGTGGGTGGGTGGGTGCTAGCACTATTTTCTCATCGTGCCATCGGTAGCGTGTGCAACACTGGTGTACGACAAGTGTCTTTGCAGCGTCGTACCTGAACTTCACGACTCCGCCACTCCGCCACTCCTACTGGCGGCCTGCATGCGCGCGCCTGCAGGATCCCGGGGCTCCGCAATTGGGCGATGTGGGAGCGGGCGGAGTGACACTGGGGGAGCTCATGGCTCGAGCCCTGCGCGGAGGCGGAAGGGGTGGCGGAGCAGGGGCAGGTGGCGGAGGAGGGGCTGGCGGAAGCGGAAGCGGGGCTGGGGTGGAGGCTGCTGCTGAGGAGGGCGGCGAGGAGGAGGATGAGGAGGATGAGGAGGACCGGTGGCGGCAGCGTCTGCGGGAGGAGTGCAGTGACCGCGAGGGCGGCGGAGGCGGCGGAGGCTGGGGTGGCGGTGGCGGTGGTTGGCAGGAGGGTGACAGCGGCGGCGGAGGGGCTGCATGGGGCTTTGGAGGTACGGCGGGGCGTGGAAGGGTTTCAGGGGATAGTGATGCTTGGGGGCGGCTTTACCCCACCAATGCGCAAAACTGCCCGTCCTGTTGACGTCGTATTTCAGTCATCATGTACCCGTAACACTCCACTAGCCCATTACCCTCCACGCCGTGCCGCCCCGGCCCCGAACCACCCACCCGGCCGCCCCACAGCTGCCGGCGGCGGCTTTGCTGAGACGGAGGACGAGTGGGCCAACCGGCTGTGGCGGGAGATGCAGCAGCGCCGGTCCGCCGCAGCCGCCGCCGCTGCTGCCGCCTTCACGTCAGACCTGCGGGCTGAGGCCGCCAAGCGGGCGGAGGAGGCGGCGGAACGCAGTCGTCGTATCCTGCAGGTGGGCGCTGTGCTGTGCTGCTTGTGCTGTCTGTGCTGCTTGTGCTGGCTGCAAACAGTGGTGCTTGTGCTGTGTCGTGCTGAGCTGAGCTGTGCTGTGCTGCTTGTGCTGGCTGATGCGAATCGTGGTGCTTGTGTGCGCGAACAGCATGCATGCGTCATGCTGCTCTTCACTCCTTTTTCTTTACTACCTCCATTCACTCCGGCCTCTCAGGAGGAGCAGACCAAGGACGCCGAGTGGCGCCGTCGCACCCTGCTGACCATCCAGGTGCGTGTGTGTGTATTGGGGGGTTGGGATTGGGAGGGGAAAAAGAATATCCAATGTGTTGGGAGGGGAGCGGGGAGAACCCTAGAGGTCCCAAGGGGTCGTCAGGGCAAGCATTTAAGCAAAGCACTGCCAGGACTATACCGTAAGTCAACAACACATGTTCGTTTCCACGCCCTGCCCACATCAATGTCGATGTACCAGCCACATGCGCCCATGCACCCGGCCGCCTCTTTTTCGCGTTTAAACCCCCACATCCTCGCAACGCCCATCCATCCGTGGTTCCATGCCCATTCGCGGGCGGAGCTCTTATGCATACCGGTACCGGTACCCCCACCTCCCCATGGCCCCTCCCCCTCCAGGCCGGCCCCTCCACACCTCCTCTCGACCTCCCCGCCGCTCGAGCCGCCTACGACCGACGCTGGGCAGCGCTGGACGCATCCCCAGCCCCCGCCTCAACCACCACTTCCCAGCCGCTGCCGCCGCTGCTCTACTCCGACATCCCCTGGCCCCTTGAACCACCTCCCTCAGTCCCAGTCCGACCCGCCCTCCCAGCTCCCACCGGCCCCCCTCCGCCGCCACCGCCGCCGCCAGCGGCGCCACCTCCTCCCTCGGCTGAGGCCCTCCGTGACTTCCTGTTGTGTGGCGCGGCGGGTCCTGCGGATGTGAAGCGACGGTTGCGAGCGGAGCTGCTGCGCTGGCACCCGGATAAGTTCGGGGCACGGTTCGGGGGGCGGTTGTCGGCGGCGGGGGAGGGGCAGCGGGAGGCGGCGCTTGGGAGGGTGGCGGCTCTGGCTCAGGTGTTGACACAGGTGGTGGCGGGAGTGAGGGTTTGAGGTTTTGTGGGTTGGCTTGTGGTGAGTTGGATTGGATTGGTTAGTGCGGCTGCAGAAGCGTTGGGTGGTTGGGTTGGAGACGGTTGAGGTGGTGGGTGAGTAGAAGGAGTACTTGACGGTGGAGTTGCCTGCGCCTAGGACTGCTGGGTGTGCATACGCTGCGGAGGGCGGCTTGAATGCAGAGCAGGGACGTTGTGCGCACTTCGACAAGTGTCCGGGATCACACTTGACGCCTTTGGTGCCCTTTGGTGATGTTGGCTGACTTATTGAAACGCATTTGGCCTACCAATTTGGCATCCGCGCTTAAAAGGCCCCTTTGCATGCGGCTCAGGAGGAGCCTGCCGTACAAACGGTAGCGGACTTGCGTATTTTGCGCTTCCCGTATTGTATGCTCGTGCTACGACTTGCGATCTGGTATAGGCCGTTGGTGCTAGCTGTGCGCTGCTCATGGGCGCACTATCCTATAAGTATGGTGATCTTGTAGAGTTTCCCGCGCTTTAGCAAGCGTATCGATGCCAACGGTTTCAAGCGCTATCACCCTGTGCAAGCTTTGATACATAACAAATGTAATCAGTAGTCTAGAATATACGCCCTACTTTCCAGACATGGCGTCAAAGTTTAAGCAGAAGCAGCAGGCTAAGAGGGAGGGACTCTGTCGAAAATTGGTTTCTTCCTTTCTGCCAGGGCTTGAGGTACACATCTTTACTGCTAGTATAATTAAGTCCCCGTCGATATGGAAGACAACCTTTCCTCGTGCGCATGTATACCATTCAGGCATCGGACCCTACAAACTTTGACCTCGCCTTCAGCTTTGTAGCCCAAAACCTTGCCGAGCCAGCACTAGATGTCAACCCGCGGGATGCTGTGGATTGGTTCGGCAGGTCGGTACGGCTCGACCGCCGGGTTGGGATTGGCATGTGAGGGGTTATGCGACAAGCCGATACCACACGCTTTCTCTCCTGTATCATTCGGCAGCCCCTCGCTAACCCTAGAACGCTTGTTAGGATTCCACCTTGCCCTTCTCTTCGGCTACACCTCCTCACAGATACTACACATTGTCAGCGAAGTCCCCCAACACGTATCGCCTGTCACCCGCTGCTCTCCCACCTCCCGCCTCCATCTTTGGCTCTCATGCTTCCTTTCCTTCCCTCCCCTCCTTCCCTCCCTCTTCCCTCCTTCCCTCCCTCCTCGCCCAGCCTCGCCCGGCGGTGCGATGAGGACTCCCAGTCCGCCAAGGCCGCCCGGCTGCGGCAGCTGGTGGGGGAGCTGCTGCACATGGGGCTCAAGGTGGGGGCGGGGCCGGAGGGAGGGAGAGAAGGGGGGAGGTTAAGAAGAAAACCAATTATGTCGAATGGGGAGGGAAGGCGATGCACATGGGGGGTAAGCACGCGGGCAGGCGGACGGGGGAAGAGAAACCAGCCATGATGCGGCCATGGGGTGCGTCCCGGGGACGACCCAAATCAATTCGGGGCCCAATCCCGGCCCACTTGTCAATCAAGGGCCCCTATGCTTGAGACCCGCCGCAGTACCCTACCCAATACCCACATGCCCCATCCCGGCAATCAATTCGCATGCTCCCCGCCACGCCCCCACACCGCCCCTCCCCACCACCACCCCCTCCCTTCCACCCAACCCCGCTGGCAGGGCGACTACACGGACCCAGCGGCCCGCATCCTGCACCTGCTCATAGGCCTGGCTGGCAGGCCGCTGGACACATCCGCGGAGGCAGCAGCGGAGGCGGCGGAGCGAGTACGGCAGGAGCGGCTAGCAGAGGAGGAGGCGGAGGCGGCGGCCAAGGCGGAAGCAGAAGCGGAGCTTCTAGCGCTGATCCGGCAGCCGTTGGAGGGCCGCGAGGATGAGGATGAGGAGGAGTGGGGACAGGACGGGGGATATGGGTCATCGTCTACGCTTAGCGACTGGTCTGCGGAAGACGAGGAGGCGGAAGGGGTTGGCGGCAGGGGCGCTGCTGTAGAGGACGAGGAGGATCAGGAGGAGGACGGAGACAGCGCCATGCATCGCGCCGCCCTGCTGCCGCCGCTGACACGTCCGCATGCCCCCCAGCCTGCGCAACCCCCACCCCAGGGCCCTCACCGCTCTCTAGCACCCACAGCACCCGCAGCAGCTTCCTCAGCAGCAGTGGCCCCCGACCCACCCGCCAGCTGCGGCGCCCAGCGGCTGCGTCCCCCGCGTGAGGCCCCCCCGCCCGGCAGCCTGCGGTGGCGGCAGGTGGCTGCAGCGGGTCTGCCCCCGGGTCTGGCAGGCAGCTGCACCCCACTGGAGAGGGTGCTGCTGGGGCTGCTGGCGGCACTGCAGGTGGGGAGGAGGAGAGGGAAGGGTGAAGAGGAGGCCGTGTTTTGGACGCTGGAGGTGGAAGAGGGAAGGGCGTTTCTTGCACGTCACCGTGCGTGCCTCTCTCCTGTAAACGTCGGACCCCTCCTTCATTTTGTCCTTCCGCTTTCCGTCGTTGCTCTGCACCTCCGAACTCCCCTCCTTGCTCCCTGCCCGCAGGGTCGCAGCAGTGAGCTCATCTCGTGGGACCCGGTGACATGCAGGTGCGGCTGGGGGGGGAGCTGGGTTGGGTTGGGTTGGGTTGAGGGTGGGTTGCCGAGGAAGCAGCTAGGCAACCCGGAGGCTGATGCGGACGTTGCGAGGTGGGGTGGGGTGGGGCCCTGGGGTTTGTATCCTCATCGTGCCAGAGCCGGCAGCATCTCCTCACCACCCCTTCCTCGCTTCCTCGTGTGCGTTCATGCCCCGCTCGTTAATCGCCGCGCACTTGGAAGCCTTCTCGGGTGGGTGTTCATCACCCTCCATCCAGCTGCACCCTTCTGAACACCCCGCTTCTTCTCCTCCCCTCCCTCCCATCTCCCCGTACTCCCCATGCAGTTTCCTCCCCGCCGAGGACCTGCACCTCTCCGCCAACCTCACCTACGGTACCGTACACACAGCCGTACGACCGCTCCTCTCCGCCGCCACTGCCGTACGCCGCTTGCACGACTGGGTGCACACCTGCCTGCACTACCACCAATCCCAACACCACCACCAACGCCATCACAACCACCATCACAACCGCAGCCATAACCACAAGCACGGGGCAGCTACGGCTGCTGGGGGGACGCCGCTGCAGCCCAAGCGGGGGCCTGGGGGTGCTGCTGCGACAGTAGGAGTAGGGCCAGCCGCAGCCGCATGGGGGCCAGGGGAGGGTCCGGAGGTGCCTGGCTGGCTGGTGGAGGCGGCGGGGTTGGCTGGAGGCGCGGGGGCGAGTGCGGGTCGGAGCGGTGGCCCGGTGCGGCTGGTGCTGGGGCCCACCCTGCAGGCGTTACACCAGGTGGGCTGTGTGTGGGCTGTGTGCGGGTGGGGTAAGTAAGGAAACTGACGAGGCAATTAACGAGCGGGTGTGGTGCGGGTGACGTGGGTCGGGAGGCGGGCGAAGCGGCGAGCATGGCTGCATGGGCCTGCGTTGGGTGGTGCGTGGGTGTAGGGGGGGCATGAGGGAATCGCGTGTCTGGGTTACCGTAGCAGGACCTGCTGCATGCAGGGCAGCAGCAGCTAAGCTGTCAGGCATCCTCATGACCTGGACAGCACGGTGTCGATGGGTTGAATGCCTTCTCTTTCCTTACTACTCCCTTGCTACTCAAGTACGAATGCCGGTACCAACCTCTCGTTCCAAATGGGTGCGCTCCGCCCTCAATTTCCCTCCCCGCCCTTCCCTCTCCTCTCCTGTACCTCCTCCCCCAGGCCGTAGCCACCTGCCTCCACGCCCTCCGTGCACCCCTAGTGGAGCTGGAGCAGCGGGTCACCACCGCAGCAGCAGCCCTCGCTGCCGTTGACACCACCCCGCATGCAACCACCACCCCACCTCCCTCCCTGCAGCCCGCCTCCTCCCCATCCCTGCCCTCCCTGTACGAGCTGCTGGTGTGCTGTCAGCCTGTCGTACGGCGATCCGCTGCCTTGGTGGCGGCATACACAGAGGTGGCTCGACCCCTGGTTGCTCAGGCTGCTGCTGCCTCGGCAGCCTCGGCAGCAACAGCAGCCTCGGCCTCCGCACCCTCAGGAGCAGGACCACTGAGCACCGCGACTGGGGTTGCAACGGGTGCATGGTCGGAGGGTCCGGCAGCCTCAGCTGCTGCGGCTGCTGCTGCGGGGCGGGTGCGGGGAGCGGGTGCTGCGGCACAGGGGCAAGTCCAGACGGGGACTGCTGCTGGGGCTGGGGCTGCGGGTGGTGGTATAGCAGCAGCAGCAGCGGCAGGAGGAGGAGGAGGAGGAGGGCGATCCGTTCAGCTGCAGCTGCAGGCGGGTGTGGTGTTGGAGCGGCTGCACGCCATGAACGACCGGGGCTGGCTGGCTGGGGTGTTCAGGGTGGGTGGGTGGGTGGGTGCGGGAGGAGGGGGAGAGGGGAGGTGGGAGGAAGACCCACTACGGGAAAGGAAAGGCGATGGTAGGGGGGATACCGACATGGACGTCAACCCGCTAGAGCTCGCTTCTGGTCTGTTGAACCCCTGTACACTACCCGCTACAACCTTCACATGTGCACGCTGTGTTAAGCCTATAGTACCGTACACCCGGCCACCCTGACCTCCTTTGAAACATGGGCCGCCCGCCCTCCTCCTCTCCCCCTACTTCCCCCCCTCTCCCCCCTCCTCTCCCCTACCAGCCCCTGGAGTCCCATTCCCACCGCTGCCTGCTGCTGTACCTCTACCTGGCCGCCCTGGAGCCGCTGCTGGACGGGCTGGGGGAGTGGCTGTGGTCGCCAGCCAACAGCGGAGGCGGGGGGAGCGGCGGAGCAGCGGGAGGAGCGGGAGCGGGAGGGGCAGCAGGCGGGGCTGCTGCGGCGGGCGGAGGTGGTGGTGGGGGAGGGGGAGTGGCAGGAGGAGCGGCAGCAGGAGGGGGAGGTGGGGCAGGTCGGAGTTTTGGGGAGCTCCCGGCGGACTTTTTCATCGTGCGGGGAGCGGCTGGAGCTGGTCGAGAGGTGGGTGGGGGCTCGGTGAGCTGCGTCGTGCTCGGTGGCTGGCACTCCTCGCATACCATATGTAGATCTTGTGAGCCATGTACCTGCACAAGCACCAGCACTGGCAGCAGCACTAGCAGCAACATGGGCACCAGCACGAGCACCTGCATGGGCACACAAGGGCGCATGCGTCGCACGGACACTCACAAGTTCACGCGCTGCCTCGCCTCACGCTGCCCCGACCCAGGTTCCCTCCGACCATCCTGCCTTCTGGCGGGAGGGCTACCTCGCCCTGTGCAAACCCACTGCGACCACCGCTGCAACCCCCACCTCCGCCTCCACCTCCGTCACGCCAGCAGCAGCAGCAGCAGCAGCGCCGGGCACCTCCGCCGCATCCTCCGGCCCTGCTACCGCTACCGCTGCTGGGCCCATGGCAGCATCAACAGCAGCGACAGCAGCAGCAGCAGCAGCAGGGAGTTCAGGATCTGGATCTGGGTCCTCATCCTCGTCATCCTCCTCGATGTCGTACTTGTGTCCTCCCTTTTTGGAGCCGCTGGTACCCAGCATCATGGCAGCAGGTGGGGCCGGGGATTACCAATTGTAAAAAAGAGAACGATAAGTAGAAGTGCGGCTTGGGCGTGGGGAGTGGAGGCAGGGATTGCCCCGGTGCTTTTGCTGTTCTGGGGATGTCGAGTCGAAACAACCGACGATGTCAAAAGGTTAGAATTTATAGTAACAAGAGCCCCTTCAACGCTACCATGGTCCGCAGGCAAGTCCCTGCGTCTTCGGCAGCGAGAGGCCGACAGCGTGGAGGCAGCCGCCAGCGCCACGGCAGGGTCCGCAGGGCCCGGCTATGGCGCCAGCGGATCTTCCGTACTGGATCTCGTTGCCCTCGAAGAATCGTACGCCATGTACGGATTATCTCCTGCATCAGAGTACGACATGTCGTACTACGGCGCTGTGGGAAGCGGAAGCGGCGGTGTTGCGCGGTGGGGCAGTGGCGGAAGGGACCTCAAGCGGAGCCTCATGGAACGGCTCCTGCCGTACCTTGTCCCGTCGATAGCAACTGCCGTACAACCGCATGCAACAACCGTAACAACTGCTGGAGGCATGCCGTACAATGGCTTAGTTTCCGACTTGGATCGCGCAATGGATGATGACGAGGGCGTTGGCGGCGGCAACGGCGGGGTTTGGGGAACTCCACCCCGATTGTCAGCGGCAGTGGCAGCCCCGCTGCATGCGGCTGTCACTCCGCCAAGGCAACCCGCGGCAACGGCAGCTGCGGCAGCGCGAGACCCAGCGGCAGCGGCAGGGGCCACCGCCACAGCTGCCAGCGGCCCCGGACTCCTGTGGGACCGCATGGCTTCGTCTGCTGCCCGGCTGAGGGCCCTATGCCACCCCAACAGCAGTAACAACAATGACAATGGTGGCGTCAGTGGCAGCAATGGGAACTCCGACGGTGTGTCGTACGGCCCCGGCACGGCAGCTGCGGCACCTCGAGGTACGACAGCCGCCGCATGTCATGGATTTGGATCTAGATCTCCGGTTTCACCGCTGGATGTTGGTTTCGGAGCCGGCGACGGTGGCGGTCACGGCGGTAGCGCTGCTAGCAGCCCTGGACTACATGTTGTCGTACATCGGCAGCAGCAGCGTCATGAGAATGAGGAGGAGGGTGATGTTGATGCGGTGGCAGTGGTGGCGGCGGAGGTGGGTGGCTGGTGGCCCCACCGCTGTGAAGCACTCATGCGGACAGGAACTACGTCATCATCATCTTCAGCGGCGGCGGCAGCGGGACACCTACCGTTAGCGTCGTACGGCAAGGGTCGTGGCGGCTTTGGCGGCGGCGGTGTTAACAGCGGCGGTGGCGGGTGTTGGAGCTCACCCCTGTCTGGTCCCTGGTATGTTTATGAGGGCGCTGGGTGACTTCACGTGAGCGACGTGGCCCCCACCTCGCCCCCACCTCCATATGCAAACTGCCTTGCCCTACAATGCGGTTTCATTGGGATTGCGTGTTTCGTTATCCCCTCGCCCGCACGTTCCTCACCGGTCACCGCCCATGCACCCCCCTTCCGGGTCCCCAGGCTCCGCATGAGGCAGTGCCTGCGTGCCGGGCCGCACTACGCCTCCCTGCTCAGCCCCCCTCCTCACGCCGGCAGTGCAGCTGCCAGCGGAGGCGGCCGCCACCCCCACCTCGCTGCCTTGGCTGCCGCCGCCGCCGCAGCTGCTCGTAACGCCTACCAGCACTCCGCCCTGGACCTGCTGCTGCTGCATGCATGCGGACTGGCGCTGCCCTCGGCCTCGCAGGCAGCTCTGCCGGCATCGCTGCAGCTGCTTACAGCTGCAACCCCTGCTGCTGACGGTGGTGACGGTGGGGGTGACGGTGGAGGTGACGGTGGGGTTGGCGGTGTTGCGGTTCTGGGTCTGCCGCACCCGCAGGAGCTGCTGCAGCGGGGCCTGCTGGAGCCGCTGCAGGACCGGGTGAGAAAGGGAGAGAGAGAGAAGGGGGGAAAGTAAAGAGGAACCAAACCATGTGAAATCGCAAGTTAGGGCAAACGGCAAATGGAGGAGAGGGAAGGGGTACGGACCGTACGGTACTAGTTGTTCTGAGCCGCGAGGAGGGGAGGTGGTGGGAAAGGGCTGGCTTGGGATAGGGGTGAGGGCGTCACCAGGGCGTTAGGAGAAGTGTGGCGTTGCAGCATGGCATCTCAGCGCTCCTGCGACTTGGGTTTGGCAGTGATGCAATCCGCTCACACCTCACGTTCCCATGTTCCGACCTCCTTTCCCTCCTTTACCGCCCCCATCCCCTCCGTCCGCTCGCCTCCCCTCTTCTGCCTGCTCGTCTCCCTCCTCCTGCAGGCGGACCACATCAACGATGCGCTGCTGCTCAAGCTGCTGGGAGGCTGGGGACTGGAGGTGCGATTGCCCGGGTTGCGATGTGGATTCTGTCAAATGGGCACAAGGTCCACACTGAGCCCTCTTCATGGGGCCAATCAGAAAACCCGTGGTCGCTTCTGCTCACTGTCGTCCCCCCTCCGCACCCCCCCCACCCCTCCCTCCCCCCTGTCAGGCCCGCCTCGCCGCCCTGCCCTCCGTGTTCCTGCTGTCCTCCCCCGCCGTGCGGTGCTGGGCGGACCGGGTGGTGGGGGCGCTGCTGGGCGGCATGCGGCTGGGCGAGCGGCCGCTGGAGGAGCAGCAGCTGGAGCACCTGCTGCAGGTGGGAGGGGGGGAGGAGGAGGGGGTGGGGTTGGGGTTTAATAGGGATACGTATTCCGCATAAGGCTGGATTTGGGGTTGGGGTGGGGAGGGGGTAGCGTGGAGTGAACCCTGGTGTTGGCAGAAGTGGAGGGGGGTGGCGGGGTGGGGGGTGAAAAGGAGGAGGAGAAGTCATCAGCATCGTTTAACCTCAAGTGAAAGAAGACCATAGTAACCATGTGGCCCGCCGCTGCTTCTTGCTCGCTGCTTACCCTGCCATACCCACCCAGGAAGCCCTAGCCTCCGCCAGTCCCGACGACATCCTGCCACCCGCCTCCAGCCTCGTCCTCACCCTCGCCCCGGCCGCCTCCGAAACAACCTCCAACACCGGAGCAGCGGGTGGGGGTGCGGCTGGGGGCCCCACTGCTGCAGGAGCCTCTCAGGAGCCGGTAAGGGTGAGGATGAGGATGAATTCTGTTTGGGAAGGGGATAAATGTGCACCTCGTCCAAACCACCACCACTGCTACTACTACACACATACCCTCTCTCCACTTCCAGCCACTCCCCCCACTCCATTCATTCCCCTGCCCCACCTGCCGCCGCATTCCCCCATTGTGTAGCCCCAATTCCTGGTTTCCTATGGTTTGGTCTACCTTGACCCCCCCCTCTCCACTCCCTGCCCGCCCCTCCATTCCCTCTCCCAGGCTCCCTTCCAGGCAGTCCAGGAGCTGGACCGCAGTGTGGGCGAGCTGGAGCGGCTGCAGCTGGGCCTGGCGCCCTCCTGGGTGGTGGCGCTGGTGGCGGAGGGGCGGGTGCTGCGGGCATACAGCCAGGTGGGGCATGGAGGGGGGCAGGGCAGGGCAGCATGTGGTACGGCAGAGGGGATCGGAGGGAGGGATGCTGCGGGGCTGGTATAGCCAGGTGTAGTCTGGCCCTCCTCTCTCATCCACCCTCAGCTCCTCCTCATCCACCATCCCCACTGCGCCTTCACCCTTTCCTTGAACCCCCTGCTTCCCTCCTCTCCCCTCCGCCTTATCCCTCAATTAGTTGTTTCCTCTTTACCCCTCCCCCCCTGCAGGTGCTGGTGTTCATGCTGCAGCTCCGCTGGGTGCGATCCGCCCTGGACGCCGCCCACAAGAGCTGCTGCCTGGCCTGGCGGGAGCAGCAGGTGCGCGCACACCCTAACAGCTGGCGGCCGCTGCGCTCAACCGGCTCCTCAGCCTCGCAGCAGCGACAGCCCCCGCTGCAGCGTAGCCGCAGCGCGAGTGTGGGCGATCCGGGGCTGGCTGCGGCGGCGGCAGCCGCGGCCATGGGCGGTGTGAGCGGCGGCGGACCTGGGGGCGGGTCTCAGGGCCTGCAGCAGCGGTCTAGCTACTCGGGAGTAGGGGGTTTGGCGGGCATGGCAGCTGGCAGGTTCGGCGCGGGAGGCGGCATCACCGGTGGGGGGTTGCTGTCAGGCCCCGGGGCCCTGGCGGCCACCAGCGGGGCCGCAGCAGCGGTGTCAACCGGCCCGACTCGGAATCCCTCTCCGGGCAGATTGCCGGGCTCAGCGTCAGCCGCCTCCGCCGCCGCGGCGGGTACTACTAGCGCTGCTGGTGGCAGTGGCAGTGGCAGCGGTAGCGGTGGCGCCCCCAGCATGGGTCGTCTGCGCGCCTCCCTGGCCGCCATGTTGCACTTCATGGCCACCCTGGAGCAGTGGGTGGCAACACAGCTGGTGCATGACGCATGGGTGCAACTGGAGCAGGTGGGGGGAGGGGAGAGGCAGGGGCAGAGATAGGAAAAGGGAGAAAGTGACCCGTGGGTCGGAGTGGGCCGGAGCTTGTTGGTGATGCATGGACGCATGGAAAGGATGTGAGGAGCGCATGTGGTGGTGGGGTTGGGCTTGTTGGTTTGGCAGTTAGGAGGGTCAAAGGACCGTATATGCCGGTACGGTATGCCAGTACCAGCCCAACTGCCCCTTCCCTTCCCCTTTCACCTCCTTTCCACCCCCCTGTCACCCCCTCTCCCGCCGCCCGCAGGCCCTTGCTGCCTCCCGGAGTCTGGACGACGTGTGTGCGGCGCACACCGCCTACACCGTGACACTGCTGCGCCGCTGCTTCAGGTGCGGGTTGACGGTGGGGGCAGTGGGGTGGAGGAAGTGGGCAGAGAGAACGAAACGGTAACTGACTGTTATCCAACATACAAACTACCATGTACCATCCATGCTACGATACGCCTTTCGAGTCCTGTGCGATGAAGTATCCATCTCTCACCATCTTATCTCTTAATCCCCTTCCCTCCTTTGCAGGTACTCGGGCGAGGAGGGCAGTCGGCACACGGGGGTTGCGCTGCGCAAGTGTCTGGACGCCTGCCTGCGCTTCGCAGCGGCCATGAGCGGTCTGTCGAGCGGGGGGACACCTGCTGCTGCCCGGGTGAGGGGGTTGGGCTGGGGTGGTAATGAGGAGGGAAACTAGCTTGCCTTGAGACAGGGTGAGGAGGTTGGGCTGGGGTGGTAAAGCTGGAACATCTGTCGGTCTTCGATACCTCCTAAAACGCCCTCTTTGATCACCAAGGGGTTCATGCAGGGGTGAAACGGCATAAATGCGTATGGGCAAACACATACACATATGTGTAAGGTGCAGGGCGAGGGTAGGGTACATGCGAGGAAGGGGTAGCGGGGAAATGGAATGGAGCTGCAAGGGGGGTGGAAGATGTGCGGCATCTGTGTTGAAGGCGCTCAGGTGCAGCAAGGCCCTTGCAGGGGCGCATGCAGTTAGCGTTTGGCTAACTGTTGCTGTCAAGTGCGTCTAGATGCTTGTGCATGTGTATGCGGAGGCTGCTGGAGCAGTCCGGCCGGCTCCTTGACTTGCTGCTCACCGCTTCCTCTTTATCCAAACCAGCCACCTACTACCGCACCTTGCCTCCCGCCGCATCCCTTCCTTCCTCCTCCTCCCCCCGCCCTCCTCGCCCTCACCCTCACCGCCTCCGCAGGGCCTTACCCCAGGCGCTACCGCTCCCGGCGCTCCAGCCACCGCTGGCCTGGGCCCCACCTCTGCCACTGCTCCTGGCAGCACCAGCAGCAGTGCCGGCACCTCCCTCTTGCCCCCCTCTGCTGCTGCCGGTGGCGGTTCCTCGTTGCCTGCTCCGCTGGCTGCCCGGCTGCAGGAGGAGGCGGGGCGGGCGGCGGAGGCCTTCACCTACTGGCTGAGCTACCTGGTCCGGTTCGTGTCCACTCGGGCACTGCTGGTGGGTGGGGCTGGGCGGGCCCCCTCCGGCACCGCACTTGGGTTGCTGTGTCATGTGTATGCATGCATCCTTATCCCTCTCCCCACCTTCCCTCTCCCCCTCTCCTCCCCTTCCCTCTCCCCTCCCCCCCCTCCCCAGTCCCCCTCCAGCGACCTGGGCGACCTGCTGCTGCGCCTCAACTTCAACGACTGCTACTCCAAGTACTTCATGCCGGAGGAGGTGGTGGCGCAGCAGCTGGCGGCGCAGCACAACGCGGCGCAGAGGAGGGCGGGAGGCGGGGCAGGAGCGGGAGTGGGAGTGGGAACAGGGGCAGCAGGGGTAGCAGGGGGACCGGGGGTCGGGGTGGGAGGGGCAGGTGTAGGTGTAGGGGCAGCACGGGGGGCTGTGGGAGGGGGGCCGGGGACTGGGACTGGAGCTGCTGGGGTGGTAGGGCGGATGGCGGGGTGGTCGGGTTTGGGGGCAGCAGCATCTGGTGGTGGTGGGGGCGGCGCTGCGGGTGGGCAGGGGCAGGGCATGGGCGGATCGGGTGGTGCCTCTGGGGGGTACATGTCGAGCGGGGGAGGAGGGGCAGGCAGGCAGTACGTGCCGGCATCAGGTGTGTTGGGGCAGGGAGGTGGAGGAGGAGGAGCGGGCGGTGGGGGTGCAGGTGGCAGGCGGTGATGGGGCTGCAGGCTTAGAAGAGTAGGGGCAAATGGACGGATGCTACTGCTGCTGCCGGTGCAGCTGCGGGTGGCGTTGGTTCCGGAGAAGTGGCTGGATGCCAGTGGTTTGAGCCGTGACATGTATAGACGTCTGTTGACGGCTTCCATGTATTGGAGGCATTTTGCCGTATGCATATTTGCACCGCGAGTATTTAGGCGGATGGCACATCGACAGACACAGCCTTACCCAGTAATTTAATAACTGCTACTAGTGACGCAAAGATACATGGGTTGGCGCGGCCCGCACTGGCTGACGTCCAGATTAGTAATGCCTTGACATAATTGCGGCCTTGAGGACGAAGCGTAATATGGACAAAGGTATGAATTGCATGAATTATGTGACAGCAAGCAGCAGAATAACAGGAATGATGTCGCGAATCCTAACGCACCAGTACGTACTACGCTGGACTCCCAGGAACACCGTGCAAAGTCGCATAAAAAGCGCTCTTAGGCATAGTGATATAAGGGCTACAACGCAAACAGATCAACATCTACTTCTACCTCCTGCATAACCTTTCTGTGTTCTGTCTGACTCGCCTCGGCCACTTGTGCGCCCTGGGGCTTGCACCTAAGCAATATGAGACTATCTCTAGCAAGGGAACAACTGCTATCGTTGCTTCTAGGAGGCCTGTACCTGAGCGCTTGTCGAGCCGCAGGACAGCTCCAACTTAACTATTCGCAAGTCCTTTCCCTAAGTTACAGGTAGAAACTAGCATTTTAAATATTTGAAGGTACTTGCTGCATGGACGATGCCTCACGGTTGCTGGAACGTAAAGGGTCTGCATGCGTTTACCACGACCCACCAGCTTACGTACGTGACATAGTTTATTTGGGTCGTGCGTAAATCAGGTTCTATGAGGCACAGATGTCAGGCGACATGCCAACATGGTCACGTGCGTCGCAAGCGGCTGGTGGATGGCGCAATCGAAGCCATTTACTGGACGGAACCGGACCTAGCGGCATCAACGTAGACCTGTCTGGCGGATGGTACGATGCTGGAGGTGGGCATTTAGGCTTTCGAAAGGCAACGCAACGGCCTGTCCCGCCTGCAGAGCGCTTGTTGCCGACCATCCATCTTGCGTTCTCAATCCCTTAATTTCTTCAGACCACCTCAAGCTGCACCTGCCTCTGGGCGTTTCCGCCAGCCTGCTGGCTTACAGCGCGCTGACCTGGGAGAGCGCCTACCGGGCAGCTGGAGAATGGGACATCGCTGTGCGCAACCTCGACTGGGTAGCATCTTACTTGTCAAAGTGCCACTACCAAGCCAGCGACACGCCCACCTCCAACGCCTTTGTGGGCCAGGTTGGCGACGTTGACACGGATCACAACACCTGGTGGGGCCGTCCGGAGCAGCAGCCGCAGGGGGGATCCCAGGGCTCTGCGGGCTGGCGCCCGGTCCACGTGATCACATCGGCGGGAGGCAAGGGAGCAGACATTGTGGGAGAGGTGGGTGTTGGAGGAGGGGCCCGTGGAAGGAAGCGTAAGGAATAAAGACTGGCTATAACCGCTGTCTCTACCCGCCTCACCATGCAGGCTGTGGCCGCCCTGACCGGTGCGGCTCTGCTGCTGAAGCGTGCAGGCGCCTACTCGGCCCCCAGCAAGGCGCAGGCGCTGCTGACCCGTGCACGACAGCTGTTCGCGTTTGCCAAGACTGTGCCGAGCACGTGAGTGGCTGCTGTGGTGGCGCATGGACTGTGGGGCATGCAGGCATGGTCCTTGCTTGTCTTCTTGCATTATCGCCTCTCTCTCCTGACTTACCTGCACCTGCTGTTTCCCCAGGTGGACCCCACCGTCCGGCTCCAACGCCTACCCAAGCAGCAGCTACAACGACGACATGGCCTGGGCGGCAGCATGGCTGTGTAGGTGGGTGGCGAGTGCTGGCACCCCATGTGGGCGCATTCGGCCTTTCCTAACACAGCAGCCCGCTTCCTGCCTGCAGGGCTGACGTGGACGCGGGCGTGTCCGTGGGTAGCAGCACGTACTGCGCTGCCGCACTGCCGTACTGGGACGCTGCCAAGTACGGCAGCCTGGATGTGTCATGGGACAACATGGCGGGTCCAGCCGCTCTGCTGCTGCGAGACACGGGTGCGGGCGGCGCCACGTACATCGCCAGCTATGACGACTTCATCAACCGGCTCCTGACCACTTGGACCTCCTCCGTGCCGTCTTGCTCTACGGGGAATGTTCCATGCCTCACCAACGGCGGCCTGGTCTGGTACAACGACTGGGGCAGCAACCGCTACACGGCCAACGTGGCGATGGCCGCACTCGCCTCAGCACGCAGCGATGGCGGTGCGGGTCTGGCGCTGACTCCGGCTGCCCGCGTGTCGCGTCATTGCTGGGCCAAGAAGCAGTTGTCGTACATGCTCGGCGACAACAGCCTGAGCCAGTCCTACGTGGTTGGCTTCAAGCCCACTGCGCAGCACAACGCCCCCCAGAAGCCGCACCACCGCAGCTCCAGCTGCAGCCCCGACTACAGCGTGACGTGCGACTGGACGGCCCTGGACCTGTCCGGCCCCAACCCCAGCGTGCTGGCGGGGGCGCTGGTGGGCGGCCCGGCCAGGGACGACAGCTATACCGACAACCGACGTGACTACATGAAGAACGAGGTGGCGCTCGACTTCAACGCGGGATTCACGGCGGCGCTGGCGGTAAGGGGGCCTGGGAAGAGGTTGTTCCAGTGCCGGGGCTTTAGCAACCGGGTCTTGGGCACGACTGCTCACGGCACCCCATCTCTTCCGTGCATGCAGGGCCTCACGGATTTGGAGCAGGGGCTTCAGAAGATAGGGTGCTCCTGGACTAGCTACTGCGCCATAGCGTGCAGTGCTCCCAGCCCCTCGCCTCCGTCCCCGTCGCCTTCTCCAAAGCCGCCGCCGCCGCCTTCTCCGTACCCTTCTCCGCCACCGCCTTCCCCTTACCCGTCTCCAAAGCCACCGCCGCCGCCTTCTCCGTTCCCTTCTCCACCGCCGCCTTCCCCTTATCCGTCTCCAAAGCCGCCGCCGCCGCCTTCTCCGTTCCCTTCTCCACCGCCGCCTTCCCCTTATCCGTCTCCAAAGCCGCCGCCGCCGCCTTCTCCGTACCCTTCTCCACCACCGCCTTCCCCCTACCCGTCTCCAAAGCCGCCGCCGCCGCCTTCTCCGTTCCCTTCTCCGCCACCGCCTTCCCCATACCCGTCTCCAAAGCCGCCGCCGCCGCCTTCTCCGTACCCTTCTCCACCGCCGCCTTCCCCTTACCCGTCTCCAAAGCCACCGCCGCCGCCTTCTCCGTTCCCTTCTCCACCGCCGCCTTCCCCTTATCCGTCTCCAAAGCCGCCGCCGCCGCCTTCTCCGTTCCCTTCTCCACCGCCGCCTTCCCCTTATCCGTCTCCAAAGCCGCCGCCGCCGCCTTCTCCGTTCCCTTCTCCACCGCCGCCTTCCCCTTATCCGTCTCCAAAGCCGCCGCCGCCGCCTTCTCCGTACCCTTCTCCACCACCGCCTTCCCCCTACCCGTCTCCAAAGCCGCCGCCGCCGCCTTCTCCGTTCCCTTCTCCGCCACCGCCTTCCCCATACCCGTCTCCAAAGCCACCGCCGCCGCCTTCTCCGTACCCGTCTCCACCGCCGCCTTCCCCTTACCCGTCTCCAAAGCCGCCGCCGCCGCCTTCTCCGTACCCTTCTCCACCACCGCCTTCCCCCTACCCGTCTCCAAAGCCACCGCCGCCGCCTTCTCCGTTCCCTTCTCCGCCACCGCCTTCCCCTTACCCGTCTCCAAAGCCGCCGCCGCCGCCTTCTCCGTACCCTTCTCCACCACCGCCTTCCCCCTACCCGTCTCCAAAGCCACCGCCACCGCCTTCTCCGTATCCTTCTCCACCACCGCCTTCCCCTTACCCGTCTCCAAAGCCGCCGCCGCCGCCTTCTCCGTACCCTTCTCCACCACCGCCTTCCCCCTACCCGTCTCCAAAGCCACCGCCACCGCCTTCTCCGTATCCTTCTCCACCACCGCCTTCCCCTTACCCGTCTCCAAAGCCGCCTTCCCCCTCGCCTTCTCCCAAGCCACCGCCGCCGCCTTCTCCTAAGCCTTCGCCTCCACCTTCCCCGTTTCCTTCACCACCTCCCAAGCCGTCCCCATCACCACCGCCTAATCCATCTCCCTCGCCGCCTCCCAAGCCGTCATCTTCACCACCCCCCAAGGCGCCGCCCCCACCGCCACCCAAGGCATCGCCGCCGCCCTCACCCTCACCAACCCCCACCTGCGACGCGAATGACTACGCCTGCAAGGAGTGCTCCGACTCAGACATCACTGCAGCCCCCAGCTGCCGTACATGTGTGTCTTCCATGCGCAGCATCGGCCAGGACCCCTGGCGCTGCTTCTCGTCATGCACCAAGGGAAAGAATGCCATCTCCGATTCCACCATGCAGGGCGTCTGCCTGGCGGAGTGTGTGCCCACAACCGCAGCTAAAGGTGAGGGCTTAAGCCCTAATCGACTTCGGACGTCGTTGGCTTGTTGCACACTAGGATGACCCATGGGTCAGCAGTTCAAGCGGCAGTTGCGACTCAGCGCTCATGTCATGGCACTAATGGTGTATGCGATCAGCGTGCGATCGCTTTTGACGCCGTCGTGTCCCACCGCCGTAGCAGGACGCCAGCAGCTGCCTCGTCGCTCGGACCCATGTGCTTTTGCTGCTGCTTGTGACGCATGATTGTCACGCTTACATGCATGCTTTGACTGCTGCCCGTGTGTATGTCGCTCTCCTGCAGATAACGACTGGGCTTGCGACCAGTACTGCGGCGACGCCTCGCTGGTTGGGAAGAATACTACTCGCTTCCGACAGTGTGTAACCTGCTTGCAGGGCGTGTCGTGTAGCTCGGCTGCTTGGAGCTGCCAGAACTGCATGCAGGTGGGTTGAGGGGCGGCAGGAGTTTTGGGCTGTGAGTGGCGGCAGTGCAAGCTCTGCATGCATGGGCGGGCAAGTCTTGGAGCGGGATTGTGGCTTCCTGTGCTCAAGGGATGGCATGGCGAGGGCCATATCCCATACCATACGGAGGGTCCCTTGATAGCAACATACCGGTACTGTTGCAGTTGTTAGTCTATCTATGGCAACTGACTTGCATGTGGGTCGTGCATGCATGCATGCATTGCAATAACCCGTGCGTAGGTGCCTGGCAACTCCCATGCATGCAGCAGCGCATGCAACCCCTGCTTTGGTCCCACCCTGACTCCCTTGACTGAAGCGGTGCTCCACCTGGGGCACTTCATCCACTACCCTCGTTGCGCCATCCGTGAAGGCCCCATCTTTTCACGTAGCAGGCATCACCACGCATTGAAAATTTCTGTGTTTACAGCATCCTAAACACAATCCCCTCCCGTTTGCACCTTCCCAACCTATCCCTCCTCAAGGTCGCCAACGGTCGTTCAGACGCCGAGGCGGCCCGGTCCTTCTGCTTCTCCTGCGTCACCAATCCTAGTTACTATGGCTACGAGTGGGACTGTGGGGACTGCACCCAGAAATACAAGACCACGACGGAGCGCACTGCATGCATAACCAACAGGGTAAAGTCGAGCGGCAGGAAGCTGCTGCCGGGTGCCTAATTAAGCAGCCAGCTGCGCTGGGGGTTTGGTACCGCAGGAGCAATAAGTATAGCCATGGGGAGCGGACGGCATTCATCCATTATCTTTATTTACGCTGAAGCAGGTTTGAGAGCCGAAGATTTATGCAGTGAATTTCCGCAAAGCTCACACAATCGGCTGCATATGTTTTGTACGTCTAGGTAGCTGAATGAGGAGGGGCAAATTGACTTGCCTTCACCCACACTGTTCGGTATTCATTGGCGGCGTACGGTGCCCTGGGCGTGCGCGCATAACTGGTCAGATCTTGGCACTGCAGGTACACCCAAGAATAGCGTGCCAAGATAACCTGATCGGGTGAAGTGTCGGGTCCTTGATATATGCATTCAACTGTTGAACGTTTGTTGCAGTAGCGTTGCTGTCCGGCGTTGCGTTACGAAGGGGAAGATCTGATACTGTTGTGGGCCGCCCTTAAGGTTCACTGCGGATGGTGCAGGATGGTGTGCCCCATTGTAGATGTTTCCATGCATGCTGAGGTCTTTGCGGAAAGCATTGAGCCTAAATGTGCAATTTAGTTGCATGAATGAGAAGCTGTTCGCTGGGTACGCCGAAGCCATGTTGCCAGGTGAAGCCACATGTGATATACAAGCCAGGAGATGTCCCGGTCTCCCTTGTCCACGCAAGAGGTAAGCAGTAGGACGGCAACTGTTCGACAAGTTGGCTGTTGAAGGGGTAAGGGCGAAAGCATACGCTATTTTTGTAAATAGATGCGATGAACGCAGCGATGGCACCTGATTAACAGTTCCCACAGTCACGTAGACCACGGACGTGAGGGGTAACTGCATCTTGCAATGACTACACGGTTTTTGTACCGTCTCACAAGATAGGATTGCCGTCCCAGAATAGCAACATGTATTATTAATCATAAGTAACACATAGGATGTGAAAGGGACGTCTCGCAGAGGGTGTACAGGAGTACAATATAAAGTCTTTTGGCAGCGTAGCCAATAATAAAAGTAGTACGACAAGAATCTAGCCAACTCCTAGCATAATATAACTGAGATATCGTTGCCCATGGATCATCAAGGCCCCGCAGATGGTTACCTAAAGTTTCCTAAATCTCCGGAACAAATCTGTGTGACCCATGGGACTCAAGAACCGGCGCTTGCCGTGGATCAGTTATAAGCAGATGTATCCGCGTGACGCGCATTTCAGCCCTTGCGAAGCATCAAATAATTTAGCCTCTCACCTTCCCTAATCAAGATGATGACTCCAGCTACAGCCTAACCCTAAGCAACAAAGACACCCTCAACCGTACAAATACATTGCTGAAGGAGGTCAGCAGCACACAGCAAACCGAACAATCCTTGCATCTTTTTAAGACGACGCAATCCTCGGTTAACATCAGTACGAAAGATCCATCCAGACAGCTAGGCCCCCGCTGCCCTCCTGCCTGCCACCTGCTTGCCAGGTACCTAACAAACCCTGTACAGCAGTAACAGTATTATTGATTCAGGGATGAATGAGAGCTCTTCGCCGCCATCCTCCTTCTGCAGCTGTATCCCAATCCTGCATCTATAGCACTAAACGCTGCTGGGTTATTTAGCGCGTAACAACCGTCTGCCGCTCACTCCAACTCTGGCGGTCATGCAGGCAGTGCGGCCCGCTGCCGTTGTGTACTTCTGGGTACAGTCTCCGCAGTCCCACTCGCGGCCGATATAGGTTGGGTTGGTGACGCAGGAGAAGCAAAAAGCCCGGGCCGTCGCGGCGTCCGGAAGAGTGTTTGCAACCTTCAAGGCGAGTTGGGTGTAGATTGACAATGTCAGCTATACCAGGCAGCGAGTCTTAAGGCGCAAGTCGGACCCCACAAACAACAGCTTACACCCCGGCTCCCAAGTTCCTAGGCACCTGGCCTCTCCAGCACCCACCTGCATGCAGTTCTGGCAGCCCCATGGGTTCGATGCGCCCTTCACGCAGGTCCCGCATTGTCGGGAGCGTGTGGGGTCGTTTGCCACAAGTGATGGATCCGCACAGTATTGGTCGCAGGCCCAGTCGGCACCTGCAGGAGCAGCAACCAGGTAGAACATAAGGACACGTACATTTGCATTTTTGCTGCATGGGAGCGGAGACCACATTCAAGATGGTAGGTACTTAGTGAACCGATTATTCCCACAATCGAAGCCTTAATGTTGTTAACTTCAAAGATTTCAGAACCACTATGTGAACAATCATTGTGGGCCGAGCACTGAGGCCTAGGTAGGCCAACCAGGCCACCCTGAGCCCGGCTTCTTCCTCACCTTTAGCCGCGGTTGCGGGCACGCATTCGCCTAGGCAGACGCTCTGCATGGACGAGTCGGAGATGGGGAAGGGACCGTTGGCGCATGTGAAGCAGCGCCAGGCGTCCTGGCCGATGCTGCGCATGGAGGAGACACATGTACGGCAGCTAGCGGCTGCAGTGATGTACGACTTGGAGCACTCTTGGCAGGCGGAGTCGCTTGGGTCACAGGTGGACGATGGCGGTGATGGTGGAGGCGAAGGCTTGGGTGATGGCGAGGGTGGCGGGGAGGGCTTGGGAGAGGGTGATGGGGGCGGACTAGGAGGCCGTGGTGGAGAAGGCTTGGGCGGAGGCGAAGGCTTGGGTGAAGGCGGCGGAGGGGTTGGAGGAGGCGAAGGCTTGGGAGAAGGTGGCGGAGGGGGTTTGGGAGACGGGGATGGGGATGGTGGCGGGAATGGCTTGGGAGAAGGCGCCGGGGGCGGGGGTGGGAAGGGCTTGGGTGATGGCGCGGGTGGTGGCGAAGGTGGGGAGCTGACGGTCGAGCACGCCATGGCGCAATAGTTGGCCCAGGAACATCCCGCCGCCTGAAGCCCCTGCTCCAAACCTGTGAGGCCCTGCGCGCACGGGACATGCGAGGGGCGCAAGGATGAGAGGAGCGAGCTTTAAAACCTCTGCTAGAGTCGCCGCACTGTAATAGGACAGCGCTCACACTCCATCACATCACACCGCTTCTGCCACAGCCGAAACACAACAGCAGCATAACCAAACTGCGCGCCATTTTTTTCATTAATCCTTACCGCCAGCGCCGCCGTGAATCCTGCGTTGAAGTCGAGCGCCACCTCGTTCTTCATGTAGTCACGCCGGTTGTCCGTGTAGCTGTCGTCCCTGGCCGGGCCCCCCACCAGCGCCCCCGCCAGCACGCTGGGGTTGGGGCCGGACAGGTCCAGGGCCGTCCAGTCGCACGTCACACTGTAGTCGGGGCTGCAGCTGGAGCTGCGGTGGTGCGGCTTCTGGGGGGCGTTGTGCTGCGCAGTGGGCTTGAAGCCAACCACGTAGGACTGGCTCCGGCTGTTGTCACCGAGCATGTACGACAACTGCTTCTTGGCCCAGCAATGACGCGACACGCGGGCAGCCGGAGTCAGCGCCAGACCCGCACCGCCATCGCTGCGTGCTGAGGCGAGTGCGGCCATCGCCACGTTGGCCGCGTAGCGGTTGCTGCCCCAGTCGTTGTACCAGACCAGACCGCCGTTGGTGAGGCACGGAACATTCCCCGTAGAGCACGACGGCACGGAGGTCCACTTGGTCATAAGCCGGTTGATGAAGTCGTCGTAGCTGGCGATATACGATGCGCCGCCCGCACCCGTGTCTCGCAGCAGCAGAGCGGCCGGACCCGCCATGTTGTCCCACGACACATCCAGGCTGCCGTACTTGGCAGCGTCCCAGTACGGCAGCGCGGCGGTGCAGTACGCGCTGCTGCCCACGGACACGCCCGCGTCCACGTCAGCCCTGCAGGCAGGAAGCGGGCCGCTGTGTTAAGAAAGGCCGAATGCGCCCACATGGGGTGCCAGCACTCGCCACCCACCTGCACAGCCATGCTGCCGCCCAGGCCATGTCGTCGTTGTAGCTGCTGCTTGGGTAGGCGTTGGAGCCGGACGGTGGGGTCCACCTGGGGGAGTAGCAGGTGCAGGTAAGTCAGGAGAGAGAGGCGTCAATGGACCATGCAAACAAGCAAGGACCATGTCTCCATGCCCCACAGTCCCATGCACCACATCACAGCAACAAGGGCAACCTACAGTCCACTCACGTGTTCGGCACAGTCTTGGCAAATGCGAACAGCTGTCGCGCACGGGTCAGCAGTGTCTGCGCTTTGGTAGGGTTTGAGTAAGCGCCCGCACGCTTCAGCAGCAGAGCCGCACCGGTCAGTGTGGCCACAGCCTGCGAGCAGAAGAGCGGCAGGACGTTACGACGTGAAAGTGAGGCACACAACAAAGTAAGGCATTATACATACAGGACGACAAAAGGTGGGCCTCCATTCAACACCCACCTCTCCCACAATGTCTGCTCCCTTGCCTCCCGCCGATGTGATTACGTGGACTGGGCGCCAGCCCGCAGAGCCCTGGGATCCCCCCTGCAGCTGCTGCTCCGGACGGCCCCACCAGGTGTTGTGGTCCGTGTCAACGTCGCCAACCTGGCCCACAAAGGCGTTGGAGGTGGGCGTGTCGCTGGCTTGGTAGTGGCACTTTGTCATGTAGGTCGCTACCCAGTCGAGGTTGCGCACGGCGATGTCCCACTGTCCGGCTCCCCTGTAGGCGCTCTCCCAGGTCAGCGCGCTGTAAGCCAGCAGGCTGGCCGAAACCCCCAGAGGCAGGTGCAGCTTGAGGTGGTCTGAAGAATTGGAAGGGATGCGGAACAAGTACAGTATTGGACTCCCACCGCAGCCGGAAACTTCCTATTGCGCTCTACTTACCTCCAGCATCATACCAGCCGCCGGAGAGGTCCACATTTATGCCGCTAGGCCCAGTACCGTCTTGCATGTGACTTCGGTTGCGCCATCCACCAGTTGCTTGCGACGCGCGAGACCATGTTGGTACATCGCCAGACATCTGTGCCTCATAAAATCTGTTTATAACAATTATTAACCGAGATCAGATAGTGTAACAAGTCCAACTGTCATTGTGTGGTTTAAATTTAGCCCTTTTAACACAGTGTTCGCTTATAGATAATTTCAGTAGGAATGCATATCGATGTCCTTCATCGGCTTCATGCTGTCACGTCCTCACCTGAAGCTCAGGGAGAGGACTTGGGAATAGTTGAGCTGAAGCTGTCCTGCGGCTTGTAGGACGCCAGCAGAAAACAATACAAGTGTGAAGAGTAAACATTTATCGCGCATTGCTTGTAGCGCCATGCCTATGGCGCAGCGGATACTATGCGATGGCAAGCCAGAGGTGCATATATACCGTAGTGAAACTTGGATAACTAGCGGCGAACGTAATGGAAGGCTTTTTATATTAAGTAGATTCTCCTCACGGTGTGCCGGGACTTCACCAGCGCTTCCAAGAGACTTCATCCGTACATCACGGGATCCACAAAGGGTTCTTGCAGCAGTAACCGGTCCCTTGGCACAGTAACGCCTAGTCAAACCCTATCTTCTGTTACGCACCCCACAACGTTGGATGTGATATGAACAACGGGCACCTGAACGGGCGCCCGAACGGGCACTAACGATGGAGTTACGGTAAAAACCCATGATTTGCAGATGCCGCTCTCGCCGTCATCGCAGAAACAGAACGGATCGCACATCGCGTCGTGCCGGGATGGCGTCATCGGCGTTTACGGGCAAGCCTGCCTCCGCAGCCATGTGTGCCTTAACTGACGAATTGGGGCATTTTACGAACCACGACATTGACACCCAGCTTGAGATACAATGACGTATAACGCGTGAGTTAAGAAAACTGTCGTGTGTGTGTAGCTAATAGCAACGGGTCACTTTGGGACCATGACTGTCCTGTCATGTGCGTCGTAACCCTAAGCTTCTCAAACTGCGATCCTTGGGCAAAATGACGCTGCGCTAAGCAAGTTCCGGTCATTTTGTTTGGTTAGGTTGCGGTAGTACATGGGGGGTTGTGAAATGCCCAGGGGGTGTGGAGGCGGAACTTAAAATGCCTCCTGCCATTGCCTGGGCAAAGACACGGAGGGATGCCCACAGGAGGGAGCCCCAGCAACTTGTACGATTCGGACCGTAACGCCAATTGCTGTGTGTACCTAAGCAGAATGCCGGCAAGCATCACCTTACACGGTTGCATGGCCGTGGATGCATATGCGGTACAATCCCAGCGCAAACATCTATCACAAGCACGCGCAAGCAGTAATAGCATCCAACGCAGTGTGCAGTACGGTTCGCAACGCCTGTAATCACTGTCGACGACGCACTTCCGACAGGCAGTAATCCTTGCAGCAAATGACTGCAAGCCCATGTCCTGGCATGGTGCTATGAACAGCGTCAAAACCCACGAGCCATGTATCGATGACTTGCGCAATTCCATGTGACTGAACTACATAAACCTACCCCAAATCTACACAAATCCGCACGATACGCATTCTTGGCTGATTTAACAGTACGAATGAGCGATCCAACTATTATTCCTGCATGCCCCTTGTTACAGGGCAACCAACAGCAACAAGAGAGCTTCCTGCACAACCATGCCACGCACGGAATGAATAATGCAATGGGAACCAGCAGCTCCATTCAATGAACTATCCACACCTCCAAAACACCTGCCAACAGCATACCCGTATGTACAGCTCAACCTGGCGTTGCCTAGCCATGCCCACCTGCTGCGTAATCCTGCTGCAATCCTGCTGTTTACCTAACTGCCCCTGTGACTGCTCCTCATGGACAGGAATCTTCTAGGTCGACTTCAAAGACTTGGGTCCGAGTGGGGTCCGATAAAGGCCGCCGCATCTCCGCGACTGCTCTCGCCCCAATTGTGCATGGCTGCACACCGGCGCACCCAGCGCTGCTGGGTTAGGTCCTCAGCAGGCGCCTGCCGCTCTGGCTGATTCGCTTCTTGATGCATGCAGTACGGTCCGTAGTGGTCTTGTACAGCTGGGTGCAGTCTCCACAGTCCCATTCGTGGCCGTAGTAAGCGGGGGTGGTGACGCAGGTGAAGCAGAAGGACCGGGCCGTATCGGCGTCCTTGAGAGGATTTGCCAACTGGAGGTGCAGATGCATATCAAGGAAAGGGGAAACGGTGATTAGAAGGAAGCAAGGAAAACAGAGGTTCGAGATCTGGTCACGGCGCTGGACGTGCAGCACGGCGGCAACCGAATAGCGGTTGCATATGTCTACTTTCCGTACGTCCCGCCGTCCAGTCACACGTGCTCGCACCGGGCTCCATATCTATGGTCCCTCCAACCACCAGATCCCGGTCGCCTCCCTCGTTCCCACCCCTCACCCACCTGCATGCAGTTCTGGCAGCCCCATGGGTTGGATGCGCCCTTCAAGCAGATCCCGCATTGTCGGGAGCGTGTGGTGTTTTTCGCTACCAGCGAGGGGTCAGCGCAGTACTCGTTGCAAGCCCAATCGCTACCTGCGGAAAGCGGTTCACAAAGCCATGCAAGGTAAGGAGCGGCTGGAAACGGCCCCATAACAAAGCGTCTCAAAGCATCAACGCATCTCAAACACGCGGGCACAAGCAGTATATGGGTCAAAGCAGCTGTTGTCCTGGGAGCTGTGGTAAGGTGGCAAAAGGGCACCAACAACTTAACACAGCAAAACACAGCGGGATGTTACATGTGGGCTGGTTGCGCCATGCTGATATCCCACACCGTTCTGACCCAGATCCCTGCCTGCCTTACTTTTAGCTGCAGTTGCGGGCACACACTCCGCCAGGCAGACGCCCTGCATGCCGGAATCGGTGACGTTAATGGTGCCGCTGGCGCATGTGAAGCAGCGCCAGGGGTCCTGGCCGATGCTGCGCATGGAGGAGACACAAGTACGGCAGCTGCTAGCTGCGGTAATGTACGGCTTGGAGCACTCTTGGCAGGCGTAATCGGTTTTGCTGCAAGCAGTGCTCGGGGGAGGGGAACGCTTAGGAGGTGGTGGTGGCTTAGGAGACGGTGGTGGTGGCGGCGGCGGTGGGGGAGGTGGCGGCGGTGACACATGCAGTGGCGGCGGCGGCGGTGGTGGTGGTGGCGGTGGTGGCGGCGGCGGTGGCGGCGGGGATACCGTTGACGGCGGCGGCGGTGGCGGAGGTGGTGGTGGGGGGGATGTGGTGGGCGGTGGCGGCGGCGGAGGTGGCGGAGGTGGTGGCGGCGGCGGTGGTGGTGGCGATACGGCGGGCGGTGGTGGCGGCGGTGGCGGCGGAGGCGGTGGCGGTGACTGAGGAGGTGGTGGCGGCGGCGATGGTGACGGTGGCGGTGGCTTGCGAACTGGCGGTGGTGGAGACTTCTTGGGTGGTGGCGACTTGGCCGGTGGAGGCGACTTGGCCGGTGGAGGTGGCTTGTACGCCGTCGGAGGCGAGGGGCTGGGAGCACTGCACGCCATGGCGCAGTAGCTAGTCCAGGAGCACCCTATCTTCTGAAGCCCCTGCTCCAAATCCGTGAGGCCCTGCATGCACGGAAGAGATGGGGTGCCGTGAGCGGTCGTGCCCAAGACCCGGTTGCTTAAGCCCCGGCACTGAAACAACCTCTTCCCACGCCCCCTTACCGCCAGCGCCGCCGTGAATCCCGCGTTGAAGTCGAGCGCCACCTCGTTCTTCATGTAGTCACGCCGGTTGTCCGTGTAGCTGTCGTCCCTGGCCGGGCCGCCCACCAGCGCCCCCGCCAGCACGCTGGGGTTGGGGCCGGACAGGTCCAGGGCCGTCCAGTCGCACGTCACGCTGTAGTCGGGGCTGCAGCTGGAGCTGCGGTGGTGCGGCTTCTGGGGGGCGTTGTGCTGCGCAGTGGGCTTGAAGCCAACCACGTAGGACTGGCTCAGGCTGTTGTCGCCGAGCATGTACGACAACTGCTTCTTGGCCCAGCAATGACGCGACACACGGGCAGCCGGGGTCAGCGCCAGACCCGCACCGCTACCGTTCCTTGCGGAGGCGAGTGCGGCCATCGCCACGTTGGCCGTGTAGCGATTGCTTCCCCAGTCGTTGTACCAGACCAGACCGCCGTTGGTGAGGCATGGAACATTCCCCGTAGAGCAAGACGGCACGGAGGCCCACGTGGTCATGAGCCGGTTGATGAAATCGTCGTAGCTGGCGATGTACGTGGCGCCGCCCGCACCCGTGTCTCGCAGCAGCAGAGCGGCCGGACCCGCCATGTTGTCCCATGACACATCCAGGCTGCCGTACTTGGCAGCATCCCAGTACGGCAGTGCGGCAGCGCAGTACGTGCTGCTACCCACGGACACGCCCGCGTCCACGTCAGCCCTGCAGGCAGGAAGCGGGCTGCTGTGTTAGGAAAGGCCGCATGCGCCCACATGCGGTGCCAGCACTCGCCACCCACCTGCACAGCCATGCTGCCGCCCAGGCCATGTCGTCGTTGTAGCTGCTGCTTGGGTAGGCGTTGGAGCCGGACGGAGGGGTCCACCTGGGGGAGTAGCAGGTGCAGGTGAGTCAGGAGAGAGAGGCGATAATGCAAGAAGACAAGCAATGAGCATGCCTGCATGCCCCACAGTCCATGCGCCACCACAGCAGCCACTCACGTGCTCGGCACAGTCTTGGCAAACGCGAACAGCTGTCGTGCACGGGTCAGCAGCGCCTGCGCCTTGCTGGGGGCCGAGTAGGCGCCCGTACGCTTCAGCAGCAGAGCCGCACCGGTCAGGGCGGCCACAGCCTGCATGAGGCAAGCATGGTGGTGTGGAACGCAGCATGGTGAGATGAGCAAGTGCGGAGGCTGCAAGTAAACGTCTTTCCTTCCACTACGCTCCCTTTGACGGCTCTTCATTCAATCTCACCTCTCCCACAATGTCGGCTCCCTTGCCGCGCGCAGTCGTGATGACGTGCACTGGGCGCCAGCCCACAGAGCCTTGGGTGCCCCCCTGCAGCTGCTGCTCCGGACGGCCCCAATAGGTGTTGTGGTCCGTGTCAACGTCGCCAACCTGACCCACAAACGCGTTGAGGGAGGGCGTGTCGCTGGCTCTGTAGTGGCACTTTGACAAGTAAGCCGCTACCCAGTCTAGGTTGCGCACGGCGATGTCCCACTGTCCGGCTGCCCGGTAAGCGCTCTCCCAGGTCAGCGCGCTGTAAGCCAGCAGACTGGCCGAAACGCCCAGAGGCAGGTGCAGCTTGAGGTGGTCTGTGAACGGACGGAGGTGCGTTGGGAAGCTAGGTAGTTCTGGGGATAACATGACAAGACTGCAGAGGTAGACGTATACCTTACCTCCAGCATCATACCAGCCACCGGAAAGATCGACGTTGATCGCGGTACCGTCTTGCATATGGCTTCGGTTGCGCCATCCGCCAGCCGCTTGCGACGCACGGGACCATGTTGGCACATCTCCTGACATTT